GCCATGCTCTACTCAATATCGCTAAAATGCTGCACACTGCCAGTGGAGCAGAGTGGCAGAAGCATGTATTGGAAAACGAAGAGCGTCATCAGGTTGGAATCATTGTGCGTGAGCGGGAAACCCTGCTGTTGCAGTTAGCCTACATGCTGCACCTTATTTTTCCGACGGGACAGATTCAGAGGTGCGTGCCACCTGCTGACTACCTTCCAGGGAGGGGAAGTGTCGAGCCTATGCCTGACGACCTGGAGGCCTCTCGCGTCCAAACATTAAGACTTTCTAAAAAATACAAGTTCTGTCTCTAGTGTAAAACATCCTCAGAGGTGAAGAAAGAAACCTTTGTAGATCAATATACGGGACAAAAGTCTTCAGTTCAAAAAAGATGCTAGAACCGAAGAAAGATGAATTCCTTGAAAGAATAAACTCGTCCTCTAGTCTAAGAATAGGGGGTTTTGTTATGTGGACAACGGGGCTGCTGCCTGACGAGGGACCAGCGCGAGCTCCGGGCCAGGATCCGAACGAGTGGGGCCCTCCTTTAGGAGAACACCCGGAAACGATTGCGCTACAGGTGGAAGTGCGGGAGACCATGGCCAGCATTTTCTTGGATTTGCACCGAACCACGTGGGACCGCGTAGTTGAGGTCGCTTGTTCCAGTTCAACTAGTACAACAAGTGGCGCAGAGGCGACGGCAGCCACGACGACGTCGTCGGCGAAGCGCGGCCACCTTGGTCAAGCTTTGCGGCAGGTTTCAATTGCAAACGGGGGCATTTCCCCGCTCATACTTGGGTGGAGCGAGTTTGGCCTACTCTCTCAGCACGCGCGTCCGCTCAGAGGTGAGGACGGACGCATCTTAGCGGTGGATCCCGAATTCGACGTGTTTTTCTCCTTCCAACTACGTTGTCTCCTAGAAGCGGAGGCTCTTCTGGAGCGAAGCCTACGTTTGCGCATTCGAAATCTGAAGCTTTTTGCTGAGTCCAGGACGTATGTGCAGGAATTGCAGCTGCCGCCGGACTCCCGACTTCTAGTGCGCCGTCCTGATCTGCCTCCTTCGTCCTCAGACCTGGCTGAAACGAACTCTGATAGTACTTCTAAAGCAGCAAGTTGGTGGGGCACCTTGCGAAGTGCTTTCAAGTATGGCGCAGATCTTGAAGCTCATGTTGAAAAGAAGATCAATCATGAAAATGAGGCAACAGCTAGTGAGCGAGGCCTTCACATCTCAACCGCTAGCAGAGCAAGCGAAGTGTGGATATCAAATGAAGAGCGACGTCGAGCTCACAAAATCCTCCAAGATTAAGGCTTCCCCTAATGGTCCATCTTCAGAGAAGTCATCCTAGTAGAGAGGCTTTTCAAAGAGAAAAGGGCCCTAGGATGCATTCCAAGACGGATTAGGGTGATCTCTAACAAGAGCTGCCTCCGTCCAAAAGGCTGGCGATCATGCATCGTGATGCGGTGGAAGATGCGCTGCGCGTCTGGGATATGCGATCTCGATCGGTTGCAGCCAAGTTTCCCCAAGAAATGACGTTGAATTTAAGGACGATGAGAAGGTGCACCGGTTGTTGACACAAGTAAGTAACAGTAAGTACTTCTTACACAAATAATTCATGTTGATGTAGTAGTACGCGTGATTCTTCAGGTGTACTTGAACTTACTATCCCCTAGAAATTTTGGCAGCGAAGAATCGTTACAGACTCCATACTAGGGGCGAGTCTATTAATGCATTTAGGATGGTCTACCTATTCCTGTTCTATTTCTAACAAATCAGAGAGGCAGAGAGACGACATTCGAAGACGAGCTGGCTGGTCACTTGTTGCGTACAAACGTGTTGAGCTTCGAGGATGGTTCTTCGAGGGCTGCAGAAGAAATATGCGATTCTCAAGGTGGGTGTCGGGACGTGAAAAATCACGGGAGCATGTCGAACATCGACAAGGTTGAGGATAGTGCTAGCGCATACAAAAAGCGCACGTGGCTGTACAGACCAGAGGGCCGTGCACAAGGTCGTAGTATGTTTTCGCGCTCCATGCCCATTCCGCTGCATCGAGAGGACTCACTGTTCGCACAGATCTTCCCCTTTCGACGCACGCCTTTGCTCGAAGGTGAGTGGCTCATGTACCGCGAAATTTATCGAGATGCTACCATGCTCTTGCAGACGCTGCGGTCAAAATGGCGTTTAATTGATCGAGCAAAGGAGGAGATCGGCTACCCCTCTTTGGACAGCTGGATGCAACAGCACCTGGGACAAAACCGTAGAGAGGACGAAGCGCTTCTTTACTGGCTTTCATCGGCTAGCGGAAGTTCTGGACCACTTCCGGCGTCGCGGAGCCCGAGCCCACCTCCGGTGTCGTCTCCTTCCGATTCTCCGCGGAACAGTTCAACGGAAGGAACTATGTTGGGACAACAAGGTCCAGATGAAATGGGTCTCCCTGTAGCGACATCCACAAAGCAAGAGCCGAGAAACGACACAGGGGATGTGGTTGAGCACGGAGAGCAAGGACCACAGAAAAGGGGTAAGAGCAATCCGCTAATTCGTTCTTCTGAACCAGGTTGTGAGCAGCGTGCAGAGCCTCTTTTCTTCAAGGATCGCATCATCAAACTCCAAAAACTTCTCGGTGGCAGTCGCGCACGCAAGGATGTGGAAAATGAAAAAGTTTGGCGTTTCATCCGGTGGTCATCTAGTGCAGGCAACAGTTCCCCAGCCCATTCTTGGTGGTTTCGCTACTGGATTCTGCGACGTGTAAAGACGACTACACACCATAAAATACAACCGCAAGACGTCGCATCGGCTTCAACGGGAACAAAAGCAGAACGAGCATCTTCTTTGGACACTGCTAGTAAGGGAACACCAAGTGCTCCTCCTGTCGCTCAAGATGCTGGGCGAGCTGCTGCTCCAGGGAGCAAACATCAAGAGAAGGAGCAACCTCGCAAAGCTGCTAGTACTTCAACGTCCGTGCTCCTGAGTGAAGCACATGATACTACTACTACTGCTGCTGCTGCTGCTGCAAAAGAGGCTGAAGATGCGGGAACATCTTCATTGATGAAAGGCACTTGCACGCCAGATGAAGACGCCGACTTGGATGGGTTGGTGGCGAAAATAGGTGGAATCTCTATTGAAGTCTTGCCCCTAGAAGCGCTTCCAAAGACCGTGGAAAAGATAGGTTTTGCAGGTACAACAGGGTTGAATGCTGTTACAACTGTTGGAACAACAACTGAGACTGACACTTCTGCAACATCGACTAAGAAAGCCGCAAGACGAAGGGCGCGAAAGGCCCGCGCCGCAGAGAGCGCAGCTGCTGCTCAAATGACAGTGCTGGCGGACGAACAAGGGGTCGCCGTCGAGGAAGCTAAAGAACAGGATGAAAGCGCGGCACGTGAGGACCTGTCTGTGACCGAAACAAACCCCGAACTTCCAACGCAGCAGGCTGAAAACGCGGTTGATCATCCTTCGGATGGTGTGGCTATCAAGGAAGTCTCGGAGACGCAAGAACCAGCGGAAGGAATAGCGCTTCCTCATGTCTCGGTTGCAGTAGATGATGCAGCTCATGACGTCGGTCAAGACCTTGCAGAAGGCGATGTCGATTCTCCGATTGTTCCAGCGCCGTCTTCTACAGACGACTTAGATGCAGAACAAGTAGCAGCATCAACCAGTCTACAGATCTCTGAGGGAGGCAAGAAGAAGAAGAAAAACAAGAAGAAAGGGAGCAGGGCTGCAGCAAGTTGTACCTCTGAACAGCCGGCTGTTGCCGCAGGGACAGAGCCGATTGACCTATCGCGAGACCCACTGGAGCAGGAGACAGCTCCGGAACTTTTAGAAAAGCTGGCTCCCGCCGATGCAGTGAATGCAGTGCAACATGATCAAGAGAGTGCACAATGCCACTCTGCAGGATGTGTCCTAGATGTTCCAGTTGTAGAGAGTAATAGCGCGCCAAATGCTGCAGAAAACGCTCCAACAGAAGACTCTCCAGCAGAAGGTGCTACAGCAGAAGATGCTACAGCAGGAGTGGACGTCTCGGTGGTGCAGAGTGGCGCATCAGTGTCGGGAGTAGACGTCATGCAGAAGCCGAAATCGCTAGGGAGCAGTCGCAATGTGAGCGGCAATAGCATGACCCTTTTTATTAAGGCTTCCCCTAATCCATCCCCAGAAGCATCTTCGGAGTGTTCCATAAGGGGGAAACGGCATCAAGAACAAGATGCCTCTCAAGATAGATTAGAGTGAGCGCTAACTTTAGTGTTGATGAGCTAACCTCACCACCGAGCGACGTGCGGAGTGAGAGCGGGAGCTCGCTACTGAGGCTTGGGAGGCCAAGCTTGGAGTCGGTCTTGATGTTGCCACGCGGTGCCAGCGTCTTGCACACTGTTCCGCTGCTCTTGCAGCGATTGCGCGTCGCATGCTTCCTCACTTTCGGAGGAGGGGAAAGCCATACCCATACCCAGCATACTTTCGATTCTCTTAATGAAGGTCCTCTTCAAGTGCAGCATGACAAGGACAAAAATGCCATCTTTGCGCTACTGTGGCGGCAAGTCGATCAGTTCGAGAGCGCTCTGAGTTTGCTCTTTCGTGTCCACTTGCTTGAGCGTCTCGCCAACCGCCGCAAGCTGCGAGACAAGTCGGCTAAAGCGCTGTGGCACGAAGTGGGGGACTTTCTCCAAGAACGTATTTTCGACCTGCGGTTAAGGTTTGGCAGTTGACCCGTCTAACTATAATGAGCATATCTATGACCTTCTCAATGGATACTTATCTATGACCTTTTACGTTTTCAACGGGGAAGTAGAGGATAGGTACGCGAGCTAGATTGATGGGCCAACTTGCAATCGCTAACTCGGGATGAAGAAGCAGATTCCTCAGAGCTGTTCGACGCAGTCGTAGTGAAGAGCGGACTGAATGCGCTGTTCGATCCTCTCCAACTGGAGCCCGACTCTCTGGCATATCTCGAGCGTCTCCGTCTCGGAGGAGCTGGGGCTGGCGCATCTACTTCTGCACCTACGAAATTGTTATACACAGAAAATACCTCTGCACAACGACTCGATTTGATAATTGGTGACACTGACACCAGGCGGGAATACCAGGAGTCAGCCGCTTTGTCTTCATCAGATGCGGCACGGGAAGAACGCCTCCTAGGTCAGCAGGAACAGCACAGCAGTAGCGATTCTCGAAGTCGCAGGTCATCTACGACTTCTAGGGGGTTCTACCGATCCATCAGTTAAGGCTCATCCTAATGGTCCATCTTCAGAGAAGTCATCCTAAAAGAGAGAGGCTTCTTCAAGGACAAAAGAGGAGCACCAGCATGATCTGAAGAATGTATAAGTAATCATCAGTGTAAGTAATCATCAACGGAAGGCTCACTTCGCACTAACTTCATCCTCTTGTCACTCCCTAACTTACCACTAGATACCCCACTATGCCCCTATGTCAGTCTCTTCATTGCTTTGCCTTTCCTCAATCAATCAACCACCTTAGGAAAAGAAAAATAAAAAAATGACCTCCCAGCACCTGCAGCGGACCAGCTTGAGACATTGCAAGATACATAATGACTTTTTTCTCATGAAGAGAGAGAGTTTCTTGAATTCTAAGGCCAATGAAATTATTGCGCCGCAACCTCTAAGAAAGTGAGAGCCTGCCTGAAGAGCGCGGGGGACAGGAGCTCCTACTTTTCACAACGGCTTTTCGCGACTTGTGGCTACTACAAAGTAAGGTAACCGTGGCCGTGGTCGACTGGATATTCGCGAAGAAGCGCGAGCGCGCCATCTCAGACCATAATATTTACGGCTCAAACTACTACTTAATTCATTGCTACAAGTCGACTTTTGCTGTTTCCTTTTTGGGAGTCTGAGGAAATGAACCGAAGAAGTGGACTGTTTTAGCCTCTAACATATTCTCCAGGATGAAGGCGCTTTGCTCGAAGCTGGCGAGCGTCTGCGCACACCTGGAAACTTTGTCGATTGGCTGTATGCTGCATCATCCGAACACCAGGAAAGACAGACAGTAGATGCTGTTGTATCATCTACTCCTGCAGCTGCAGTAGAGGGACATGATGAAGCTAGTACGGGAGGAGATGGCGCTATATCATTCGTGGAAGTTGTCGCGCATAGACGTGAAGAAAATGCTGCTTTAGAAGCAGGTTTTCTCAAGAATCCTGAAGTTGTAGACCCCTCTTGTACAACTCCATCACCAACGACGAGAAGCTCTGTCAACCTGGTTCGTTCAGCGATCTTAGAGGAGCGCGCACGGCTAGAGGATCGACTAGCGGCCGCCCTAGTGGACACAGTGGCTGTGCTGGGAGATTTGCAGGATTTTCAGCGATGGTCGCTCCATCGCGTCCGCGAAGCTTCGGAGAGTGGAATGCTCGGCGATGGTGCAACTTGTGTTGGACAAGGATTGTTGTGCTATGAACAAGGATTCTGGTCTTCAGACGACCCTCAGTTCGATCGAGGTGGAGTCCAACACGTAGTTGCCGGTGAATCACCGAGGACAAATAGAGGAGCAGTAGTTACTCCAGGGACAACAGCCTGTACTAGTCACGAGACCTTATCGTCGCCAATGTCGAGTGCGCACCTCATGAACGTGGCCGAAGCCGTAGCGGCAAGACACGCGACGGCTTTAGGACAACCATATGATAACCCACTGGAAGAAACTGCAGTGACAGAAGTACCAGCGTTACTGCCACTGACGCTCGAGACAAGCGCAATGGCAGCGACTCTTTTGGCCGAATTCGAAACGGAGTTTGCTACGCTGAGGAAAAAATTTGATTTGCGGAAGGAAGAGGTCGGAGGAGGAGGAGACTGTGCAATGAATCGCAATAGTGTTTCAGATAGAGTGGATCAGGAGCCATTTCCCGTAGCGGAAACACAATTCAAGAATATCGTCGAGTTGCAGCAGCCTGCGATGGAAACTACTAGCGGACGCGACGTACCATCAGGCAGACATTTTCAAGACGCATCTTGTTGTTCACCTGCTGATATAAACACACTGTTTGGTGGAGCGCGAGTACACACAGCACTACCTGGAAGTGGAATGGTAGAGAAGTCAACAGGCTCGTCGTCGCTTCGTGCGCGTCTCGTAACTCCCACAGCGTCAATCCCAATATTACCGGAGATGAATGCCACAGCCACTTTTTCTACCTTATCTTCAAGCGGGTTCATGATGAGTGCCGCAGCCGTACGTGCACCTCTACCTAGTATAGTGCGGGAGGAATGGGAAGAGATCCTCGACTGCCCCACAGCGGCGGAAATTGACAGTCTTCAGGAGATTGAGTCTGATGTTTTGGAGGCCCGCTTCGGAGGGGTTGACGAGTTCGCTCCGACGGAGGTCAGAGCCGTGGCTGTGCGTCACGAATACATAGTAAGGGAGCGACCGAGTGCAGATTTGCTGGCGTTTTTTAGTCACAGCGAAGAGGACAGACTTGATATGGTAGGAGAAGAGAGCCAACTTTTAGTCCTCCCTGGTTTTCGGTTCTCCTTTGCCGTAGCAGCTGCACCATCGAGCCGAGGTAGCTCCTTCTTGCGCGAGGCCTCGCAAGGCAGCGAACATCAACAGCATTTATGCCATTTTCAAATCATGGTGTTTGTTTTTTATGTTCCCTCCCTTCCCTTTGATCCTGATAGTAGCATGGTGGATGCTCCTCAGGCATCTTGCTGATGAGTCGGTGTAGAGTTCTGATTTACTTAGACAATTATTGAGAATAAATCCGTTGCAATACAACTCTAGTAGTACTAGTCAGATGTCTCATAGGTGCTTCTCTAGGTGTATCTTGGAGGCAATCATTATAGGGAGGCATGATGATCGTATAGATACAACTCGCTCTAAACAAGCTGCCTGGAGACCAACACGCTTCCATCTCCGGCGTCGTAAAGTCGACGCGCATAAGCGTGACCGTAGTCGACATCGACCTGGAAAGCGTACCGATCCGAGATCTTGAGCGCATTATCGGAGCACTGCCGCCAATTGTTTTCGCTGCCTTCCGGTTTTTGGCATTATTTCTGAAGCGAACCGGTTTGCTGCGTCGTGAAAAAGTCATGGTTTTAAGGCCTCACTTGATCCATCTTTTAGAAGCCCATCTCTGCGCTCTTTTCAAGTAGAAAAACGGACATCATAGGTGAGGGCGGAAAAGATGGATTGATGTAGTGAGTTCTAATCGCGAGAGAGGAGACCAGCAATAGCACGAGAGATGAACTTGTTGGGGCAGGTGTGGAGCAGAATGCATTAAAGAAGGAGATGACAGAAGGAAGCATCGGCCTGGAAGAAGCAACCGCACTGTGGTTTCTGAGGTCACGGTTTACGCTAGAAAGGGTGTGGTCCATAGCTCTGCTCGAAGTAACGGCCTTAGGCGAACTGTTGACGCTCTTGCTCGCATCGTTGGAGGAATTGCTGGGTCTACGACTCGAGCGGACGGATCTAGCACTAGAATTCTCAGAACTTGTGACTACAACCGCTGAAGAAGGTGGTGGATCGCAGCAACTACGAGAAGGACAGCAACACGGAAGATATCAACATTACTGCGACCACCAGGTAATGGCTCGGCCGCAGGATATTACCTCTGCACAACCTTGTCTCTACAACCCCTTTTTTCCTCTGCAAATCAATGGCAGTACTTCTACAGGAGACGCATTCGAGCAGCAGTACCATGTTGAGCAGCAGTACCATGCAACACCCTACCCAACGGTGATAGCTCTGACACCGACGGCTCTGGGAGCAGGATTTGGGTTTCCTAAATTTGGGTTTCCTAGTACGAGCCCCCATACGAGTCCAAATGCAACTGCTGGGGTTTTAGGCTTGCAACATCCTCCATATTAAGGCTCAGTTTGCAATTCATTTCTAGCAGGTTTTTTCGCTTTTTTCTTCTTAGGATTCATTGGGAGAAATGCAGGCAAGAAATGAACTCTTTTGAGCTCTAACCATATCTGCAAGAATACCCTCCACAAGATTTTTCCGCACAAGAATCTTCTTCAGGGACCCACTATTTCGATATCGCGTCGCCGGTCGGTGCATTCGCGTCCAATATGGATAATCTTGATAGCAGCTGCAAAAGAATCTATGGAGGCCCGCGGTTTCCATATGACCGAACGTTACGGTTTTCCACATTGCATCCTGCACTTGCATCCTCGGCCGTTTTTCAAGTGAAAAATGGGCAAATGATGTTCGGAAGAATGCAATGCGGCAACCTCTAAGAACGTCAGAAAAAGCGACATCCTCGTCGATGCTGCAGTCCTACGCTAATAATAGCTAAGGAACCTACGTGAAATCAATCAACAGTGTCTAAGCGTAGCCTTATTGTCGTAGTTGTGAACGTTCTATAGGGAAAACAATACAAAGTACCAACTTGACTCTACACTAAAGAAATGAATTAAAAAGTTGGTAGAACATATCTTCAATCTTCATGGTGCGCACACCTACTAGAATGACACTTCTTCATCTGCTAGCTCTACTTCATACAATTTGAAGCAGAATTCGTGATGTCTGCGTTTACTTGCAGGGTTCTTGCCTTAAATCTAATCTAGCAATGAAGCAGGAGCTAACACGTCATGGGTTCCGCAGGGACTGCATACTAGTGCGCAGTTTTATAACCAACGACTAGTACTACCACTAGATCGTCTACTTGAACCGTCTATGCAAACGAGACCACAGCAGCAGCAGGAGGAGCGACATGATTCGCAAAGAAGCCGTCTTGCAGCAAGATCGCCAAGTAGGCGACATGTGAGTCGTACTCCGAGTCCCAACCCGCACTATTCTCCCTACCTGTCTCGCAGCACTACAGACCCTCTGGCACAGACAATGGTGCAGCCAGCACACTCGACGGCACTAGTACAGGACAATGTTGCTGATGTGCAAGTGCAAGGAGGCCAAGAACTTGAACTTGTAGGAAGGCATAGACCAGACAACGAGGTCATAGGAGTCGGTTCTCCCGATAGAAGCGACGGCTATGCTCCGGACGAAGAGAACGACGCGTTCGCGCCACCATCTCGGAGACGCCACAGCAGCCTTCCGCCACCACCTAGGAGCACAAAACTGCTGGAGGATGCTGATCATGGGAGAACACTTGCTGAACGTGCAAATTTAGCTTCTGTTGTTGCAATAGAAAACGCTTTTAGTTAAGGGTTCCGGGAATCCATCTTCAGAAACATCTTGGGGCACGCCTCCAGTAAGGGAAAAACAGACCCAAGAGGACTCTCTAGATGGATTTCGGAAAGATCTAATTTAGGCAACAGCGTGGCAACGACCCGAAACCTTTACTAGAGCCAAAGAGTAGTGGTCGTGGTCACCTCAGCATCGAGCCTATGCGCACGCGCAGTCCCTCGCCTGGTGAGCCAGCACCTGGCGCTCGTGTGGTTTACCCTCCGATGTTGCTATCCCCGATAGGTGGTAACAACTTTGCAGCAACAGGGGAAGATCAAGGCGGGGTAGCATCGGAAGAATCAACATCAACACCCCAACAAAGAGATGGTTCGACGCTTTCTGGGAACATTGCGTTCGACTTCTCGCAATCGGTCGTACCACCTAACATGGGACCGGATGGACCTGGAGTCAATTTAAGAAAGGCAAAAGATTTGCAAGTCACTCTCTTTTCTACTCATTCTTTTCATCTAGTCTACTCACACGCTTCTACTCAATTAGCTCAGTTTCAGTCAGGACAACTACCTACCTCGTACAAGGTTCTTAGAACGATCAAGCCACAAACGCTAGCAGGATAATATCTACGTACCCGTTACAAACAACTTCTAAGATGTGTGGCCCTCTTTTGGAGCAGGAGGTGGAAAATCGAAATCCCGGATCTGCAAGCGAGCGTTGAGGCCGTGGCTGCAATGCAGCTGCGTTTAGCGTCCAACCCTGACGATCTCGCCGCGCTTTTGTGACGATCGAAGGGTGCAGTCGTCAGGTTTAATAGAGGCACTCGATCTTAAATTTAATGAGGATGTTTTTGTCATTGGACTACTACTAGTCCTAGCAGTTGTCGAGATAGTCTCGTTATAGTAGGACACGATTCATCGCCCTCTATGTTTTTTTCTACTTAAATGACCGATGATTATGCACTGTCTTGATAGATTTCAAAGAAACTGCAAACTAGTTCAATGTGGTTCCTGTGCTGTGCATATCAAAAATGTTCTTAATATGATGTTCTTCTTTCAGAGTTTGTATTTCTCTATGCTGGTGTGTCGTAGGTTTAATAGGGTTCTCACAGGGAGTCACCAGCTGATTCTCCTAGAAGTTGCAGGAAATGTAATGAAGTTATAGCTAGTGCGCAAAGAAAGAACAATGAAGACAACTTCCGAGTATGTGCATGAAGACAACTTCCGAGTATGTGCCAAAGCAGCACATCGACCGGGAGTGTTGTAGGTGGAATCAAAAAAATAACGCATGCAGCGGGAGTATGAGACGAGAATATAGACCTAGGTAACAAAAAAATTGCAGCCGCGTGAAGGAATTCAGCGGGAGACAATGGCCCAAGCCCAATTTAAGTCATTTCTTGCCAGGAAAATTATCGTGATTACCAATCTATCAGTTTCAGGAACTTCTCATGATTTTCGTAGTAGTATGTAGCGTTCCTTCTCCAATGCTAGGAGGTTGTTGTGTTGTGGCGCTTGAGTAGCCTCATACGTCCATCTGTGTTATAGATGAACGCTATCCTATGTTATCGATCTTAACGTCATGAATATTATTGAACTCCCCAGGACATTATCGAGAGGTGCGCCCCGGGTAGGAGGCGGAAAGAGGGAACCATCGTGCGGGGCGGCGGTGGCGCAAACGCCACCGGGCTCCCCGGTTGAAAGTAACGCGAAAGCGCCCGGGCTGTTGCTTGTGTGTTGGTGTTCGGTTCTTGTGTGTGTCTACGTCTAGCCCGTTCAGAATGATCCCGAGCACCGCCCAAACGCCTGGCGGCTCTTTCTACGGTCACACGGGTGCCGTGGGTGTTCTACCGCTTTCAGCTGCTTGCCGTTTGTTGGTTGTCGTGGTTTTCGTGCTTACCTTGTCCAGAATCATGATCCGGAGCACTACCCAAACGCCTGACGGGTTTACCGTTGCGCGGGTGGGTCTGGTTTTTCACACTTCTCGGCCGTCGCTTAGTTGCTTGGCCGTCTGCTTTTTTGTATGTTGTTCAGAGTTCAGCTCTGGCCTTGCTTCCAGCTTCGAGCTTTCAAGCGGCTCCCTCTGGGCTTTCGATTCAGCTCCGAGCTTTCAGCCTTGGCCCTTCGACTTTGGGCCTTCAGCTTTGGGCTGTCAGGTGTGGGCTTTCAGCTTGACACTTTAAGGCTCAGGGCTAACCAATTCCCGTGCCTCTTTCAATTCTTTCAGTTTGTTAATTCAGGCTCTGGGGGCTTTGGTTTTATATTATCGTGTAGATTTTGAATGGATTTAGTGCCCATCTGCGTGAAGTCAGGGCTAACCCCTTCCCGCGCCTTCCTTTCTTTCAATTTTTTGGCTTCGAATTCTAGACCTATAAGCTTCGGCCCTATCGCGAAGGTTTTAGCTTCACTTTCTTTCAAACGCATCTGCGTGAGGTCAAGCCTAACCAATTCCCAAGCCTCGCGCGCAGGCTCATAAGCTTGCAAGCCCATAAGCTGGGCATAAGTGCGGGCGCCGATGCTGGTGGTGATGGGGGTGGAGGTGATGCAGGCCCGCCGATTGGGTGGGGTGGGGTGCGTAGGCTCCTAAGTTCACAGGCGCAGGCCCATAGGGAAAAGCTGGGAAGAGCTGGGAAAAGTTGGGGAAAGTGAGGAAGAGGTGGAAGAAGTTCGGGAAAGCTGGAAGGAGTTACAGTTAGGGAAAGCCGAAAGGAGACTCGGGGAAGCTGGAAGAAGTTAGGGAGAGCTGGAAGGAGTTAGGGAAAGCCGGAAGAAGCTAAGTTGGGAAGAGTTGGGAAAAGTTGGGGAGAGAGAGCCGGGAAAAGTTGGGAAGAGTCGGGAAAAGTTGGGAAAAGCTGGGAAAAGTTGGAAGAAGTTGGAAAAAGCTGGAGAAAGCTGGAAAAAGTTGGGAAAAGTTGGAAAAAGCTGGGAAAAGTTGAGAAAAGTGGGGGAAAGCTGGAAGAAGTTGAGGAAAGCTGGAAGGAGCTGGGGAAAGCTCAGCGGTAAGAAGTTAGGGAAAGCTGGAAGAAACTTGAAAAGTTGGAAAAGTTCGGGAAAGCTGGGAAAAGCTGGGAAGAGTTGGGGAGAGTTGGGGAGAGTTGGGAAAAGCTGGGAGAAGTTGGGAAGAGTCGGGAAAAGCCGGGAGAAGTCGGAAAAAGTTGGGAAAAGTTGGAAAAAGTTGGGAAATGTTGGAAAGAGTTGGGGAAAGTTGGAAAAAGCTGGGAAAAGTTGGGAAAAGTTCGGGAAAGCCGTAAGAAGACTAGGGAAAGCCGTAGGAAGACTGGGGAAAGCTGGAGGAAGTTAGGGAAAGCCGGAAGAAGCTAAAGAAAGCTGGGGAGAGCTTGAGGAGGTGGGGGAAGTTGGGAGAAGCTGGGAGAAGTTGAGAAGAGTTCGAGGGAGTTGGGAAGAGTCGGGAGGAGTCGGGAAAAGTTGGAAAAAGTTGGGAAAAGTTCGGGAAAGCCGTGAGAAGACTAGGGAAAGCCGTGAGAAGACTGCGGAAAGTTAAGTTGGGAAAAGTGTTGGGAAAAGTTGGGAAGAGTTCGTTGGGAAGAGTCGGGAAAAGTTGGAAAAAGTTGGGAAAAGTTGGAAAAAGTTGGAAAAAGTTGGAAAAAGTTGGAAGAAGCTGGAAAAAGCTGGAAAAAGTTGGGAAAAGTTGGAAAAAGCTGGGAAAAGTTGGGAAAAGTGGGGGGAAGCTGGAAGGAGTTGAGGAGAGCTGGGAGAAGCTGGGGAAAGCTCAGCGGTAATAAGTTAGGGAACGCTGGAAGAAACTTGAAAAGTTAGGAAAAGCTGGGAAAAGTTCGGGAAAGCTGGGAAAAGCTGGGGAGGAGTTGGGAAAAGCTGGGAGAAGTTGGGACAAGTTGGGGAGAGCTGGGAAGAGTCGGGAAAAGTCGGGAAAAGTTGGAAAAAGTTGGAAAAAGTTGGAAAAAGTTGGAAAAAGCTGGAAAAAGTTGGGAGAAGTTGGGAAAAGTTGGAAAGAGCTGGGAAAAGTTTGGGAAAGCCGTAAGAAGACTAGGGAAAGCCGTAGGAAGACTGGGGAAAGCTGGAAGAAGTTAAAGAAAGCGGGGAAGAGCTTGAAAAGCGGGGGAAAGCTGGGAAGAGTCGGGAAAAGTTGGGGAATGTTGGAAAAAGCTGGAAAAAGGTGGGAAAAGTTGGAGAAAGGAGCTGGAAAAAGTTGGAGAAAGTTGGAAAAAGCTGGAAAAAGTTGGGAAAAGTTGGAAAAAGGTGGAAAAAGTTGGGAAAAGTTGGGAAAATTGGGGGAGAGCTGGGAAGTTGGGGAAAGCCGGGAGGAGTTAGAGGAAACTGGGAGAAGTTGGGGAAAGCTGTAAGAAGTTAGGGAAAGCTGGCAGAAGCTTGAAAAGCTTGCAAGAGCTGGGAAAAGTTGGAAAAGCTCGGAGGAGCTGGGAAGGGCTGGGAGAAGTTGGGAAAAGTTGCAAAGAGTTGGAAAAAGTTGGGAAAAGCTGGGGAAAGTTGGGAAAAGCTGGATAAAGTTTGACAAAGGTGAAAAAAGTTGGGAAAATTGGGGGAAAGCTGGAAGGAGTTAAGGAAGGCTGGGGAGGAGTTGGGGAAAGCTGTAAGAAGCGGGGGAGAGCTGTGAGGAGTTAGGGAGAGCTGGGAGAAACTTGAAAAGTTAGGAAAAGCTGGGAAGAGCTCGGAAAAGTTGGGAGAAGCTGGGAAAAGTTCGGAGAAGTTGGGGAAAGCTGGGAGAAGCTGGGAGAAGTTGGGAAAAGTTGGGAAAAGTTGGGAAAAGTTGGGAAAAGCTGGGAAAAGTTGGGAAGAGTTGGGGAGAGTTGGGAAGAGTTGGGAAAAGCTGGGGGAGAGAGCTGGGAAAAGTTGGAAGAAGTTGGAAGAAGCTGGAGAAAGCTGGGAAAAGTTGAGAAAAGTGGGGGAAAGCTGGAAGAAGTTGAGGGAGGCTGGAAGAAGCTGGGGAAAGCTCAGCGGTAAGAAGTTAGGGAGAGCTGGGAGAAGCTTGAAAAGTTGGGGAAAGTTGGAAAAGTTCGGGAAAGCTGGGAGAAGCTGGGAAGAGTTGGGAAAAGCTGGGAGAAGTTGGGAAGAGTTGGGAAGAGTCGGGAAAAGCCGGGAGAAGTCGGGAAAAGTTGGAAAAAGTTGGGAAAAGTTGGAAAGAGTTGGGGAAAGTTGGAAAAAGCTGGGAAAAGTTGGGAAAAGTTCGGGAAAGCCGTAAGAAGACTAGGGAGAGCCGTAGGAAGACTGGGGAAAGCTGGAAGAAGTTAGGGAAAGCTGGAAGAAGTTAGGGAAAGCTGGAAGAAGCTAAAGGAAGCCGGGGAGAGCTTGAGAAGCTGGGGAAAGTTGGGAAAAGTCGGGAGAAGCTGGGAGAAGTTGGGAAGAGTTAGGAAGAGTTCGAGAGAGTTGGGAAGAGTCGGGAAAAGTTGGAAAAAGTTCGGGAAAGCCGTGAGGAGACTGGGGAAAGCTGGAAGGAGTTAGGGAAAGCTGGAGGAACGGAAGTTAAGTCGGGAAGAGCTGGGAAAAGTTGGGAAGAGTCGGGAAAAGTTGGGAAAAGCGGGGAAAAAGTTGGAAAGAGCTGGAAAAAGTCGGGAAAAGTTGGAAAAAGCTGGGAAAAGTTGGGAAAAGTGGGGGGAAGCTGGAAGAAGCTGGGGAAAGCTCAGCGGTAATAAGTTAGGGAGCGCTGGAAGAAGCTTGAAAAGCTGGGAAAAGTGCGGGGAAGTTGGGGAAAGCTGGGAAGAGTTGGGAAAAGCTGGGAGAAGTTGGGAAGAGCTGGGAAGAGTTGGGGAGAGCTGGGAAGAGTTGGGAAGAGTTGGGAAAAGTCGGGAGAAGCCGGGAGAAGTCGGGAAAAGTTGGAAAAAGTTGGAAAAAGCTGGAAAAAGTTGGAAGAAGTTGGGAAAAGTTGGAAAAAGCTGGGAAAAGTTGGGAAAAGTTCGGGAAAGTCGTAAGAAGACTAGGGAAAGCCGTAGGAAGACCGGGGAAAGCTGGAAGAAGTTAAGGGAAGCTGGGAAGAGCTTGAAAAGCTGGGGAAAGTTGGGAAAAGCTGGGAAGAGCTGGGGAGAGTTGGGAAATGTTGGAAAAAGCTGGAAAAAGGTGGGAAAAGTTGGAAAAAGCTGGAAAAAGTTGGAAAAAGTTGGAAAAAGCTGGAAAAAGCTGGAAAAAGTTGGGAGAAGTTGGGAAGAGTTGGAAAAAGGTGGAAAAAGTTGGGAAAATTGGGGGGAAGCTGGGGGGCTGGGGAAAGCCGGGAGGAGTTAGGGGAAACTGGAAGGAGCTGGGGAAAGCTGTAAGAAGTTAGGGGAAGATGGGAGAAACTTGAAAAGCTTGCAAGAGCTGGGAAGAGTTGGAAAAGCTCGGAGAAGCTGGGAAGGGCTGGGAGAAGTTGGAAAGAGTTGGAAAAAGTTGGGAAAAGCTGGGAAAAGTTGGGGGAAGCTGGATAAAGTTGGACAAAGGTGGAAAAAGTTGGGAAAATTGGGGGAAAGCTGGAAGGAGTTAAGGAAGGCCGGAGGGAATTGGGGAAAGCTGTAAGAAGCTGGGGAAAGCTGTGAGAAGTTAGGGAGAGCTGGGAGGAACTTGAAAAGTTGGGAAAGGCTCGGAAAAGTTGGGAGAAGCTGGGAAAAGTTGGAAAAGTTCGGAGGAGCTGGGAAGAGTTGGGAAAAGCTGGGAGAAGCTGGGAAGAGTTGGGGAGAGTTGGGAAAAGCTGGGAAAAGTTGGGAAAAGTTGGGAGAAGCTGGGAGGAGTTGGGAAAAGCTGGGAAAAGTTGGGAAAAGTTGGGAAAAGCTGGGAAAAGCTGGGAAAAGCTGGGAAAAGCTGGGAAAAGCTGGGAAAAATTGGGAAAAATTGGGGAGAGCTGGGAGAAGTTCGGGAGAGTTGGGAAGAGTTCGAGAGAGTTGGGGAGAGCTGGGGAGAGTCGGGAAAAGTCGGGAGAAGTCGGGAAAAGTTGGGAAAAGTTCGGGGAAGCCGTAAGAAGACTAGGGAAAGTAAGCCGTAAGAAGACTGGGGAAAGCTGGGGGAAGACTGGGGAAAGCTGGAAGAAGTTATGGGAAGCTGGAAGGAGCTGGAAGAGCTGGGAAAAGTTGGGGAGAGTTGGGAAAAGCTGGGAAGAGTTGGGAAGAGTTGGGAAAAGCTGGGGAGAGAGAGCTGGGAAAAGTTGGGAAGAGTCGGGAAAAAGCTGGAAAAAGTTGGGAAAAGTGGGGGGAAGCTGGAAGAAGTTAAGGAAAGCTGGGAGAAGCTGGGGAAAGCTCAGCGGTGAGAAGTTAGGGAGAGCTGGAATAAGTTAGGGAAAGCCGGAAGAAGTTAGGGAAAGCCGGAAGAAGTTAAAGAAAGCGGGAAGAAACTTGAAAAGCTGGGGGAAGTTGGGAAAAGTTGGGGGAAGCTGGGAAAAGTTGGGAAGAGCTGGGAAGAGTTGGGAAGAGTTGGGGAGAGTTGGGAAGAGGTGGGAAGAGTTGGGAAGAGCTGGGAAGAGTTGGGAAGAGTTGGGAAGAGTTGGGAAGAGCTGGGGAGAGTTGGGGAGAGTCGGGGAGAGTCGGGAAAAGTTGGAAGAAGTTGGAAAAAGTTGGAAAAAGCTGGAAAAAGTTGGGGGAAGCTGTAAAAAGTTGGGAAAAGTTGGAAAAAGCTGGGGAAAGTTGGGGGAAGTGGGGGAAAGCTGGAAGAAGTTCAGGGAAGCTGGAAGGAGTTAGGGAAAGTTGGAAGGAGCTGGGGAAAGCTGTAAGGAGTTGGGGAAAGCTGGAAGAAGCTTGAAAGGTGAGGAAAAGTTGGGAAATGTTGGAAAAGTTGGGAAGAGTTGGCAAAAGCTGGCAAAAGCTGGGAGAAGTTGGGAAGAGCTGGGGAGAGTTGGGGAGAGTGAAAAAGCTGGGGAAAGTGGGGGAAAGCTGGGAGAAGTTGCGGAAAGCTGGGAGAAGTTGCGGAAAGCTGGGAGGAGTTAGGGAAAGCCGGAAGAAGCTGGGGAAAGCTGTAAGAAGTTAGGGAAAGCGGGAAGAAACTCGAAAAGCCGGGAAAAGTTGGAAGAGTTCGAAAAAGTTGGGAAGAGTTGAGAGAAGCTGGGAAAAGCTGGGAGAAGTTGGGAAGAGTTGGGAAGAGCTGGGGAGAGCTGGGGAGAGTTGGGAAGAGTTGGGAAAAGTTGGGAAAAGTTGGGAAAAGTTGGGAAAAGTTGGGAAAAGTTGGGGAGAGTTGGGAAGAGCTGGGAAAAGTTGGGAAGAGTTGGGAAGAGTTGGGAAGAGTTTGGAAAAGTTTGGAAAAGTTGGGAAAAGTTGGAAAAAGCTGGGAAAAGTTCGGAAAAGTTCGGAAAGTTGGGAAGGCTTGGAAGCTCATGAGTCAGAAGCGGAAGGCTGAGAGCTTGGGGGGGTGCTGTCGTTTCTGTCTTCTGCCGTCGTTGTTTTCGTGTGGTGTGTTGTGCTCTCTTTGCTTTTTTCGTGTGCTCTGTTTGCTTTGCTTTTTTCGCGGGTCGGTTGTGCTTTGCTTTTTTCGTGTGTTGTGCTTTGCTTTTTTTTTTGTGCTGTGCTTTGCTCTTTTCGCGTGTTGTGCTTTGCTTTTTTTTCCTGCTGTGCTTTGCTTTTTTTTCGTGCTGTGCTTTGCTTTTTTTTCGTGCTGTGCTTTGCTTTTTTTTTGTGCTGTGCTTTGCTTTTTTTTTGTGCTGTGCTGCAGTTTTTTTTTTTGGCCCGAAATGTTTAGTTTAGATATATATGCACGATAAATTTCTTTCACGGCCGAGAGGATTGATGTTGATGATTTCTATTTGTGTTGATTTTTGATACGTAGTTCGATAACTGGTGCATTACGTTTCTGCGCACTAGCTGTGTGAAACTTAAAAATTTCGAGTCTATTGTACAATCAGTTTAGAACTTCAACTTGATATCGGAATTATGTTGGTAGTATAGGCCTGCGCGCTGTTCTTGCAGTTTTGTAAACGATTGAAATCGGCAAATGGGTTTTTATAAGCATAAGTAAGATGAAAAAACTGAATTGACTAGAATAGCACAACTCGTCGTATTGTACACGAATGAAAATGCATAAGTCCTTTGTATTCAGTTTTTTCTACATGATCATGGAAAACACAAATTTACAAGACAATGCATGAATACATAGCGAGTTAGAATACTTTTTAGGTCATAGACATAAATGGTTGGGATTGAAAATCGGAACTATCATGTTCTTGCATGAAGCCATCAAAAAATAAATTTCGACTTGTTGTAGTTCCTTTTTTTTGTGTCATTTATTTTCGGAGAAGCTTACGTTGCCCGGAAGAAAACGCGACCATCATATCTCGCAAAAATAACTGAAGCAAAGATGAACTGTAGTTGCCTACCTGCACGAAACTAACCGAAAGGAAAGATTAGGAAAGAAAATGTTATCGGAGCCTGATGGCCACTGCCGTGTGAACTTCTGTGGAAGCCGACGGTTTTGCGTGACTGTGACTGAATGACTGTACGTTTCTGGTGTCATTTCTGACTTACCACTAGCCGAGAGCGAAACACACAGAGGCAAATATGAGGCGTCCTCTGTCTGTAAGATGTATGAAGAGACGTCGAGATCGGAACTGCTTGGAGCTTCTTACTTCTGTGCAGAATCACCGTGAGAGAAACATCTGGAAACGAGAGCACAAGATCTGTGCAGGAATAATACGCACGTTCAGCGGCTGTTGCTGTTCTTCAATCCCGACTGTGAGCGTGATTGCATGTCTGTCGTTGAGCGAGAGAGCGACTCCAATCTATAACTAAGTATCTATTTTCCCCTGTGTGACAGCACAATCTCTATATCTCTGAGGCTGAGACAGAGACGAGATCATCTTCGCGTGTGAGTTTGCGACCTAGTGATAATGAGTAGCATGATTACGCGCTTAGTGCTATCATTGATGATTACCTTCCCCAACGCAGGCAGTAACTTGAACTGTTTTGAGTTATATTGCACTACGCTCCCAAGAACTTTCTTTTTTATCGACAACAAATCAATGTTTACTGTAGTTGTCTATGTCCATCTCCATCTTGCTTTAGACGACATTTCTCGAAGTTTCCAAAATTTCCATGGCTCCTTTTTTACGCCTAGTTGTAACCACGGAGCATCCAAATCTGTCATTGTTTGTGTGCAGGCCGACAATTTATGTTCTTTTCGCTAAATAAATTTTCCTCCATCCTATGACTATATTTGAGTGTGTGAAGAAGATGTATCTCACTTCGTTGTTTGGTTCAACTTCGGACACTTGTTTTGCATGTCATCGTGGTTAAGTCATTTTATATCAAATGGTAAATGGAACTGGTGACTATGACAAACATGGTCGAACTATTGACCTCCATCATCGACGTAGTCTCTCACCAATCAAATACAAATCCCACACCTCTTTTACCTTGATGTTGATTGTTGAGAAGAGCAGCAGGCATCGACAGGCTACGAAGTGGAGTAAAGACGCGTGCTGATTGCCGGATCGAGCTGCTTATATAGAATATACGCCTCCTCCAAGGGCAACCAGAAGGCCTCAAGATGCCGATGAAGATCCGACATCAAGCTTCAAAGCCCAGGATCGTGGGGGCACCCTTCGGTCCCGCACAGAGACTTTTTATGTGGATGGTGTATCTGATGGTGTGGCACAGTAGTCTATACTGGATAATATTGGTTGAGGCAAGCGGGGACTGTCAAGGATCGATGTTCTATTGCCACGTAACTGATGCCTACGAGACGGACTGCACGGTCTGCGGCGACTACAATGTGGCCGATTTGGGCACCAACAAATGCATCAAAAGACAGGTACTTACAAGAATTGATGTGTTGTCGTGTTGTCATCCTTTTTTCGACATTGTTCTTGTGAATGTCATGTTCTTGTCTCGCTGGGTAGAAATTTCACAACTGCGTATTGAGTAGACAAACTAAAGCTCCTAAAAAGATTAATTTTGGAATTTCACCAGAACATAAACTTTTCCTTACATCATGCTCCTGTTCATACACACAAACGACATGTTGATGTTGACGCAGATGTTTTCTAGCGATTACACGGTGAACGACTTTTTTGGGCTGCTAATTTGGTTCCTGTCTAGTGGGTTGGCAATGGCTTCTGGCGCAGGCGGCGGTGGCATTTACGTCCCCCTTGGGATGCTCCTCCTGCGATTCGGCGCAAAAACCGCTACAGGTTTGTCGCAGGCTAGCATTTTCGGAAGCAGTTTGGGCGGATTGTTCATCAACTTGCGACAGCGCCACCCAATTGCGAACAGACCTGTGATAGACTTGGATATGGCTCTATTTTTAGCGCCGATGGAGATGGCGGGTGCAGTGTTGGGCGTTCTGATTCAGCAACCTCTGCCTGACTGGTCTGTGATCTTGATAATGGCGGTCGTCCTCTCTTACACCTCGTATTTGACCCTGAACAAGGGGTTCACTCAGCGAGAAAAGGAGAAGAAAGCCATAACGCTGAACAAGGCGAGTCTTCAAGAAAAGGACCAAGTTGTAGATGCTGTTGTTCTTGGGGATCATATTGAACAAGGCAATCTCAACGACACGGGTACTAGGGATATTGAACAAGGCAACGGCATTTGTTCTGCGTCACTTGATGGAAAGGAAGCAACACAAGATGGAATAGAGCATGCTGCGAACAAGAGTAGTTTTAGGAAAGAACCCGATGGCGATGATGTTGATACAAGTGCGGCACGACCAACAGACCTGGGACAAGTTCAAGTCGAGCTGTCTGATGCAACCGAAGGCCAGCACAATTTCTTGTCAATTTCAAAAGATGAAAAGCCCATAATTCCTGCGACTAGCTTCAAGCCTGATTCTTCGGAGACAACCACGCCAAGCTCTACTCAGCGAAGCCTCAATGGTACGACAGAACCGTGGGTGATCTCTGCTCAAGCTGTGGACAAGAACCAAGAAAATATAGGTGCAACCAAACTCGAACTCCAGGAGACCACAGCAGAAGTTCCAAAGGATGCAGCAGCCATTATTATGGGGGCTTTGGAAGAGGGCTTGCCCTCTTACCTTCGGAGGAGAGCGAACCAGCAAATGTACACGCCAGACGAATGGATACACATGGATGCGAAAGTACCGCAAAGGCAGTGGGGCTATCTCATCGGACTATGCCTCTTTCTGGTACTGATGTAGTAGCTCTACTTGTTTTCCTTTTTGTCACGATGTTGACAGTTTCGATTTGCTTATTGATGTATTTTTGTTATTTATACTGGAGTATTTCTATAGGGTTAGCAGTTGTCTGTATGTGTATCCATATTTAGCTTGTTGATCCATCTTCCTTGAACTTCTGTAAAAATTAGTGCCTAGTCCACCTTCAGATGATCTCCTATTTCAGATGTTGATGCTTCTTCTTCGCGGCGGCAAGGGTGTCGAGAGTATGCTCAAGGACGCGGTTCCTGTCTGCGGTGCCGGGTACTGGATCCTGACTTGCCTCTCGTTTCTGGGCTTGTTTCTCTTTGGACTGGTCATGGCGCGGCGAGCAGTGCATAAGAGCATCCGCAAGCAGGCGGTTGGCTATAAATTTGTCGATGGTGACGTGCTGTGGACGTGGCGCGGTGCTGGTTTCTACGCTTAAGGCTCCACAAAACCCAACCCCACGTGGATCCTGTTAAAGCACTGCGCTGGTGGTGCCTCGCGCTGTTGTATTCAGGCCAGTACTTCTGAGAGGCAAGTTCTTTGACGGGATATATTCACGGGATGGGTTAAGGGTAGCTCTAATTCGCCTTCTGGACCTTCATTGCTGGGATTATTGCGGGTCTGATCGGCATCGGCGGCGGAATGGTTCTAGGACCTCTGATGCTGCAGATGGGGCTCTTGCCGCAGGTCTCCACCGCAACGACCGCAACTTTGATCGTACTCACGTCAGCGTCCGCCGCCTTCATGTTCATCACGAGTGGGTTGGTGCCCCTGTCCTACGCCGCTACGTTTTTCGTCGTCTCCTTTCTCGGCGCTTACCTGGGGAAGGCGAAGATAGATCGCTACGTGAAGGAACGGAACGCAACTTCGATCCTAATCTTCATCCTCGCATTCATCATTGCCTCCGCAACAATCATGATCTCGGTCGCAGGCGTCTCTCGCTATAGCGGTCAGGACTGGTGCCTGGAATCCGCACAACCCCTGTGCAAAGGCTAGTGGAGAGCGTACAGCCTTGGTGCAGTGGATAGCGACTGGAGACGCCTTTGTACTTGGAGAGCCTTTCTGCAAAGGCAAGTTCTAGTTCTTGTTCTAGTTCTTCCATAATGCTACTCTTCAATGATTTAACGTAACGCTTGGTTGACCTGTATTTAGAAGTAGGTCCATAAAAGGAGTCTGCACAGGACATACATTGGAGCCAAAGAGCAGCAACATGAACATATGTACCTTATCAAATTGGAAAACGCACCGGGCTGCAAGACTTTGGATGAATTGAGTCGTTACAAATATCGGGGATGTAGTAGCGCTAACAAAAAAGCTTAAAGCATGCCATAAGGTTGCGTATCTGCAGAACTGTGGATGATAGCTACGGATGTTCAGAGAGGATGGGACAATACGCTTGTTGTTCATGGCAATACCTGTTTCAGCTACAATATCGGTTCTAGGATCGTGCTGTGCCTGTCGTCGAGCGACTAGGAATCGGCATGAAAAACAAGACAATTGAAACTGTCGGTGCCCACGAGTGAATCTGTCGTCAATCAGCTACGTAGTTGTAAGAGTAGTACAGTATCTTCAAAAAACAGATAGTGTTAATCATAATCGCTTTTAATCCTATAAGATTAGTGTGAAAAGTCTCTGTAAAGATAAGTATGTAGTAAGGCTAATGAATCTACAAGTTGGTATCTTCAATCTTTGTGTATAAATTTGTCCAGACTCATAGGATATACAAATGATCCCAATCATCTATCATCTCGCACTTTTGTAATCCCTCCCTAAAAACGATGCCAGGTCCTCGTAGTGGTTATAATCTTCACTTTACACGCGGCCTTCTTGCGCGGATTTTTTGCCTTGTGTGGTTGCTTGCGTTGTCCGCAGTGGCAAAGAAAGGTGAATGTGCTGGGTCATTGTACCTCTGCGACTCATCCGCGGAGCTCAAACCCGACTGCTCAAGCTGTGGTGATCACTCGGTGGCAGACCAAAACACGAAAAAGTGCATCAAAAGAGAGGCATTTCCTTCTTATTGATGGTTTTTTCATCAAGTAGTGAGTCGTAGTATGTCTTATTCCATCTTATTGATGGTTTTTTCATCAAGTAGCTAGTGAGTCGTAGTATGTCCTATTACAGATGATCATGTGCGTATTTTGCGGTGGTGTCGGAAGTGAGTTGGTTTTTTTAGGTAGTCCTATGCTTCGCAGACCGACATTTGTAGAGGACGTAATCCATCACGTGTCCCACAGGATACAACTACAACACGACAGGACTGGCAAAAAAGATCTGAATCTAGCTTCATTAGGTATTCTCCGCGGATTATGCTATCCACGACACTGTGGCCTTGCTGATATGGTTCTTCGGGGCTGGTCTCGCCATGGCTGCTGGCGTCGGGGGCGGTGGGATATTTGTACCACTAGGTATCCTGCTCTTGAGGTTCGGGGCAAAGACGGCAACCGGACTGTCCCAGGCAAGCATTTTCGGCGCTGCGTGTGGGGGCTTGGTGATTAATCTGCAGAATCGACACCCAATAGCCGATCGACCCTTGATAGACCTCGATATGCTATGCTGAACGGAAAGATTAAGTAGAAGGAGAGTTGCCAGTAGAAGGTGCCTCTGGTACTAGAGGAGAGTGAACAAAGTGTAGGAATTCGGACGCAGTCTCTCCACAACACGACGTCACCTATAATCTTGCTCGTGACGCCCTACCGTCTTCAACGTCCTGAAGTCTGATTGTTTTAAGTACACCGTTTTAAGTACACCGATATCGAAGAACGCTTCTGGTGCAAAATAAGAATCACAATACAAGAGGAACTCATGAATGATTCCAGAAATCAAATTTTATATATAAAGAAAGCTTTCCTGCTCTTCAACCTTCATGCAAAGCTCTCTTTTTAGCACCCATGGAGATGGCTGGAGCTGTCCTTGGGGTGCTGGTGCAGCAGGTCTTACCTGACCACACAGTCATCCTCATCATGGCTCTGATCCTCAGCAACACCGCTTACCTCACTTTTCAGAAAGGTACTCTCTGTTGCAACTACTAGTTGAGTCCGTTGTAAATCTGAATCTACCTATTTATTTGACGTATTTTTACTTATTTAGACGTTGATTGTCTTAAGAAGAGAAAGAGTTTCTTGAATTCTAAGGCCAATGAGATTATTTAGACGTTGATTTATGCACTGGAGGAGCTTGCGGGGGAAGTGATTATACTAACTGGTGAGTTAACTTAGGTGAGAGAAAAGAAACGCTCTCTGGAAGGTTCCTGGACGACAGTCGACAAAAAATCCTCCCAGGGGCCAACCAAGCCTAGTCACAAAAAATGACGACTGCCACGCCACTACACGTCAGCCAAGCAGAAATGGAGCACGACAACGACCGCCGCGAGCTCCATGACGCGGTCTGCAATTTCGTCAAACGGGTCCGAGCACAACTACACTTCGAGACCTACGGCCAAAAGCTACCACTCGAGTGGGAACAACTGATAGCTGCCGAGAAGCTACAGCCGGCAGCGGTAGCCAAACGAAGAAAACAAGCCACCGCCTTGTTCAGACGTCTGAAGACGCAGACGGAGCAAGCAAATGCAGACTTGATAAACGCTACGGCGCCAGAGCACCTAAAAAGGGTGCTACAGACAACCAAAACAAGGAACGTCATCGCAATGAGAAAACTCATCGCATTGACGGGCCATCCGGACACGTCGCTACCGGACGACATCCTCCATGGATTTCAAACAATAGGGGAGTACAAGAGTACTGGCCTTTGGAAGGCAGACGTCAATGCCGCGGAGGCAAAGGACCTCAAAGAATTCTATAGCACCGCGGTAAAAATCCGGGATGCGCCTCCGAAGGGTTTCCCAGAGGAAGCCCTTCGGCAAGTCCTCAAAAACATTGAGGCAGACGTCCAGCTGGGCAGATACAAAGAGATCAATCCAGAGGACCTCAAGGTCATGCCGGCGTACGCCTTCCCAAAGGTCGAACCAGAGAAGGTTCGCGTGATAATCGACGAGCGGTGGAAAAACGACTTCTCAAAAATGTCGGAAAAGGTGAGGCTCCACGGGACGCGAACGGTCCTGGAGATTGTAAAAAGCTACATGGCGCCTGCAGGCGCAGAGGGCCTCACCCTCCACGCACCGGTGACACAGTTCACCACGGATATCTGCGGCCAGGTGGCTAAAGAGGTCGCAGACTTCCGCGCAAAAACAAGCGCAAGCGAAGCCACAACCACCGACGAGCACCGCCAACTCGGCGAGCAGGTGAGGCTCCTCAACGAGGAGAGGATGAAGACCCGCCCGGCAGGTAGAAAGCCTTGCATCGCACTCCGAGACTGGAGCAAGGCCTACTACCAGGTAGGGGTAAAACACCCGGAGGAAAACCCGGTTGGAGTCTGGGACGACACCCAGGGGCGCTACCGCATGTTCCTCGCGGCGATACTGAACATGGGGAACAAGTTCAGCGTCAGCAGCTGGTGTAGAGTGGCGGAGCTGGTCATGAAAATAATGGCCACGCTCGGGCACACAGTAGTGCCAATCTACATCGACGACGCCATCATCCTCAGCCTCGAAGAGGGAGCGGATGAGGCAATAGAGGCATACGAAGCTCTCTGCGACTGCCTGGGGCTGGAGCTCGCGACAAAAGCGACAGCACAGCAGGACTCGAGAAAGAGCCCTATTGTGCGCATACTGGGCCTCCACTACGACACAAGCCCAAAAACGGGAATTGATGTTGTGGTGCCAGACAACATGCTCCAGCAGGTCGCGGAAGTCGCAAACGAGCTCCGGCAGAAAGTGAACACAGGACAGTTGGACAAAAAGGTGGTCCAGCGACTGCTCGGACTGGCAAACTTCATCACCGTGTCCGCGGCAAACAGAGCCGGAAACGAGATCATGAGATCTCTTTACGCATGGACAGAAGACGCCACCTTCGACAAGTTGGTGAAGCAGCGGTGGCAACGGAGAGCCCTCCTGCGCTCCACTGCGGCCATCGAGAAGATGGTCCACAAGGTGAACAGGCTCAGACTCAGGCTAGAACAAATCGTGAAGCCTCTGAGCTTCCTGTTCACGGACGCGTCAACAGATGGCGGGCCGAACGGCGAGCCAACGCTAGGATACGTCATGATCCACCACAGCGGGAAGACCCTCATCCAAATGCAGCCATTAACGGATGGCCGATGGGCCACCGCCAGGATAGAGGTACTGGAGGCGGCCGCGGTGGGCCTCGCCGCAAAGCAACTACCGAGTTGGACCAGCAACTCCGACCTCGTAGTGCTGATCGACAACACGCCAGTACTCTACAACTTCATCAAATGTAGTGGCAAATCCGCGGTGGTGGCAAACACCGCAGTAGACGTAGTCAATCACTGGTACGACAACAATGTCAAACCGTGGTACGTCTACATAAAATCCGAATGGAACCTGGCGGACTACATGACCAGACACGGCAAGCACAAACTGTTCATCAACACCATCCCACGGCTGCAGACGGTTCAGCAGTCCACTGGTGCCCGACTATGGCTGGCTGAACTATGTGAACGCCTGCCGGCCCCTGCTGTCGCTGTCGCTCCGGGAGTTCGTCCCTCCCACGGGAGCGACAAGCGCGGTGGAGGGCGGCAGCCGCCCCGGCACACCACCGACGCGGGCGCTGGCCGGCGGGAGGTCCTGACGCAAACCTGTGCAAAGGCCGGCACACGTCCCCGTAACCCCTCGACGGCGGACGCGAGTCTCAGACCGCCGACTCAAGTCCGCACCAGGAAGCCGGAGCCTGGTCGGGGTCTCCGGAGGAAGGTGCCGGTGAGGAAAGGATAAGGGCTCGGAGCGGTCCATTCACCGCTGGCACGTGTCAAACCGAGACCAGAGGTTGAGCGGGAGCTCAAGCCCCGGTAGTAGGCCGACAGCGCGGGCTGGAGGTTCAAAGTGACCTTGTCCCCCAGCGGGGGGACAACGCCTGCTACTGCCGAGGGATTAGCCGCGCACCCGGGCCAAAGCGCCCCGGACCAAAGCGTCCGACGCGAAGAGCGAGCACCCGAAACCTCGCGGGTGCCGGTTGATTGACTCGTAGGGCGACGGTGCACGAACACCGGCCGAGCCGCGAGAGGGGTTACGACACCCGGACGTTGGTGTGCAACTCTCTCTGGGGAGGTAAAGGCCTCCCGCCACGCTCCGTGGCAAATTTATGGGCCGTAGGTGCAACGACCGGCGCCGGCAAAGACCTGGGTCTGCCGAGCCAGCCTACCGTGCTGCCACAGCACTAAAAAGTATAACTCACCAGTAGATTTAGGATCCCCGGGGGTTAAGTCTCCAGTTTGTATATTGAACAAATCTTCACGTGCGGTGACAGAACCTCCTTTCGTACATCCATGAAACAGCCCTGAAACAGAGACAAAAAGAGAAGGATGGGAGAGCAAGCACGGGCGGCCTAGGCGGAGGAAATTCAGAGCAGCTGTCTTCGTCGAATAAGGAACGAGCGGAACTAGGCGATGTTGTTTTGATAACGACAACAGCTAAGGCTACAGTTTATCACTATCCCCTGTTAACTATGCTGAATGAACGGCGGATGTAGAAGTTCATCTTTGCTACTGTTCGCACTGAATGGAGGCGAAGCTAAGGGAGGGTAAATCACTCACCCTCACCCAGCCAGAGATAGTGAAAAACTACCTTTAAAGCATCGCCTTCACAGTCGACAGAGACTCCCCCACCGGCTGTGTCCGAAGAGAGCACGAACCAGGACCACGCTGTAGATTAAGAATAGTTCTCCACATCGCATGAATTGAACATTGCGTGCCCGTTACCACGTACATATTGCATCCTTCCTGTCAGTACGCATCTTGTTTACCACATACGGAAGATTGAATCTCAACATCACGTGAAGTACAGATAGCATCCCCGACTAGTAGAGAGATCTCTACTACCTAGCATAGAGGACCTAGTAGCGATACACATTGAAAATGAGCATCCTCTACGACTACTATTTTCCTACTTGGTCTGCTGGTGGTGTTTTATAGACCAATGTCGCGGATGCAACAAGGAAGGAACAACAAAATGGTATGATTTAACCTCTAAGACCAGCACAAACTAAAACCCGCGGAAGCTGGGGAGTGGCTCTTAGTGCAGCAAGGACAAGTTAAGGGTACGCCTTAGGTGTTAGCGTTTCTTTTTTTCATAAACTCTAATCCCTTCAGACAATTTCTATTGCCATGATTAGCTCTGCTTTTCTTAAGGGGAAAGGCAAAAGCAACTAAGGGGCACAGCTAAGTAGATAAACGAAGACCACGAAAACCCTGTCTCTTCGAGGTAGTATTCTAAACCAGAAGGAGGAGTAACTTCTGCACTAGACGCATCACACTCTGGACCAAGCACCTTCAGCTTAGCTGCGGAAGGTGAGCACCGAAGTTCCCCATCGAATTCACCAAGTAGGAACACAGATGACGGTGATGACGACAAGGATGTGGAAGCTTTAGATTAAGGTCAGCTTTTATCCATCTTTCTCGGCATCTTGGTGCCCTTTTCCCTTGTATTCCCATGAGATACAAGGGAAAAGGGGCCAAGCTGAGGGACCCGGGATGCAGTCTAGCCTACGCTAACTAGAGACGCGGCTAACAGAAATGGAAGCATCCTCGCCGAAATGCATCAGACGGAATTCGAGGACTTCCACGGTGTATTCCTCCATGGAGTGGTTAGAAAAGAGCGCGGCGCAACCCAAGAAGCAATACGCTTACCTTGCAGGATTGTGGCTGTTTCTGGTATTGTAGTTTCTTTTGGTAAGTGGTAGCTCTGTATCCACAATGTAGATTTTGGTAAGTGGTAGCTCTGTATCCACAATGGAAATTTTGATAAGTGGTGAGCGATGAGCGTGAGAGAGCACAATACAGCTGTAGCCCACGACCTCTTGGTGCTGTACTTGCTCAAAGATCAGGGACAACGACGGACAACATCTCTCCTCTATATAAGTGGTAGCTCTGTATCCACAATGTAAATTTTTCCAAGAATAGCTAAAAAATCATATCAGCTGACAATGCTACTGTTGCGCGGGGGAAAAGGAGTAGAGTCGATGCTCCGAGACCTAGTGCCTGTATGTGGCGTCGGATATTGGATTTTGACGCTCATAAGTTTCATGGGTCTCTTCACTTTTGGACTAGTGATGGCACGCCGGGCGGTACACAAAAGCATACGGAAACAAGCGGTATCTAATCAGATTTAAATCCTTCTAGTACCTTGGAGTTTACTCACTCAATCAATGACAGTTCTCAATTTCAATTCCGATTTGTTTTGTAGTTATAGATACTGATGCAAGAACGTGGATACCGTGAGAACAACCAATTTCTTTTCCTTGGAATTCTTTCACGTGATCAGCACTAAAACTAATGGTTGTTCCTTTTTACATACTGATGCAAGAACGTGGATACCGTGAGAACAACCAATTTTTAGAGTATAGTTTCCCTTGTTTTGTAGGTGTCCTTTGTTTTGTAGGTATCCTTCCCCTTCGTTGAGGGTGACGTGATATGGACTTGGACGGACGCTTTTTTCTATGCGCGGTGGACCTTCGCGGCAGGAGTGATCGCGGGCCTCATCGTTAAGATTCACATGAAATCTGGTAGACTAATAAAGCAACTAGTACTAGTAAAAAATGGTAAAGGAACAACTACTAGTGAAAACCAATGTTGATAAACCCGATGTCCCTAGTAGACCAGAAAGGTAGTAGAGTATTTAAGTAGACACCATGTTGATGTTGAACCCACTGTCACAATTAGCATCCTGATGATGCTATAGTTTTTAGATGGACTCCAACTTCAAGGATGAATTTACTAGAAGTAGTGCACTGCTGCAACTTAGAGGATGAACGGACTAGAATTGACCAGAACGACAACGAGGTAGTACACTGGTATGGCGGGAATGTTCTAAAATCAGTATCGGCGGTGGGATGATTCTGGGTCCGCTGATGCTGCAAATGGGTATACTGCCACAAGTGTCGACTGCCACCACTGCCACCCTCATCATGCTCACCGCCTCCTCGGCAGCGTTCATGTATTTACGACGCAAACTACTCTTCCGTACTAGAAGCACACTCTACTCTTACATACTAGAAGATAATTGCAATTGTAGCTGGGTTAGTACGAAGCATTTTCATCTTTTAAATCCACAGCGTTGACGAGCTATTTTTAACATACTTACTACGAGCACAACTTGGTTCCTTTGATTAGGTTAAGGCGACCAAGAGAGCATCCTCAACATCATCATTGGCCTCTTTTTCAAGTAGAAAAAGGGCCCAGGGATGGGCTCAGGGATGTGACGCGGTAGCTCTAATTAGGGCGTCCTTACTGAATAAGTGGAGTCCTTACTGAATAATTACACCTACTACACACAACTAAAAATACAGCAAGTAGACTGGCTCGGGCGCCACCACCACTTTTGGTAGTAAATCTTTCAACCAATCATCTGCTGAATCTGTTCTAACGCTCGTGACTAGCGGGCTCGTTCCCGTGTCGTATGCAGTTCTTTTCTTTTTGGCAGCGTTTGCAGGGGCCCTTCTGGGCAAGAGCCGCATTGACCGCTATGTGAAGGAACGCAATATTATGGACAACTTGATCTCACTATCCCACATGGACAAGGATGCTGAGAAGTGGAGTCCCCTCCTTTGATTTCTTAAAGGGGAAAGACACTAAGAGGGGAACTCTTCACTCAGCCAGGTGGGCGGATAGTGAAAAACGAGTGGCGCTAACGAGATGACTTCGCTTCTCATCTTCATCCTCGCAGCTATCATTTCCTTCGCGACGGTGATGATAGCGTTAAGGCATGATCCACAAATCCATCTTATCTACTTCTAGAACCAGAGCATCTTGGTCCAGTAGGGAACAAATGGAGGCCACGAGGCTCGTAACGATGGGTTTTTGGTAGTTCTAATAGCGGTGGCTGGCCTCATCAAATATGCTGACCAAAATTTTTGCCTGGAGGGATTGCAGCCCATGTGTGCAAAGTGATGAGGTCGAAACTCCAAGTCACTATCACAATAAACCCATGCATTGCCCATGATTAACCGCTTAGTGGTGAATTGTCACCTCCCCGTAGGCGAGACGATTCCTATCCTATCTTATCCTATCCACTCTAGCCCCACCCACCCTTCACATTTGACTATGCCTGCGTTACATTGTTACGAAGGATTTTGATTGATATTGACAAAAACTAAAAAATCCTACATCTTGAAAGTCGAGGTCTTTATTCAAGGCGTTGGCGGGACACGTGATTCAGTGGCAGATAGCATGGTGATACGTATGTATCTGTGTCTGTCTATGTACGAATTACTTTGCCCCTGCCGAGCGACGTGTGCATAGTTACTGCATAGTGTTGATATTTCTCCTTCTCGTACCCATGTCAGTATCTTTTTTTCTCAGAAAATGTGCCTTCCACTTCATGCTGGTTGTTTGAATCTGTTTCGTCTTGCTGGTAGTTAAGGAGGACATGACCCAATCTCTCCCCTACTAGCTCATATTATAAAATGTTTCTCACCTTTTTGATGTGCTAGCTGTTGTATCTTCCCATTTTGTCTAGTCGTTTCGATTTTTCAATGCCTGAACTACAACCAAGCCATATATAATATGGTCTAGTCGTTTGGTTTTCACTACAACGAGAAGTCATCTTATTCCCTCTCTATAATATCACACCAGTCATTACCAATATCACAACACTTATTATCTTGAAGTTGATGTCGAGCAGCTCTGATTTATTTTCATGCAAAGTATCAATTTGTGAAGATGTCATTTTTCCATTAATGTTCACTCTTGGAGGTGTCCTAAACCTCCATTCGGAAGACAGATCCGAAATGAACAGCATCAATATTTATGATTTTTTGTTTGCATTTCCTGCTTACTTATCGTGTTCATATTTGACTTATCAAGTACTGGAGACCAGTAGAGGGCTCTCATTTACCCTCACTTAACCTCACTGAATCGGCCCTCTAGTACAGCACCAGTGACTTCATCCCCTTCGTATAGTACACCGACAATGCATTATAACTCTTGTGAAGTCGGTGCACCTGACTTGATCGAGACCCTTAGTCTAGAACTAGTGACCAACCTTCATTGCTTGTACAGGGACAAACTTGCGTGTGACAGACTTGTGTCGAATTTTGGATTCACCTGCGAGCATTCAAGTCAATATGAGGGTGTATGTTCTCATTTCCGCTTCCTTTAGATAGGACTGTTCTCTAGATGGACATTAGAGAGAACAAGGTCTGTGACACTGGCAGACGACGCCACTTTCAAGTCTGTGCTGCATTGGTCGCAGGCAGAAATCAGAGATCAGAGCGAGTCGGCTAGAGAGTTGAAGTCAAGGAGAGAGCGGGATGTCCACAAACCCCGATGGTGCAAAAGAAGGGAGGCTCAAAGAGTTGAAATGGACCAGAGACGGCATGTAGCATTCGATGGATCCCCTCTTACCCTTTACGGCGTGTAGCAGTCGATGGATCCCCTCTTACCCTTTTACTTTCAAGTTTTTCTCTTCGTAGTTGCACGGATAGGTTCTCCCATGTCCTCCTTTTCGTTAGTGTAATAAACCCGCGCATATGTAGAATGAACCTGCGAGTGTCTAGATATACCCGCCGAGCCGTCGCGGACAGGTCTATGCTTCGAACCATTTACTCCAAAAGCTCTTGTTCCCTAGACCATTCACAGAAGTTCTGAAAAAAAATAAGAACCTTTTATCTATTTTCCAGAGCATATGATGCCATATACTTCACACGGTATTCATTGATATGTGTCAAACATCATCCGCGTGGCATATATCAAAGGCTCTGAATGTGTAAAAGAAGGACCATCAATGATACGATGTTGCAACTTGATGGACAGCATGTTCGGCCACGTCCAACTATCAAGGACAAGTCATCGACGACAGCGAGAGTACTCTTCTGACCTTCATCTTCATACAACCGATAGCAGCGACGTGACGTTTTACTATCTTCGTGCTGTGACTTCTTCACCGTTGTGAGTTGAAGGTAGAGTGCAGAAGTATTCTTCATGCTATTCGCAATCGAATCGGTATCCAAAATTTTGAAAAGTCAAAGAAGAGGATCGGGTTTGCAAGTCGTCAGCACAAACAAAATCGGTAGAACAAAAGCTCCCTTTATTTAGTGACGAGGACACAGTGTTTCAAGATAACACCACAAACGTAGACCACCCGCTTCCACCACTAAGACAGTGCTCCGATAAAGCGGGCGCCGTCCGTCCCGAAATTCTTTCCCTCTTTTTTAAGTAGTGCCTCACTATCAATAAACATAAAGTCAATTTGCGCTCTCCTCGTCGTCTTAGTGCTTTTAGTAAGATGTTAATTATATATTATTTTCCGCTCTAGCAGTAGCACTTCGAGCTCTGCCTATGGATGCTAAGAAGCGGAACTAGGAAGTTCATGAGTACAACTGTCACTGGTCGGGTTTTCCCCGTGCATATCTTGCCGCCTCGTTCCTTCGTCAGTGTGTAGCTCGACAACTGGATTTCAACAACTTCGGCCTCGACGACTTTCCCTCGCAGCATTTTTTTTTCATGCTTGTGGACCCACTCCCACGTTTACTAGACTTAACCTCAAATATACAGGAGCACTAGCACCAGCGACAACTCTTAAGCCGCATTGGTCTGACAACATTCACATAGACTAGAAAAAATGTTCTTGTCGCCGGCGCGGCTTCGCAAGGATGATATTACTGCGATCAAGGAAGGGATTCAAGAGTACGTGGAGCAAGCCGCAGCCGCTAGTCAAGGGACGCCGCCCAGTGGCGATTTCGACCTTAGCTGCCACCTGCGAACGAGGAGGTCCGGACGCCCCGATTCGCAAGGCCGCCGCTACTTGGGGTGTAAAATTGCTAAATTTTAAGACCTATCATCTATCAAAAACTCGTTGCAAAGTGTCTGTTCCGGCTAGAGCTCCTTTCGGGATCTAGCTAGGTAAGCATATGCTTATACCTAAGACATTGCCATCGAATTATCAACCTGGGAGTCAGAAAAAGGATGGAGAGTAGACATGTGTTCTCTAAAAATCTTGGTTGGAGATCCGCGAGGGCTTCGGTTCTAATAAGCTTTCTCAAAGCGGCGATACTTCCGAGATCAGCGATGTCACCGCAACGCGTGGGGGCATCTCATATACGGTACTAAGTATCTTTACCGCCGTTGCTTGTTCCTAGTTGGGGTCAGCCCTTTTGGCTTCCTGATCCCTTTGAAATGTTAAAATCGTAACACAATGAAAGACGAAGCCCCACTCGTAGCCGGGAAGGTCGTGCACCATCACACGTATAATCACAAACGACCTGCTCAACGTTCGCACCTAATTCAGACCACATTCGCTTGGGATCATAAGCGTCGCAATGTTGCTGATTCAGTTGTAAGCGTCTGGAAACAAAAGCCCCGGAGTCATGAACCTGAATTCTTAGTAGCGTTCGGGCTGCGCTTCGAGCGGACTTGGATGTGTTTTTATCAAGTGGATGCCCCTACTGGTCAGACAGACTTATAAACCGGTCACGAAGTTAACTCCTCGAATATAAGTTTGCCACAAACTTGAAAAAAATTATATCTTTTTGTATACTAAGGTGGACTAAGGTGGTGTCTGAGTTTTTTAGTCATTTTGTTTAGTATCATTGTTGGAAGTTGTTGATCTCCTGTAGGTTGCCAACTGCCCAAAAGGTTCGCCAAACCGTTGAAGGGTCAGGAGAAGTTCTTGCCCAAATCGTGCCGCCGGAGGAAGACAGGCAAGGAGCGGCAAGCCACAACGAAGGAGGAGGTTCTTACTTGAACACCACTAGAATCCAACGCAATCGAGCACAGTCACGCTGGTGCTCTCTCGTGAACTGTACTCACGTCACTACTCCTGCCTAAAGGATCCAGGGCCATGCCATCAAGATGGTCAGGAATGCTGATTGACCTCCGAGCTCTTTGGCCCGTTGTTCTTGTGTTTAAGTGCACCGATTGACTCACATCAAGCCGCCAAGTCGGGAAGTGGAACACCTTCAAGACCTTCCAGCTTGGTCACTTCGAGCCGTCTCCGACAATTATCTAGTTTAGTTATTTAGTTAATAAGAGTAGTTTTCTGCTGGTCAAACGACCGCGCTCTCTGATCGATGTCTATCATAGAGTAACTGCGTTCGCTAGAAAGCATCGGCTAAGCGATCGCGTGAAGACTGTTGGATAAAATTGGAATTGATCGAGGTGGCTTCCTGCTCAATTTTCGTGCGTGGGGTTATCGTTATAGTAGTACGCGGCGAGAAAAAGTATGGCGAATGTGAGGGGATGGCGTTGCGCTGAAGTCATGGCTTTAGTAGTGCGTCGACTTCTTAGTAGTGTGGCGATGCACTTACCGAAGGAGCAGAGCAGGAGAGGGGACGGCGTCGCTCGCAGATCCTTCCGACGATCAAGAAACGGGTCGCCTAACTTGGAGCATTTTGGTGCCGTGGAAAGTTTGGGGATGATGTGTCCAAGAAGGTAATGAAGTACTGGGATCATTTTGGGGCTATTTTTGGACGCTCTACGAGCAAACTACTCAGGCGCTTCGTCATCGGCATGCCTTACATCTACATGGTTTGCCTTGAAGTGGTCAGGGTTCGCTTTTGATGATTCTCGTCGAGAAAACTGGAGAAGCGCAAGGACTTAGTTGGCTGCTGACGTCAATGCTAAAGCTTCTCTGGACGAGCCCGCTAGATATATAACCGCGAAGACCGTGACAGAGTCACGCGGTTGATGCTTCGGAGAGGTTTCTATGGTAGGGACTCAAAGACAAAAGAGCGCTGACCATACTACTCGGCACCTAGATGCCTGCTGGTGCTTCGTGTGATTTTTGGAATCCACAGAGTGTGTTCGTGAGACTGCAACTCTTGCAGCAGGCTTCGGCGTAGTTCAGGACGGAGCTGCCGCTGTGTATCATCTGACCAGGATAGCACAAGCGCCCGCCTTCTAAAGCATCTGGAGACGCGTCTTATATTGCCAGCATTCTCATGCTGATCGCAAGACTTGCCGAGTTTTGGGGTTTTCGCCTCGTGGAAATTGAGGGAGGCTGGTAGGCCTTTGGGCGTTTGTGTCGTGTCTGTGAGTACTAGCCCCTGAGTTGGTTTTTCTAATTTCTTGGCCTGCTTGCATAGCGGAACTTTGCTTCTTCAGGCTGGTCATTGAACTCGTTAGGACTACCTCCTTCTTTTAGCTGGTCACTACTTGAAAACTTTGAAGCTGGCTCAAGTTGTCTTTAAGCTTTAATATGAACTATGGAAGCGAGGAGGAGTCTACTTCTGAAAGTCGATAGCGCGCGACGCTCTCCGATAAGATCACTCAGCTCATTAGGCGTAGGCATTCGCACAGTAGCAACTTCTCAGGGTGCACCTTTCGAAAGAAAGAGACTCCACCTCATCAGAAACTTTCGCGAACAGCATAAGCTCTCCACCTTATCAAAACATGTCGGCCAGCAAGTTCGACCCCCCGGCTGGAGAACTCGCCGAAGCTGCTCCGCAGCAAAAGAGCACAGGCGCCGAGATCTACCGCTCCCTCGCCCAGTCGCGAGTTCCCGACACCGTCGCGGCAGAGCGAGTTCCTCCGCGACGAGTCTAAGGAGCAGGCTGGCGCGGGCATCCCTCTGCTGGGAGATGCCGCGCCGGCTCGTGGCCGCGCTGCCAATCGTAGCCGCAGCCCGCGTCGCAACAGCTCTAGGCGCTTGCCGGCTGAGGTGGGGCAGAAGGTGAAGTCGCTGCCAGCGAGTGCAAAAAAAGGCGTCGCCTCCTCTAGTGCAAAGAAGAATGGGCAGGACATGCGGGAGGTGGATGATGCTGAATGCGGTGGAGCGTCTGACGCTCATCCACGCAGGTGGGATGGGTGTAGAAATGGAGGAGCACGCGGCGAGTCAGAAGCTGCTAGCTCAGACCTTGAACACGTTGAACGATATGGTCGGGGGGCCAGGCGCTGAGCTGAAGGGCGGCAAAATAGTCCCCAAGTCAGAGCCCTCGTCTTCTTCTTGGGAGGACGAGCCCAAAAAATCCACACGCAAGCACGCAGCTGAACGCGTCGGACTTGGACACGGCTACAGTTTCCGCTGGTGGTTCTTCTTCTAGTCAGTTGCTGGACAGCGCGCGCTCTGGAGCAGCTGGACCGTTAGACGGAGAGAAAGGATCGAGTAACGACGTCCAGCCTGCTGCTGGTCCGCCAGTGGTCGACCCGATCCAAATCTTCCGCGATCCCAGTCTTAGCGGCAAGGTGTTAACCTTACGAGGCACCTTCTGCAAGAGATGCGATGGCCCGGAGGTGACTGGCACAATGTTGCTAGACAGCATCATGTGGGTTCTTCGCCAGGCTGGAGCCCTGAAGATGCCAGGCGTTCCAAACGTTTTGAATCCGATGCGCCGTGCGAATTGCGTGGTCTCGCAGCAGGCTGTCAAGGCACTCAAAGATGTGGGGGACACCTGCGGCGATATCGAAAATGATCGCCGTCCCATGGCAAGCGATCAAGGCGCGCCCCAAGCGCAGCCTCGTGCTTCTGAGAAGACCCGAGTGCATCTTTCCTGATGTTTCTTCTTTTCTGCGCCAGTATCTATTTGGCTCAAGAGCAGTCGCTCTCAGTAGTGAAGGCGTAGCGGCTTCTATCACCCATCAGGTTCTAGCTTCGGAAATTCTGACCAAACAGCTTTGCTGTTACATGGATGAGCACCAAATCAAGTATCTGCCCTCTTATCCCACAACAGGCCGCCCAGATGCGCCAGATGGAGGCCATGGTCGAGAAGTTGAAGAAAAAGAAATCGCTGGAGACGACTCGCGAGCTGACAGGGCGTGCCATCAGATCGGTGCGCGTTCACATCTCGAGCGACCAAGACAAACGTGGCCCGTGCTCTTCCTCATCTTTTTTGACTAAAGCGCCGGGAAATGATTAGCCGCCATGGAAGTCTTTCCTTCTGTTCAGTATACTCCTCAGGCATTAGATTCTTCATATCGTGCGACGCCAGACAATGAACGAGGCTCGTCGGGTTCTTGCTGTGTTCTTTATTCTTACCTCCCCGCCATCCTTTCAGAACCGAAGCCGAGCCCCGAGGTGCAGACTTTGCGGAAGAAAATTGGCGACGAATTGCGCCAGAAAGTAAGAGAAACCGACGCGGAGCCGTCCGCATTTTGTGGGCCGCGTTATCGACGATGGGGCCAGGCTGGTCTTATCTTGGAGAAGAGCATCGGCGAAGCGCTGGGGCTTATCAACTCAAGATCGTTGACCGTGAGAGAACCTTCTACATCGGGTTGATTAGGTTTGTGTAGTTTGATTGTGCTGCGGCTCTGGCAGATATTCAGCCCCTATCTTCTATTATCGCTTCTATCTTCAGGCCATGACTCTGCGAGTAGGATGATGATGCAGATCGTAGCCAGTGAATATAGTTCCTTCATGGCGTGCGAGTCTTGTCTCGCTCGATCTAGAAGACTGACGGGCCCAAGCTCTTTCCTCTCGTCAGCCGCTCCGCCAGCTCCTTCTGGAGTGGATACGCCGCCCGAACTTGATCGCCGCGGTATCATGCGCGTGCAGGCGCCACAGGCTCACCAGATGGCAGACGAGTTGCCGATGGATGGAGACGATATGGAAGTGGCCGAGTAGTTTAGGCATCTCTGTCCATCAAAAACACCCAAGAAATCGAGGCGCTTCTGGCGTGCAGGCCTGTCCTGCACAGCTCTGGAGATCTGTGCAGCAAGACCTTGCACAACAGCAAAAACATCCAAGAAATCGAGGCGCTTCTGGCGTGCAGGCCTGTCCTGCACAGCTCTGGAGATCTGTGCAGCAAGACCTTGCACAACATCAAAAACACCCACGAAATCGCGGCGCTTCTGGCGTGCAGGCCTGTCCTGCACAGCTCTGGAGATCTGTGCAGCAAGACCTTGCACAACATCAAAAACACCCACGAAATCGAGGCGCTTCTGGCGTGCAGGCGTGTCCTGCACAGCTCTGGAGACCTGTGCAGCAAGACCTTGCACAACATCAAAAACACCCAAGAAACCGAAGCGCTTCGGGCGTGCAGGCCTGTCCTGCACAGCTCTGGAGATCTGTGCAGCAAGACCTTGCACAACATCAAAAACACCCAAGAAATCGAACTCGAAGCGCTTCGGGCGTGTAGGCCTGTCCTGCACAGCTCTGGAGATCTGTGCAGCAAGACCTTGCACAACATCAGAAACACCTACGAAATCGAGGCGCTTCTGGCGTGCAAGCCTGTCCTGCACAGCTCTGGAGATCTGTGCAGCAAGACCTTGCACAACATCAAAAACACCCAAGAAATCGAAGCGCTTCTGGCGTGCAGGCCTGTCCTGCACAGCTCTGGAGATCTGTGCAGCAAGACCCTGCACAACATCAAAAACACCCAAGAAATCGAAGCGCTTCCGGCGTGCAGGCCTGTCTTGCACAGCTCTGGAGATCTGTGCACGCAAGACCTTGCACAACATCAAAAACACCCAAGAAATCGACGCGCTTCTGGCGTGCAGGCTTGTCCTGCACAAGTCTCCAGAGCTGTGCACGCAAGACCTTGCGCGACATCAAAAACACCCAAGAAATCGAAGCGCTTCTGGCGTGCAGCCTTGCCTTGCACAAGTCTCCAGAGCTGTGCACGCAAGACTTTGCACAACATCAAAAACACCAAAGAAATCGAAGCGCTTCTAGCGTGCAGGCTTGTCCTGCACAGCTCTGAAGATCTGTGCAGCAAGACCTTGCACAACATCAAAAACACCCAAGAAATCGAAGCGCTTCTGGCGTGCAGGCCTGTCCTGAACAGCTCTGGAGATCTGTGCAGCAAGACCTTGCACAACATCAAAAACACCCACGAAATCGAGGCGCTCCGGGCGTGCAAGCTTGTCCTGCACAGCTCTGGAGATCTGTGCAGCAAGACCTTGCACAACATCAAAAACACCCAAGAAATCGAAGCGCTTCGGGCGTGCAGGCCTGTCCTGCACAGCTCTGGAGATCTGTGCAGCAAGACACTGCACAACATCAAAAACACCCAAGAAATCGAAGCGCTTCTGGCGTGCAGGCTTGTCTTGCACAGCTCAGCTCTGGAGATCTGTGCACGCAAGACCTTGCACAACATCAAAAACACCCAAGAAATCGAAGCGCTTCTTGCGTGCAGGCCTGTCCTGCACAAGTCTCCAGAGCTGTGCACGCAAGACCTTGCGCGACATCAAAAACACCCAAGAAATCGAAGCGCTTCTGGCGTGTAGCCTTGTCTTGCACAAGTATCCAGAGCTGTGCGCGCGAGACTTTGCACAGCATCAAGATCACCCAAGAAATCGTAGCGCTTCTGGCGTGCAGGCCTGTCCTGCACAGCTCTGGAGATCTGTGCAGCAAGACCTTGCACAGACAACAGCAAAAACATCCAGGAACTCGGGCCGCTTCTGGCGTGCAGGCTTGTCTTGCACAGCTCTGGAGATCTGTGCAGCAAGACCTTGCACAACATTAAAAACACCCACGAAATCGAGGCGCTTCTGGCGTGCAGGCTTGTCTTGCACAGCTCTGGAGATCTGTGCAGCAAGACCTCGCGTGACATCAAAAACACCCAAGAAATCGAGGCGCTTCGGGCGTGCAGGCTCGCTCGTCTTGCACAAGTCTCCAGAGCTGTGCACGCAAGACCTCGGACAACATCAAAAAACACGCAAGAGGTAGAAGCTCTTGTGGCGTGCGGAGCTGTCTCGCACAGGTCTGGACGGCTGTGCGCGCATGATCTTGCGTACTCTGGACAGCTGTGCGCGCAAAATCTGCACAACATCAGAAAACATGTGAGAAATCGAAAAACTTGCGGCGTGCTGGTGTGTCTTGCACAGGGCTGGGGACCTGTGTGCGCATGAAGACGCTGCACACTCTAGACTTTGCGCACGCAAGACTTTGCGCAGTAGCAATCACGTGCACAGATCTGGGACGCCTGTGCTCGGTCTTGTTACCCTGCAAGGCATCGGCCCACACTCACACCCACACCCGCCTACCTTTTTCCATCTGTTCGGTAACAACGCAGGCAGTGCCTCTCTATCGAGTGCGTTCTCATATTGATTCGGGTTCTACCGTAGGCGTGTCGTCGTATGAGTTCAGAGATAGACTAGAAGCAGAAGCTCAGCACATCTTTCACCTGTTACAATTCAAAAGAAAAAGCAACGAGCATTAGAGTGACGCAAAAAACATGGGCAACAATATCGGGTCTGTCTTAGTTCGATTTGACCGCGCGGGCAGTCCGGTCGTGATTGAGACCGAAGGAGGGGAGTCGGCGCCGCCGACTGAAACCAAAAGTAGCACCATTACGACTGTGGGCGGTACGGTGGAGCTTGTGAAGAAGGAGCAGGAGACGACGCCGTCGAAACGTGGACGCCTGGACATTGGCGCACTAATAGTCGTTCAGCTTTTACGTGTGTCGTGTTGCGTATTCTCTTCGTGATCTTTCTCATTGGTTTAGTGGTGTTATGTTTACAAGTGCGCTGTGAGTAGCGTCTCCTCCTCTGCTTTTTCTGTAAGGTTAGTCTCAGGTATAAGCTCGCTCTCATCTCCGTGCATCATTTGACCTCTACGGGTGAAACTGTTCTCAAGTTTATCTCTGCAGCCGGCAGCTTTGCGCCGCAAGTTGCTGGCGTCAGTGAATCTTGTGGCGAAGGATAAGCATGCCATGGCGCTCATGCTGGTCGGGCAAGACCTTGGCTACAGCACAGAGGTAAAAAGATGGCTGATAGTAGGAGTCAAAGTAGCCTGATAAAAGATTTTTAAAAAATTGTATATAAATTCTTGGAAAGTGGAATGAAGTCATTGATTAAATGGTAAGTAAACTGAGTATATAGGTGCTCAATCAGCAACAATTTCTGTGGAGATCACGCAGCATTGGCGAGTGGGTGTCCACGTATCAAGCCAATTTCTTTACCTGGAAGTGCTTTCGTGAAATTGACGAAACTGATGAGTCAAATCGACAGAACAGAACATCATGCATGGACGCGCTCAAGATAAATCCACGTCGTGCATGGCAAGAAAAGAAATGGGGCTGCAAATGGTGTTATTCTTTTTTGCATGATTCTTGACTGTCGTCATCTTTCTCGTGTAATCATAAGCAAGTTCTTCGTACTGGTTGCTGCTCTATCGTAGTGTCGAAGTATTCACTATTTACATCTCTGGGCTCCCCGTTGTAGAGCTACTGCATTGAAAAAAGGCGCTTCTCCTTCTTCTGTCTTTCGTAAGTGGTTTTTCTTTTTACATTATCAGCTTTGAGTATTGACGAGTATAAATATAGTGCGTTTTTTTGTACATGGTGAAGTAGTAGTAGTAGAAGGCATACCGAGGATAGACGAACTCAGAAGGGAAGAGAATGGTAGACAGCGTGTGCGCCGTGTTTGGCGGCTAGGCATTCGAAGAGGCGCGCTGAGGGTGCGCCGGTGTGCTTCTGAGGTGGTAGCCGTTTCTTTCGGATACTTGGGCGGCATCCATGTGACGCGCACGGACCCGAGAGGGCAGGCTAAAGGCCGAGCTTGTTTCGGCCTGTCCTCTGGTTCGGTGGCCTCGGGTGCTTGGGTATGAATTGTCCCGCAGGTATCGAAGAGGGGAAAGTGAAGCGCCCCGGTGCGTGAGATTGTGTGCTTAGATGCTCCGCCTCGCTAGGATACGTAAACGGACGAGACGGGGGCGAAGGCTTGCGCTGAACTTGCCTGGTCTAGCCACTCTGCCCATCCTCACTACGCGGCGGGCTCGCGGCGTGTGTGTGTCATGCTCATGGCTTTGGGCTCACTACCACTAGTCTTGTTCAATCACCTTGAAGGGCTTCCTCCCTAGGAGAACTGGCCACTGCAATTGGCTGAGGCTTTCTGCGGGGTGAGGTGGCTTTAATTCTGCTTGTCAGTGTCATTATCGTGCGATATTGGGGGGCCTTTCTCTGGTGACAAAGTAAATGGCCCCAGCCGGGCCGCCTGGATACCGGGTCGGCAGGGGTGGCTGGGGTCACTTCATCTTGCAGGACAGGCTGTCTGTGCCAGGTGATCGCGCTGCTTGTTCTTTCTTCTTCTTGTCAGATTATCTTGGCACGAAATAAGGCTGCCCAGGTATCGTCTTCAGGTGGCAGAGTGCCCGGCTACTTTGATGGCTTTGCACCTTGTCGCTGCTCACGATGCCGCAACAGTGGTCGACTATCGTTGTTCGGAAAGCTGGCCCTTTACTCTTCATGGCTGTCGGACTTGAGTGCTGGTTGCATTAGTTGCTTTGCCTCATCTTTTTCAGCGAAAGCTGCCCAGCTGCATCGCGAGGCAACTTCAGGCGCCGCGGTGAGTTGTTATTTATCTCTTCATGATCGTCGGGCCTTTTTTCACACAGTGCCACTCTTTAGCGGAGGAAGCTGCCCAGGCGTTCTCAGGTAGCACCTGCGAGGGCAGCTCTCTCGGCTTCAGATCCAGCGGCAGCTTCTCGGGGTGATCGAGCGCATGTCTTTTCTTCAATTGGAAAATTGGCATGCAGGCGCAGGCTGTGTGTGAGTATTCTGAGGCGGCAGAGTAACTCCTTACTCTTAAGGTTAGGACTAGTTAAGGCCCTTCCATGTTGTTAACAAGTCTTCCTTTTCGCATGACGTCGAAGCAAGTCAAGCTGGTCCGTCGGAAGCAGCTCAGGCATTCTCATGCGAAAGAGTGGGCTTCCTTCATTTGTTTGCGCATGGTGTGGCCAGGGTATTTGCTGACTTCGTTGGTATCTATTTCGTACTGAGAGGGAAGGGGTGCGCGTTAGAATGGGGAGTGTGCGTGTGGCGCTGGCGTATCAGCTGCAGCCATTCTCTTCTCTTTTGGATTTCGAATACATAGGTAGACGCATGGCAAGAGAAGCCAGAAGTGCATACATGAATTGGCGTTGGCTATCATTGCGTCGGCCTTGTTGTGTTTTATTCTATCTTTTCAGTATCAAAATCAATATCGATAGGCTCTTCACTGGATGGGTAGAGAGTGTCTTGGGTATTGGCTGTCTGTGTTTCCTTGCAGAGCGTAGAGCAAGAGCCTTGCTCCTGCATTTTGTAGCATGAAATAATCATGAATTTGAAGGGTCACGCGTGTTTTATGTTATAGAAATACTTCGTGGTAGTTGAGTATTACAATTGGCGAGCCGATAGCTTTTGAGAACCTGCCCCTATAATTTGTCTAGAAAATGATTAGATTTTGCCGAAGCTCCTCCCACTGGGAGCAGAAATCAATAGACTGAAAAGCTTTCAGTTTTTCTAGTGTAAAACGATCAACAAACTGAAAAGCGACGCACGTCGGAAAGTTTAAGGATCGCGGCTCTTCTTGTATCAGGAGGGAACTACATCAAAAAGGATCCACATGATGAGGCGGCGTCATATTCTGCAACGGCCTACGAATGTAAAAGATGACGACGCTCGTTTTGTTTTTATTCACAATTCAACACACTGCACGCTATTCCCTTGGGGAAGCTCCATGGCTTTTCTGTGTTCGGTGTTCAAATCGCATGAGGGAAGTTGCTTTTTGTGTCATTTGATGTCGCGATGGCAGCCAGGACCGAGCAGGGGTCTTGCATTCAAGGTCGACAAAAGACACGCTAGACAGAATGGAAGTAGGCTGGTGTGTAACGAGTTGAAACGAATCGAAAGGATGTCGATTGCCATCGTGCTGGCGCAGTAATAACTTAGAAAAAGAGTCACAGTCTCGATCGATCCTTCTTCGTGCTGCGCCATTAGGTTAGTCAGAACGGAGGAAGAGCAATAGGTCACGGCTTGTTGTTATTCGTTTGGCGGGGTCTGATCGTGTGTTGAAGGTGCTGGCGCTCCCGGTTGTGACAAACGAAGCGAAGAAGCTGGAAAGAAGATGGCACCGCGCTCCTATTAGTGATGCCCGGTCTACTACTACTTGCTCACTGTCACTTACTTTCGTTTGCTCACAGTGCTAGCGGTCCGCCGAGGTTGAGTTGTTCTTTCTTCGAGGCACCGGCCGCTTGATTTCTTTCTTGTCTGCGCTGCACTGCTGCCTTCACCACAAGACAGAGCAGCCACGCGCGATACTGATGCGCGACGTAGTTTGCTTGCCATTGGCTCCATCTTCCGATGAGCATACGAGCGGACACGGCCCATGAAGGCGGTGCTCGCGCCATCGTGATCGTGTGTGCGGCCTGGTGGATAGACATAGACATCAATGCGAGAGAAATTGCGAAACTCATGTACATACGAAGACAAGGGCAAGCATTCTACTTTTCGTCGTAAGTAAGCACGACGCACCCGTTTGCCGTTATAATTTAGCTTTTACTCAACCTCCTTTTCTATCGCACGAGCGAGCAAGCCAATCAGAGCCAGTACTCAAAAAGCATATCTTCTCTACTCTCATCACTGTCGCTCACCGCTCACGCACCTGAAACTGAAGACAGACTCTACCGCCACGACAGGAAATTCTTTGTGCAAGAACAGAAAATACATCACTGCAGTTCCATTTTCTCTGCATTCACTTCCCCCAGCTGATGACACCGACCTGAGACTGACGCATCCTGTCAGGTGCTCCTTCCCTGACATATCCTGTCCCATCGCGCGAAGCGGCTTGCCGCTCTACTTCGTGACACATGTGAGCGACACTGTGAAATTGGGAGCTGAAGCTCCTTGTTCCTTGGAGACTTAAACGATTGAAGTTTTTACATTCCGAAAAGCCGGCTATAATACAGCCATGGCTTCAGTTCTTCTTCATAGATGCTGTCTTATGCGCCAGGTGCCCCGTAATTGAAGCAGTTGGCTTCAGGTTCAGTCCGGCTGGTGAAAGGGCCGAGAAGATTTCCATTCTCAAGAGAAGAATTGCTTTGAAATAAAGTACACGAATAGAAATCAATACTGAAAAAGAATTGCTTCAACGGTGGCAAGCCGTGGGTCTTTGCTTGATTTGATTTCACGCAAGAGAGAAAACTAGTGCCGTTATTCTCTAACGATCGATGGCATTGGCCACCTCTCCCCCGGTGGCAATTGGTCGTGGAGCTTTAGAGGATGCATCTACTTGTGCTTCGACGCTCCTTGTCGTGATGATCTAGCTTGCGCTGATGATACGACGTCGCCCCCTGTCGATGAAATTATATAATTACTACAATTGATATATGTCGAATACTAATGGACTAGAAATATATCTAACTCGGTGCCCCGTTTCAGTGCTGTTCCATGTGTGTGGCTTTCTTTGTCGACAGTTGACTGCTTTTATATAGAGAGATCGACTCGACCCAGGTGCGCTTCGGCCTGCTCTGACAGGTGTCAGGACATGGCGAGGCGTTGAGCCTAAGGTAAGTGATCGAATGGAAGATGATAAGGCATTATGGCTGATGCTCGGCCATCTGTTACGCCCATACTGAGTCTTTCACATGATTAAAATGCTTTATAACTCATAGTAGAATGAATACGATCCCGGTGGTTCCTATGATATTACTCATCCCGTGAAGCGCTACTGTCTTGATTTATGTCATTCGGTCCAAAGTAGTCTGTCGATCCGGTTTAGGTTAATTGAATCACTTTGACGGAGCTGGGTGCAACGTCCTCCCACGAAGGTCTGTGGAGTTCGTTGCGCTTGGTATTCAGATATCGTGCGTGAGTTCAAGTCTCCGATTGGTTGAAGAGTGTGATTGATTGTTTTGTGGAAGTCATTCAGACGCCTGAAGACGAATGAAGGACGCCACCAAGAGGAAGCCGCGGGCGCTCTTCGTCGGAACTCAAGTCTATAACCAGACGACTATAAATCAGGCAATAGAAGTTCATGACTGGTAGGAGCAATCTCCTTCACGTTTATGTATGCTGTGTACCTCTTCCACCTTCTTTCTCAAACTTTTTTAATTCTTAACATAATTCAAAATGACTTTTTCAAAAAATATAAATATATCTTTTTTCAATTATCAAAGATAGATTCTTGCGCGAGCAGTTTGGAAGTATGTCCTTTTTGAAAATCTTCTATATCATCCTAAGTATGACGCCGGGGATGGTCGTTGGTTTGCGAAACGCTCTGCCTTAGCATGATGCAGAGGCGACAGCGAGTCGTGTTGCGGCTTGCTATCGTAGATGTGTCAGAGCTGTAGCATTACGAAGTGCTTCTTGTAAGTCGAAACATAGCGCATCATTCTTAGTGGTGCAAGTAGTTCAGTTCAGAAGAATTACAACAAAGGACAGGCTAGAATGTGACTTGGTGCTTCTTTTAAGTTTTGTTTATCGACTTTGGCCTGCGCATCGCGGAGGGTCGTCGATTCGAGTTGTGGTAAAGAAGAGTGATAAGTCTTTCACACGTCGCAGTAAGTATCCGTCTCCTATATATAAAATGCAAATAATATCGTTGCAGTAGTTCTCTTGAATTCGAGATTGTCGATTTAGATGCAGTCAAAGAATCCCACACACCAACCAGAGCACTCATCTTCCCCTTAGGTCTTCAAGTAGTGCATAAGATAACTCGATGATGCTAGACGTTTCTCCCCTCGTCCTAATTTACTGCCCAACACAGCTAAGATGTTGAGTCTCCTACTCCTCCACCCATCTTCTCAAACTAGAAATCAAATTGACTCAGTAGCGACGGCGCTTCTTCATCTTCGGCGCTTCAGCGGCATTCGCGTTCGCGCTCGCGTGGTGGAGGTTTGGCTTCAGCTGGACCTTCTTTGTGAGGTTGATCCTGACGGCCGGATTTAGCGACCAATTTGCGCCCAATGTCGTAGAGATACGGTCCTTAAGCGCTTGACACTCGGCCATGTTTGCACAGCCCGCATTGACTTCGGATTCCAGTGCTTTCACTTGTTCACTGCAGACAAGATCGAACAGCAAGGTCTTCAATTTTGCAGCACTCTTCCGCATGCTGGTGATGTCGCGCCTCTGATTTTGGAAGTGTTAGAGGGTGGAGGAGGTAGATGAGGGAGGGGACATGGGAGGGGAGGTAGGTAGAAGGGGACGTAGATGAAAGGGGGGAGCATGGGACGATGATAAGGGGGGGTGCGTAAGATTCTGGAGCTTCTTATGCTACTTAGCGTCGTTCTGAGCCATGACTTTTATGAGAACCAACGAATCCCAAATCAAAAGAATTTATAACATACTACTTTTTTTACATATAGAAGTTAGATGGTGTGCCGTAAGAAAGTGTCTCCATTCGGAGCAGCTTGCTGCACGCGGCATCGACGGTTGAAAAATCCAACAAACCAAATTGGCACAAGCCAGCCGCCGCGAGGTCATCTCCATTCGCCAAGCCGGTCATAATTCCGTCATCGAAGCGAGTGATCATCGCTGTAGGAGTGGACTGATGTAGAAGAGATGGGTGACCGCAAGGATGGAGTTGCACGAAGATAGGACGCCATGAAACAAAGATCATCGTGAACCACTTCGAATCTGCGATCGGCATTTGAAGAGTGCCCTATCCTTATGCTTATGGCGGAAAATAAGCAATGACTCTGCAATTGTACCAATTTGAATGAAAGAGTAAGCTTGCCATCAGTTATAGTACTGTGGTATAATTCCGCACACAGCATGAAGACTTGAAAACGCTCGCCGGCGTGAGTCAGTTGCTTATCGGCGATCTGCATTTGTTTTTTCGTTGAACCATCATCAGCGTGAGCTTTTTCCGGGCGGAGAGCCAAAACGTCATCGAGCTCCATGGAGGAAACGCATCTGAAGTATTCGATGAAGTTCAGGTCATCAAAGACCTGATTGATGGTGCTGAGGTTGAGCGCGCCCTTCAGATGCTTCTTGATAATGCGATTGATTTCGCCGAACGCCCAGTTGAAGTCGAATTTTAGAAATTTCTTCAGTAGCGTATGGAATTCCAGCTCCAGTCCCTTGTGCTTTGTCACCTGGGAAAGAGAAGAGTTACGAAGAAATAGAAAAAGGGCCAGAGGGCAGGGCAGAGCAAGATTGAAAGGATGGGAGAGCAGGCGAGGGCACTGCAAAGACCTGATGAGAGTCAAGCAAATTCGTCGCAATTCATCAGACCAGGGAAACATCACGAGCAGAATCATACCACTCCAGCAGAGTTGTTAGATTAGTACTAGAACTAGACTACATGAGTAATACCTTCACGCGGTATCGGTCGAAAATCATGTTCATCAAGTGTCTCGTTGGATCCGTGAAAGGTGGCATTTTCGGAAATTCAGCGGAGGTCACCAGGGGCGCGAGGTCTAAGTGGCCAATTGCCTCGGAGGCGTGCACGCTGAACTCGACGAGCTCCGGACTGATCTTGCGCCCCAAATCTTGCAGCTCGCTGAAGAGACCTGCCAGCATGTTCGTGGAGAAGAAGTAGTGCGCGTTGCAACCGCTCTGCACTATACTCAGCATGCAGCGCAGATCTTCATGCGTGTAGTGGAGGGCGTCTGCCTCCGGCACTTCGTCCGGGAGGTCGGGGAGATCATCTTCACTCTTGTCGCTGCCATTCTCAGATGACACGTCCTGCGCCTGATTGACTGCAACAATCGCAGCGGATGCGGATGTGCTAGCAGATCTAGTTGTATTCTTTGATCCTCCGTTGTTGTTGCTGTTGAACAGAGATGCCGCAGCTGCGTCAGCAGTGTCTCTGGGCTTCTTCAGGTAGACCTTCTCAGATTCCTCGATCATTTTCATGACGGATGCGCGCTTGTTTGGATCGATCAGGGAGAGTTCTTCTTCATGCAGAATCTCCACGCGGACGTCGATTTTCTTTTTCCAGTCGTCCAAAACCTGCTCCTCCAATTGAGACTCCCACTCGTTTGTCACTTTCTCGTTGATCTTGTCGACCTTCTTTGTTCGCTGAGCGCCACGGGCCTTCACTTTGTCGACCTCTGCATCGATCTGCGCTTGAAGTTCGTCGCTGGTCTCCTCCATAAGGAGGGAAACCTGCTCCAGGCGGATGTCGACCGTGTGTGTCCATATCCACTGATTTACTGCATCCTTCCAAATCGTGTGATCCAGGATGCCACCGAAGAGCGCGTCATGGTCAATGACGGGGCGACGCTTCGTGCTCATCTCCTCGAACGCTTCGAGATTGGGGCTAGGTCCTGTGAAATGAGTGGGAGTTTGGTCTTATGAGCTGAAGAGGATCCCAAGGGCAAGCCCTATGAAGTGACTTGGTGGTAATGAAGTGACTTGGTGCTAAGTGTTGCGAAATGGTTTGGGACTGGTCTAGATCTTGCGAAAAGAAACAGAAACAACGCGAGGCTATGCCCTACCATGTGAGACTGGTTCTATGAAATGATGAAAGAAGAAGTATCAAGATACGCATACGGGTCCAATTCTCACTATTCAGATATATGACTTTATCAAGCGACACAGTGCTGCTGACTAGATGAAGCACATATATAAGGTTCAGACTGTAGGCAGCAGAATAGACGACGTGTGTTTCGTTTTAGTACCTTGGCTGGCACGGTTTGCCTTCGGAGTCTGCAGTAGGCGCTCTTTCTCCTCTTGGTCAACATCCATCGGAGCGACTGGAGAATTGTTGTTGTTGTTGTTGTTGTTGTCATTTTCCTGCGAGGCCTGCTCCTTCTTGATCACAAACTCAGGGGTGGACGTTCTCTTCTTCTCGTAGAGCTTGCGCTGCATCACTAAGACCAGAGACGCGTGAATCTTGCCATCCTTACCACGGGTGCTCGTGCAGTTTTCGTAGTCCGTATCGACTGCGCAATCAGCGCCATTGAAGCTCTTGTTCGCGTCGACAGAAAACTCAGACTTCTGGTCCTCTTCCTCGCGCTGCATAGCCTCCTTTTCTGCTTTCTTGTTTGCCTCCGCGATCTCGGCTTCAGCTTTCGTGCCGGGCGCGAGTTCTTTGCTCGGGTATCTGTGCGTGTGGATTGATGGGAGATGTTGTGACTACGCACTGAGTGTGGAATCTGATTCGGAAAAAGCATGGAGCGAAGATCTCATCATCAGTTGAGACAGATTCTACAAGGAGAGAAATGCCGACGAACTGCATTGCTAGACTATCCTACGCTCAGCCATCAAGTGAGAAGATGAGTGTAATTTTTACGCAAGAAATCCATGACGCGGGATGTCGTGTTGCTCCTGAAAGACTTTCTTGCGCAGCAGCTTTGCTGCCAGGGTCTCCTTGTAGCGTTGGCGATGGATAGCGATTTGGCCTTTCATAGGCTTACGAAGACCGAAAAGAAGGTCTTTGATTTCCTGCTCGCAGTCGTTTAGGCCAGTTGTCATGCGATCGTAGTAGCCGCTTGGCGCTCTGATATGATGCCCAAGCGTCTCGTTGAGCCACTCCAGGATGTTGTCACCTTCGTCGAAGGAGAAAAAAAACGGCGCGACCACGTCAGCATTTTCGTTGATCCTGTTGAAGTGAAGCAGAAGCAAGATGTTGACTGGGTTCGGCGGGAGGGAGGGTTATGCCAAGTGGACTTGGCCTATTATTGACAAGGTAAAGCAAGAAGTCACTTCGAGAAGGAGAAGTCGCAGGAAGTTTCGTATTGTCGGGGAATAGTCGCGAGAAGACTGAACTTCAATACTGTCAAAAAGTAGAAAGTAAAAGCTACGAGTCATTGTAAGAATTAAGACTAAGTGAGATACCACGCAAAAGTATCGTCGATGTTGTCGAATCTGCTTAGGACTCCAGCAAGCAACGTGATGACCCATCCCGTGCAAGCTTCATGCCAGCTGCTTTCTTCATCTGACGAGAGGATGTTTGCCCGCATCGCATGGTCAATCGTCTTGATGCTGACTAAACAGCTTCGGGCGCGCTTTTTACGTCCAGTCAATGCGAGGGACGAATTGTACTCCAAAGCGTCGCGCACAGTGCCAGCCATGTCGGACATCTCGTCGCACGAGAACTTTTCCGTTCTTGCGCAATCGCACAGAAAGTCCAGTAGATGATCGATCTTGCCCATGCCCTCCAATTGAAGTTTCACTTGACGGGTTCCCTTACCTGGAGTTGGAGGGGGGAGGACGTGGTGGCAGTTCAGTTAGTGGTAAGGAAAATGGGGTAGAGTCCAAATGTTCAATGCGTCAAAAGATGTTAGGCCATCGATGTTTCAACTTCAAGTATACAGCAGACCTCATGTCATCTAGATGCTGGCGTGGTTAGGTAACTACCATTTTCAGGGGAGTCTCCTTGCAGCTGCGAGCAGACGCAAGGCCAGACTTCACCAAAACAAAACCACCTGCTCTGAGCACAAAAATCGAAGATCATGCCAGTACACGTCTATTCTCTGTGAAGACTCATCACTCACCCTCTGTTGACAGTTACAGTGCTTCTTTTCTAGCATGAGTGTGCTTCTTTTCTAGCATCAGGATCAGTCTCAGTAGTTGAAAGTACTGAGTAAGCTCTTGTCGGTGTCTTTCTTGGATCGAACTTGCTCGAAAGCGGGCTCCGCGGTGACCTCGTTCGCCATTTGATCAAGCGTGATGCCCTCTGTAAAGCGTTCGACCTCAATCGTACGCCAAACAGCAGAAACTTTTTTCAAGTTCGCGACTGTGCTGTTGATCGCGGGGTGTGCCGCGAGCTACAATTGGGTTCAGAGTCAAGATCAAGAACAGTGGAAAAGGCCTAAGAATTCCACTCGCTTAAAAGCCGACAAGATCTGCAGTTTTTGACTGTTGTTATGTCTTCTAAAACTATGACACGGAGCTTCGGAGACGTGGAGTTTTAGCAACTATCATAGCATCCAGCTCATTCAAAGAAAACCAACTGCACAAAGATTCTACGTCAAAGATTCTAGGTCTATACAAAGATAGCACCTTCTTCGCCCAAGCTTCCGCAGACTCGACCCGAGTCCGCCCGTAGAGAGCAGCATCGTCCTCACTGTCCGACATCTTGCTGTTTGAGATCTTCCGAACACAAGACGAAGTGATCGAGAGGAGTAGACTAGTTGATTGCTGATGTAGAAGGAGCCTCTATCTCGATTCTGCACAGCAGAAATTATTCAAATCCTAAATGTGATTGTGGAATTTTGAGTGAGTGCCTAAGGAGATCAATTAGTAGATGAACGTACATCAACCAAGTGGATAAGATGCGCAGTCTTTCTGAGTACCAGGGACGGCGAGCCTCTACTGAGAAACGGGCCTTCTCGATAAGCAACCACAAGTGAAACAGCAGAAATATAATGGAAAGGCTGAAGAAAAATGATTGGAGTCACAGTCTCAGTCATTTGGAATGCCTTAGCCATACAAATGCAAAGTAGCTTGGTTTTACTGTATACTAAACAGATTCAAGGCCATTTATTCTTTCTTTTTATCATCCGAAACAAAACAGGTGAAAGAAGAAGCACTTGATGAACTACGCGACCAGATCCTCGGACAGCGCGCCATGGGTTGAATTGCAATACAGAGGCACCACGAAAAAACAAACTGGCGAAGCATGCTCAGATCGGTTTGCTATCGGTTTTGATCTTGTTATCAAAAAAAATGCGCTCTGTCTTCGCTTTGTTTGACAAAAAAAGATCGGTTCACAACACGGGACAGACTTGACCAAGATCTTCAAAAGGAATGAACCAACACACACCTGACACCTCCGGTCCGCGCGCAGCACTCTAATGCATCTCTTCGAAGAAAATCACTATGCCTGTGCTGCAGCAAGGCACTCTTTTACCTGACTTCGCCAAGGAAGTCCCTACTGTCTTCCCTTCTTGCTACAGTGCAACTAGCTATAATTTGAAAAGATCACCAGTCTTATGGTGTTGCAAGCTTGTAAACATTAAGGTGCGTCGCTGCATGTCGACTACAGAATGGCGCTGCATGACGCCTACATACTTCCGCAAGAGAGCCTGCGCACTTGCTCGTTTGCATGTACCCTACAGACTTCAACTTATGTGCAAAAATGTCACATGCTTCCCCACCGAAGTTCTATTGATTTGAGGACTCAAAAACGTCTACTATATTTTGTTTTATATTTTGTTTTATATTTTGTCTATATTATCAACTTGAAATCAAGATACTAGTCGTGTGAACGCTTCGAAATGAGCAAAATATAAAACCATAATATAGAGGTCGACTCTGGACCAATTCTTGAACTCCTGAGGATCATTCTGAACATGAAAATGAACGTGAAGACTGAGATCAAAAAGAAGTATAAAAATCAAGCGAAAGCCTAAGATGGAAACTCGGTGCAGTAGAACTTTTCAAAGCACGCCCTATGATGCTGCTATCTCCATGGCAGTCCCCTCATGGCTCTTCTTCTACCAAAGCACGGCCCCGCGCTAGTGCAGTTTCAGTCTATTCACTGGCCGAGTCCTCATTAATCCCCAGCATATTATCTACTATCGCAGCATCAGAAGCGCAATCACTTTCGTCATCGCTTGGCCCGACTGGTTTCTGTGCATACACAGGTCGCGCCCGCTTCTTCGAGTTCGTGTCTTTCGCTGCGCTGCAGCTGCTGCTACTGGAACTAGACCCGACAGCGCCCGCGGTGCCTTCTGCTGCTGTAGCTGTGCTGGATGCTGGTGGCTTGATCCACTGCAAGTCCGTACGCCTAAGGGTCTGAACGTACCCCTGCTTCTCGTTCGAAGTAAGACCAAGAACGCACATCGCGCTGATGTAGGGCTGAGTGTGCTCTTTGTATTTGTCTTGAGTCTCCTTTTCATCTTCTGGGGAGGTTCGACTACTAGGCCCTTGATCGTCGAAGTTTTCTGTGATGAAACTGTTGCGAGCGCCCCACGCACGTAACATCGCGGCGGCCTCAGCTTGGCCGAATCGTGCTGTTGCTTTTTGCAGCCCCAAATCTTTGCGCTTGAGCAGCATGAAGAGCTCCTTCCCTGCCGTTTTGACGGCTTTGCGGTACCGCCGGAACAGCTTGCATTCGGGATCAGGGATCATGAAATACCGATGATCATCGCAGCTCAGAGCAAACAGCGGAATGCGAGGCAAGGACTTGCGACGTGATCCAGCCTTTCGCAACTGCTGTCGGCCTGGTGCAGCAGCTCGGTTCTGGGCTGTGTCGTTGAGTTCTTCTGGAAAGTTGTCTACTGCGGCTTTGCCGTTATTCTCACTTGGAGCCTCCTCGTCCTCTTCTGGAATTGGTGGCAAGCGAGCTACCGCAGCACCTGATAGCAGCGTAGTCTTCGCAGAAGTTGATATGGCCGCCGCTGTTGAAGAATGATCAGGTGTCCCCCTGCTGTTTGGTGAACTTCCGGCACAAGTAAAAGCAGACGCATCTCTTTTTTCACCCGCAGAAGACGCTGGCACGCTCGTTGAAGTTGTGGGCGCATTTGTGCTAGAAGAAGATCCCGCTTTCGCGGATGCAGTAGTTTTCTTTTCCTTGTCGGGTTTGAAGAAATGGCATTCGCCATCAGTCATATTGCCCCGAGTTGCCTTAGCAGATGAAGCCACGCTTGCGCCTTCCCAAATCTTTGCTTTTACTGCTGCTTTTGTGTGAGATTGCTTGGTCGTGCTGCCGTTCGCCTGCTCCTCGTCTTCTTCTGCATCCTTCGCTTTTTTCTTCGACTTGTTGTTGTTACTAGTGCCACGCGATTCTTTAGCAACTTGCGTCCCCACTTCTTGTTCTTCCTCCTTTTTGATCTTTGACATCTCTGCCTCCGTTGCGACAAACTCCTCATGCAGATTTACTGTCAGGCACACGCCAACGCGATTAGCAGGGTTCGGAACGTATATTGAGGACTCGACGGATGCTTCATGAACTCGCAAGGGCACATACAGCCCAGAGTCGATGTCTTCGTTTGTTATCTTGCGGATTTTCGTTCTCATTGGCGCCGAAATTGCAACGCCAGCTGAAGTTGGTTCCTCCATTTGCGGACTAGAGATCTGACTTGCTCCAGACTCGGCATCCAGCCCTGCTGCAGCGAATTGCGGATGAGATGCGTGCGAAAAGTCCAGCGCTGCCGCATCGATCGTTTGTTAGAGCTTCTGTCTGCCAGGGAAATGAAAGGAAGAACAGTCTAAAGTTCCTTGATAGCGACCTCCTTCAAGTTCGTTCCCCCCCCATCAGAATAGCCTTAAGTTTGAAAAGCGTCTGCCAAATCCAGAGTGAAACTGGAGCTGTTCGCTCCTGCTGCTTCGGAACTTCGTATGAGCTCGATTCCACTGAATCCCGGGATCGCGCCTGACAACGTCCACACCACTAGAAAGTAGCAGCGCTCTACTTGATTGCCGGTCCTCGGTGAAGCAGGTCCGCCCAGGTCCATGTCCATCTCCGTGACCGTGAAGCGCTGCCTACGCTCGACTTCAAGCACAGGGTAGTGATGTGGCAACTGCGAACGCATTTTCTCCATATTGAAGAAGCACGTCGGCACTGATTGCTTCTTCTTTTTGTTGTTTGCGCTTTTCGCAGCAGCTTTTTTCTTCTTCTCTGTTTTCGATCGCGTTGTCGTGGTAAAAGTACTAGCAGAAGCACTAGATGCGGACTTTGAGGCACAGCCAGTAGCAGAAGTAGCACCACTAGACTTCTCGTGATGATTTGAGTCTGCGTCTGCATTTTCTGCTTCTCCAATGTCATCCTTATCAGATGCTGCCGCTTCTTCTCCAGATGATGTGCCGCTGTCGTTGTCACTCGGGCCGGTGGACTCTTCATCGCCAGCAGCTGGCTTACGATCCGCATCGCCAAGCTTTTTAGATGCGTCTGGGTTTTTCATCGGCGCTTTGGCCTTGAGTTCGTCCGCCTGCTGCGCCTTCGAGGATTCTTCCACTGCAGCTTGCGCGTGGCTCGTTGAGCACCGTTTTACATCATGCCGATTGAAAAACGCGATCAAGACGCGCGTTATCAAAGGCGTCGACACATGCAAAGGGGCCTTCATGCTGAACTGCTGCGAACTAACGCCCCCGATGCGGTGTTAGAAGAAATGCGCCACAAAACAGCACACGTTTGACTTCGCCACCTATTGACTGACTCTGCTTCAGTTCACTTCACATTCACGCGCACAGTCACAGGAAGTAGACTCACAGAAAACCTCTCCAACTTCAACAGCGGAATCATGCAAACTGTACTGAATGAGACTGGTCGACGCACTTCTGTGGTATAAGCGAAGAAATTAAGACTAAGTGCTTGCACGGCATCGACGTGAGAAGTGAAATCATCACGAAGTGAGAAACTCGCCGATCTTTTTCTACATCTAAGCTAATCAAGTCTATTGCTATTCACTTCACATGAGCCATAATCAAAGCTGCAAGGGTTGTAGCACTCGCGAACTCCTGCTGCTCGACATTTTTTCACGCCTGCAACGATCCCGCCCGGTCGGAGGTCATCCGGATCCACGCTCATGTTGTTCGTAGCGGCTTCAACAAGGGACTCCAAAGCGTCAGACCGAACATCGTCGTAGAAGGCTTTGGTTTGCCGCGCTGCGGCATTGTTCAGCCTTTGCACCGGGTCTTTGCTCCACGCTTTTGCACCTGCTCGCTTGATTGCGTTGTCCTGCGCCCGCTGAAAGTTCGCTTGCTTCGTTGCTTCGTGGAGCGCTGCTGCGTCATCCGCGATACTCGCATACTTTGTCGAACGCTTAAGGTCGACCTCGCGTTTCTTTCGTTGATCCTGGAACGGAATACCTGCCGCCACCCGAGCGTCTTTGTCTGCGGCACGGGCTGCAATAGAAGATCGCCTGTACGCTCCGCTAACGACGCTGAGGTTCGTGCGCGAGCAAAGAAGCTCTAGACCACCACAGGCATCTGGATGGCACGCGCGCTGCGTTATTGCGTGTCGGCTTTCTACCCGAAGATTGGTCCGCGGCTGCACTTTCCAAATATCAAAGCACTTCTTTATGATCATCGGGCGAACTGATGGGTGCTTCGTTCTGAGAAGTGCGTGAAGAATCCGCAGCCCGCTGGGTTTCTTCTATCTTCTTGCATCGAGGCCGAGCACCTCGCGTAAAGGCGTTCGCGTACTCGAGCTTGCGAGCGTAACTATCCTTCTCCCAAAAGGTTGCATAGAAGTCGTCCTCTTCGTCATGGGTGCAAAGACGCCAATACATTTCCAGGTAGTACGTGAGCAGACTCAAGCACAAAGCAACGCAAACGAGTGGACTACACACTGGCCCAGCATCTGCATCGCGGTAATGCGGGTCCATCATGCTGCTGTGCAATTGCAAGCACTTGAAAGCGAGGTACGTCGATGATGCGACCTTATCCCACATTGCTGCCCGCGTGATCGAGTCCATCTTCTGCAAAGAGTACGTCAAACGGTCCGACGGCATACTCAGCACGGCGACACACGCCAGCATGGCTCGAAAATCGGCGCTGCAATGTCGCGGGCGAAGCCACACGTTTTTATGGCAGTGCAACTTCTGCAGATCCGCAAGGATTTCAGGTAGTACCTCGTTCACCGCAATCATCTGTCTTGCTCCGTTCCCTACCGTGCCAAAGCGACCGATGATTGGGTTTCCCGTGCCAGTAAGCAACTGAGCCGAATCTTGCAACGAAATCGAATTTGTACTCGAGGAGGTGGGACTTTCTCCAGTTTCGGAAACAGGAGCACCAGGGACGTGATCTGGAAAGTCATCAAATAGATCTTCCTTCTCATGCAGCTGCAGCCTAGTGCCATCTCTCCTTGTCGTTGATGTCGTAGCAGCGCTGCTTTTCCTGCTGAGCTTGCTTTTTTCCGCTGCTACTGCTCCTGCTCTTGAGCTCACTGCTAACTGCGCAGGCAAACCTAACGCAGGAGGGATTCGAGTTCCAACATCTCTCCCCTCATCATGCGCTATACCTATGGATAAGTGGTCATAATTCGGGTAATCTCAAGAATGCCGTCGATCTGTTTCTACTTCACTGCCAACTAATTGCCAATAAATCTACAAGATCTATTGCATTCCTCAACTTGTAAAATTCCAGTTGCGACGGTGTTTCTTCTAATGAGAGAGGAAGGGATGCCTAAGTAGAGCAGAAGAGCTGAATCTTACTCGTGCATCCTATCTTTGTACATACTCACTACGGATTTCATTTGAGTTTGATTCTTGTTAGAGAATTGAATACATATAGCCATGGAGATCCGTTGCATAGCTTCGTGTCGCGGGTTCGTTCGCTCACTGTAGTCGCGGTCCAGTGGATTCAGCAGGCAGCCAACGAAATCAGTCGCCATGAGCATACGAGATGGGTCAAGGCGGTTGACAAGGTCTCTCCATTGTTCGCCCCGAAGATACTCTTCGATTTTCGGCTGGTTGCATTGGAGGCCCTTGCACTGTCGTCGCAGCACCGCGAGAAAAGCCTCAGCATCTAGGCCCAACAAATGGAAGAAACGATAGAAACTGACCTTGAATGCGCTGCTGTTGAGGTGCTCGTAGCATTGCTCAATGGCTACATAGAAGCCAGTAATACTGGTATCCCAAGCGGCATCGAACTCCGGGGGGATCGCTTCCTGTTGTACATGGTTGCAAGCGCATATGTAAGAGAAGTCGACTAAGTACAAAGACGTCAGGGCCAACATCTGGCATCCATGATAGGAAAGCAAAAGGAAAATACTAAGTCATCGATGAGTTTTCATTTCAAGCGTTAGATTCTTCAAAGTCGAGTGTGAATAGAATTCCATCTGTATTGCTTAGCAACCACGTAGTCATGTGATGTCGATGATAGTAAAGATAAGAAAAGACATAGAGTGGACGTCAATGACCATGCATGGAAGAGAGGGTAAAGTAGTGGTGCCTCTGTTGCCATCTGCCAGGGAATGTCACGCATTTGGATTATCTCGTCAACCTGCTTGTTGTACTCGGTCATGTCACCCAGTTGGTTTTCAGGAAGAAGTGCGGGATCTCCCCAAATTTCGCCGTCCGGGTGTGGAACTGATTCATCTTGTTCGAAGTAATACTTCAAAAAGATCTCGCGGAGGAAGTGGCCGCAAGTCACTGCCCCTCCATCTGTCGTGAAGTGCAGTCCGATAAAACCGTCAAAGTTCTGCATTGGAGCTACAGCTGAAGGATCGGGAAGTAGCTCGGCTATGCGCAAAGCCGCGCACCAAGCTTCTTTCCACGAAGCTGTATTCGTGGAGCCGCCTTGCATTCGGTCGACGCTGTCCGTGCTAGTAACTAGTACTGGAATTGGAAGACGGTAGTATTGGTCGACAGCTCTTGGCAGATGTTCCGCGACTGTTGCGTTCATCTTCAACGGAAGCCAAATCTCGCCACAACCTACGACCAAATGCGCGCTGTGGTCTCTAAGCCGATTCCCCTTTCTCTCCTTGCACCCTTGCATGTTTCGAATGTTGCTATTCGTTCCATCTACTTCGAAGTGAATGATAGTGAGAGCATTTCGACTTTTTTGCAAGAAACTACGACGCACTGCAAGCCGTATAGCTCGATCCACTTGAAATATCTGATCCTCTTCGAAAAATCTCCTCTGCCCTTTGAAGTAATACTTGACAAGCTTCTCCTTGTTTTCACGCGTCAGCTCTAGTCTGTCCTGTGCTTTCAATCCTTTGACGTCGATCACAGAGGCTGCTGCACCCGTTGAAACGGGTAGAAAGGACGTGGTCTGCGGCTGAATGGCAGATGTATGATTAGAAGATGACGAGGACGAGCCTGGAGTCGGTTCCACTAGCGCAAACCCCGCCCGTTTCATATCTGTAGCTGTTTGGCGCTCGAGCTTTCTTTGTAGCTTCAACTCTTCCCGTTTCGTTTCGATGTGCTCCTTCGACATCAAGGCTGAATTCAGGCGGCCTTGCATATTTTTCAGATGTTTGCTACTGTTGCTTCTGGCACTTCCTTCGGTCTTGCCACCTAGGATCTCCATCTTGAATCGATTCAAAGACGATGATCCAGAATTTGAAGAAGTAGAAGCTTTAGCCTTAGCGCCAGCACTACTAGATGACGAAGACGAGGAGGCCCCAATAACACCAGTGACGCGGCTCGGCAGCATAAGACTACCACTTCCCATCCTAGAAGACCCCCGCTGCTGACTGTCCTGCACATGCTTAAGATTCCACGTTGGTCTCCCCTGGTGCATGTCTTCGTCATCAGATGACGACACCAAGTTCACTACACGCTTCTGCGCCGCTCTGGATTGGTGGGCTTCCCGTTGCGCTGCTGCTTGCTTCAAAGCTTTACTTATTGCTGATTTTTGACTTTGCTTTGATGACTTTCCCATTTTCCGACGCTTCGAAGCGTGCGGAAAATCCTCGTCCGATGACGACGACATGTTTATTGATCGTCTGTGTCGTCAGAGTATGTGAAGTTTTGAGTTACAAGCTACATGTTAGAAGCTTCATTAGACTGCTCCAATATGATTAGAATCAATGACTTGGAACACCTTGATCATCTTAATGAGAACGGAATAAAATACAGAATACGACTAGACTGCGTCTACAATCGAAATCACAAGCACGATTACCACCGAAATAAAAACTACAACAAGCATACACTATCACCATCGAGAGAGCAAGCACCATTACCACCGAACTCAAATTACAACGGCACTACGATCTACTACTACGATGCCCACCAAAGGAGAATGGCCAAGCCAATTATCGACGTCATTATCATGCCATTTGACATAAACCTAGAAGGTAGCACTACTCTCGAAGGAAGGGCTATGAGACAGTGGCTGATGGTGCGTTCATCGAATCCAATCGGTTGTGCCAGGTGGAGCAAAACACTAAACTAAACAGGGCTGCACTATGCTATAGACTAGACGCTGGCGCCTGCGCTGATGAATCTGTCTTCTATGTCAACTCCCAGACGAAGCCCAAGTGAACTACGCCCTATCTTGATACGACGGAAAATAGCGGACCCAAATGAGAACGAGAATCAACATCAATCCTGAATGTTTTCCACTCATCTTCGGCCGTTTTGATTTTAGAGTCCATCCTTTTCTCGTCCTGTTTTGGAGTCGTGGGCTAAAGTCTTTCTTTTGCTTTGAAAGAAGCTGCTCTATTTCATAGTCGCTCTTCAACGCATCGCTCTCTTCTGCTCTCGTGTCGTCTCATACTAAATCACAAAGCCAGCTGTCGTTACGAGCGACAAACAAACAGGGACTAGCACTAGGTCTTCTCGGTTCATATGAAAAAACAACAGACTTGCACGTGCGCAGCTTTATTCACAATCTTTCCCATGGAGAGGTCCTCTTTCACCCGGCCTACTGAAAAAACTGTGCAAGGATACCAAACCGATTCAAGCCTGCAGCGAATCCGCACTACTTGAGACACCAACGACGTTTGTCTACATTGATTCGCTCGGGAAAACAACGCCAAGGCGCCGACCTTTGATAAGAGATACTTCATCACCTGCTTGCAGTTTAGAGTCGCGCACTGAGAGGCCACATGGCGTGACCTACTTCCTTTCAGCCCATGCGTTTTGTTATGCCAGTCCAATAGCATCACTACATGAAAAACGGCTGGACTAGCATCCGCACAAGATCGATCTGATTGCCATTATAGACATAGCGACTGCTGTACTATAAGATGGATAACATAAGATGCGAACCTGACGCAGTATAATGCAATGAGTTCAAAAATGGATCAGGATGTGCATTGGTATTGGTGCGAGGATCCGCATCAATCTAAGATAAACCGTTGACTTCGTAATCTACTTCGATCAAAAACGACGAGCATGTGCTTGCCGTCCCTTCTCCCCATTGACGCACGATTCTGGGACCCGTGGGCGCTATGCTTTTGGTTTTCATGCTGTGCGGCGCCGCATGGCCTTGTCTGCGGACAACGTTCAATCGCCAGGACGTCTCGCACCATTAGACTCAGAAGTGACGCAGCCGTCGGCTAGAATGAGAGACAAGTTACTAGCATACGACTGTCAGCCCAACTCTTGCGGCACAAGTGCGAGACGCTAATCTAAAGCTGTAGCTTTTCGCTGAGTGAACTTACCTGATCAAAACACGCATGGAATTCTCGACATAGTATCTATACTTACCTATAGACAACGACTTCCATCCTCCATAAACATAAGATTCATAGCGATAATTGGCCTGAGCTGGCACTTTCGTTTCTACTCCTTGGTGGATCAGGCTCGTCTCGCATTCAGCGTCAGTTCTTCTGTTTCGCCGAGGCTCTTACGTTCCATCCGCTAGAAGGAGTCTATCCTTCGATCAGCAATCGCCGCTCCGAGTAGCATGCGCCTTCAGTTCCACACACCTCCACTCTCAGACTGCTCCTGTGTGTTAGCTGCTCGCGAATGCGTCGTGTCTGCTCTGATCAATCGTTCTATACCAGGCTCGCTTTGCCGCAGCTCTCGGCTTGCGTTGAGGTTGACTTGCAGCGCGACGACGAGGACAGGTTGCAGCGAATAGATGAGCCGCTATCCTCCAGACCACCACGGCGGCTACCGGCGACCGCGCTCACAACCTCGCTTCCGTTACCCTGCTGCTGCTCCCCTTACTCGACTCTGCTTCCCTGCTTGCTCCCTGCTGAATCAAATCGAGCCGGGACGCCGTCGGCCACCGATAGAGCAGTGGAATCTGAACACAAGTGCGCTAGCACTCCCAAGCTCCTTCCCCGGGGAAGGAAACCACTCAGCTGCCTTATAATAATAAACCATAGAGGAGCATGCGCGGCCTGATTGCTTTTGCAACCGCAAAAAGAAGAATGTAACGGGGAGCAAGGTTTTAGCCCCGACAAGCGAAAGAACCTGCCCCGAAGTGCGGAATCTTCCCCCGCATGTGTTTTGCGAATTCTGACGACAGAAAAGGCTCAGCAGTGGAGGAGCCCGGGCGCCAAGAGGAAAGCAATCTGCTCACTGGCTGGATTCTGCTCCCAGTAGGAGGAGCTTCGGCAAAATCTAGTCATTTTCTAGGCAAAATATAGGAGCAGGTTCCTAAAAGCCATCGGCTCGCCAATATTACAATTACAAACGTCAAAAATACTCCGATACACATTCACTGAGCAACCGCCTGGACCCGGTTTGGTGCGGTGTGATGGGTTTGACCATAGCGGCGTCAGTGGTTTGATGGTATGCCTGTTGGTCCTTGTTCCAGCGGTGTTGCGATTGTGCTAGTGGATTTCAATCTTGGCATCCGGAAAGTGACGCGTATAAGCAGAAAGTTTACTTGGCAGAAAGAGAGAAGCTACCGCGGGGGCCGCGCTTGTGCGTTTTTCCGAAAAGGTATAGACTATCCATCGATCTTATTAAATAGGGGCTCTGGGTTTCCGTTGGTTGCCACTGCCAGCCGGTACGAATTTGGAGAGCATGCGGGCAGGGGTGTCGCCGATGCTGTTGGGATTTGATGGGCGCAGCCAAGTCGCGGGGCCATTGCGTCATCTTGCAAGCCTTGCCCACAGCCTCGGAACTCATCGACGAGGAAGGAGGCCGCGCGTGGGAGGGTCGTCGCCACGCAGGGGCGGGGAGATACGGCCTGAGGGTCTGACCTCCTCCAGCTGAGTCGGGAAAGCGTCCAGACCAGCGGCGCGGCAGTGGCTTGGTGTCGTTTGATCTGCGCAGTCACACTATCGCGGAGCCAAGTGCGCCAAATCGTGGAGCCGGAGTCTCCTGCGTCGAGAAAGAGGCCGGTAGATGACGCCTCCGGGTGAGAAGTCGGGCAGAAGCAACAGAACGCGGCGCAGTCCATACTCTACGAGCAGCCGCGGAGCTTTATCTTGCCGATGGTTATTTGTGTCGCCTGCTTTGTCTTTCTGGCTGCCAGCGGGCCTGGTCGTGAAGGCTGGCGCCAGCGCTCCTGGTCCGGATGTGACTCCCACCCGCACGCTTGGCCGTGCGTTTTTTTTACTCAGTCCATTCCTCGGCGGTTCTTCGTGAGGGTGTCTCGGTTGCAATCAAGAAAAGCGACAGCGCTGCGGAGCCGTGGCGGGGTTTCATATTGATAGGCGTGCACGCTTATAGTGGTAGGGTAAGAGCTGGGGCAGAGGCTGCGCCTCTATCTGTTTCTTGCACATTCGTATGATGATGGCCACCCTCGTCACTTCTGCCAGATGCCTGGGGGTATTTGGGCCGCACCCACTCGCTATCCTTAATAGTAAAGCCGTGGACAACTGGCCAGCCTTGCCCTGTGTCCCTCTGTTGTGGTGTGGTCACACTTTCCCAGACGGGTGAACGGGCAAAGGCGCCGCGTGAGGCTGTTGCCTTCGGCGGTATGTCCGCGGTTTCTTTGCAGTTTCACCGTTTTGACAGTGGTGCCCAGCGGTGGCACCTGTACGAGCGGGAGAGGCTTGGCCCCGTGGAATGCTGTCTCTGACAATCGTGCTCGGCCCATCTAAGTCGCCAGAGCGCTCGCCCCTCAAAGAACGGCAATCGGCGGCCATTTCTGCGGTAGCCCGTGCTGCCCGCGATGAAGGGCCACCGTGAAGGGCCACCGTGGTCTTGAGGCCCTTGCCCCGCTCTCCTCACCCTCTCCAGTGACTGAGTGCCGGATGAGAAGAGGGCTATCGCCGTACGGCGTTGCGCCCGCGCTTGCTTCCGTTGGCGGCGCCATTAGCAAGCCGCCGCAGAGCCCTCGCAGAGGGTCCAAAGTCTGTAGTTAGAAAGTTTCGGCCCTGCACGTGAATGACGTCGCTGGAATTGTGCAAGGCATTGAAGCCTGAGCCAGATGCGCCTCCATCATCAGCGGGCCTAGCGCTGAACGCTTTCAGCGCGCCTTCGCCGTCTTCTTGTCAGGGAAAGCATGACCCCAGTAGGGGCTATCCGGCGCGCGTTGCGTGGTGTGGTCCATATCTGGAAGCGTCACAGAAGACACACTCGAGAGGCTGCTCTTTTCGGTGAGTAAAGTTTCTTTGCGAAGATTCCCCCCTCCATTTTGCCGCTGCTTGTAGATTCGTGGCATGGGTGTCGTCGTGCCGCGTGCACATCCTTGGTAGTTTGTTTCGCTTTCTCACCTGTCCCCCGCTTGCACTGCCGTGAACAAGACCACAGCCATGACCCCCATCCCCATCGTCACGCACAGGTGATTGCGCCTGAGGTTGAGAAGTTGGAGCTTGGTTATCATGGCTAAAGCGAAGTCGAAGCCCACGCCAAAGCGGCGCGCTTCGTTTGCACATGAAGCCGTAGAGAAAACTACTCGTGGCCCCGCAGCAAGTCCTCCGGCTGCGGGAGAACGGGGCAAGCCGAATCTGTCTGATCTTTTTCAGGGGCGACTGGTATTCATTATGATATAACTATGTAGATGCACGAACTGAAGCTGCGTCTCTATTCTGGAGAGGACGGCTCATTTACCTGTATGGCAGACTCAGTTACCACGTTGAACTTCCATGGAGCTGAAATATAGCGCAGCTAGAAGAAGACGCCACCAGCTCCGCATCCACTAGAGTCTCTTTTAGCTTCATTGTAAAACGAATGTAGTGCATCATAATCATTTTTTTGCATACGTACTTGTTGGGAGGAATCAGCTCGCATTCTCTTCCCAGGTTTCGCGCGTTCCAACCGATATGTGGGCGCAGATGAGCTTGGGACTGGCACAAGGATCGGCTGAGGCGAATGGGATTAATTCGCAGATACAGCAACTTAGAAACTTCTTGCAGCGGGTGACAGATCACAGCCCAAGTGGTTTTGTGGATATTCGATCAAGTTTGGAGGAAATTCAGAGTGGTTCTACGGAGGCGCCATCATATCAGCGAATTCTGGAGATCAGCACGGAGATGCCAGAGGTACTTCCACGCTGGGACTGCTTCCTTATTGGAAAAAGCGCGCGCTCGAAGTCTTTATCTTTGTGATTCACTTTTACCATATATACTTACTTGAAGAGGACGCTTGATTTTTTTGAGCTGGTTTCTGTTTTTTCACGATTAGGACGCAACTCGAATCAATATCAAAACCAAAATGGAATACATAGGAACCTTCGGACGATGGTATGCGTGGTAGTTCGGCTATTTCAGACGCAAAGTTTGCAGCTGTATCGAGTACACCTACACAGAGCACGACGGCAGGTGCGTCGCAGGATGATGATGAACTCGACTTCATGAGTGAAGACGAGGAGGAAGGAGAAGGCGCGGGGGCCTCTACCAAAATGAAGAAAGGGCAACTACGCAGAAAGAGCTTCGTGCATCCAATGCGAACCGCCGACTTTCACATCCCGTGTCAAGGTTTTCATAAGGTAATGATCTGTTTTTAACTATACTAATACTTGCGCCAAGATATGTTTGGTTCAATGTTTGAGTTTGACTGTGCGCCTTTTGGCGTTGTAGTGGTTGAAGTAAGTAGTTGTGCTTGTAGTTGTATGTGTATCCCAGGCAAGGATAGAACAGACCAAGAATCTTTCTTAATGAATACGAAGAACAATGCGTCTTGCTTCTTAAGTTTATAAGCCGCAATCTGTCACCCTCCAGGTGGTAAAGGGCATCATCAGGATGATCGAGGAGGAGCAGGAGGATGAGGATACTTATGGAAAGCCGGGCACTACTCGTCTAGGGCGAGAAACGAGCAAAGTCTTACAAGAAGGCGTAGAGCAGTGGTGGATGGAGTATTGCGAGGACCTAGCGCGCAAAGAGGCAGAGGAGTCTCTGAAACGTGAAGCAAAAAAGGAGAAACGTCGCAAGAGTCAAACCGTTACGATAGGAAGAGAGTTGGTAGTCAAGAAGTCATGCGTAGAGCATGAAAGAAATACTGAGTGCCTATGTATATAGTACTTATTCATGTCGTCAAATCCAGCCACTTACTCTAAAAGACTTTCTTTTAGATTATATTTGATTTATTGGAACTGGAGCCATGCGTTGAGTCTGAACTTGTAGAAGGGAGCTCCAGTTCTTTTGTTTTGGTAGTTCTTTCAAGTAGACAGAGGCGCTACGGATCTACTGATTGTGATGTTCTGTCTTCTAACAATGCCGCGGGGAGAACTTCGTCAAAGGCAGGACAAGGACCCGCGTCCGAAGGTCCCGACGCGCCTGGCTCTGCCGCGGCTTGAGTTTCGAGATCGGGATTAGCGCTAGTCTTTGTCTTACTCGAACGACTACTATAGAACCAGTGTTGTGGATGGGACAGCGATTTTCAGCGACGCCTTGATGGGCAGGATTCGTTGGCTGGATGATCGTGATGGGTATTGAGGATGAAAGTAAAAACGGGTGGGAACCTTTCTTGGAAATTAGAGCTTGGAGCATGCATCTTCTATCAGTCCAGTGGACTCATGATCGTTACTGTGGAGAAGTTTTTCTGATTGCTTTTGCCGTTGATCAATAGAACAGCTACTATGGATATAGTTGAAAGACGCAGATACTTCTAGAGAGTGCAGGTTGCTCACGCAGACTAAGAATTCTGAACGTTTCTCCTCCATTTAGTATTAGTTGTAACCTCCTCTGAAATTAAAGCCTTGAGTGCAGCCTTCCGGTGAGCATTAGGACCCAGAGCATTGATTCTTTTTCAGAAGCGGGCAACAAGGAAGTTGGTTTTTTTGTATGCTGCTTTGATTTTCGCTCTCACTTTTAATTGCAATACTGGATAGAGAAAGACATGAAAGTATAGACTGCGTTCTAATGTGCTCGTGGACGGAAAAGATAGGTCCTCAGTTGTCAAACTGAATGCTCCCTGCTATTTGCTTCGAGGCTGAATCTTCACGCATGCGTCCCGCCTTCGGTTGGGGCTATTCGTTGCCTTCTTGAGGGGTCGCGATGATCAGGATCGCTTGTTTATCTTTATGGTTTATATTGTGAGGAAGAGGATCATATGAAACGGAATGCGAGACCACAGACAAAACGAAAATGGACGAGAGAAACATGAAGAAGAAGAAGCTGGCTATGCAATGAAGACCAGTAGGAGGAAAGACTAAAACTCATAGTCATGGCCAAGCACTGCTATGCCTATCCTAATCCTTATGCAGTTGTAGACCTATGTGTACGTATATGGGTGAACTTTGAAAAGAGATTCGCGCGTGCACAAAATTGGAATCAAAAAGGATGGCCCTCAAATGAAGCTGAAGGCGCAGGATTTGAAGAATGGCAAACGGCTTACCTAGTCGTGGAGTATAGATATACTATGTCTAGGATGGCTGGGCATTTATGACTATGGCGAGACTCAGAGCGCAAAAACAGCGGCCAAGTGATACCTAATGGATCAAGTCACGCGCTTGTTAGATTTATAGACTTAGACTATCTTTAACGCCTACAGTTCTTGTTTTTTATGTGATTGCATTCCTTTTTGTGAGCGTGATTTCTATCCCTAAAGAAAAAGAAATGGCCTCCGCGGACGCGCTTCTTGCGCGAGCGCTGGAATCCATGGGGATGACAGTTGCGACTCCTGCGGCATCCGGACTTGCGTCTTCATCAAGTAGCTCTAGCAACGCAAGACAGAATCTCGGTGCGGCGTCTGCTTGTCTGGGACCGAGAGATCGACGACCAGCGAACGCGACTAATCTTGAGCAATTCTTTGACGAGTATGAAAACGCCAAGTCGTCGCACGAGCAGCCTGAAGTCGATAAGCGTCTTCTCCTTTACTTGAAGGAAGAGTTCTGCTCGACCCTGCAAGAGGTATTTCCGGTCAAGAAAGTAAAGGAGTGGCGCAGTCCGTTAGTAGTAATTCGGGTTGAGCCAGATGGGACAACGCGGGGGGTCCTTGGGACTGGACCAACAGGCCGATTTGTAGATCGTGGCGCGCACTGGCTTGTCCAGTACGGTGAAGTGATAATAATCCAAGATACTACATTACTCAAAGTAAGAACGTCGGAGTCGGGGCTTGAAGAGGAGGCAGAGTTAGAATCTGCTTCCGCGCAAGTGCAAGAAGCTAGTAGTAGTAGTAGTAGTAGCACAATTACTAACCAGAGCGAAACTGAGCCGACATCGATCGAGCCGCTCCTGATGCGCATTCCGCTGCCATTGTCAACGAAGAATGTGTCAGCTAGCCGTCCACCTGCAGAAACTGACATGGAGTATAAGCCATCGGTAGTTTCTGCGTACACTGTCAAGGAAGACATGAAGGAACTCGTGGGAGATTGGATCCATTCGCTACTTTCGGTAGACATTGACGCCCTCTTTGACTTAGCGTCTGACTCTGCGGCGGAAGCCATTGCAAAGGTGGCAATTCTGGCCGAGATGCTGTCCAAGGAGTACTTGCTCTTCCATTATGTTTATCTGCTAGGTTGAGTATGTGGCTTTCTTCAAAAGATGACGCTGAGGGCCACCTAGTCCTAGACCTAGACATACTATGGGTATGGCAAGCCTTCTTCTAGTTCTTCTACTAGTATAGTCGAGGCAATAGCGAAAGTGATTGCGTAGCTCTTGCTCTTCTTCTTGCAGGTTCCATCATCTTGTTTTTAAAACGTCAAAGGTTCCCTTCGGCTTCTTTCTTCATACGTCGCTGCGAAGAACACCAACTAGCCATTACTGGCATCCGGACGATGGAGAGCTTGGCAGATTACATGCGCGCCTCTTTACAGAAGGCTAACAGACGTCTTCTGTGTGAAACGCGTGCCATGCGCACATCGCAGCAGAAGTGCCAGACGGTTTGTTATGAAAAGTGGAGGTCTGACGTGCATGTTGATGCCGGGTTTGCAAACACTTGGACACGCGAGAAGCAGATCTGGGGGCAGTTTCTAGCCGATTTGAATGAGTCGCAAGGTGCTATACATATGACTTTAGTGATTATGTTTATATGTTTCGTTAGCGATAGCTCGGCAATTTGTTGAAGTAGATGCAGCCTTGCGCTGAGAAGCTGCTTTTTTTGTGTGGGAGAAGAACAAGACCCAAGAGAGCACTTGTCGTATCTCTCTTACTTTTGCTTGTGAATGTAATTCAGATATACGGCGCGGACTAGAAGGGTCGGCATTAGTATCATCCAATGCTGTTTTTTTGGATACTGGAGAAACACCGAAAAAGATTCTGATATCTAGCGGCGACAAAGAAAAACTGGTGCAGACGATGTGCAGAATGTACAGGGCATTGTCCGAGCCCAGGGATAGTAGGTACTAAGATGTACTTTGAGGCGTTGGCTGTATGGAATTAGATGCGTCCTTGTTATCTAATCAGGATAGACTTACTCAATCTGTGAAGGGAATGCAGATGCTACGTTATATTATAACTAAGAACTTAAGTAGGTCCTCTAGCAATAGGCCTTGATTTTAATCGTGAATAAATAAAGGTGGTTGACGATCGCGCCTGCTTCTGCTCGGCGGTGCAGTTTATTCGTTGCTGGTTCGGAGGGAATTCTTGTTCTGGGCAGCACGTATTATCTTGGAAAAAACGAACCCAAGTACGAGGCGGAGGCTTTGGATGACTACTACGCTTATTTCATCCTCGGGCAAGCGTTGGCGCTACAGCCGGTGAATAAACTCGAGAGAGGAGTTTTACGCCAAGCGGATACTGCTCGTACGGTTTCTGATGACGTTGGTTTCATGCAGCCAATTTTTGCGGAGTGTTGTGCATGGTTGGAAGATGTGATAGCGAACCGCCTACGGGAGTACTGCAGCATAATAACTTACCCGCGTCAAGATTTGGAGCATTTGGTGCCCAGTCTAGAGTCCGGAGTAGATTGGGCTGCCACCGTTCAAGCAGGCGAGGTAGCGTGGCGAGTATGGGAGAGCCCTCGCGATGAGCATGTTACTGTGGTGCGGAGGTTTTTGCGTGGTATGCTTGGGCATCTTCAAGCGGATGGTGCTACCTGTGAGACGATCGTTGCGGAGCTCAAAGAAAGGCCTCAAAAGGCTTTGGAGTCTGGTGATTTATCTGCGTGGGTCTTGAACCATCTCTCTCGACGAATAGCCGTGGCTAAGGACCCTGTAGCACGCATGAAGAAGATCGTGACTGGCCTCTGTGCTTCGAGCAGCACCACCGTAAACGTTGAGAGGGCTATATGCTCTCGGAAGCATCTGCAGCAGTGCTTGCAAAATGAGTGGAGAAGCCTGGAGACGTTGGACTACATCCACTACCGTCGGCTCTTCGTGCGTGTGAGCCAGCGCGTCACTGATGATATTGCTGAGGAAGCAGAAGCAAAAGCAGGAAAAGCCAGAGGCACTGCAGTAAAAGTAGGCACAGTGGTAGACCCAGACGTGGATCAACGCATGAGGCGAACGAGTGCGTATCATCAAGCTATGAGTCGATGTAACGTAGGGCGAAGCGTTGCCGCAATAACAGGGCCAACTGAAATCACTGCTGCAGACAGAAAACGCGCTAGGGAAATTAATCGCAAACTGCAGCAGAAGCGTGAGCGAACTCCGCTTATTTTGCCAGTCCCGTTCAAAAGTCAACGGGGACTCGGAGGCTCGTCGACTGCGGCGCTACCACCAGCAGCAATAGGCGCGCAAGAGCAGCCGTGGGAGGCTGGGTTACCCTCGTCGAGGACGCATGGGCACGACCATCGTCCGATCGAAGACCGGCCACTTCAAATGATGCAACGGCTCCTCTCAGCCTTGCGACGCAGAACGCAGGCGGCGTACGTCGAAGACAAGAAAGGCGCGTGGAAAGAAGAGGCGAAAGAGATGAAGCGCCGGCACTTCTTATCGTACCCTGCAGCAGACTTGAACTTGATCGATCGGCTTTCGCATACTCCAACGGAGTTTGAAGTGAAGCTTCCGCAAATATTAAAGGCTCGCAGGGAATTACTAAACGCAGCGGCCAAGGCTAAGAGAGGTAGTGACGGCGTGCTGTATGTTAATGGAGAGGCAGATGACGAAGAGGCGGCAGTCGCAGTGACGGGCGCAGTAGCCTTGGGGCAGTCTCAAAATGCAGGAAAGGAGCCAAAGAAGAAGAGACAGCAGAGAACATTTAGGTCGCTCGTAGTAGACGGAAATCCTCGACGCGTCGAACCTCACGCAGAGCTGCCACAAGTTTCAGATATCCAGAATTTGCAACTACTTGCCTTGAAGTGCCCAAGTGGCACCTACTTGGTGACAACGGTGCTTGGAGGAACCAATGAGCACGCTTTCATTGCTTGCAAGAAATTTACTGATGACTACAAACGCTTGGACAAGAGCTGCTTCTACTTCAGTAAGAACCATCACGAGTTTAGTAACAGTGCGTATTCGGCAGGAACGACGGTAGTTCACGCAGCAATGTGGAGCCGCTACGATGGATTGACTCTGGGCCCTTCTCTCGATGTGTTAACCGAGTACAAGGGAGGCGATTTGAATCAGGCAGACGCAGTGGGAGGCTCAGCGGCCGTTGTTGCGCAGAGACGAAAGAAGGTCATCCCAGACAACAAATTACTCATTGAGTTTGAACAGAGGACGGATCCACTGGAGAAGGCGCTTCTGATTTTAGCGCACAACAGTAAAATGGCGACAAATCAAACGCGGAAGCGGCCCAAGGTGAACCATGGGGATGTGGCAAGTTCAGAGACTGCTGAAGGCAAAGCAATCAAAAACAACAACAACGATAGCTCCAGCAGCAAGAGGAAGAAAGTCACGAATTCCAAGGACAACAACAGCATCAGCGCTACCACTTCGCCGGCGAAGAAACAGATCAAGTCAAGCCCTGGGAAGATTGATCTCGAGTTCGACTTTGAACTAGGAGCTGGCGCTAGCGCTACGTCCATTGCGCACCAGCACGCAGGGGCAGTAGACCTAGACTCCGGGCTGACATTGAACGCTGACGACAATGAGCCCAGTTCTGATGAGGAAAGTGGCATGGTGTTGCTTGAGTCTGACGCGGAGCCAGCGCCAGTCGCTCTGTTTGATTTCGAAGCCGACGATGTCAAAGCAAAAGATCGGCCTCCAGCTCCTGCAACTTTGGGTGGGTCAGCAATAGCACTGTCGCAGTCAGCGAGTGGAACACTAGGTCGCAAAGCCACGGCACCCACATCTCGCAGTAAAGTAGTTGAGATGGAAGAGCCTGTGACGCTTACAAGGGTCAAGACGTCTGCTGAACTTGCTGAAGCGCGGCGGATGAAATCGATTGAACAGAAAGAGACAGCAGACGCAGGCGCTTGGGAGTTCAATGAGAAATACCATGGTAGGTGGGTAATGGATGCTGACGCGCAGGAGAATGTCGTTGTGCGATGCATAGGGAAGTTCCGCGTCGCCTTGCAAACGGTGCTCGAAGAGGACAAGGCGATGCGCGAGATCTTGCAGACGCAAGGAAAACAAGGACGAAGGTTTTACAGCAAGAGAAAAGGGGCCCAACGAGAAGACCGCAGTAGCAAGTTCCCGGTCATCTACCTCGAAATGTGGTGCAGACGAGTCATGTTCTTACTTTGCACGGCAGCAGATATTGACGCGACTTCATTTATCAAGAAATGGTCAAGCGTCAGTGGTCCGCTATGGGTAGAGGCAAGAGGCTGCGCGGCTAGTGCAGTGCAGCTTGCAGATCTGAAGGAAATGGCGCGCGTAAAATATTCAGACTTCCGCTGGGTGCAACAGATTTTGCGAAAGCATGGACTGCGAAAATAGTGGATACTCTTGCCGTTTTCCCCTTGGCAAGAAAATTGGCGCTAGTATTCAGTGGTGAACTTTGTGCATAGTTGACTATACATTTCTAAGAAAGACTCAGCTCGGGGTAATTTTCTGGCCGTGTATCATTGATTCTGATCTGCAAAAATTCTTTATGCCGTGGCATTTCAGAACTATTCAAAAATTATTAAAAAATTATTAAAAAATTATCAAAAAATTATCATTCTATTTGAAATGATAACTTTTTAATAATTTTTAATTCATTATTAACAATTTTTGGTGGCTTGATGAATGATTTTAGAAAAATGTTAGTGAGTGCACTTATGATCATACAAATTCCATTTGATATCGCAGGAGTGAGGCTGCGAGGGTATCTAGTGTATAATTTTTTAATGGCTGGAATGTGCAACTTTTTTGATCGTGTAAGAAATTATACCATGCATTATCGTTTGTCTTCTGTGTGCTGCGGGGAGCAGTGACGTCACTGAGTAGGACCAAGACCAATTTACCTGAGAACTTCAAGTAGCTCCCAGTAGCTACCTTTTCTATGACCTCTTCCAAAGTGCTGCGTATTGAGCTGATAGCTTTATATACCGCCAAAGAATAAGCAAGACTAAGGGTGATGCTGAATGAGTACAAATGATTGCTTTTTTCTTCATCTGTGTCACACTAATAGTCCATCCTCATCATGTTCAAGCAGACGCGATGGGCGACTCTTGGCCATGCTTTTGCATGTAGACAGAGGCTGGCAATAGTGGCTTGTGCCTACTCTTTTAAATCAGATTCACATCCACTCCTGCGCGCGTGCGTGCGTCGCGTGTGTTCACTGATTGTCTATGTCTTCGTTACATCTTTGACAGGTCGTCTATCTTGAGTAACTCTGAGGCACGTTCGCGGGAGATCCAGCTTCAGTTTCAAATTGCAACTGCAAAGACAGACTCTTCAAAAAATGCAATGACATGGAGCCGATTTGTTGAAATTGATGCGAAGCTGCAGCCCCACTATGACTATACTTTCGCTATTTTCTTGTCCATGGAAGACCGTTGCCACCTTTTCTTCTGAGTCACCTGCTCGTCGCGATGACGTAAGTCACTTTTCTAATATATGCATGAACGTGAACGTGAAAGCTTTTACTCATCAGTTTAGTTTTCAAAATAGACTATCCTGTTCCCCGAGGAGCGTGGAGGTCATTTTTCTCACTATATATCAGTATCGTCTCCAAGACAATAATTTTCAAAGTAACCACTGAAATCAAGCCCAAGATGCCCGGCAATCGTGGCCGTCCCAAGGGGAGCAAACTTGTGATGCCGGCATCGATGTGGAGTCTAGACGAGAAAAAGCGAGAAGACAGCTTGGCAGATGAAAAGCGACAGAAGCAGAGCGCCGACGCAGAGTACGTGCACAACATGAAGAATGATAAAGAGTATCTCTCCCAAAGGTTGGACAAGATGAAGTTTATGAACACGACGCCAGCGAGGTCGCATGCTCTACGCACCATCTCTGGGTGTACCACTCAACAGACACTGGATCGCAAGCTGAAACAAGATACGACGACGCAGACAAGCTACAGCCTTAAAAAGGACAGGGGCAGTACAGACCTTCTTTTGTTCTTTTTCCTTCTTCATTTCTGTACGTGATGCCTGTCTTCCTCGTAAAGTTGTTGATATGGATAGCTGTTCTTCCACCACTGATTCTGAATAAGGACCATGAAAGTAACAAAGTCTAAAAGATAAACTGAGGGCTCTTGCTTTAAGTCCTGGACGACGGGCCTCTCTTGAAATATTTACTCTCTTTCAAATCAACAACCACTCGCAGCATGGTTCACCAAAGTCAATGGTGCTGGATCTTGGCAATTGCGAGTCACCAGCTTGTTCACACATTTTCACAAGCTCTCTGCGGACGAGGTTGACAATCTAGTGGTATGGAAATGCTTCGATGCTTTGTCTTCCTTTTCTTCGTGATTCTTCCTGACCGTTTTTATTTATTCCAAGAGACGACTTCTTTATCCTCAGCTTCAGACTAAGCTCCTTCACGCTAAGCAACTTCAAGCTCCAGCTCATAGCGACGTCTCATCCTCCTCCTTTTCTGGCCTTCACATCCAAGGCTCCACTTCAAACCAAACCATCTCACAGTGCAACTTCACGAATAAGGATAACACTCCGAAGGGGAACTTCATTTCGCACCCGAACTTAATCAAGGGTGTGCGTGATGTGATTCAAGCCAGGAACAGTCAAACAGTCAACGACCTGATTGCAAGCGCGCGTATGAATGGGACAGCGGATCGATCGGGCGAAATTATTGCGGCGCAGTGCATGCTCCTTCGTTTCGGTCTATGTCGAGGGCTTAACAATTGCCAGACGATTCAGGAAATTTTCGAATTGTATTTGATTTCAATTGTAAGCTGTGTCTCATCTCTTTTCCATTTCTTTTTTATTTGTTTGTAGAAGCCAAAAAAGTCTGCTCGTTCTTGAGTCAGTTACGCCTGTAATAGTAATACATAATGGATAGTCGTCCTTTCTGCGAATCTACTGCTACATCGAAGTGCGCCACTGTGGCTCTAACTTAGTCTCCCTCTCCTTTTCTCTGACAGCGATCGCGCATTGGCTGCAAAGTACAAGAGGCTGACGAAGCAGCCGGCGCGTCATCAGATCAGTGCCGACTATGAAATGGTGCTCAAAGCGATTGAGAATACGATTGCCCAATCTCATAGAAATGAGGAGCTATTATCCTTCGAAGATGGCAAAAAAGATGGGAGTGAGGATGTGGCTGACCCTTGGGTCCACCTATATGCAAAAATTATGAGCAAGGTATCAGTATCATTATTTTTCTCTACCTTGGCTTGAAGGACTTAGGTCGGATTTGATTGGAGCGTGTTCCTCTTTCCAGTCGAAGGATCGGAGTTCCTTGCTTGGTTTTCAGATAAGTGCGCAAGAATGTGATCAGAGTAGTTTTTGCTTTCATTCTGTTAAGCCAAAACTACACACGCTCTCTTGTCCCATTTCTCAGACAATGGCCGAGCAGCAGCTTTATGTGTTGGAGCAGATGAATCAAGAACGCTCGTTGAGTCCGACGAAACGACACAAGCGCTCAGGCGCGACCCATGCTGCACAAGTAGACCTGCAGGAGCAGCGGCAACGAGGTGAAACCTCAGTAAACATCTTGCAGCAGATGGAGAAGGATACTGCGACTGATCTGAACAAGGGAGCCTCGCAGAACGTCGTCTACTCCATGATGGGTGGTGGAGTCGATGCTGCCGCAAAGTTCCTGGCAACATGTGACCAGAAAGCTCATGACAGTTCACAAAAAGAACTAGAGCATGCAGAAGAAGAAGTAAGAAAGACACAGAAGAGAATCGATAATTTGGCGGACGACTTCAAGATGGACATCGAGAAGCAGGAAGAAGAAACCGGTGAGGAATACGACGAGATCGTGGAGGACAACTACCCGCACTTTGGTGAGCTTTGGGAGCCGTATCATAAAGATGACTTCCTTTTCATCAAGCAGAAGGCAACAGGGTACTACATCGATTACCACTTCCACACTTTCAATCATCCGGAATGCCAGAAGGCTTTGCAAGAGACAATGGAGATAGTGCATGAGATGAACGACGAGTATGAACTTCTGAAAGAGGGCAAGAGGTGTGGATTTGAAGAGACAAAGAAGAAACTTCTAGTAGAACTTGCACAAAAGCAGCAGAATCGCGATAGACTCCTTCGCGAATTCGAAGGAAAAACTCAGACTTCCAATTCTGGCAATGCGTTTATGGGTTCGCAACCAATGGAAGTAGACTCATCGTCATCATCGTCATCATCTTCTAGGAAGGTGTCAGCAGTGGTTGTTCATCAAAAAGCGAACCCAAACAATTTGGGTGAGGCGCTGGACATCGTGAGTCAAAACGCCCTCACGCTGAGGGGATTTACTCCTAGTCCTACGCTGGAAATGTTTCAAGCGGTGTTGCCGGCAGTTCAAGCCAAGAGCGCAGAAAAGAGCGTGAGAAACGCTATCAAGGAGTGCTATGAAGGTGATGCCGATAATGTGATTAGCCATTTGGTGCTGAACTGCACGTGGCAAGACTTTCTTCGCGAATTCTTCGAATACCACGGAACCACGGCCAAGCAATGGGTATAGTTATTATATTACTCTTGCAAGCCGTTGCATTTGTATAATTCGTTATCACTGTTCTCGTCTGTGGTCGCTTATTCGTGTACTTTTTAGTGAACTGTAGCTGTCTACTAGATATTGTTCCTCATGTATCCCTATGATGACAAACCTCAACACTCACGAAAGAATGACTTATCTCATTGTCTCTCCCACAGGCTGACAATATTGGGGAGATGCAGGACGCACTGAGCGGTATGCGTACTGCTGTCAATAGATCAGGCAGCAACGATGACAAGGTCACCAAGCTTGAGGATTTGCTTGAGAAATTTGCGCAGCCGGCGAACTCCCCCTCTCATGCTCATTTTCTTCTGGACAATTACGAGAAATTGTTTCTGCTGGGCAAGGGCGTTTATGTTGGTGAAGAACTGAAGAAGAAATATCAAATCGAGGAGCAGGACTTTAGTAAGGCTGCCCTGGCTTGGAAACCAAAAATGCCATGGAACTCGAACGTCGTCGACGAGTATGCTCCACGGGATTACCAGGTAAGTCGTCACTCTCTACCTTAAAAGAGTCAAAGTCGTCTGGTTTTCATATCTTATTAACTACTTACAAAGATGAAGCGAGCCGTATCACCTACGAAGTTACTCTGTTGAAGGAACAGCTTCTGCATACCTCCACAAAATGCTCTCTATCAGATCGTCTCGGAGCTGCTAGGCCGACTCGCGTTGGTAACTTTGAAGCCCCAGGCTGTAGCTCAACGCGGAGAAATCGTGGAGCAGATCAAGTCACAAAATCAAATCCGAAGTCCCGGCCTGATGAAACTCTTTAAAGAAAAAGTGATCCAATGGCTGTCCTCTTTTCACGCTGACGACGCCTTCTATCGCTTCGGCTGTGCGTGCAAGAAGCGTACCTATAATGATAACGCCTTGATGACTTCTATTTGCCATTTCTACCTCGATAGACTTAGACTCTGAATTGTCTGCGCGTGGTGTTTCTTGTGATTCAGATATGTATCTATGAAATATTATCCCAAGCACTTCATTACTCCTCATCTTGTCAACTCATGCTCAATCTCAGAGGACTTGGTTGGTCACCGCGGAGAAAATTTATGCCGAGGAGCTGGACCTGTACACAGAGTATGGACAAGTGGCTCACTCAACTTTGTCCAGCCTTGCGGGCTGCCTATTCGCGCTCAAACAACAGGCCAACATGGCAACCGGAAACGAAAGTGCTCTCATCGACCAAAGCGCAGCTGTGAAGTCGGAGTACTTGAAGATGAAGGACCAAATCGTCGGCAGGCATAAGAACCGCAATGCCGACGCCGACCGCACAGAAGTAGCAGGCCTTCTCTTAGAACGTGGGGAGAAGGCTATTGCGGAACAAAAAGGACCAGGACTCTGCGATGACGCCGTGCCTACATGTTTATTGGTCAACTGGGATATGTCCTCGCCAGACATGAACATCAACAACGCCTCTAGTTCTAGTAGTGGCAATGGCCAGAAGAGTAATGATCTGGTTCGTTCTGGCGATCTTCTGTCTCATGTGAATGACCTTACTTTTGCAGAGGAGGAGGAGATGGTGGCGAAACGCAATCAGGATGCTGCAAAGAAGAAGAAGGCGCGTGGAGGTGGGAGAGATCTTCTGCAACAGGTCGTCCACGATCAAACAGGTTTCATTGCCACGGGAGACAAGACGAAGATGAAAGCAATGAAGAAAAAGGCGACCAAAAAGAAAACCAGCGACGACAATCTAGATGGTTCGCTTGTTGTAAATGATGACGAATTCGGTCGTGAAGTAGAAGCACTAGATGACGGATCTGCATTTGATGAGGCTATGAAGGATGGCGCTACTCCTCCAGACGACGGCTTATTGGAAGGCGATGAGCAAGAAGGCAACCTAGCGCCCGGCGTAGGTGCTGCAAGTTCTTCTTCGGCAAACCAGAAGCAGAATCGCAAAGCCAAAAGCAAGCTGGCTAAGCAGGAACGTCTCCTCGACGATTTCACGCGAGAGGCTGAGTCCCCAGTTGTCGGTCGCGTTCGCACCAGCATCAGTAAAAGCAAGAAGGTGACGCATTTTGATGATGATGATAGTGAAGGCAAAGACGACGCTGAAGTCACTGGTCCTCAGGATGTAGGTGGAGCTGGCACGCAGGCGACCGCATCCGCCTCTACTAAGGGAAAAGGAAAAGGTAAGAAAGGTAAAAAAGGCGTGAGAGACAGCTCGGCTTTCCAACGTGCAGCCGAGCGTTTGTCTCAGCAGCTTCACTTTGATCAAGTTGCTCAGATGCAGTACGGTGGCCCCGTTTACCAGACTGACGACTCAGGTTCCGGCGCTGCCGCCACAGGTGATGCTGGTAAGGAAAGCCCGCCTTTGGCTCCATCCACAGCAGCTCCACCTCCATCCGGTGCTGAGATCGCACGCGCGAAGGCTGCTGCAGCCGCTGCTGCTCGTGCTGCTGCAGCTGCAAGTGCAACGGCTGAAGGCGTCGGCCATGGAGCCGCAGAAAAGGGAAAGGGAAAGGCGACCGCAACCACTACCAGTACCACTACCACTACCACGCCTACAACTCAGCAAGCGACTGCTTCGGCAGCTGCCTCTGCAGGGCCCGCAGCTGGCGGGGTGAATACGGTTTCTCCAGGTCTGACACCCGCTCCTGGTGCTCTTGCTGCTCCACTGGCTCCCCCGGCGCCGCCAGCGCCAACTGCGATCGAAAAAGCATCAAGCAAGGCAGCCTCCGCGTCGACGAGCACTACCACCACTGTGGCGTCGGTTGCTCCTCATCAAACTCCCACATCTACGATTGCAAGCGCAAGTGCAACTACATCTGTTTCCACAGCTACAACTCCAACGACGTTTGTATCTGCTGAGCCGAAGGCGTCGTCTACTTACAGCTACTGCTGGAGCGGCAGGTCTTTCCAACGCGATGCAGGCGTCTGCTGCTGCTGCTAAAAGTGGAACCACTTTGGCCCCGAGTGCGTCTGTGACGATCGCAGAAAAAGCAGCAGGTGTTGCTCCGGTTGTCCCGAAGGTCGCTGCCAAGGCTGGCGTGGTGACTACGGTTTCTCAAGGTCAGAAAGCCAATGCTGATAATCTTGCTGCTCCAAAGGCTTCCTTGCCGCAACCACCTGCGAATGAAAAGGCAGCAAGCAAGGCAGCCTCCGCATTGACGAGCACTATCACCAATGTGGGGCCAGTTGCTCCTTATCAAGCATCCACGCTTACAGCTACAGCTGCTTCTGTTCCTACGTCTACAACTTCAACTACAGCTGTATCTGCGGCTACTGCTGAAGCGACGGGTCTCTCCAATCCCATGCAGGCGTCGGCTGTTGCTGCTGGAACCTCGTTGACCCAGAGTGCGTCTGTGACGATCGCAGAAAACGCAGCTGGCGTTGCTCCGGTTGTCCCGAAAGTCGCTGCCAAGGCTGGCGTGGTGACTACGGTTTCTCAAGGTCTGACAGCCGCTGCTGGTGCTCTTGCTGCTCCAAAGGCTCCCTCGGCGCCGCCAGCGCCAACTGCGATCGAAAAAGCATCAAGCAAGGCAGCCTCCGCGTCGACGAGCACTACAACCACTGTGGCGTCGATTGCTCCTCATCAAACTCCCACATCTACGACTGCAAGCGCAAGTGCAACTACATCTGTTTCCACAGCTAAAACTCCAACGACGTTCGTATCTGCTGAGCCGAAGGTGTCGTCTACAGCTACTGCTGGAGCGGCGGGTCTTTCCAACACGATGCAGGCGTCTGCTGCTGCTGCTAAAAGTGGAACCACTTTGGCCCCGAGTGCGTCTGTGACGATCGCAGAAAAAGCAGCAGGTGTTGCTCCGGTTGTCCCGAAGGTTGCTGCTGAGGCTGGCGTGGTGACTACGGTTTCTCAAGGTCCGGAAGCCTGTGCTGGTCATCTTGCTACTCCAAAGGATTCCTTGCCGCAACCACCTGCGAATGAAAAGGCAGCAAGCAAGGCAGCCTCCGAGACCGCGACGAACGTCGCAGGAACAGGACTCGATACTGCTAAGACTGCGTCTACTCCTCTTCTTTCGTCCTCGGATTCTGAAAACGGTAACACTGGTGTTAAGAACACTACTAAGACCACTACAACTACAGAAAGTGGAAATACCAACAAGAAGAACGAAACGACGAAGAGCACAGCAGCAAAGGCTTCTGCGTCGGGTGTCACAGCTGCGCCATCGGAGGCACAGACCGCCACTACGTCTACGACTAGATCTACAGCGGAAGACGCTGGACCGACTGAGCATCTTCAGCCTGCAGCCCCATCTAGTTCTACTTCTACTGCACACAGATCTCAAGCTGCTTCTGCTCGTGCTCAGGAAAGCACATCTTCCACGTCGTATACGTCTGGCCGTAAGGGATTTGGAAAAGCCAGTCGTGCTCGCGATTATCAGGCATCGTCTTCTTCGTCGTATCATCCTGGCAGAGGCCAAGGCGGACGCGGCGGTAGAGGAGGAGGAGGCGGAAGGAATCGCAGTAGAGAGTACTATCGATGATCTTGTTTCTGTACTGCGTAGTGGACTAGACGGCGGGCTCCACTGTGATGCGAAGACTCTGACTAATTGCCTCTGCGCCCAACATCCCGTGACATGTAGCCACAGGACGATAGCCAGATACTCAAGATCGAGGCTCTCCCCTTACTGATCACTGACAACTTATATATGTAGATACAGCTCGCGGCGTTGATTTAGCAACTTTCTGATATCGAGTTGTCTTGCTGTAGTCGTGCTTCTTCCTCAACATCTAACTGCTAAAGAATGGCCATTCTTAATTAACAATCATAGTTATCCTATGAATACGAATAGTACTAATTTTGATAAGGGCGACACAAACACATACTTATAATGAGAACGCCTGCCATTGCATAGAAGAAGAAGATCCACTGCCTCGCCGTGTCTGTGCCAGGCGTGAGGGATGTGTGATCGATCTCGAAGGCTTAAGCAGTCGCGGGCTTGATGGCTATATTTCTTATGACGAGTTATTTTATTTTTATGAAGATAAACGAATAAACATAAGGCAGCTGCGTACTAGCTTGTCACATCAATTCAGGCTGACGCCTGTGATAGGGAGCGACGTGTGGGAAGGAATTACTGCTACACAGCAGTGGAACGTGTATAATCTTAGCAATCAGTCCTCTTTTCTCGTTGGTATTTTGATTGCGTGAAGAACATTTTCCGAGCCGATCAGACATTGGCTGACGCAGTCAGAGCCAGGGCGAACCCTCGGCATCTGCGTTTCAGATTCCACTTCTAGAATTCGGCAAGATTTAGGATATTACTTTTGTTCCATAATATTAGTATTACTTTCCATAGTCTATCTTCATATCATAGCACTGCTAAATGGTCAGTCTGTTTGTTGTAGGAAACAGTCTGTCCATGATCGTTTTCACTTGACGCCGATCCATCGGCGTGTGTCTTCTATTGTCGTCCTTGCTTTAAAGACAGTTGTTAAGCCAAAATGTAGATTATCGATAGATTGAGAGTCTTGTGGTGTATTTGGTTCCAAGAATCAAGACGGGCGACCGACATGAGAACTCATGGCGATGAGGATGATACTTTGCGTTTTTACTACGTCCAGTAAGATAGGTTGCCTCGGTCTTGCTGGTCGTGTATGAGCGTGTGAATTATAAGCACAACACAACTCCAGACCAAGCGTCGGCAGACCTCTCACATAGACCGAGCAATTCCTCTGCAGCTTTCGAGGTAGTACGAGCATGAAAGTATTGGGCTTCAATTGTTGGATCTATCGAGTTTGTTTTCCATATCGAGGGGCACAAGTCTACTTTTTTGCAGGACATATGAACGAATCTTCTCAAAGGTCTCCACCGCGGGCGTCGATCGCTTTCATGAACATAGTAGTAGCTTTTGAAGTTTACTTTTTTGCAAGAGCCTCGAAGCTCTCGCTTCTTGTTTTCTGATGGATTATTTTCATTTTAGGCATACAAAAAAAAAAACACAACACAAAAAAACGGAAGACGCGCAAATATCGGGTCGTTTGAAAATCGGCGCGTTTGAAAAAAAGGGGGGTTTGAATTGCCGCGTTACCAAGGAGGGGAAGGAGATGGCCGGGTCTTGCAAGAGCGAGCCGCGCCCTGCGAGAGAGGGCCGCGCCTTGCAAGTGCGCGCCGCGTCTTGCGAGTGCGCGCCGTAGGTAGGGCGCGGCCTTGTCTTGGCGAGTCGCGCCTTGCTCTTGCGAGTGCGAGGCGCGTCCTGCGGGTGCGAGGCGCGTCTTGCGAGTGTGGGCCGCGTCTTGCGGGTGTGAGTCGCGTCCTGCGAGTGTGGGCCGCGTCTTGCGAGTGCGAGCCGCGTCGTGCGAGTGCGGGCCGCGTCTTGCGAGTGCGAGCCGCGTCGTGCGAGCGCGGGCCGCGTCTTGCGCGTCACGCCTTGCGAATGTGGGCGGGCCGCGTCTTGCGAGTGCGAGCCGCGTCTTGTGAGTGCGAGCAGCGTCGTGCGGTTGCGAGTGTGAGCCGTGTCCTGCGGGTATGAGTGGCTGCGTCTTGCGAGTTCGGGCCGCGTCTTGCGAGTGCGAGTCGCGCCTTGCGAGTGCGGGCCGCGTCTTGCGAAGGCGGTCGGGCCCGCGTCTTGCGAGTCGGGTCATGCGAGTGCGAGCCGCGTCGTGCGAGTGCAAGGCCGAGCCGCGGCGTGTTGTGGGTGCAACTGCGAGAGCGGGCCGTGCCGTGTGAGTGCGAGCCGCGTGCGTCTTGCGAGTGTGACCCGCGGGCGTCGTGTGAGTGCGAGCCGCTCTCTGTGAGTGCGAGCCGCGCCGTGTGAGCCGCGTTCTGCGAGTGCGCGGCGTGTCTTGCGAGTGTGGGCCGCGTCTTGTGAGTGCGAGTCGCGTGCTGCGGGTGCGGGTGCGTGTGCGGGTCGCGTGCTGCGAGTGCGAGCCACGTGCTGCGAGTTGTGTCTTGTAAGTGCGGGCCGCGTCTTGTGAGTGTGAGCCGCATCCTGTGAGTGTGATGCGCGTGCTGCGAGTGCGGCCCGCGTGCTGCGAGTGTGGGCCGCGTGCTGCGAATGCGGGCCGCGTGCTGCGAATGCGGGCCGCGTGCTGCGAGTGCGGGCCGTGTCTTGCGGTCGTGTCTTGCGAGTGTGAGTCGCGTCGCGTCGCGTCGCGTCGCGTCGCGTCGCGTCGCGTCGCGTCGCGTCGCGTCGCGCCGCGTCTTGTGAGTGCGAGCCGTGTCTCGCGAGTGCGAGCCGCGTCGTGCGAGCGCGGGCCGCGTCTTGCGAGTGCGAGCCTTGTCGTGCGAGTGTGATCCGCGTCGTGCGAGTGGGTGCGAGCCGCGCTCTGCGAGTGCGGGCGCGAGTCGCGTCCTGCGAGTCAGTGCGGGCCGCGTCTTGTGAATAAGAGCGGCGTCTTGCGAATGTGAGTCGTGTCCCGCGAGTGTGACGGAGCCGCGTCTTGCGAGTGTGAGTCGCGTCCTGCGATTGTGAGCCGCGGGCGCCTTGTGGGTGTGGTGCGTGTCGTGCGAGTGATGTTCGCGCCTTGCGAGTGCGAGCCTCGTCCACCTGTGAGCGTGGGCCGCGTCTAGCGAGGGCGAGGGAGCCGCGTCTTGTGGGTGTGAGTCACGTCGTGTGGGTGTGATTCGCGTCGTGTGAGTGCGCGCCGCGTCTTGCGGGTGCGAGTGAGTCACGTCTTGCGAGTGCGCGTCGCGTGCGTCTTGCGAGCGCGAGTGCGAGTGCGAGTGCGGGTCGTGTCTTGCGAGTGCGAGCCGCGTCTTGCGAGTGCGAGCCGCGTCTTGCGAGCGCGAGCCGCGTCTTGCGAGTGCGAGCCGCGTCTTGCGAGCGCGAGCCGCGTCCTGCGAGTGCGAGCCGCGTCTTGCGAGTGCGAGTCGCGTCTTGCGAGTGTGAGTCTCGTCTTGCGAGTGCGAGTTGCGCCTTGCGAGTGCGAGCCGCGTCGTGCGAGTGCGAGCCGCGTCCTGCGAGTGCGAGCCGCGTCTTGTGAGTGCGAGCCGCGTCTTGCGGGTCGCGTCTCGCGAGTGTGTGCCAGCTGGGCGGGTGGGTCTTGTGGGTCGCGTTTTGCGAGCGCGGGCCACTTCTGTTCTTGTGAGTGTGGGTCGTGCCTTGCGAGTCGTGCGCGCCGCGTCTTGCGAGTGCGAGTTGCGTTCCGCGATTGTGCGTTCGTTGCGTCTTGTGAGTCGCGTCATGTGAGTGCGGGCCGCGTCTTGCATTGCGGATGCGCGTTGCGTCTTGCGAGTGTGAGCGAGTCACGCCTTGCGAGTGTGAGCCGCGTCTTGCGAGTGTGGTTCGCGTCTTGCGAGTGTGGGCCGCGCCTTGCCTTCTCTTGTGAGTGCGAGCCGCGTCGTGTGAGTCGCGTCGTGTGGGTCGCGTCGTGTGGGTCGCGTCGTGTGGGTCGCGTCGCGTGAGTCGCGTCGCGTGGGTCGTGTCGTGCAGGTCGCGTGCTGCGAGTGTGGGCCGCGTGCTGCGAGTGTGGGCCGCGTGCTGCGAGTGTGAGCCGCGCCGCGCGCGTCAGCGTGGGCCGCGTCGGTCTTGCGAGGGAGTGCGGGCAGGATCTTCCTTTGCGAGTGCGAGCCGCGTTGGTTTTCTCTTGTGAGTGTGAGCCGTGTCATGTGCGTCTGGGCTGCATCTTGCAAGTGTGTGTGTGAGTCACATTTCGTGAGTGTGAGAGAGCCGCGTCTTGCGAGTGTGAGCGAGCCGCGTCCACTTGTGAGCGTGAGGCGCGTCCACTTGTGAGCGTGGGCCGCGTCTACTTTTGAGCGTGGGCCGAGTCTGCTTGTGGTTGTGAGGATAGGCCGCCTCTACTTGTGAGCGCGCGCCGCGGTAGTTTGCGAGTGTGAGGGGGTCGCGCCTTGCGAGTGTGGGGGGGTCGCGTCTTGTCAGTGTGAGTCTGTGGCCTGTCTCCTTTGCGAGTGTGGGGCGCGTGCGTCTTGGCTTGCGAGGAGTGCGAGCCGCACCATGCGCGTGTGGGCGGTTGTGTTTTGTGAGTTCGGGTCGCGTCTTGTGAGTGCGCAGCGCGTTGCGCCTATTCTTGTGAATGCGAGCCGTGTCTTGTGAGTGTGGGCCGCGTCTCGTGAGTGTGAGCGAGGGGCCATGCCCGGCTAGTGTGAGCCGTGTCGTGTGAGTATTGGCCACGTCTTGCGAGTGTGTGTCGCGTCTCTTGAGTGCGCGGGCGCCGCGTCTTGTTGGTGTGAGTCCGTCGCTTCGTGTGAGTATGCGCCGCAGTTAGTGAGTGCGAGCGGCGCTCGCGTCGTGTGAGTGTGAGCCGCGTCTTGCGAGTGTGGGTTCGTTGCGTCTTCCTTGTGAGTGTGGGCCGCCTCTCGCGCGTGCGGTTCGCGTCTTGCGAGTGTGGGCCGCGTCTTGCGAGCAGTCTGCGAGACGCGTCATGTGAGTGTGAGTCCTGTCAGGCGAGTGGCTGCGCGTCGCGTCTTGCGAGCTGTGCGTGAGTCGTGCTCTCTCACGGATGGCACGCCAAGGAGAGCGAGCCAAACTCTCTCGAACGTGAGTCGCGTCGCGTGAGACTGAGTGTGCGCCGGGTCTTGCTCTTTTGAGTGTGGGCCGCGTCTTCTCTTGTGAAGAAATGCGAGCTGGCCGCAGCTTGCGAGTGTGAGCCGCGTTGTGTGAATGCGAGCCACGTCGTGGGAGCGTGGGCGAGTCGATTCCTGCGAGTGCGTCTCCCTCGCGTCTCGCGAATGCGTGGGATGGGTTTGTGAGTGTGAGGGGGTCCCGCTTGGCGGGTGTGAGTCGTGTCGCGTGAGTACCAGCCGCGCCTTCTGAGTGTGAGCTGAGCCGCGTCTTCTGAGTACGGGCCGCGTCTTGGGAGTGTGAGAGAGGGGGTCGCGCTGTGTGGTTGGGAGTCGCGTCGTGTGAGTGTGAGCCGCGTCTTGTGGGTGTGATTCGCGTCTTTTGGGTTTGCTTCGTGCCTTGTGACTGTGAGCGCGGGCTGCGTTTTGCGGGTGCGTGCGGGTTGTCTTGTGTCTTGTGAGTGCTGTGCGCCGCGTCTTGTGATGAGTCAGCGCGAGGCGTGCCTTGTGAGTTTGGGGCAAGTAGGTGGGGCCAGGGTTCATGTGGCTGCAAAGAGACATGCCAGGGCTGGCTGGGTCGGGAGTGGCTGAGACTCTTGCTGGGCTGTCCCAGAATGAGAACGAAGCCGCGCAGGGTTGCCTTGGGGCTTGCGTGCTCCCTTGCCGCCCGACCTCCTTGCGATTACATGAAGCGGGCGCGGCAGAAGCTGAGCACGTCTTAGCCTTGGGCGGGGGCTGCCGGGCCGCAGGTCGCGCTGCCTCGAGGGTGAAGGAATGAGGCTGCGCCTGGGTTAGGGGCTTGCAGAAACCGCCTGACCGCCTTGAGAGAGCGGGGGCGCGAGATTGTGGCGGCGTGGGTGTGTCTCGACTCGGCAGCGTGCTTGAATGAGTGACGGAGGGGAGAGCGGGCTGGAGGTGTGCTGGGTTAGAGTGGATCGCTCGGGGCAGCTGGGTGGCGTCGCAAATTGAAGCGGGCTGCGCTTGGTTGAGAGAAGGGGGGCGAGATGCGTGCTGCGGCTTTCTCATCTGGAGGGGCAAGGGGCGGCTATGTATGCTGCTCGGGGGCTCGGTTTTGGCTGGTGGTGCTTGTGCAGGGGCTTCGCTTTCTTTCAAACGGGTCGATTTTGTTTCAAAGGGGTCGATTTTATTCAAAGCGTTCGATTTTTTCAATAGGAAGGATGGTGGTCGATTCCTTACAAATCGACCACTACAAGATCCTACAAAAGTCATCCCCAGATGCCTACAAATTGTATCCTTTGAAAGCCTACAAAAAAAATCCATCGCTTTGATCTCTCTCAGTAGTTTTCCCGTTGAATCTTAGGCGTCTGGCCTGCTGCTTCTTTCAAACGCTACGATTTATTCAAACACTACGATTTTTCTTGTTTTCTTTCTTTTTTACCTATAGGCCTTCAAGCTATAAGTTGCGTAACCAGATGCGTTGTTATGATGTAATGTGATTTTTTTTTAGCGTGAAGGAGTAGGGACATAATTGAGAACAGCTCTTGTCTACGTGCATCATCTACATAATGTAAATTTTAACTGAGTGGCTTTCATATCGATCGAACAATCGCCGAGATGGAAGAGGAAGCTTGGTATATATATATATACATATATATATACAGCATCGCGCCCATATCGATCAGTAGAACTCTCAATCTAATTTGGATGGGGATGTCTCATGTATCTACTTCAATTGATTTCCATACTAATGATGACGAATCTAAAAGGTATCGCTTTCCATATTTTTTCGCTGCAATTGAAGAAGAAGTTCTCGAGCAGATTAAAGCTGCGACTGATCGTTTGTGCATTCAGGTCGTAGCTATGTATCCATACTGTTTACTGCACATCATGCAAGTAGAATGAGTAACGAGAGACCTCCACTGAGTTCGTGCTGGTGGTATTGGTTCTGAATGAATAGATTGGATTTCGATGGAATGAGATCGATTGATCAGAAACAGCGAAGAACTTCTTTTGATCTCTTACCTCTACTCGATGTTCGATCAGAAACTGACCCACAAAACAAACCCTGGCCAGTATGAAAAGTCTCGGAGTAAGATTCGTCATATGTAGGTGCCTTCTCTCGTTCTGTGTTCGGCTCGTCCTCGGGCGAGGTAGTGCGTTTCGTGAAGAGCTCAATCTGAATGCAAATGGTTTGTTGCGAGAATTGGATAGTAACGTGGTCCCACTTCGACTCGAATCGAAGCGCGCGCGTGTAGAAGAATCAAAATCAATCGTAAATCGAATTTACCAACAGCGAGGCTGCGCGTGAATGAGATGGGTCCCTAACGCTATTTACGTAGATGCGTCTTCTGCTTATTCAAATGGGAACGCGCGCTGATGTTGCTCCTGTCACGACAACAGGCGCCAGTAGTGACCGTCTTTAGTCTCACTCTTTCCATGGTAGCTCCTTGCTTCAAATGGGGCGCCTTTCTTCTAACTATGCTATTTCTATATGTGCCTAGTGTAGCAGTACAGTTAGCAGCTACTTAGCGAGATAGATGAAACGTGTGGGCTCGACGTATGTACGCGCGCCGTGCCATCTGTGCCGAGTGTACTAGTACCACTAGAGACAGGAACTCCGTAAGTGCAGTCTGGCGAGTTGCTCTGAAGTCAATCACATCACTATGAAGCACTACAACAACATGGCGCAGAGAACGAGAAGGACGAGCTTCAGAAATCTGGCAGCCCGATGCTGTCGCATCGTAACCGGATCCAGAGTTGCTTTGGTTGCTTCATGCTGGTGCCTTTTTCTTACCGTTAGCTGCGGTCGCTGCAGCACCGACACACCCACGCGCACGCAATTTGCGTCTGTTGGCGGACGTCTTGGCTGATACTCGAAGCTGGCCACCTGTTTACTCGCGGGGTTCTCTTTCAGCGCGTGAGAAGAGCGTCGCTGGTGTGTGTTCGTGAGAGCGTAAGAAAGGGAGAGTCTGTTACAGAAAGAGAGACAGAGAACCAACGAGAGACCCTCAGCATCCTGCGGCCTGGCTGTCTTCTTCGCGCGGGTGTGATTGTGATCCAGTCTCAGACCCAGGGAGCAGCTGGAGCGCGATGGCCCTCGAGATCAAAAGCCAACTTTTGCGAAGCCTTAAGCCAAAAGCTCCTGCTGTTTACATTAACGAAGCATAATGGTGCCGCTGTGTTCATCTTCATGCCCGTCATCAACGGGCTTGGCTTTGTCTGTGTGTGTGTGTGTGTGTGTGTGGTGGACTTGCTTCGCTACATTTTCATCGTCTTGGGGCCTTTGTCTTATGTTGTTACCTATAGGGAAACGCCGGCAGTGTTCTGCGTGATTTGTTCTGTGCTCATCGGGGCCAGCGCTGCGCCACTGGCTGGCTTCTCCCGGGGTCGGGCTGGGGCTCACCTCAGGGCTGTTCGTTTTTGCTGGAATACAGCCACAGTAGAGCTTTCCGAGTGTGCCGCGCTTTATTTATATGGTTTGGCAACTGGACAGAAGTAGAAGAGGCCACTTGCCTCTGCTTCTCTTCGATGCGATATTGGTATCGAAGAGGTGGGAAGTTAGTGAGAGCAACAACTGGGCTGCAAAGTGCCCGCTTCTTGCGCGATCGACGAGATTAGTATGCTTTTTATCGAAAAGCATGCCGATTTCAACAATTCCAGATCTCTTGGGAATGGGTCCCAGCTTGCCACAATCTCGCGGCAAAGTGCTGGAGAAGTCACGCAACTACTTAAAAGAACCATCCTGGCCACGTCAATCGACGAAAATCATATACATAAACGCGAAAAGTGTCTGGAAATCATCCAACGCCAACGCCAGCGACGTGGCTGCGGGGCATAGTCGGAGGGCCCACATCGTGGCAAAATCGAAAAGAATAAGAGAAGCTGCAGAAATCCGCATGATTTTTGCGTTTTTGTTGCCAGATTCTGCAAGTTTTTATCTACTGCTGGATACTTTTCGCGTTTATCGATTTTATTTTCGTCGACTGACTTGGCCAGGACAGTGCTATGAAGTATCCGCGTGGCCACTTCTTCCACTTTGTCGCGAGTTTGTTGCTGGGATTCATTCGCAAGAGATCTCGAATTGTTGAAATCGGTATGCTTTTAGAGAAAAACCACACAGAAATCGGCGATTAAGGTGCCCAGGCGATGCCGCTTCGTGTCTGGTCTTTGTTTTGTCTTCTGATGTGTTCGCGGTTGTCTTGGTTGATTGTTCGTAGGTTCGCTTCGGTGTATTTTGTCTTTCTGTTACGTTCTAAAGGTCTTTGCTTATTGTTTTGCAGTGGCACGGGAAACAATAGAGTGCCTGGATAACCGGACTTGTTGAATTCCGAATGCTTTTCGTGGTAATCCATATCGATTTCGTCGATCGAGGGCGAGCAGATGGCTCTCGTCTTCGTTTTCTCTGTCTTCCAAGTAGATTGACGCGGTTCTTGACACCTCCGCAGAAACGTCTCGTTTGTTCTTCTGCAAGCTGTGTTGTCTTTTCTTATCTCTGGTCTGCTCCAATGATCCAACAAAGCCAAGCCCTTGGTCTTATGAGATGAGAAGCGCCATTCGCTTCTACACGTCAGCAGGAGCTTTTTCCTACTCTGATCTTTTCACTTTCCAAGAATTTATATAGAATTTTTTTACTTAGTGCCTATCAGGCTGCTCCAGCTTCAATGATAGTGTTTTACTTATTTCAGGAAGAAGCACGTGCTTAAGTGGATAACCCCGCAGCGCACCCGGCTGCGTAATGTAGTCGCCGGGTCTTCTGCGTCCGCTGTGACCAGTACCCCGCGGATTCTCTTCGGGCTCTAATTGTGTTCATCGCACTCGGCTAATCGTGTGACTGTGATTGAGGCCACTACTGCTACACGTCCCCGTGCTGAATTCATACGCAGGAAGGCGATCCTCTGCGTCAAAGTTCTAGATGGTGACCCTCAGCACTACACCAACAAACGGATAAGGACAGAGATCAGCTTGTTGGCTTGATTTTGAAGATCTTGAGAATAGACCTCCGCAATCTAGCGTGGTCTTCCTTATCCTCAACTTTCTAACTATATTTTGACCGTATTGAATTCGAAGTTTCTGGCTGTGATTTCTAGCACTTAGAAGCAGCAAGAAGTTTTATCAAAGGACATACCTGAAACCGTGGCTGTTGTCTATTATTTTCACTAACTCAGCCCTTACTTTATTTTTCTTATTTTCGTATACCTAAAGCCTTACTCTCAGTTTTTTACTTTTGAAAGCCTGACTTGAATGTTAATCAAAAAGTCAACTTCTGGCAAAATCCTGGACAACATCCAGCAAGATCTGGGGCGGGGGTTTGGTGGACGTGTCTGTTTGTAAGATTATTGGTCTTCTGGTGTTCGCTGGGATCTTATTTGAGTTCGAAACTATGTAACTGCATGAAGAGAGTCGATCTTTATGCGCTGGCCTCTTCTTTCAGAAAACGTCGCCACTTGCTACCGTCAAGCGTGACGGTCTTGGAATGCGAGTCGTCTTGTGGAGGGATCTTTGCCGCGGATTTCTATCGTTCCTGATTTTCGTCAGCTTACATTCTCACTCGATCTCGTATCTCATTAGCCGAGCTCTGTGGCTGCTGCTCTGTGAGTTGGTTCTTAATACAGAGTAGCTTATAGCACGCATGGCGCGTGGAGTGCATGGAGTAGCATGGAGTGCATGGAGCGCAGAGCTTTAAGGGGCGCAAGAGGCTCCCCCTTTAGCTCCATGCTACTCCATGTGATCCATGCACTCCATGCCATGCGAGCTGTGAAGCCTTATAAAGTTCTCTATTAGCAAGAACATTTGAAGCAAATCATCTCGCACGCGAATGAGGCAGAGCCTCTAGCCTGTTCGTCTTTCTTCATTTGGCAGGTGCGTTGCCGTCGTTCCCTTACATGCATCTGCAAAGAGAAGCCCTCTGCTGCACGGCGGTCACCTTCCTGATCTAAAGAGAGCGCTGCCTTGGAAGAGCTTGGGGCAGCTTTTGAAAGTATACGTCATCGCGGTCCTTATCCACTGCATTCCAATGCGTTCAGCTTCCGACTTACCTTAGCAGTACTGGGCAACTTTTGCGCCATTGGGTGCCTTGCGCTTTTGTAGAATTCACTTTGCGCTTGAAGCGCTCGCTTCTGCTCTTCTCTCAGTCGCTCGCTCCTGAGCATTGAACCATACGCAACTGAGTCGCTCGGGACTCAAGACGAAACTCCCTGGCGTGTCTCTCCAGCTCGTTCTGCTTGTGCAGCTAAGGAACAAACTGAGACGTGTCGAGTGGCTTTTTGCTCTGGTAGCTCAAGATATTCTTTTATCTTTTCGCCACTCCTCTCGCGCCGTTGTAGGGTGATGCTTGTGGTAGTTGAACACATGAAGCGGTGCCCGCAGCGTCCCTTTGTGTTGTGTCTGTCGATGGTAGTGCTGTTCTGCAAGGAGCATACCAATCGGGTGAGTTGTCGAGCGAGTGAAAATTTATAGTGATTGCATTTATTGCAGTAGGATAGTTTTTTTCTTACATTATTTCTAACCTCTTATGATACAAAGCGGTCCTCCTTCTCCCTTGCTTTTTTCTCTTCCCAAGATACTGAATTATTTAAATATTATTCAAGTTTGTGGCAAATTTTAATAGTTGACGTTAACAAAGTGGTCCGTTTCCAACCCAAGGCAAACCACTCGCGACGATTCCCACGAGTTTTGAGATGAAAAGTATTCAGAGCAGCAAGGGGGCAGCATCGTCAGCGGCTAGCTTCTCACAAACAAGAACAAGACATGCGAAGGAAATCAATTACGTCTCCACTTTCTCGTACCACGTATTATCTTCTGTTTACAATAACGCAGCACTCGTCCTTGGCTCTAGTGTAATCCTTGTGGGAGGCTTTTTGTTTTGTTCGAAGCGCGCGCGACGCACTGCGTTCCAGCTTTTTCGCTCTGAGAACTCCCGTGAACAACAGATCACCACAGCAGCCGCAAGCAGCGAGGGCAATTACGGGGCCCTGGAGAATGCTGAAGAAGTGGACGAGGCGATCTAGATCTTTTAGGAGAAAAGAAAAAAATGAAAAACTTCTTCAGCATCATCAAGAAGTTGAAGTAGAAGTAGTACTTTCTCTTTCACCATCGGCATCACCGCGAAGTAAGGGAACTCGAAAGATTTCACTGCTTGTACTTGCTAGTTGGTGGAGGACTTGTACTAGATGGAGGACAAAAAGGAGGAAGATGATGCTGAAGATAGTGATGAAAAAGATTGCGAAGTAGATGCAGGTGATGAAGTTGTACCAGTGCAGGTAGTAGGGCAAGCAGCAATTCGAGGACACCAGGAACAAAATTTCGAAAGAACACATTTATCGACGTTTGTGAATTACATAACTGGATCTACGAGCAGTAGACGTCAGACAAGAACCTCAACAAGAAACATGAACAACGACAAGAGCACAAGGATGTAGATGGTAAGCATGAAAATAGAAAACAGGCGGCCGTGATTGTGGTAGTTGGGTGCTGATGGTCAACATTACGATGCGCATTAGTGGCACCATCAGAAGCGTGATCAAAGACGATCCGGTAATACCAGATAGAAACCCTGACTTTGATTACGGATTTGAAGTTGAAAATAACACAAGTATACTACCCAGAAGTCTGCCCTTTCGGCTGCACGTGTGGTGAAAAATTGGAATGGTGAATATGAGACATTTAGTATTTTCGTTGTTGGAGTCTACGCAGATCTTGTGAATGAATGAATGAATGTATTGATGTTGAAATCATATCAATCAATGTTGAAGTTGAAGACCAACAATGCGAAGTGCCTTTTATACGTAAAAACAACTAGGTTGAGCTTGAATGAAGCACTACTGTCACCAAGCTCACCTCGTCCACTTGAGCTACTTCAATACTCCACTTTACTTCGCGACTACAACAGGTTTCACAATGATTAACAATGGGGGCGAGGAGTCATTGAAGTTGAACTGGATCCGACTTTATGTGCGCCAAACTTGCGAGTATCAAGTGCTTTCGGCAGTTGCGGATACGAGAAGAGGTACCCATTATCTGACCCTTCGTCGTATTGGTAATTGATTCTTTGAAGGAATTGTTTTAGCTTTTGAGGTTTATGTTACCACCTCAATCCCTTCATAATCTCCATATTTAATGTAGGGAATCATACTGTTGCTTTTGCTATTCTCTCTCTGTCTTAAATTACTCCAGGTTGGTGTAAGACCCTGAGTCTGTAAAGTCATTGTTGTGAAGGCGGGATCGCCATTATTCACTGGTGCGGAGAAAACGAAAGTGAGGATTGATTACACGACTGTCCAACCGACTACAACCATCGTCGTCTTGCCTTCTATGACATAACTCCAGCAGAACGAGGATTTATATGTTAATGTGACATTCTTGAACTTGACGACTTTACGCAGGTCGCCCATCATCCTCTGAGGCGAGCAGGTGCCGGCGGGGCTCGTTGTGCAGGATCCATAACCTAACCTAACCACAACGTACTTCAGTGTATATTTATTAGGATGACCGTAAAGAAATTATGACCGTAAAAACTCTTCATGAAATGGATAGGGAACAAGAAGAACTTGGAACTACATATGAAGTGCAACTGCCCACCAGAAAATTTCTGCTCCGTGAGTTCCACTAGTATACGAACAAAGACGTAGAAGTGTCACAGACTTTCAGCATGTTCAACTTTTCTATTAACACTCACAACACGATATTAAGCACGCGATTAAGATGTCCATGAGCATACTCATTGAAATTAGCTAAACAGACGACCATAAATTCATACTCATACACGATCGGAAATATAAAGATATGACGGCATGACGATGATTCTGAAACAAGTATCTTGCTTATATCAAGAGTACATTTGCAAACTCAGTGGTTGCATAGTTAGTTACTGCATAGCTGTTACCAATCCGATGTCTAGGGAGAAAACTGAGCACATCATCGCACTACTGCTACTGGTATTAGATACAATCAGCGACCACTTATAAGTAAGTAGTTAAATCTAGAGCTTTGTACTGTGCATCGATTATCGATACAACAACAGTACCTTTTCGAAGAAAATGATGATTATGAACACACAAAAGAAACTACGAAAAGTTACCGGGTAACACAAAGCAGGAAGCATGAGATTGTAAACTCAACGTCAGAATAGAGAGGCTTCAGCATTCCCCCACTATATGTGGCGTGCTCACTGGGCGAGAGAATTGGTCGTTGGAACTCCCCCCTATGCCGGTATCCACGCGGAAAATATGTAGGCAGGTTCTTTACGGAACTCGCTCGCGATACAAAAAAAAAAAAGCGAGATGAGTTGTATTGTATTGCATTGTACACGTCCGCCAAGAAGAAAATCGAGATGAACCCCGTTCCTTGTCCGATTGAGCAGATATTCAAATGGACCATAGCAGGCATTTATCATTCGATGGATTTCCTTTTACCCTTTCCCAAGTTTTTCTCTTCGTTACAGTAATACGCCACTTAAGTAGTTAAACGTAGGTCTCAAAGTATAGCAGCTATTGCAGAAGCCAGGAAGGCTCTCGCAAAAACAGAATGCGACTTTTTTCGTTCGCTGTGTTATGCGGAGTAAGTCGAGGCCAAGATGATGATGATGATGATGATGTTGTACAAAGTGGCACTGGCAACGCCGGCTGCAGGTGTTGGTGTAAGAACGAAAGTACGGGTGGTCGTGGCTATCTACGCCCCAACGCAAAGGAGATTCCTGGACTATTTATCAACTATTAAGATCGCGAAACTCTGGACAGGAAAATATATCCAGATGTTGTGTTCCAGAACGATTGTTCTAAGCGGGTTTTCTGCGATAGATGTTGTTCTCACATAAATTATGGCCCATACTTCTAGGTTTTGCCGCATTGGCGTTTGTGCTAAGTTCTCCGTACGGTTCACCACCATCTGCTGTAGTGCTGGTCTTCGAGTCATTATATCGTAGCATCTCTCGCACCACTGCAAGCGATGAAATTGGAAATTTAATTTACTATCTGACCACTTCGACGTAAGGAAACATTAATAAACTATCTCTAAAGTGCGTATACGGGTGACGTTGGGACGGCTGGCGAGTGTCCAAAGGACAACGCGTCTTGCAACAAAAAGTGCGCTGCGGTTACGCGCACTCTTAAAACGCGCACACTTGGGGACATCACGTGGAACCCCGGCGGGTCTTTTTATTTCCTCCGTCACAACCGGGCGGAGAAGAAAGTTCTGCGTGTGGACACTGAGCACATTAAGGATACCCGCGGGTCCTTTACTAAGTTGGTTACGAAGGGAGAAAAGAAAAAGCAAGAGGACGCTCTCACTGCGATTACTGCTGCACTACTGTGCGCGAAAACGCTGAGTCGCATTGTCGTGAGGAAAGCAAAAAGATGGAAGGAAAGGGTCAGTTTCTGATTTGTCCTGGAGACAGATCATCGTTTTTGGAGGAGCCGGCAGATATGACGCTTAGCCAGGAAGGCGAAGAGGCTCAGGCTGGCTGAGTGTCATATCTGCGAGTTCAACTTTCCCTTCAAGCTCAAATATCACATCGATCAGGGACTACCTTGGAGCACTTGATTCTCGATCATCAATGAATTACCACGAGCAAGAGGACATCACCTCTTCTTCTATACAGCAAATGTTAATGTTTATTACATGTGTGCGTGTGGACGACCACTCGGTAGACCTCGTGTCTTCAGAAGAGCCGAAGAACTATCAGGCAGAGACCGTTCCCTTGATGCGCGGCGAGGGGTTCTCTTTGACGCATATTGAAAACAAGACACGGGAAGTGAACCAGACTGGAAGCGAAAAGGCTACCAACCAAGGAGGACGCGCCGCTTTGAAGAAGAGTACTTCTTTGATATTATCTCACAAGGTGGGTGCACATGCAACAAGACATTGAAACATCTCGTACTAATACTTATATATATAATACTACGGCAGTTTTCAACTTGAGGTTTTGACTTTGTGCGTTCCTCTGAGGCATGATGTTTCTTCCGGAGATCGGCCAGGAGAAAGATACGACTCGTCAAGAAGGTAAGTACAAATATCCATGAACTGCAGAGAACTTATCCACACCGTAGATAGAACTGATCTATCAGCTCTAGCCTCAAGAAGTTGTATTTACTCCACGTCTTGTTCTTAGGTCCATCTGGTGACTATCCTGATGGGGCGAAGACCGAGCCACGACTGCGGGGCAGTCCAACCACTTCCCTTTGAGTTGTTACGACCCATTTGATTTGTTGACTACTGAGAACTTCATTGACTCTCACAGACAGTAATGCTAAGCATGGAACCCGGAGGAACTTTATGATTTGTTTACTTTGTTCTCTTACGTCTTCTAATATTTCATCCCTCATGAACATGATTGAGTAATTTGTGATATCTTCGAATCCTATGAATATGATGAAGCAATCGTGAACTTCGTGTAGTGGAGACCTGAAGCGAACTATTTTGCGTCAAGCAGAGATAGAAGCGCTGTACCCCGTTAATGTGGCAATGGTCACGAATGCGACTCGTTTTTATTCGTGATCTTCCTATCGTTGTTTATGGAGGAAGGGCTCCTTGCTGTTTCTCACACGAAACAGATTTGTAAGATTCATTAACTATAAAAACAGAGGCTTGAGGATCTGAAAACTATAACGGGGATAACGAAACTGAAACTGAACCGGTGGGCGTTAGGCTCGTAATACTAATTGGGATACCAACATGAGGAAGATGATGATTGCATGGGATTATGTATTCGAGAGCTTCCCTCTACGCACAGAAATTTAATAAAGCCAAAAGATTTCGAGTTGACCAACAACTGGCTTCACAATATCACGCGTATCTACGAGGACCAGCAAATTTTGTGCAGATGATAATCCTTGGTGCACTGCTAGCGAAGGTCCCACTCAGTGCTACCGTTTCTAGAAATGAGGTTGTTAATACCGTACAATGAGATCATTCATTTACATTTACATTTTTCTCTCCCAGGATGGATCAAGAAATCATGGCGCCTTCACTCACTTTGTTGGGCCTAGCGCCTGCCTACTTGTATCACGTGAGGATACAACAACCCAGAAGCCCTGGCTTGCCATTAGCGAAGGGTAGCGGCCACGTTGCTCCTAGAAGAGAAGGCTTCGGGGTCCTCATGAGGATCTGAGCTTAGGTCGATTCTAGCTTAAGTATCTATTATTCCGAGAGTTGCTGTAGAGCAGGAAAATAGCGAGTCAGCTAAGACTAAAGCATTCTTGCTCCTGAAAGCTGAGCTAGCAGCTTCTCTCCACACTCAAAGTGAAAAAGAAGATCAGCACCAAAACAGCCTTGGAAAATTTGACAGATCAAGAACTACTTTGTTGAGAAAGCAGGCTGACAATGCAATTAGGCTGCATTAAATGAAAGTAAGAATCAAAGACACCCTGAATCAAGCAAGAAGATCTATCCTTCTAAGAAGTAGTTTTACTCGAAGAGACAGCACAGCTTTGCACTTCTATGTATTTGATCTAATCAAACACAGGCTTTGGATTTTTTGCGACCTCGTGCTTTTTGCTGGTTTAATACCTTGTCACATATTTTAGACAACTGTATATTGGTCTTACTCTCAGTGTTGGTTTTTGTTGTTTGTCCAAAATGATTCACCTACAGCAGTCCCCTTCTTATGTTTTTCGTCTTAAATGATGAGTGATCGATGTAGACTAACGCACATAGCCATAGATACATCACAGAATGAAGATCGACTATGATTTTCTTAGTTGTCGGGGAGTTGCTTGTTTGAGTACAGCTAAAGATTAGTTGTCGGGGAGTTGCTAGCTTGAGTACAACTACTTAACTAATTTTTACAGATTTATTTTAGTCGTGGATGAAGGACAGCTGCATGAGAATGAAGATGAGATTGCCATTATATGCGTTTATTGGCGTGTGGATTTCGGTGGTGGTTGCTGGTGCTCCGCTCTCCTCGTCCAAGGATGAGTTGTACCAGCTTCTAGGAGTGCCGCGTTCCGCGACGGCTGCCGAGTTGAAGCGGGCATTTCGACAGCGCAGTTTGAAACTGCATCCGGACCAAAATGGCGGCTCCGAACGCGAGTTTCTCAGGCTTAAAGATGCCTACGACATTCTGAGAGATCCGGCGCGGCGACGACGGTACGACCAGGGCGGTTTGAGCGGCGTTTTTTCGGTAGGCGATGAGGACGAGTACGGCGGCTCCTCGTTTTACGAGGACTATAGGAACACTGGAGGTCGTCCTCCGGAAATTCCGCACATCGCGTCTCTAGAATCGATGCTGGACCTAGTGGCCACGAATCGAGAGAAATTCGTGTTGTTGCACATCTACCATGGTGCGTCAAGGTTGCAAGAACGCACGTTTCAGGAGTTGCAAGAGACGGGCTTTTTCGAAGTGCGCCACGTCAGCGTCTTTCAAGCCGAACCGGCCTTGTTGGAACACCTTGCGATCGAAAGTCACCCGAAATTGGTACTGCTGAAGGGCAACGAACTGCGGTCGGAGCCGTTTTTTCCGAGCGAAACCGCGTTGCGCTACAGTCTAGTGGCCCAGAACGTGAAGTGGCACGCGATGCGGCTGCTGAGGGCGCACACCTACAGCGAGATGGTCAATTTCGGGGTTTTAAACGAGAAGCCGTCGCTGCGCCGGGTCGACTGGCCGCACGGCAGCGGCTGTCTGCGCGTTCTGTACTTGGCCCACACGGACGACGAAAGTTTCGAATTCTTCATGCTAGCGCAGGATCGCGCGAGAGCGTACCCTTATGCGTGCTTCTTCCACGTGGTGCACAGCCAGGGGACGGCGCAGTTGGTGCACACCGAGGACGGCCGTGAGGAAGTGATAAAAATGGGAGACGGGATGGACGGACTCTACTCGCAGACGGACAGCCCCTTTGTGATCTTGGACGCGGTCACTGAGAGCGGCATCGAGGTCGACTCGATTGCCAGGGTTAAGGAGGTTCTGATGCAGCACGCGCATGCCGCACCCCGAAGATGGCTCAGAGAAGCGAACGCAAACACGGTGCCAAACGGAAAGTTCCTGCTTTTGGTGTACGGGACCACAACTTCTGAGAGGAGCATGGTACTTGTCCTCTTGTCGTACTACTTTTTAGTAACTTTTTAGCGTTAGTACTTTAACTTTTGTATATCTTCCACTTTTGTTTAGTTTTTTCCTAGAAGTTAGGGCTCCACCACAAAAAAAAATTATAAGGGTACATGTGCAATGAGAATGATAATTATAAGTTACAAAATCATTTTACGCAAGCAGTTGCACTAGCAACAACTACAGTTATTATCTAGAAGCCACTCTCCAGTGTAAGTAAGAACATAGATCATGCATTAGAATATTTTACCTAAAGTAAAGTATTGTACTACTAACTAACTTGTTCGAATTTGAATCAATTCGACAGGTGACACGGCCTTACGAGCTGCTGCTAGATTTCTGCGAGAAGCTTTCTTCGGAAGGTAGTGCGATCGGGTGCTATTGGATGCGTGGCCGTAGCCGTGATGCCGTAACGGGAATCGTAGACGACTTCTGGGTTCGGTTTTTGAAAGAGCAGCTTCCAGCAGAGAAGACGGACGTGGACGGGATGTGTCCAGCGCTAGTTCTCCTGGACGGGCCCGCGCGTTTCGTGAGTCTCTTCTCCGACGACCGACGGGAACCGGGCCGACAATTCTGCTTCGATGGTGCGAGCGATTTCGACGTGGCGTCGATGAAGTATTGGTGGCTGCGGCATCGTGGCCGTAAGGCGGTTCGCGACCTAGTGGTGCCGCCCTTTGCGGCATCGATGGCCTCGTTGGAATCGGGTCCCGAGACGATGCTGGAGCAAGCAGAGCGAATGGTTTCGGAATTCGTAGTAGGTCTTTCGTTGACGCAAGACCTGGTACGACAAGCCTTGATGCGCGCGTACTCGGTGCTGAACAGCGAAGAGGGAATCAGCGAGGCGATGGAGGCTCTAGGCCGCGCCGTGCGGAAGTTTTTTGAGACGCACTTCGCAGAAGACGCGATGATCTACGTCGTTTTCGCTTTGATGAGCGTGCTCTTGGCCGTGATCTACATTCTGCTCAGCGACTTGTTCTCCGCCGCAGCCGGCGACGAAAACACAAAGCTGTTTGGTGGGCGCTCGCAGCACTCCTTGCCGGTCCGCACCCATTTTACGTTCACGGTCCGCATCGAGCGCGAGTCGGCAGATAAGCCGTGGGGAATGCGACTGGGGGACGCCAGCGGTGCGGGGCGGGTCAGCATAGCGCAGATCTTGCCAGGAATGGCCTTGGATGCGTGGAACAACAGCCCAAAAGCAGCCAAGCCCTTCCGGCCGCAGCAAGGCGACCTGATTCGCAGTGCGAACGGGGAATCCCAACCGGGTTTGATTACCGCGAGACTGAGCAAAGAATTGAGTCTAGACCTCGTTTTGTATCGACCAGTGGTAAGTAGCGAACTGGTGCGCAAAAAGCCAGCATCTTCTTCCAAGATGAAAACCACCCAGGACACATCAACGGTACTAACGACGAATACTAGTAAAGAAGCTCAAGCAAAGCTGGACGTACACACAAACTCCGATTCTTCTTCTTCTTCTTCAACTGGAGGTGCTCTTGACTTGTCGGAGCATCTAGCGTGGAACGAGAATCCAGCCATTCTAGAGGACCGTGTGGAGTTTCTCTTTGGTCCAGCGGTCCGCTTGATCACGTCGGAGAAGTATTCTAGTACTTTGGGTTCCCCCAATGGCGACCGCTTCATTCATGCGCTGCCGAAGAAAGAGGACCACCCGGATATCGACTTTCGGGACTTCTTTCGAATAGGAGACGCGATATTGGCGCTGAAACCGACGCCGACGGCGAACCACAGCGACGTCTTCACAGTGACCACGCAGCGGATGATCGATGTGAGCGACAAGCGGCAAATAGCCTTAGCGGTGAGAGAAGTTTATCGGCCTCGCGGACAGCCCTCGTTTGGTTAAGACTTGCCGTAATTCATCTTAAGAGGCATGATCTTTGGACACGATTCCAAGGGGAATTCACGTCAAAGATGTGCCTTAAGATGAATATCTGTAAGGTCTAACTTGGGATCGACCTTATGGGCAGCACGCGCACTATTCGCCGCGTATCCAATAAGCACATGAGTAACGAATATGGGCCAAGGAGAGGCGACAAGGTGTGCTCGATTACGGCGCCTGTAACAGCCTCACGACTTCACTTGATTCCCGGACTCGATTTGGTGCCCATGCCCAAACAAGAGGACGAGTCTGCCGCCACCGACTCTGCGACAACACCTAGCACGCAGCGAGTACCTGGAATTCGTGGCGCTTCAGTCACAACAGGGGATTACACGACGGCCAATAGTACTAGAACGCCAGCATCTGCGATATCTACTGCGAGTGTGGGGAAGAACCTTACTGATGATAGCGTAATCGTCTGCGCAACAGAGTGGAATCAGGTGATCCAGGTGTTCAGAGTGGCGCCAAGGGTCCAAGAGCTCGTTGTTTTGCGATGGGTGTCCTTAGAGGAGCAGCGGCAGATAGAAGCGACAGCAGCACTAGCCATCGAGGAAACCATGGAGTTTGATGCCCCTTCTTCGCTGCGTCTCGCAAGGGAAGGCGCTACGACTTTGGAACATAGTGACCCGGATCAGAGTAGCTTGAAGCGTAGTTCCACCTCACCTTCGCGCAAAGACCACATCGGAGGAGACGGTCTCGAACCTACAGCAGTACAAACGCAAATCGCCATTAAGCACACGCGCGAAAGGGTGCCGACAGGTCCGGAAAATTTTTGGCTACAGAAATTTGGCACCAGGAGAGCGCCCATAACCGTCCCTCCTGGCGGTGGGTGGGAGACGAGAACTACCACGACAACTTCTACACTAGGAGTAAACCACGAGGAGACTCGTGGAGCAACGGAAAAGATGAGAAAGAATCAAGAAAATTCAGCAAGTGCTGCAGGGTCACCCACACCAGTGCCACGGCTAGATCCACCCCTTTCTGTAGCGAATGGTACGAGTACAGCGAAAAGTACTACAGGTGCTCACGAATCGCGTGAACATCAAAGCGAACAGAAGAAAACAGAAATATCGCCCCCGCCTAGACCCAAGAGCGACAACATAGGGACTCCATCATCAGCCTCTACAAAAGCTTCCCGAAGTCCGCTACCACCGCTGACGCCAGTTCCTGAATCCTCCACTGGTTCCAACCAAGGTGAGGAAAGAAGTCATGACGCTGACGTAGAGTCTTCCAGGTGCAGTGGCCTACGAGGCGTACCACGAGGCGCTGGAGTAGGTCGTGTGGAATCCTCCTCGTCCAACGAAGATGCTATTCAAATTAGTAGGAATGAAGATACTGTTCAAGTTCATGCAAGAACAACAACCACTACTATGATCGAAATGACTTCAACTACACCAACTGCAACGGCAACTGCTATAGATTCTACGGCAACAACTGGTAATACAGCAGACCTTCGTCCTCCTACACCGGATCTTCCTACCACTCGTCTGACTCCTACAACGGATCACGATCCGACGTCAGACGAGTGGATGCTGCGAATACGTCTGGCGGATGGCGTCTTGTACAATCGTCTCGCTGCTGACTCGTCACTACAGCAATTCCGCGAAGTTGTGCGACTAGAAAGAAGGAGCGAAGGAGAAGGCACTGGCGCGAACATGATAAGCTACAGTCATGGAGGCCGCAAGGCGGTGTTTCGCATAGATGTGGACAACGAGACGGCCTTCTGGCGTGAGAAAAGAAGGATAATACAGGCAATTGGAGGGGGGCTAGACCGTCTTTTTTCCGCATCCTAACGATTTACCCTCAGTTGGTGCTGGTCCTCGTAGATGCCGACTATTGATATAAAGTGGAAAGTGAAATTTACTTATAATATAGTTTTCCTTGGACGCCTTAGATTTATTATCCTCCTCATATCTCACCTACATCTTTTTCCTATGATGTATTGGCATGTTTTACACGAACACTCACTGTACGTAGTGCCTAAGTGCACTACGGTTTGCGTGCACGCAAGATATTATCGAGGCATAAGAACTCTTCATCGTTGTGTATACAAGCGTAAGCGATCACAAACTTTCAAAAACTTGCTTTACACCCTTTCTGCAGCGGTGTACTCTGTATCTTCTGTCCTACAATTTTCCCCTTCTCTGTGAGTCACACAGACCCACAAGGCAATCTACACCACCATAGGAAGTACTTTCTTCCACTTGGTAGAGTCGTACATTACACGACCAAGCTTCTCTCTGCGCATTGGCGGTCATGTCTTTGTCGATGTGTTCTTCCTGTTAGCGGAAAACAAGCAACGCGATGGGCGCTCCGTTTGTAATATGGCCAGGTAGAAGTCGTGCGTATGGATCGAGTTTCTAATACATAGGAGTCTTCGGTTTTCGTTGCCGCGTCATTACTTGTGAAACGATCATAGTTGTTGGAGTTGATAAGTACACTGACTAGAGTGCGGAACAAGGGATCTGAGACAAGGACTAGGATCTTAATCAGCGTCAGTTCTAAAGAGCAGCCTTACGTTCATGTCGGCTAATAACGATTGACAGTTGATGTTTACCACTGGATGGCCTGTTAAGGCATATGCTCTGCATAACTGTATAATTCGAAAAATCAAACTAACCGAGTTACTGACTGAAATAAGGGAGGTATCTTATCTTCCTTCTCATCAGTATCTCGATTATTCTGATCAGTTACTTCCTTATTTCAGTTTTTCGAATAATTCGAATTCTCCATGGCTGGTAGGTAGTGCAACTAACATTCACGACACGCTTTATTATTTTTGATGTTGGGGGAGAACTACCTCAACATACAATTGCGATATACTAAATTGCTTTTGTTTTTGTCAAACAACGTTATCGTGTGTCTATTTTTCTCAGCATCACCTCGTCTTCCTTGTTATCTTGAAATTTAATCATGGATGCACATCCAGATACGGACACGACTTTGCCTCTGGCTGAGGCTGGGTCTCAGGGGCAGGACCCTGCAGAGGACGGACCACGACAACGTGTTCCAGGAACACCCGACGCTGATGTTCCTATACTAGATCCTGCTGATACTGAAGGAGATGAAGGTGAAGTCCCTGTCGCTGCCTTAGCTTCAAGGTCACCAGCACTGGAAAAAAATACACAAAAGCCCGAAGATCCTGCAAATGACACACATGATATCGTTGGTACGGGTTCTGAAGAGAGCGATCCTACAGTTGTCTCAAAGAATATTGACGACTCAAAGGAGTCTCCGCATGCTAATGAAACTGCGCTCGGGAGCAGCCAGGAACCGCCAGAAGCGCTTGAGAGCAGTCAGCAACTTGGACAACAACTGAAGGACGAGGTGAATCCCATCGAAGCTACTCCAGAGGAAAAGGGAGAAATGAATCCACCCGCGCCACAACCCAGTGCAATGGCGGATGGAGCTGTTTCAGATTCAATTACCGCAGCAAACGAAAACTCATCCGTCATTGATACAAGTGCTTCCACATCCAAGGTGTACGAAATTGTAGGAGAGATGACATCTTGTGGCTCGGCCGTTTCGCCTGGTGCACCTGTAGTCCACGCCGCAGCGGATAAGGCAACTACAGGCGGGGCAGAAAAGGCGGCCGCAACATCTCCTCTAGAAGACGCAAGTTCACCAGATGCAGAGGAGTTCGTGACAAAAAATCGAATTGTCGTAGACGATTCCGCGACCGGAACTGTACGGTCGACAGCAGTAGAAATAAACGCGCAGTCTCCCATAGATATCGCAGTCATGGAGGATGCATCTTCTACGCCAGAGATAGCACCAACCGCACTGATTGAGGGTGGTGCATCTTTTACAGCAGATGCAGACCACGTCGCGTGTCTAAAAGCGAATGAAGTGCCGGGGGAAGAGAGACAAGTTCAAGTAGAGGGTGTTGATACCAAACCAGCCACGTATACAACTAGTACGCCAGCTCTTGATGTTTCTATGATCGTAAGCGGTGCGCCTCCACCTCCACCTGGAGAATCCGAAGCGGAGGACGATGAAATTAACGTAAATGAGGCGACAGGTTTACTGGCTCCTATGAAAAATGTTAATGCTGTTGATGATAGAGCCGGACAAGATGTTGTTGATGATGGCGCAGGAGCGAAACAAGTTGCAGATCTCCCACAACGACAAATTATACGCGAAGATACTTCTACAAAATGTAGTGGTGAGGGCAGCTCTCCTGTCAAAAGCGGACCAGCAGTTGTTATTTCGGAACCCAAAGAAACAGATGTCGCCATCCTTTCTGCAGACGACATCACGCTTAGCCACTTCTTGCAGTTAGCGTCAAAGCAAGAGAAACGATGGCTGGCAATAGGCTGCTTTGGTATGGACGATGTTTTTTCTATCTTTCAGACCATCAAAGCTGCCCCCTTTCTCCTTAAAACTGCATAGCTTACGGGGGGGCCTCGATGGTCTGGCTAGATGGAAAAACAATCATCCACATTTGGCGCGGTGATCCAGGGAGCGGCGCAAGCTTTTCCGGCAATGCTGGGTTTCATGTTGGCCACGCGCCTTTGGCTTATCGCGATTCCTGATGTGGCTTTGGGCTTACAGAGCGGCATACCAGCAATGATGCATAAATGGTAGGAATAGTTTTTTTTTTGGAATTTTTTGTTGAGGATGATGTAGTTCATGTTCTTGTAATAAAAATGAATTCTATTATCATATTATGACAGAAAAAAATGTACTCATACTCAAGAAAAGAGGTTTTTTCCGACTTAGAAAGTGCCTACTTTCTTGAGGATGAGTGCACTTTTTCGTTTCATACATATTTATATGAGTCATGCGGCCTTAGCTGCTCACGCACGTACGTGATACGTTCTTTTTCTTCATTATCATCATCATCATCATCGTCGTCACAGGCAGGAAGACGAGGCGAAGAATATAGGAGAGCGCTTGTGGGAGCGTCTCTGGATCTTCTTCGTTTTAGCGGCCGTCGCTTCACTAGCTGGCTTCGTCTCAATTTACTTTTTGCAGAAAGCCAACCAGTCCCTCACTCTGACGTGGCGGCGTGCTTACTTCCGCTCAGTTCTTCGCCTCGACATGGGCTGGTTCGTTATGTTGCTTGAGAGGTTCTATACAACAAAGTGCTTAGAACTCACACAAAAACCTCGTTCAATCCCTCGTAGATTCAAGTAATATCCATGCATAGCGCGGCAACTCATATCTAAAACTGATTTGCAAGAAATACAAATTGATTTGAAGAAAACTCTGTCCACTGACAGGATCAGGAACGACCTACCCTAATCTCTCTTGGAGAATTAGGTGCGTAGAAGCTAGTAGCAGAAGGTAATTGTGCTTAAAAGCTAGTAGGTCTAGGTGGTACTTGGTTAGTTTTTGTATTTAGTCTTAGTATTCCTCTCTTCTACGCCTCCTTTCATACCCGACCAAAAGAACCCGTTACTGGTGCCTACGCGGCTCAATGAGGACATCACGACGCTGGCTGAAGTGGTCGGCTTGAAACTGCAAACCGCAGTGGCGAGCACCTTTGTACTTCTAGGTGGCCTGATATACGCCATCGCTGCTTGTTGGCCCGTTATCTTTGCCGCCGTCTTCATGTTCCTAATGGTTTGGGGTGGATTCAAACTTTGGACATCGGGTGACTTCAATTATGATGACTGTTTGGAGGTTACCTAGTACCGCCAATGGCTATTAGAACTAGTCGTGTATGGGACACCATAATGACGAAGAACTGAAGAGGAAAGCTTACCATCCTAGTTTCCAAAAGCAAAATGAAAATGTTTGTTATCGTCTTCTGAATAAGAGCGGAGCTCTACAGTACTAGCAGCATACTAGACTGCCGTGGTGCTTACTCCTATCTGACGCCCAGAATTCATAGAATCACTGTGTTGTATGCTTTTAGGTTTCTACGGTAGTGGTCATGATAATCTGACTACAGTAGGTGCAGCAAACATGATATATAATGCTCTTTTTTTTTAGTCATGAACGCCCTTTACGATTACGGTTGCAACAGGAGCAAGCATGATTGTCTTTGCACTTTTCATTAGTCGTCGTTGCAGAAGCAAGTTCCTGCTTACGAGGATGCTGCCGTAATAGTGGAGGAATCCTTTGCGAATGTCAAGACTTTGCACGCCTGCAACGCTCAAGAGCAGGAGGTCTCGCGGTATACCTCACACCTCGCATGTGCACGAAGCGAGCAGCAAAAATCGGGCATAAAAAAGGCTTCCGGATTCGCAATGATTTTCTTCGGATTCCAAGCCGCCTATGCAACAGTGTTTGCTCTGATAAGGCTACAAGAAATCCATCTTCTCAAACATCTTGGTGCCGTTTTTTAAGGTACTTAAGAAGTGCACGAAGATGCTGCTGAAAATGGAGGCATGGTAGGTCTAATGCTTGCGGGTGCTTTTTTTCTCACACCCGATGGAAGACTGGAAATCGGGGGAACGGAAATCGGGAGTATAGCGTTTATTCTGTCTAATAGCAACGTACACGACATGTTGTAGATCATCATGTTCATAATCTACCACGCTTTCGAGCAGTCTCTTCATGATTCTTAAATCTTATCTTAATATATTTTCGTATAGGATTATAAAGTTGTCGTGTGTTCATAGAAGCAGAGAATGAAGACTAGATCGTTGTACTAGAAGATGCATGCCTTAGCATTGACGCGTGTGGCAGCGCCGTCCGATTACCGACGTTTGCCTTGTCGTTTTCAGTTCTTGGCAACAACTCATTTCTCCTCCTCAGATCTCGGCGACCTTTTTCAGGGTTTAGGTGGTGTGATGATGTCGACCGTGTCGATTTTCATGTTTATGCCTTGGGCGAACGCCTATAACCGCGGAAAAATAGCCCTCGCCAACCTCCTGGAGGCCATTGAATTGGCGAAGACTGAAAATCTCAAGATCAAGGACGGAAGCATTCGCCTTGCCGAGGTAGGGAAAACGGAATCTTCAGAGATGGCATCTGCCGAGGTGGAGAAAGCGGAAGTGGAATCAAAAACTTCGTCTAAGCAGAGCACTGCGGCCAGCGGAGCCGTATCATCCTCCTCTGAAGGAGAATCGGGTGCTGCTAGTAGTAGTGTGTCCTGCTTCCGTGGCATACGCATAGAGGCTCGTGGGGTCTCCTTTTCCTACCGGTGTCACCGCAAAAGAGAAGACGAGAAGGAGAAAGCAACAGGAGAAGGAGATTCGTCTAGTAAAGACCAGAAGAAGTCTGCGAGGCAAGAAGTGTCTGCTGGTGCAGAGGGAAAAGTAGTGGAGAGAGTTCGGGTATTGCAGGATTTCTCCTTCGTTGCGGAACCGGGCCAGAAAGTCGCGCTAGTCGGCGCCTCCGGTTGCGGAAAAAGTACCGTTTTACAACTTCTGACTCGGTTCTACGACGTCGATGCGGGGTCAATTTTGTACAACGGCATTGACTTACGGGATTTACAGCTAGAGGACTTGCGCAGCCATATTGGTTGGGTTTCGCAAGAGCCGGTGCTTTTTCACGGTACTATCCGTGAGAATCTTCTGTTTGGTCTTGACGCTGACGAACGAGAAGATGGGAACGACACTTCCCTTTTCGACTACGAGGATGAAACCCAAGAAGAAGCAGACACAAGCAGAAAAACAAATGGAGGCTTATTTGTGGTGGACAAGAAAAAGATGAAAAAAGTCATGCCCGCCATTGGCATGAAACCAGAGGACGTCAACAGCAAGGTTAGAAGTACCAAGTGCAAGATTCCGTCAGATGCCGAGCTTCTAGCAGTATGCGACAAGGCTCAAGTGGGTGACGTAGTTCGTGCGCTTCCTGAAGGCCTAGATACGTTTGTATCGGGTGGTAATCTATCCCAGCTTTCGGGTGGGCAGAAGCAACGCTTAGCGATCGCGCGAGCGCTCGTGCGCCAGCCTCAACTCCTCATTTTGGATGAAGCAACGTCTGCGCTTGACTACGAGTCCGAGCGACAAGTTCAAGCAACCATCGACTCGATTTCAAAGATTATGTTTGGATTTATTGTACTATTGCAAGTCTAGGATACCTTTCCATATTCTTGTTGCTTCTTTTTATCACCTAAACTTGTGGTTGTAAAAATAGATTTGATCATTACATGCGGTTTTACTCTAACACATCGGAGAAACTAACAGTGGTCACGGTGGCACACCGGCTTTCGACGGTGCGCAACAGCGACTGCATTTTCCTCCTGCGGGAGGGGCGAGTCGCAGAGTCCGGCACACACGCTGAACTCGTCGCCGCGCAGGGAGAATATTACGAATTGACAGTTGCTAGTGAACTGGATAGCATGTCCGATACGGACGTTGCTGTCAAGGCACCAAGCACCACCGTGCATGGTTCAATTACCACCTCTTCAGGCGACAGTGAGGTTGAGTTCGTACCTGGAGCGCCCACAGATATGAAAGCGTTCTCTTCCCCAACTGACGGCGATGGGGGTTTGAAACTGGTGCTCACCGAAAATCATGGGCAGACAGAAGATGTTGCGAGTCATAATTGTACCAAAGCTAGTAAAGCCAAGCAAGGTGCTAAAGCGAAACAAAATGCCACGTCGACGTCTGCCTCTGCTTCTGTTGATGAAAAAATTGGCAGCGAGAAAGACGAGAAAAAGCTCCTCGAAGGCGTGGAGCTGCCGAAAACAGAGGAAGCGATCGAGAAGGAGCGGCAAGCCGAAGTAATGAAGAGCTATAAAAAGCCGTTCCTGCGTCTCTTGTTTTACGGTCAGCTTTTATCCATCTTTCTCGGCATCTCGCTACCCGTCTCCCTTGTATTTCATGGAAGAGGGGCCGAGATGAGGGGGCCGGAATTATAAGTAATGCTGGCGCTAATTGTTGTTGAATCAAGGCGTCGAGCGATTCTTACTTCTGGTTGCACTCGGGATGTCGATTGTTCAGGGTGTCAGTGGTCCGGCAGTCAGTAGCTTATTCAAGGACGTCATGGCGCAACAAGCGCCTTCAGTAGCGGGTTCTTCGCCGCACGTGGATGAAGCGGTACTCCGCGCGGGTCTCTACATTTACGTCCACTTTTGAAACAACGACTCTTGTTCCACAGGCTAAGTATGTAGGAGAAAGTGTCTTGTTTCTCACGTCGTTGTCGTTGGATAAATGATCTCCACATCGGTTCTTATGTGAAAGTTGTTTCTAAATTAGGGTCGGTGTCGCCGTAGCTACTGCGGTGGCGGTACTCCTAGGCCAGGGAGCGGTCGCTTTCATCGGTGCGAACATTACCTATCGCATTCGTAGTCAGACTTTCGCTGCGCTGTTGCGTATGGAGATTGCCTACTTCGATGACAAAGACCACTCGCCGGGCCGCCTGAGCACACTGCTAGCAGCATCCTCGCAGCACGTAACCCAAGTCTGCGGACCGAATTTGGCGCTCTACTTTCAGCTAATGGCGACGATCGGGGTCACCCTGGTTTGGGGTAGTGTGAATGCGGGCTTCCTCATGCTGTGGCTCATTTGCGTCACCTTTGTTTTTTTCTTAAGGGTAACTATCGCTAATTCATCTTAAGTAAGAGGCATTTATGGCGTGCTCTCAAGGAGAAAACAATATGTCAAAGATGCATGTGGAGATGAATTCGGGCGAGCTTTAAGTTTGATCATTTTGGTGACCGTTTTCGTTCGCCGTGCGGCAGTTGACGCGTTGACGCCCGAGCTCACCCTGGCCGGACACTACGCGTCTGAATGCCTCTACAACATTCGGGCAGTGCGAACGTTGGCCGGCGCGGAGAAAATATTTTTCCAGAAATACAACAAGTGTGTCCTCAGCCACAAGGAGAAACGTGCATCCGAAGCGGCCGGAAACGGCTTGTTCTTTATGGCTGATTTTTTTTCCATTCTTACGACCATCAAGGCTCCCCTTTTTTAGATTTGGGCTAATATGTCTACGTTAGTTTGTAGTAAGGGGTGGGAAATGGGTAGCCGTAATCATGGTCTGGCTCTAGAGGGGAGAAAAAATATCATCCATATTCTTGGGGCTAGGAGCTGCTGCGCAGAGTTTTCTGCAACCTGTGCTGTCCTGGGCAGTTGTCATCGTCTATTGTCGCAACGGCGTGCGATCATACGACTTTGATTATGCTCAATGGGAAGAAAATCAATGTTAGTGTTTCTAAGTACTTTGTCATTTCTACTAGAAAAATGGAAAATTCTCGTCTAGGTAAGTTGTACAGCGAAAAATTTTCAATTAGACGCTCAAAGCGCATACTTAGAAGAAAACAGCCGTTTAGTTTTCCCTCATTTTTCTCCCTACGTGATCGATTAGACGAACGAACATACTTCTTACAACTGTGAGAATGACTTTTTTTTGGAATTTCTTGCCTCCGCTAAGTTTGAGCTATATTTCCAGCAGGCAGCACCGAATTGGATGTGAAGAACTGGTTCACGGAGGACTACTTTGCCGCCTGGCTTGGTGGCATTACTCTTGCGATCAATCTGATGAACAATTTTTATGGACCACAAATTATTGATTCATCTTCACAGACACAGACTTCTGGTCTCAGTTATTTTCTTCTTGGATTCTGAGACAAAGTTGAACGCGGAATATGCATTAGTGTGTGCGCTAAGATTTAGGCGGCGATCTCGCAAGAGGGGTGATGCTTGGGCCCGATGCTAACCGCGCGTTTACTGCGGCACACGACCTCTTCAGCATCATCGATCGAAAGCCACATATAGACTTGGCTGACACTAAAAGAGGGAGTGTTTTTGCTGTTGGCGAAAAGAAGGTATGGGATCTACGTAAGATGAAAGTAGCTATGATATGATTTTGCACACTTCCGAAGAAGTAGTACAATATAATTTTCCACCCTTCATCTGATTCTGAAGAAACAGTTTCTGTTAAATTACCTTAAGAAACTTGTTATATGACTTGAAGTTACCATAGATTCCATAAGTTACAACATGAGTATGTCCTCCTCTAACACCTGGTGGAAAGAACGAGGACCGCGTCGCTGTCCGACGCGTTGGTCAAGTCTGCTACGATAATGTTAGTTTTCGCTACCCTGCGCGCCCAACGGTGCCGGTACTGCGGTCTCTCAAAGGCCTCGAGTTGTTTAAGGGCCAGAGTTTGGGTCTCTGCGGACCTACGGGTAGTGGGAAAAGCTCGGTTCTGGCTCTGCTAGAGCGATTTTACGAACCCAATACGCTGGTTGCGGACGTCGAAAATGGGGAGAAGAAGACAGAGCAGTCTTCCAACATAATAGATGACGGTAATAAAGTGCCAGCCACTACTAGTGCTAGTGTTGAGGCTGCGGACGAGCAGCAGCCTCTGCTACAAAGCGGGTCAACAGCACAAGAAAAGTCGGCAACACCAAGTAAAGGCAAAGGCAAGACCACTGGAGATCAGGTAAGCAAAGCCGCGCCGAAAGAAAAACTCATCTACGATCCTGCTAGTAACGGCGCCATTCTTGTCTCTGAGGAGCAGACTGTTTGCACTGCGCCTTCTGGTACTACAAATACAACAGCAGGAGGAGTGGTCGATCTTGAAGCCAATATCAAGCTGCCAGGCTCTATTATGTGTACTAGATTCAAGGTGTTCCTGTTACAACCGTTTGTTTTGCTTCTGTAGCCTAAGGAAGGAGAAAAGCAGAAGAATACACGGGAACCATCAGAAACACCAAAACACTAGACTACCGCTAATTCTACCACAAGCGCCGGCGCTTCTCGTTCCCCACAGGAAAATTTAGACCTCTGCACCGAAGTTTTGTTGCGACAGTGGCGTGATGTTATAGGATACGTGGGACAGGAACCTGTGGTTTTTAACCTGACAGCTATCGACAACCTTCTTTTTGGACACCCCGCTCCTGATACTGTAACCCGTGACGATCTCCGAGCCGTAGCGGACATGGCGTGTCTATTAAGGCTCAAAGGAATCATTGTTCGTTGAGGGTTATTTTCCTCGGCTTCGTCCTTCTTGGGGATTATCTGAAGAAATAAACTGAAAAAATGAATTACCTTGTGAGCTCTAAGTCTTGACTTTCTAGCTGCGGAACCACCGCAAAAACGTCCTAAAAAAACATTTGCAGATGGCACAAAAGATACATCAGCGTCTTGCCCATGGATCGAGTCTCCTCAAGGATCACTAGTTCAGGTCGACGGTGTACAAGCAGATGCAGATATTAGTGACGCTGAGAATACGCCAACCAAAACCAATGTCCTCCACCTGCAGGCTTCTTCCTCTTAAGGCTACCGCCAAAGCATGTCTCCTTGTTGGAGGTCTATCTTTCTCTGCTTGAAAAAGAAGCACCTCCCACTATCAGAACTTACCTTCTCGGGTACTCGGACGTGATATGTCTCTCAGGGAAGATGCGAAAGCGGTAGCTCTAATCCTCTACTGCCACAGCAGTATCTTCTTCGAGCTGCAGCACTAGAAAACGCCGTATGTCTTGGACGACGGAGCCACTGGGTGTCAAGGGGTCCAAAATTTCTGGCGGCCAGAAACAGCGAATCGCCATCGCGAGGGCGTTGTTGCGCAAGCCTAAGATTCTCTTGCTAGATGAGGCAACTTCTGCTCTAGACAACCGCTCGGAGCGCGAAGTTCAGAGGGCGATCGATCGTATCACGCGACGTGGCAAGACAGGAGATGCACCATCGAGTTTTAAGGCAGTACTGTTTAAAAGTACTTGGGGGATGGGCTGCACTCACTCTCCGATATTAATCCATCCTCATACTCATGCCACTTAAATGCTGCTGTTGAGGGATTTGTGCTGGGTTCTACTGTTGAGGGATTTGTGGGCTTCTTCTTGGGCTACTCTTTTGCAGATTGTCGCTCAGCTTATCTACAATTTAGATTCACGTGAGTCAAAATCCTTTGTTTTGCGAATCAAGTGATTCTTCTTCTTGACTGAAAACTCGATTTTTGTGCTCACAACAAGGCAACAATTCAGCACGGTGAAGAGAAATCTTCTGGTACCTCTACTCCAACTGCACAGTACCTCATCTAGTAGGAATACAACGACTTTTTCTAAGAAAGGGAACGAGAAGATTAGTGCCGATCTGATCGTCGTCACAGTGGCGCATAAGCTGTCTGCGATCCGCGACTGCGATAAGATTTTTGTGTGCGTGCGAGGCCGCGTCGCCGAGTCAGGGACGCACTCAGACTTGTTGCAGATTGAAGACGGCGTCTACCGCAAGCTAACGCGAGCTGGACGAGCAGGACCAACGAAAGAAGCAGGACCAACGAATGAAGCAGGAGCAACGAGAGAAGCAGGGAAGAAGACACTAGTATATTAACAGAATAGTTTATATATGATAGACGCTGGACACGCTGGGTGGCTCGGAACTATAATTTAATGTTTCATAGGAGAAGAGCAACAACTCTGTGGAGGAGGACGAAATTGGTGACGAAAACAGAAAATTACTTGACGATTTTCAGCACTCCGAATTGACTCCACCTTCTACTAGGTTAACTACTATGAAGTTGTGTCTAAACAAGTAGAGTGGCAATGCCTCTAAGTAATGCCTCCAAGCTCTCGGAATTTCTCTCTGACTTACCAGTTACTGGATGGTTTTCAACATTGCTTATGATTCACACATACAAACAATCAAGAAATCCAATTTATTAGATCAGGGATCTTATCAATCTCTTGCTTACCAGTTATTAGATCAGGGATGCTTATTGGTGAGGTAAGCAGACACGGGTCATCAACATCTTTTCATCAACATCATTTGTTCTTTGTTAGGTGCGATATTGTAGCACGATCTATGTTTATTTTCAACGTGTTTTTCTTCTTTTGGCTCAAGGCACAGCCAGAACAAGACTATCTAGTTGTGGAAGACTACTTTTCATTGTCTAATGAGTTAGCTGGTTAGAAGAACCTGTTAAAGAATGGCTCACAATATTCGCAAGGAGTCCACAAGATGGAGCAGAAGTGGCGTCCCTCCTAGAGAGGCTAGTCCTGGCTCTTCCTTGTCTGGCCAGGCTGAAGACGAGCTGAGACCTTTGCACGTCTCAGCAAGAAAGCCATGGCAGCCCGCACTTGGCACAAAGGAGAAGGACCGCCTCGCAACTCAAAAGAAGACGGAGATCAAAAAGAATAATACTATTTCTTATACATCGGAGGAGAACGAGCACGAGGTTGCTACAAGGATTTATAATACTACAAGGAATTATATTACTAGTACGTCGTCGTGGTCCGCGGCGCAAGTTAGTACAAAGCTGTCAGGTGGAGGCGTCGTTTTGCCCAAGAATGCTGGTGGAACACTCCGACGGGGAGCAACGCGCGTAAAAAGCTGGATGAAGTCACTGAAGCGAGTGAACAACCTCATCGGCAGGGAGACGAATATCGACAAGATGGTGAAGAGGTCGTTTTCTGGCACTCCTGCCAATTTTGACACAAATACGTCTTCTGATACAAATCCTGTCAATTTTGGTGACACAAATATTGACAAGACGGAGGAAGAGATGTCCTCGTCTTCTTCTATAACAACTGGTACAGTTCTTGTCGTCCAGAAGTCTTCTCCTGTGCAGAGTTATTCGTCATCGCCAAGAAATGCCACCAGCATAAATGATGGAGGTAGTCTCAAAATAACAACAGCGGCATGCACACGCAGAGAGCAAGAGGAAGACCATCAGGGACATCAAGAAACGCTTGCTTTTTCTCCAGTACGACGTGCGCTATCTTCACTAAATAGAGCATCGCCGCCCTCCCCCGCACACGGCGATCGTGCTGCATTGTTTTATTATAGTGGTCCTGGTGCGGTCGACGTCGCCTCGGCAGGAAGCGGGCAAAGAGAAGAAGCCCTAGAAGAAGGTGATCTGCCAGCGGTACCAGCACGAAGTGAAGAAGACCTAAAAGGTGAGGAAGCAGCACGAAGTGAAGAAGAGCTAGAAGGTGAGCTACTTGCAGTAGCAGAGCACCGCTCGAAGGAGGTCAATACTGAGGGAGAGCAGGGCGCTCCTGCTGAGACGAACACGACACCTCCAGCGCCGCTTGTGAAAAAAATTGAAAAGCTTAAAAATACCCCTGCTGCTATGCGTACGCAGGGCAGCGGTATTATGGCATCGAGTGGGACAACCACGTTGCAGATGCTGCCGAAGACTACACCAGCGGATCGGAGTCTATCTTCGGGTATCCGGTCCGGATTTGCTGTGTCCGACCACATAGGCGTAATTCGGTCGGCAGAGGTTGAAGCGGCGCCGTTGGTTTGGCGCTTTGTCTGCGGCTTCCCATTGGATACCAGCGGAAGGTTTCGAGGCGATCGTGATGGCCTAAATGATAGGAGGAGGAAGCTTTCGAGCTTAATAAAGAACTCGGCATCAGCACAACAACGTGAAGATTACGAAGCTTTTGTGAATTTTTTCGGACAAGATTATCTTGCAGGTCCCGAAGGTGAAGGAAGTCTTCGAACACGGAGTTTCGCTCTTCACAGGCTCTACCAGGAGCTACAAATGGGTCACAGTGTAGCAGCACCATTCAGGGTCCAGTATTTTCAGCAAGGCAATGGCGATCGACTTGAAGCCCAGCGAATGAAGATGTTGAGTTTGGATGACGGCAAAGGAGAAAAAGACGCGCATCTTGGGCAAGAAACCCTGACGAGGAAAAGTACTAGAAGAAGAGCAAAAGAAAAAAAGAACAAAGCTTCTAGGGGAGAGGAAGGCGACCTTCTTGTTGAAGAGCAAGAAGAAATAGGTGAAAAAAATGACGACGTTGAGATGATGTGCAAATTGATAGAAGCACTATGCGACAAGGCTTTGTTAAATCGTGGCATGTTGTGTGCTGTTTTGCGAAAGTTGCAGTTTCTCTTGCTCGGGGCCTCCAGTCGTACTCGTTCCAGTAGTGGCGGCACAACTAGACAGGACAGCTACAAGAGAGATGAGAATAAGATATGGTCTGGATCAAGACTTGCATCCATTTTGGTAGAGCTCGCGGACTGCACTTCCTTGCCAGGAGGGACGAAGAGGAAAAGGAAGAGGGATGATGAAAGGGTGGACCAAGAGCAAGAGGAAGACGTCGAAGGAGAAAGTCCTAGTATCTTTTCTTCATCAGGAGGTGCCTCGTCACGAATCAAGCCGCATAAGACTCTGTACCGAAGAAGCGTGATGTCGCTTTTGGACCTCTATGAGGAGATGGATTTTCGTTCGTTCTCTTCACGTGTTGTAAATATGGGTAAAAATACTTGGTCCCCACGAGGAGCAGGAGCAGGACCACGGAGTGAAGGCCTAGTATCGCAGGACAAGAGAGAAGGCAAACGAGACTTTGAATTGGATAGGGTACAAAGGTTGTTGGAGGATTTGGGGATCGAGTTTCGCGATTCGTCACCCAAAGTTCGGCATCTCTACGACCGCTTTCTGGCAGTGTTGAGCCAAACCCACGACGCCATGATGAGCAGCTCGCAACCTGCGCATGCAGAAAGTGAAACAGAAGACCTTCTTGCAGTGGGCCGTGGTGGGGATTCGGATTATGGTACGGATTTGGATTACCCGAACAACATAGAGGAGGAAATGATCGAATGGGTCCACTCTTCCCAGGAAGTTTTGCCGTCGGTGCCCAGGAGTGATGCCCATATTCTTGGGGGTTTCACAAACAAGAACTCGTCAATCTCTAGCAGTCACAAAAACAACAATACAGCTGGTGGCGTGTTCAAGAAAATGTCAACACGTCCCTCGCCATCTGGCGCCGTGGTCTTCCCGGCGACATCCGCAGCTTTTTCCTCCAGTGCTCCTGCTCCTCCAGCATTCCAGTCCGTAGACGGGCCGCGCGTCCGCCCGGCGCGTCCGGGAATGTCGGAGGTCCTCGGTGCGTCTCCAGAGGCGGCCAAATTCCGTCGCGTTTCTTCTATTCGCGCTAAGCGAGACGCAAAGATCGGTGCAGTGCGAAGTTCAGCTTTAGGCAACAAGACGCATCACAAGACGCAACATGTGGTACAAGCCCCACCCATTCTGGAGGATGAAGTTGTGATTCAGGAGTTCCTAGATGCCATTCAAACGGCACTATTCGAGGAGTGCAGTGAACAGCAGGGTGTGGAGCCCCCTCATCTTCGAGGTGTTGTAGAAGATCGTCGCGCTCTAGATTATCTAGATCGCCTAGATGCAGATGCACATGTACATGGAGATGCTGCACAAACTGAAACTGAAAGAACTGAAGATGTTTTCGCATCGCCAGGAAGAAGAGCGGACGACGATGATGTTGGTGCTGAGACGAGAGGACGTCCTGAGACCACGACGGGTGACGAGACCACGACGGCGACACGGCGACGCGACTTCAACAAGGTGTCGCCGTTGCGAAGCTCTCAAGTTCTACCGAGGGAGCTGATGTCGCAGGGTGCGCTACTCGAGATGCGGGACAGAGATTTGGACGCCTTGGATCAGCTGCAAAAGCATGCGGCAAAAGCCCGCGCGAATGTTGAGCGTGCGCGTTTGCTCACCAGGTTCGAAACCATTCGGTCCAAAGTGAGACGTCTGGTTTTCGGTTTGCGAGCCATGGAGTTACGAAGAAGTCGCTTTTTGTGCGACCCGGCTCCTGACATCGCCCTCAGACAGACCAAGCTACTCCAGCTCCTCTGTTTGGTCACGACAGAAGCACGTATGAAGACAGAAGAGGATGCACATCTTCTACTTCGTGGCGAACTACAACAACGTCCCCGTGAAGAACGTCACCAGGTCGTAAAAGAACAAGCCTCGCCTCCCTCTGTTATCGTTGAGTATTTTGCAAGAAATGCTTCCGCGAAAACTTTCCGCGAAGCTCTTCTAGCAAATGCAACTTCTATGCTTGGTAGCAGTAGAAATTTAGACTTCTTCTCAGTTGCCGAGGACTACCACGAGAGCAGCTCTAAAGATCAGAATACTACTGCTACAACTACTACTACTACTACGACTCATTCTGGAGCTGATGGAAGTAGAATAGATACAGTGGCCAAGTTGAGAACTTTTAATGCCTATAGGTGGTGGCTCAGTCTTGGAGACGATGCTTGCCTCCTTTTGGAATTCGCTTGCACATCGCCCCCTAACTTGCACGTGGTCCTGCAAGAAGACGAAAAAGGTCTTTCCAAAAATGAGTCCAGGACTCTACTTTCCAAGAACAATAAGTCTAAGATGAATGACGGACGGAAAAAGTTTACAAAATTCTCAGCAGAAGTTCTTGAAGAGAAGCGAGAAGATGAAGAAAAACAACCCACCCAATCTGGATTCCCAGAAGACGAGGAGATCGTGGAGAAAATCCAGATTCTTCGCCGTTATCTTCTTTTGGAAGGCATCAATGACCGGGACCCCGTAGACTTTCTCTTTCATTGGCACGCGGAATCTTCTGGGCCCAGGCGCGCCGTGGTCAACGCCCTTCGCTTTTTCGCGCAGCTCCTGACACCTAACCACACGAAGCCAAATCAAGACAAAAGTGAAGATCAGCAGGACGATGTTGAAGATCATGTTCATCATAATTCCGAAGGCCAGAACTCCGTTGCCTCATCTTCTAGCTCGTACCGAGGGTTACTGCGACAAAAAATGCGTGCTGCGTTGCAAACGCTGTCCAATTTGCACGCTTTTTGGGTTTCTTGTTGTGATTTCAGGAGAGGAGTACTAGACCACAGAAGCAGTAATCGCCATTCCCTGACGTTGAAAAATAAAGGAGCCACTTCTAATACTACGACGACTTCAGGAGCATCTTCTTCCAACATCTCTGCACGACTCGCGAACGATTCAAAGCTGAACTTTTCATCTTCTTCACTATCGATCGCAGACTGTAATGCTATTTTCGATGCGGATGTAGCTATTCTAGAGCAGCTGCAGGGTATGTTTTACGCACAGCGTTTCAACAAAGTTTGTGGTGAAAGCGTGTCTGAAGTGTATGAACGGTCACTGCGGGACTTCTCAGCATTCGTCTCCGAAAAACGGCAACTCCAGGACCGAGAAAAGCAACGCTGTATCGAAAGGTTCGGCTACACCGACGCAGAGTATGCGCGCTTGCACAGCTCCTTGGACACGCACGCCGAAGCATTACTCGATATGAGCCCAACAAGCAAAAGTCCTTCCGGAAGAAAGGATGCCGAGAAGTACAACAAGGGCAAGAAAATTCAGAGTCGCAACCGAGCGATACTAGGACACTCCAATCCTTCTATCATCGGCGCTGGAGAAAGAAATTACCTAGACGAAGAAGACGCGTTGGAAGATTTTCAGATGGATGACGATGTTGACGCCGAAGAGAACTCGCCAGGCCATAATGATCCTCTCCTGGTCGATAACGAAGCAGAAGCTTCGCCTTCTGGTGCGGTCGTCCAGACGAGAGGTAACCGTTCTTTTAGAACAAGGAGGACCTTAGGGTTAGGTAATGATCGTGGAGGTACTAGTTCTCTTTTGGAGGATGGTGACGATTTCAGAGGTGTCCAGGACCCTGACGGGCATGTGTCCATAAGCTATCGCAAGCGCAAGCAGAATGTTATCTCGGGTTTAGAGTATCCAGAGACAGCACGCATGGTCAGAACGATTTTGGGACGCGGCAACTTGACAAGGTGGCTGCAGCGTGCGGTGGGTCCCGAGATGAGGAGGAAAGTTGCTACCAACACTTCTTGTGCGAGAAAACGAGATTTCGAACGTGCTGACGGCGTGGACGACGCAGACGATTGCTCCTTTGCAGATTCTATCCAGCAACCTGCCTATGACGATTACAATAAGAGTATGAATGGTGCAGCTAGTCGTGGTGGCAGTACAAGAACTACTAGGAGTGGTGGTCGTGCCTCTTCTGCGGCAGATGAAGTCGTGAACTCTTCGCGTCATGGACGTAGCAGTGGAGGCCGTACTAGCAGTAACAAGTTCTTACCCTCATGGACAACAAGAACAAGTGGTCTTCTCCTGGATGAAGCGTCTTCGAAGAGTTATAGGAAAAACGATTTCTTCGTAAGCCAACAGGCGGAGCGGGTGAAAGCCGCAGCACTCTTTGCGCGTGGCGCACATCAGCATTTGAGGCTCGATCAGAGTGGCGATCACGATAAGCAGGACGCCCGTCGTTTGCATCTCCTCGCGCCTGTTGTGTCGGTGATTGAATACTTGCGAATGCTTTCCGGAGCCGATATTCTTGGTAGAAGTGAGAGCGACTCAGGAGTTCACGTTGGAGCTTCTATTAGTAGCGGCGCAGGCGGTTTCCTCCAGGCAGCAGGAGGAGCAAGAGGGGCCGATCGCATGGAGAGGGATCAAGACGAAGAAGATGATCATGTTGAGGAGGTAACTACTGATCTTGAAGATGTCGAGTCGTATTTGCGCCGCCTTGCGTCTGTGGCCGCAGATGATGCCCGACTACGAAAACTGGCACTGCTAGATCAAGCTCTCTCACGCTCAAGGCAGCGCACCACAGTCCATCGTCGCAAGCTCGCAAGGGTGCGTCACTACCAGCAAAGGCTGGAGCAGGAGGAAGAAGAGAGCGATAGCATCGACGAGGAAGCTCCTCTTGAAGAACCTGGTGGAGCTTCTTCCACTACCCTTGCTACAAGAAAAAGAAGTTCTGTTGGCGATGACGAACAACCCATCATGACGAACAACCCATTGGTAGGAGAGCCAGCACCTGTTGTTACGTCACCAGAGCCTGTTGTTACGCAACCAGAGCCTGTTGTTGTGCCAGAGCCTGTTGTGCCAGAGTTCTGGCCACCCTTGAGATCTCCCCGAAAGGAGGGTTCCACCCATGTGCCAGCTTCGGCAGTAGATTCGGAGCAGCGACGTGAGAAAGAAGCGCCCGGCGACCGTGATGGTGACGTCGTAGTTGTAGAAGAGACCACTCAAAAGAAGCAAGAACAGGAGCTAAGAGCGTCAAGGCATCAAGAAGTGGAGCACGGGAAAGACCAGGAGCAGGAAGCGGAGCATGATGTAGCCGCACACCAGTTAGCCTCTAGTACAACTCAAGTAGCAATTATAGAAGCAGGAAACGAATTTAAGAGTGCAGCTACCACGTCAAGTAGAAAGAAGTCCAGGAGAAGTACGACTTCGGCTTCGGGTAAGACTATTAAAGGTACCAGCACGAGGACATTTTCCAGAGCTGCTAGGAGAACATCATCTGTGACACGGAATCGAAAAAGTACATCAAGTGCTGCTCGAACATCAAGTGCTGGTAGACGGACTACAACGACAGGCAGTAGTTCTGTTGTTCCCGGGAGAAAGCGAAGCCGAACTAAACGCCGTTCTCCTGGCAGCCTGACGAAGGAGCGGGGGTCAACATCAGAGCGCTTGGCGCAGGTTCGAGCTACTGTGGCTAGCCTGGAGGCTGCGGTGGCCCGAGAAGAAAGATTGCGTCAGCACTGGCAGCAATTGCGAAAGCGTTTGCCCCAAATTCGAGAACTAGCTGCCACTTTCAGCAAAGGCGAACAAATAGAAGATAAGCAGGCAGAAGTGGATGTTGATGCAGCAGAGAAGAAAGTTTTTGAATTATCATCTTCTTCGTCAGAGCTCACGCCTTGTCGTGCGACGCCTCGTGCAGGTGGAGAGGACCACACGAGAAGCCTGGGAGCGTCAGAGCAGGATATCCAAGCGGTTAATAATACTCAAGAGTTCGTGGGATCGCCAGAGATACGCGCAATTGAAGAGGAATTAGGGGACAGTGCTGAGATGGAAGCCGGTCGAAGAGACGAAGAAGAAATCGAAATTCTTCTTGGAGGAGGACAGCAAAGTGAAAGAGAGGACCTCGATGCCGGAGGACAGCAAAGAGAAGAAGGATTGGCATCAGAAGAAATAGAAGGCGTAAATGCAGGCTCGTCTCCGGTTGTCGTTGAAGGAGGAACTAGGCCAACTAGTGCCATTCACGTATTTGTGGACTCAGAGATTTTAATGTTAGAAGAAGGAGAACAAGGGCACGGGAATCTCAATCTTCCTGCTGCGGACGAGGTGAATCCTGATTCTGACCAAATGAAGCAACCAACTGGATACCACCTGCTTCGCAGTTCCGCTACTTCCTCGAAGATGTCGGACACATACATAGACCACTTGCAAGAGGTTGTCACGACTTCAGCAGCTTCTAATGATCGTGCATCGACTTTGCAATTTGGGGAAGCAGAGCATATTACCAGTGTGGACCATGGTTTTCACCTTGCTACGAAGGTAGCGCATGCGCATCCGATGAAGGAGGAAGTGGCGAATGAAGCGCGTCGCTTCGTTGAGAAAGTAGTCGAAAGTACAGGAGGATTCCTGTTGAACTCCTCTTCATCTACTTCCAAGTCTTCATCTCCGAAGTTGTCTGTCTCTTCATCCAAGGCAACATCGAGCAAATCATCCTCGTCAGGTGAGCGTAGGGCACACGAAGATGATGAAAATTTTGAATCAAGAGCTGTTTCTGATGATGGGGCTCCGATAGTTGTGCGGTCTTTAACTGCTGGCTCTAAAAACTGGAGTGTCTCAACAGCTCCAAAAGTGAAGTCTTCAACGCCTGAAAGGTCATCGAGAAAGCAGTCTCTTCATGCAGATGCAGGAGATCATCGACTGGCAGCATCCTTAACCTCCAGTACTGCGGGCCAGTCTAGTACTGCTAACTCGAAATCGAAAAAACATCACATATTCCATATCGATGGAGAGCAGGTTGTGGTGTCGGTCCTAGACAGAGGAAAAAAGAGGCCAAAGCTGGCGAACCACGAAGGCGAATCGACTCACTTCGTGGAGGTGCAAGAACAGCACCATCCTCATCTCAATGATGACAGAGCCATGTCTGCTGCAGCGGGACCAGGAGGTATGATGAAAAGAATGTGACTAAGTACTCAACATAATTTTTCTTAGCTTAGAAGTGTTAATATTCTGAATCAATAAAAAACTCGTGTCGTTCAAGGACTTAAACTCGTCCGAATCTCAGACTTTAAGTCATCGGTCATGGCTGTATGAACAGTAACACGGACATCGGTTGTATGTACTTAGATATCGGTATTATTCGCAATTGCTTACACATGTCGAGATGCTGGTTATTGTGGTTCGGTTGTTGGTGGTGGTCGTAGTCCTTTGTCATGAGAGGAGAAGAATTCGTCGTCTAGAGAGAGTCTTCTGCTTTACTCCTGCCGTTTAATGCCTGTTTTTATTTAATCTGTTTAGTGGGTCGGATGCGACTGACTCTAGGCCAGGGCTTGGTGAACCGGTACCCTTGGACGAGCCCTGGATGGTGGACTAGAGTCAGTGAGAGCACCTACCCCCCTCTGGTCCCCACCTTGGACTCGGGGGTAGGACGCCAAGGGCTGTAGCATCTTTTCTAATTAACTATTCATTAATTTATCTATAATAAACATCTCGTATCTCTGCTCAAACTCGGCTTTCTTTCCTCGAGGGTCCAGAGAGATATACGTTCTATGAGCGAATCACGCACGATCCACGCTCGACCAACCGTGGGTCACGCTCTTGTAGATCAGGGACAACGACGGACAACTACTTGAATTTCATCTTATACACATACTTCACAAGACCAGGGATAGTAGTTCATGTATCTTCTTCATACCATCTTCGTTTATGGGGGTTCATTTGCGCATTTTCTGTCATTTGCATTCATGGACTTGCATAGTGCATGGACTGGAATGACTAGATGAAAGTCCAGATTTACATACGAGCATTGTGCTTTATTAGCGTGTGCATTGTCTACTTTTTCATCACTCCTTGATCAAGGGTCGTCGGTTTTTTCATATTTTGATTTTAGTCCACATCATGAGATGAGTTCCTCATCTCGCTGACATCGTAGTCCACATCTAATGACATAACATTCGGCCTCCGATGGCAAACCAAGCATACAATGTTTTTCGCGAGACATCAACACCGTTTACGGAGCCAGGGTTAAAACGTGTGAAACGTGTGGTCTACTTATTTGGCTGTACTCGGTATAGGATTGTCTGCTGTAGTACTAGTATATCGAGCAGGTATGTAGTTGAGTGGTTTCTGCTTCCCTTCCTGAGGCAAAAATACTCAACCCTGTTATGAGAGGCGAAAACATAGTCCAGACGAGGACATCTACATATTTATTTGTAGAATAGCAAGAGGCAGTTTCACTAGATGTAGATGTAAGTAAGTACTTATAAGTAGCCGTTGTAGAGGTAAGTACTTGTCTCTTTATATATAAGTAGGCACTATCAATCTCATCTTCATCTAGAAGATGAAAGCAGCCGCGACCAAACCACCTGAGCTATCCCTGATCTCCTCGTGCCTCAGTGTTTGTTCCTGTTTCTTCTTCACTTCCAGCGAACCCCTTCTCCCCTTTGTTTTTTTCGGATAGAAGAATGATGGGATGCGCTGCGGTTTAGGTTCGCTACCTCTAGGCGCAACTTATCTCATTTCAAGCACTGCTCTCGCCGGCGCTTCAAACCTTATAGTTGGACACAGGTGGAACCGTCGTGCCCACATTCCCTCCCTAGGTCTCGACAAAAAACCGAATGATGATCCAAATCTGTTTGACTCTCGTCCACAGCAATAAAATAGTGTACCGTAGTACACCACGGCTTCGCATTCTGTGTAGGCAACAGCTGCATCTTACATCAAGGATGGGTGCTTGCAACAAACATAGAACAAAACGTGTTTCAACGCCAGCATGAGAAAGCTGGTTACCTCTACATACTGTAGATGACTACAACAAGATGCAAAAGATGAGTCAGCTGATGTTGAAAGTGAGACTCTTCGCAGTGAGTGGAGAAGCAAATATAGATGGCAAAATTGCTTTTTTGGTGAGATATCGTTGCTCATCTTCCTAGACCACATGCAAGACTATGCTGGAAGCACGTTCACACTACATTCACTAGACATTCTTCTATATTGCGTGGCGCCACAGGTAGACCTCGAAGTAAGAAAAAGGACCTTACAGATACCAAAATGTAGGTTTTTTCGATTTGACAGCATTGATTTTTGCGCTGAGCAAAGACTCGTTTGCACATCAAATGATTAACACTTACATCTGGGTTACAACTTTAACAATAGAAGCGAAAAGTAGAACACTCACTTCTCCATAAATATATCATTTTTAACGAAAAAGAAAGTAATACTACAGTTAGAGGCAGCACTTCAAGTTCAACTTCTAGATCAAAAGCAAAGATGGAGGTGGAGGAAGCTCCTGGCGAGATCGATGAGGCTGCGGCAGCCGAGATCGATCAGGCAACCGACGGCGCTGAAGGAAAAGTTAGTGCAGCAAACGTCGCACCTCCGCCACTACCATTAAGGCTTTGGATTTCTCTTTCCAACGACAAAATAACGGGTTAGTTTTCCCTCAGTTACAACATCCTAGGTTAGTCCCTCCTCCAAAAAGTATCCTTACGCTCTAATAGTGAAAGGGAACAAGGCGGCTGAAATGTGCGAGGAGCCTGCGCAATTTGGGAGAAACTTTCCTATGATAACAACTTGGAGTGGTGTGGTAGAACTATCAGACAAATCCGAGAAGGACAGGGACCTCCGACTTGCGCTAAAGTCGATGACAGTAGGTACTGCTTACTCTTCGTTATAGTATGGCATAGAGAGTTTTCCTGGCAACCTTCATTACGAGTGTTCCTGGCAACCTTCATTACTATAACTACCCACTTGTGTCGTCGCTGGATCTGCTTCGTCTTGCCGATAGCTTAGCAAGGCTATCTGAGACGCCATGACGCCGATGATTTATCTTAGGTATAACTTAAAAGATGAATATGTCGATCTTGTTGTTGACTGGTACTTCCCCACAACTGGCTACTTTTCACTTAACCATAATCTTCAATCTGAGAGATCTGGACCACTGCTTTGTTGTAATCTTTTTAATGTTTGTTTTTCAACAAACATGTGCCTTTCTCATTGAGTTTTGAACATTGGTTTTCATTTCTTTGTTAATTAGGGTTTCTCTGCGTAACCTCAATCTCTTTTCTCTCATCAACATCAGAGGAATGGGCACCCTTTTGGTCCGAAGTGCATGCGGCAGTTGTGCCCATTTTTGAGGAGAATGAACAAGCAAAAGAGAACACGCCACAGAGCCTCAATCTAGCGCTCAATAACGTGGAGCGAAACGCCGATGGGTCCTATCATTAAGGGTAGGCTTCTAAAGGTGTTCCACCTGTTATAGCGTTTGTAGTTTCGTCTCTCCTAAGGGCGAAAGGCAGAACAAACGGAACAAAGAAACACCAAAACCCTGCCTCTAATATCAGGCTACCAATGATAGCGACAAGCAGCGACGCGCTAAGGAACGAAAAAAAGTCCTATCCGCCCTCGAACGCATATGGTCGATCTTCATACTGACCGTGATAGACTTCGAGGCATGTCGAGGAGCGGACTTTCCATTGAGCGTTCTACACTGCGGCAACTTGCTCCAACCGCAGTTGCCCAACGCGGTTTTTGGGGAAGAAACCTATCTCACTTATGGCGAAAAACTACCAGCGTCTCAAATCACGATACTAGAAGAGATTAAATTTAGTGAGAAACCTTGGAGCACTTATCTATCATTCATTTACTGAGAAAAAAACTTTTCTGCTACAACTAAGGTGGCTGCACTTGTAAGTATTCAGAATCTGATGAGATTACTCTCTGGGATACTCGGTTACTTCAGTTTTTCGATTAACTAGTGAGATGCAGAGGTAGACCACCACGGCGAGAAAAGGAATTTCAATCATTGGGTGCAAGCAGTAGTACTTATAAGTTCTCCACTAATGTAACATAAAGGCGCGTGCGAGATTGGCAGACGCTATCCAGAAACTCATCCAGAATAAGTGCGAGAGCTACGAAGTTTTCCTTCCCCTGTTCGCGCAGTACGTCGTGGATGAAGCGACCAAGCCGCCAAGTGACGACGGCATCAGGATAAGTTATGACCCTGACCGCTTACAGAAATAGCATCCACGATAAGCCTCATTGAGTCAAGATGTGTCTATAAACCGCTTTCAAGTGTCCAAGAACATTTCGTGGAAACACTTATAACTACGAAAGATGTGTGCGCCGTCACTTTCGGAAATGAGTGAAGACCAGCTTCCATTTTGTCTCTACGGTAGTCAAGAAGGGCATATCAGGGGGACACGCATGGCATACTTGTCGCAATGAATTCTAAGCACAACACGAGGACCGAGTGAAGCAGCAAGACGTAAATCGGCTATGGGAAATGCGAGAAATTTTCAGTTATGCTGAAGATAAATGCCTAATAAACAAGTCCACTCTAATACCTCCTCCTAGTAGTAGAGTGATGCTTGATTTAATCCACGTCCTAGCCATATAAGTACATTATCAGTATGTGCTGTCGTTGTAATGTAGGCTTTTGGTTTACCTCATCTACATTTGATACGTGAATGTGCTGTCGTTGTGTAGGCTTTTGACTACAGCAAGTGGACAACGGATTAATCAAGGACTCATGATATGCCAATAATCAATGCACTCCTTGTCGTTGTGAACGTGTCGTAGGGCTTTCTTGAGTAAGTAAGTACTAGAAGACTGTAAAGAGTACTAAAAGAATGTAAATTACATATGTAATACTGAGTCCTAGGTATACCTTCCTATTACATATGTAATTATCAATGGTTCTAATCTCCGATTTTGGATTTGGAGGCGAACGCTTCGTCCCACGTGAAGCAACGGCTAAACACGTGCCTTACCGAGATCTGCTTTTACAGAGGCGACGGACCTAAATTTCTCCAATTTCTGATAACAATGAGTCCCAACGCAGCAGCTGACTTCGATGAGAGCCTTTACATTATGAGAGCTGCAGGCACTTTTCCCTTATAGTAAAATGACAATATTGGCGGGCGGACTCCTTGTTACCTCATGCGTATAAAATTAGCTTATATAATATATTTTGTCACGTATAATCTCCTTAGGCTCTTCGACTTCAGTAGTTGTAGTTGCAACTAGTTGCATTAAATATCGTGTGAGGCAAATCGTCAGTGCGTTCATGTTCCCACTAGAATAGAAGCTGATGGGATCTCGCTAAGGGATTCTCTCCATTTTTCCCATGATAACTTCAATGTCGAAAACCTAGCCCTACTTATACGTCACTCAGTATCATGTCGAAAGTATGAAAGCAGATTACTAGGAGATTGATTCGGGTCGCAACGGAAATCCACAGCGACAGGCTGCTACGTGCTTGGAATACACGAATAGCTGACCGTGTCGGTCTATCAGGCAGAGCAAAACCTAACCTCCTAACCTCATCTAGTTGAGTGCCTGTTTGTAAATGTGACTGCTTCACTGTGCGAAGTCTTGGCGGATGCGCCCTATCCTGTCCTATCTGGTCCTTGTCTTGGAGGTGTCAAAGTTGAATCTAAGTAGAACATCCTGCCAACTCGCACACCGAATCAAATAAAAACTCTGTCGGAAGTCTACCTCGACGTATGGAAGAGGTGGGATGCGCAGGCCAGGAAGAATGACGACTCTTATGATCACTCTGTGTAGACGTAAATTTAATGAAGAACTTTCTCTTTCTCTGAGTACTTTCTCTACTAAGTGAGGCTGATTATTGAAAACTTTTAAGTCTGAGAGTCTTGAACTCTAAGACTCCAGCGCTTTTGCTCGTCTTGTCCCATTCCTTTGTATTCGAACCTTGTATAGTATTGGCGCTCCCTTTCATAATTCGGAGTCCGCAGTGGAAGCAGTGAAGAGCCTGCAGGATTTCGAGCGGCGTCTTCAAAACTGGATGCTCATCGCATTACAGGGAAACAAAGAAGCGCACAAAACTGCGCTAGCGTTTTTGCGGCCTTTCCATAAGAATCGGTCGGAAAATGAGTATCGCCTGAATGACATGCTCGTTCGGCTCTGGTCACCCTTGCTCTGGAGAAATCTGCATTATGGACTATATGATATACATATAGTACAACTACTTGATGTTGAGACGCATAGGTTTTCGCTTGATATCTTTGCTCTAGGTATTTTTAGGTTGTGTAAACTTGAACTCAAACCTCTTCAGAGGACTCTCCTACTTTATCTCCATTTTTCTAACGTAAAATGCCAAATGCCATTGTGCGGGCACAGGCAACTTCGGTGTTTGCCATGGTTTTTCCGCTGACAAGTAGTGGCATGAACAAGGACGAGCTTTAAGGGTAACAGTATTTCCTTATCACTCGCCGTGTGAGGTGTTATTCGTGGCATGAGTCAATGTTATTGTTAACCCGGGGGCTTGGAAATTTTTCACGTTCTTCAGGAAAACACCACGGGGCAATTATAGATTAAACTAACATGAATGGGGGAATCTAAATACCACCATACAGGGGAGTTGACATTATACTTAGGGGAGTATTTTTATCATATTTATATATATAAATGGAGAGGATGGAATTGGAATGGGCATGAACATTCTCTGAGAAGTGACAGGAAATTTCCGAGTTGTGGTATACATTACAACACCGTCAGGGACCCACCTCTACCTCAGCGGGGTCCCTGATAAGATGAGGTAGAGCTGGAGGCTACCTCAGAAGACTTCTAAGATGTGGAGGAAAAGATGCAAAAGCATTTCAAGCATATGAGGGACCTCCTGGAAGACAAAGACTCCGTATTATTTATCAAGTTGCTCTTTTTGGATATCTCGTGAGACTGATAGAGTTGACTGTAATCTCGTGAGCGATAGGAATGAAGAAGAACATGACGCAAGTCGTTTGAATTGACGTGGATATCAGATAATAAGTGTACTGTTGTACGATCAAAATAAATGAAAGCAGAGTAATTCTTACATACAGAAGTCGGAAGCTAAACCGTCGAAATCGACTAAAATCATTAAGAATATACGAACCTCACTCGGTAGGCGTAGGAGGTACTACTTGGTGTTCACTGGGTGGCCTCATACTGGATAGACACAAATTGCTACACAAGAGGCGCCATGGCATGACATAACTCCCACTATTCCCACTACTCGAGCACGTTTCGGTCTAGCAAGATTCCATCACATTTTTTATGGCTCTTCAATGGCCTCGAGCGCTCACCTCCTCATTGGTGAGCCAATTCCTATCCTATCCTAGAGCAAGCGAGCATCTGTAATTAAGTTATCTTCTAGGCTGCTCGGTTGTTTCATTTTTTCGATTACTTCTACATATCCTATCCTATCCTATCCTATCCTATCCTATCCTACGACTACATCAGGGGGTGCGCTTTTCTGCTACGCAGATGGTGTGCAAAGTGCTTGCATCGTGGTGGAGTGTCGTGCCGAATAATGAGGCATCTGCCCTCCTCGAAAAGATTGCTGCGGTTGGCTTAAGGCTCCATAAAAGGATCTTTTTTTTTACTGATATTTACTGTTGATGTTGATCTTAATCTTACCCTCATCATATTTTTTACTACACATACTAGTCTTCACTAGTGGTCACAACACTACGAATCATTCGTGCCCTTTTTACTAATCTTTATAGTGTCTGTTTATCTTAACGAATCTTTGATGATTATCACAGGATATACCAAGCAAGAGACACTAGTACTTGAACTCAAAGGCGCCGATCGGATTGCGTACTATCAACAATGGCTTAAGTAGTAATATTAAACTGTTGTTGGGTAGTACATCAACATCGTCATCACCATTTCGATCACCATCACCGTCACACAATTTAGAAGGCTCGTCTTGTTAGGCTCCACCTCCAACAGGAAGAGACAAGGGCTGTCCCGAGAATCGAGCAGTGGTTGCGTCATCTCTTAAAATGCTCATCACAGAGGAGCCTCAAGCTCACGATTCAGCTAGGCATGTGCTGGTACTTGTGCTTTTTCTATCTATATCAACCTTAGACGAGAAGTGTCCTGCTGGATATTGTTTCGTCTCCGTTATAGTACGCGTGAACATGATAATAATTATTTGTGATAGGGCCACGCGCGAACATAATGATAATGATAGTATATGTTCCAGGGCTCAGGGCTGAAGCTCCCCCCCCACGATCTAACTTGTTGAGGGGGGGCCTCCAGCCCCGGACCCTTTTCGGTGAGGGACTGCCGGGCGGGAAGGCCTCCAAGCGCCCACCTTCGAGCTTTCGCGGCTTCTTGCCTGTACCCTACAGAACCCAAACCCCTGAGGCCGTTCAAGCACCGACGGTCGGGGGTCGTGAAAGGCTTTCGAGGGCAGCAAAGATGGCAAGGCTTGCCCCCCTTGCCGTGTTGAGTGTACCCTAAAGATCTCCCGGGTGCGGGCTCCCTCCCTGGAGGGTGGAGGGCCTCTGAGGGCAGCAGGTGGCAAGGCTTGACCCCCTTGCCGTGTTGCGTGTACCCTACAGACCTCCTGTGTGCGGGCTCCTCGCGAGGAGGCTTGCCGCTTGCTGCTTTCCGTGAAGGCCAAGGGGGCCAGGCCTCGCGACCGTGGCCGCCTTCGGCGGCCTTATTCCCCCGGACGCCGTCCACCTGATAGGGCCCAAGAGCGGGGACGCCTGTGGGATACACGCGGAGAGCCGCCAGGGGACTCCGGCGCCGTCTTTTGAGGCCTTTGCCCCTCCCTGTCACCACAGCGGAAAAAAGTGCGCGCGGACGCCACCGCCGCTCCATCCACAGGGGGGTCCTCCCTCCCTGGTACGTCGATAATGATAATACAGTACGGCCACTCTGTCGTCGTTCAATCTGTTTCGCCTTGCAAGTAGCTTAGGGGGGCTACTTGAGACGCCACTATAATGATAGTACTTTTTCTATATCCACCGATTGGGTACACTACTACTACCATTACGACTGTGCGAGACCCATGCCATGATGCCATGCTAGAGCTAGCAGATTTAGGTTTTCGTTTACCTTTGCTCAAGAAGTAGCACATACACAAAATTGACCGAGTATTTACATGACTTTTCCACCGTCGTATTCCCTTCATCCACTACCTATAATGAATCAATATCTATCACTTGTTTCACTAGCATTTGTTTCATTTCGTGTAAACACTTCTTGCTTATAGAAGATTATGTCGACGACATCACTGGAGGATCAGGATGAGCCAGAGCCTTACCTAACCTTTTGTCCCAACAGGTTCGAACGTCCACTCCAAGCAATGACAGTGATGACGTGACGAAGCATGCTCTTCATCTTATATTTATCGGGTCCCTGCTAGCTCCTCCTTCCATACACCCCGTTTCCGTTAATGTGCTCGTTATGACGAGTTGTGACATTGGATGGCCTCAGAAGTAGACGGAAATAGCTAGTTGTAGAAGATTTTACCGGTCGGCTTCCCGGTTCCTCGTCCACTAGTTAAGTGCTTCGGGCGTGTAGACAGTGACAGTAGGACACAAAGAACCACTACGTGAGAAGTACCATGACATGGCTACCACTTAACCTCGGCCTAGACTCCAATCAATTCTATATCATGGTTACTAGACAGTGATACACCACTCGCAGTCAGAGATACACTACAGAAAGAATGCATCATACAACTCACTACCACTCACAGAAATATCTGTCGATGCAGCTGCACGATACGGCGCCGAAGGTTAGGCAAGCCTTCGTGGAACTACTTTTGGTGGTAAAAAAAGACGCTAAATTCCAGATCCAAGACGTCGTGACAATTAAGGCTGTCAATCTTGACAAATACACAACATACTCCTGCAGCGGCTGTGATTAGTAGAAGTAGTAGTGTACGACCCAATCATGAATGAAAGTGGTCATTTGAGATGCACTGAGGACGATGAAGAGTCAGCACTGGAAAGAGACTCCTTCAGCAGCTGTGATCCTTTGGTTGGTGTAACTCTTTATCCTTCTAGGCAACTCCCGAGTAGATTCACTCGAAGTAATGATCGACTCTCATGCTCTAAGACAGCGCAAGATCTCCTCCACAGAATTGCGTTCGAGTACACCAATACACTGGAGTCCGGTACCCCGTACTCAGAGTTAAGGGCAGTATCCATCTGAGTATATTTGTTTTTCCATATTATTACCTCTACGTGTAGATTTCGCTCATTTCCAGCACTGTTCTCGTCGCTTCAACAAAGCATATTTGTTTTTCCCTCAGGTGGTTCTTCTCGTAAGGACGAGTCGCTTCTTTTTCCTTGGTGCATCTTATTATCGAAGTTGAATCTAAACACGTCCAATCTAAGCATCAGTGTAACGGTTTTTTTAGGAATCAGTTAAGTACAATTTGTAATAATCAAGTTCAAAGCCGCTCAGGCGTCAAAAGATACCTCCAGAACAGGTAAATGAATGAATGAATGAGTACTAGAACAGTGACAGTGTAAGTGAATCGACAACGTGAGGAAGACGAAGCAACTATCTATCACTTCATCACTATTGTCTCAAAGAGCTCTAAAGTAAGACCAAAAGGCAAACAGCAATAGGATTGGGAATGGGTTAGCCACCATCGTCCGACCAAGCTTGCTGCAGTCAGAAGAGGTCATTCCAGTCGCCGACCGTGTGGAAAGACTGTATTTATGAAAGGAAAAAGATACTAATTTTATGTTTGCTTCTCAATGTCCCACCTTTGATCTACTCCGTCTAAATGTTGCTCAGGATCATTTTGATTTTGTCAGGGGACCTCCTTCACCTACCAATTGTTCTTAAAGAACAACTGGAGTGCTTGTGCAAGTCAACATAGTCATGTCAATTATTGAAGAACAACTGAGGAAGAACTGAAGTGTTTACTCAAGTCGTAGTCGGTGTAGTCATAGTCAATGCCAAAGTCCTCTTCTGGTCGTTGATAGGCGAATTCTTCTTGTGATCACTCAGGGTCGATCTGTTTTTTTTTTCTCTTCCATAATGTCTATTCATCAAGATGATCATCAACATGTGTGACTGTAAGCATCTTTATCTCATATGACATATTTATTTTTATGTCAGCAAAAACATAAAGGTCTTGTTTAGAAGATTTGCAAAAAGCTAAAGCTATATTAGACGTATTTAGAGAAACGCCCGCTCGGCGCTCTGCCTATTCTGTCTAAGTCTCTGCGTGCTGGACAAGTTTCCACTAGCGGTGCTTGCGGTGTTCAAGTTCACGCACTTTAACGAATTGCAGACGCAGTTCCTATCTGAGTTAGCAGCCGAAATTATGACTCGCATTCACAAGGATCCGCCAAAAGTAACCGAGAACCACATCGCGTGTATGGGCGCCATTTTGCGGCTCATCGACTGCGAGCGCGTTAAGAAGGATCCGAAAGGCACTAAAAATTATGCTGGACCTACTTCAATATTGATTTATCACGTGAGTACTTAAATACTAAACTGCGGTAAAAAGTGGTGCTATGGAGGTGGAGACCAAGATTTTTTTATCTGGCAATTACTTACAAGTACTAGAAAAATGGCGGCTCTTCCACTTCCTCCTGGGTAAAGTTTGTGAGTGAAGCTCAGCAAATTCATCGTCCCTCACCTTTCTGTAGCAATCTAGTTCGTCGGCTATTTCTTGGTCCTCGCTTTGCTGGAAGAGGTAGATCTAAGAGAAATTGGAAGCGGTGACAGTTTTTTTTTCCGATGAAAGCATAGTGAAGCTCCTGAATTTGCGGCCCGACCTTCAGGCGTCCATTATCGACATGTCGCGGTATATACCCACAAGAGGACCCAAGATTGAGAAGTTAAGGTTAATTCGTTGAGAAGCATGTCCTCAATGTCATATTCTGAAGCATCCTCAGCGCCATTCTTCTTGGCGTCTTTGTCCTTAACACCATGATCCTTGGCTCCTCTTTTGCAAGGTCCTTAACACCATGATCCTTGGCTCCTCTTTTTGAACAAGGGGAAAAAGAGGCGCCAAAGGATATTATGGCTCTCAAGGTGAGACTACCTCATGTTAGGTAAATGAATGATTGAATGAAGGGAAGATGCGACGCTCTAACGAAGGCGTTCAAAAGAAACCTCCGCGAGATGCCGAGGCTACTCGGTGCCGGCGACAAATTCGAACAGTTTGGCATGGTCTTTGAATGCTTCGTGCGGGACTGTGGTATTAGAAGTAGAGATACTATCTATACAAATACAAATACATAAAGTAAACTGATAGCAGAAGATGTTGTTTCGAATGTTTGATGAAATTGGAAAGTAACGTCGTGACAGCAGGCAGGACCTGTGGTTGCATTCCCGGTTATACTTGATAGTTTATCAATCGATTATTCTGCTCTGCAAGAGAAGGCACAGGATAGTTGAAAGGCCTCAAAGGTGTTAGCATAACACATAAAAGAGGATCCATGACATGACATGACGATGCTGACTGAGTTTCAACGTATTTAGACGTTTGTTGATGTACACAGCTACTAACTACTTCTACTAGTAGGTAGTGTGTCAGCTTTTCTATCTTCACGACTTCATTTTGAAATGAACACATAATCCTGATGCGAAAGCGAAATACAATTTATTTTTGATATTACTTTTAGTTTTAGTACTGCGTCTTCCTTTTCATGTTTTTCTTTAGTCGGGGCTCTACCACAAATATACAGAGAAGCTCGCATCTTTCTGGAATGGCGGATGTAGAGACGAGACGAAACTCCACCTAGAAAGGAAGGAAGTGCGGATTTACAGCATGCTCCTGAAAAATCCCGCAATTCGTGAAAAATTGGCAGAGAAGAAAGAGGCTCTTATCCCAAAGGGGCGGGAGCTAGTTTTAAGGCTCCACAGAACTCCACTTCTCCACGTGAGAGAGTCCCGGTAAAAAGTACTGCGCTGGTAGTGCCTGGCGAATTCTCAGGCTGTACTGAGGCAAGTACTGGGACGGGTATTTTAACTACGGGATCGGTTCACGGGGTGGGTTCATGGTGGCTCTAATAGTTGAGGCCTTCGGCAAGGCGTGTCGCAAAAGGCACCCTCGCATCTTTGGCGATACTCCTAGTTAAGGAGTCACTAGCTGTAGCGTGCTTATATAGAGTTGATTATAGTCCGAAACGTCTTGGACCTTCGTCTCAGGTTTCGTCTAAGGGGAATTGAATGGGTCCAGGATGCTTATCATAGTTGATAAAGATAGACAAAATAGAAAGAAAAATAACCGGTTGATTTACTAGTAGAAGTAGCCAGCAGCTCTAAGCTAGTGCAGCAGCGCCTCCACCATTAAGGCTACCGCTACCGCATCCTCAACGTCAGCCGTGGCGTTGTGCCGATAGTACCTTGGTGTTGTACCCGCAACATCATCCTTGGTGTTGTACACTTGGCTTCTTTTTCAAAGGGAAAAAGAAGTATCCTCCAAGGACATTATCATGGCACTCAAAGATCAAGATGCGACGTCGTGGTAGCTCTAACACCAAACACGACGAACGCAGCTGCTGCGCTTATCGACCCGCCGAATCTGGTAGTGCTGATGCTGAGGATAGCATCTGAGCTGATACTGAGACTCGATAGCTCAGACAGCTCCTTTGGAACGACTAGGTCTCCCGTCCCGAAATTAGTGCCAAATCTTCTAGCCTGGGCAACACCGGAAGAGGAGCTGGGTACTAATAACTTCATTCTCATGTAGATACGCAAATAACTTCATGCACAGATGCAGCTAGCTTCTTTCTTTGAAGTGAAATAGTTTCTTGAATTCTAAGGCCAATGTGATCATTCTAGATAACAGTACGTAACGAGCAAATAACTTCATTCTCATGTAGTCTTCATCTCGTTGTAATCATAATTTTCTTCCTTCTACTTCCATATTTTCCTTCTTACTTCCTTCTTCTACGAAGATAGATGGATCGCCTGAGTCCTGAGTCCTACAACTATAAGTATGCAACCACCATTAGACTTTCAGTGTGATGAATGGTAGATGGGCAAGTTCCTCTGTCTCGTACTCGTTGTTTCCATCATGATTCGCAACATCCATCATGATGGAAAACGAAAATTAGTGCAGTTGTTTCCTTGCAACAGTAAATGTGAATGTTTAGTCTCGAAATGCAAATGACAATGCAACATGTATAGTCTCGAAATGCAACAGTAAATGTTAATGTTTAGTGACAGTAATGTTTGGTCTTGACAACTTGTATTTCTCAGAATACAACTTCTTTGTCATTTGGCATGACCTCTCGCTTTCTGACATGATGACATAGAGGAATTGACAAGCCTCGACTCTATTCTGAACTAGTTGTTTACACGTTCATTTTACTGTGTATAATCGTCTGCCCTTTCCTCTTGGTTAAACCTCCACTTTCATCCAAATCCATCACCACGTACTTGCTACTGGTAGCTTACAAGAAGTTATGAGCTAATATTAACTCTTCGTTCCTTTTAACCGTTGTAGAAGACAGACATCCATCTTTCTATCCAGCAACCGCAGAGGCAGCTTCGTCAAATGGGTCTTCCATCAGGCGGAACTGGAGTGCGCCAGAAGATAGCGAGGAGTGCTTTCCACTCATGATTGAAATCTGCACGGCTGTCATGGAGAATCTCGCTTTTCTCAACGTTTTCACACCGACGCCGAACTACCCAAAATTATGCTCTATCATTCTACTAATCTAAATATCTATATGCTTTATATTTATATATATAAATCTACTAATCTAAATCTTAATCTTTTGAGCTGCGAGGAGGTCGGTGCCCTGTAGAGGCATCCTGATTGATTGACTGCGTTGTATATTTGGTTGTCCTGGAAGTTCTGAGCTCTCGGCTCAGAGCGACTTTGTTTGTTTGAGAAGATATAATTCACTTTGTTTGGTATTCCCCGGTCCCTCTCATTTTTAGACTTGGTCGTGCTGTAATTGTAGTATGCAGTAGTAAGCTGTGAAGGGGATGCGGGAAGAAGCTTAGTGCAGATGAGTGCCGAGATAAGGGAAACAGCATCAACATGAGTAGATGAAATAGATGAAGTACACAAAGGTCGTTCACGCATCCAGTAGAGAAAGTTCTTTCACACGATGCTCACTGATGGATGCGGGTTAGAAAGTTCTCACATACATTATCTAAGAAAACTAGCCACTGAAGTGGGGCAACTCCTTTGGTGGCTGGCGTCGAAGAGGCTGATGGAAGACGAGTCAGTTTTGAACAATACCTGGCAATTCCTCCAGCGGTGTCGTTAAGGCTACCGGTGCTAAAAGAATGTCCTTACACTCAAGAATATCATGGTCCTTGCTTCTCCTTTCTCTACTTGAAATCTACTTGAAATCTACGACTAGTACGTCTGCACTGAACGTTATGCGAGATGTATTGTACTATTGTATGCGCTCAGGGAAGATGATGCAGCTAACACGGTAGCTCTAATGCCGGTTGCGGCAGTTCCGACCCTGCGCGACTGAAGCAGTGGCCATATTGGAGGATGTTTTGGACAAGGTGGGAGACCGAGTCGGCAGTGACGAGGACCTGCGAACATTGTGGGCCAGCATCTTAATGAAATTCTCAGTCTCCCCAGCCATGCATGACTTCTTGCGCAGACACATGGACGACAAGGAAATGGAAGCCTGGCTGGTGCCAATAGATGACTATGCTACGTATTTTGTTGATTAAGTAAAAGAACTTCTTCACCACGTGACTAATTTTTACTTCAACAGGCCCGAGTGCAAGTACGGGACAACTAGGACAACGCATCGTATGATAATTAGGCTTATTTACATATGCAAATTGTCAGTCAAGTTCAAGTACTCAGACTCAATGATCTGTGAGTGATAGTTTTATTGCTAGAGGATGCTAGCCGTGCCTGCGTCATTCGATTCTAGTCAGGCATCCTGGTACATGTCTGCGTCATTCGATTCTAGCCAGGCATCCTAGTACACGTCAGACTAATCGAAAACTGAAAGTAAGCGAGTAACAAACACATTGACTACCGAGCAGCTGCGATTGTTATCATGATAGCTAAGCACGTAACAAATGCAACGACTACCGAGTAGCTGAGATTGTTATCTACCTAGCTTATCTAGCTTATTTCAGTTGATCGAATATAACCCAATCCCTACCTAATCCCTAAGCAATACGTGAGACTTATCCGGTGGCGCCAACTTATTCTTTCTAAAGTCAACCTGAACCGAAAAATCGAGACTCGTTTTCGTCCCTTGAGGAAATTCCGCCTGCGGAGGTGGCCCCACGCGTGCCAGGTCGCATGACACAGGAAGCGTTTGCAGAGAATGAGAGTGGCGAAAAGCTTTTCACTTGGCATCGACGAATTACAGACTGCCTTTACTCACAGTTATGAATGCAATTCATCACTTTTAGGGAGAAATCAATGAGACTTCAAGTACCAGGGGTTACTAGTTTAGATAATTTGCTTTCAATGAGCATAGTTACCAGTCCTCTAGGCCACTTGACTCCTACAATAGACCCATGCAAATGCATGATCATAAGTCAACACTTTCTCCCTTCATCAACTATATTGTCCTGACCTTGTGAAGACTTCGAGTTCGATTCTAATCTTCGCGCCAAAGTTTAAAGCGTTGTACAAGATTTTGTATCTGCCGAAACCTGACGGAAGCTGTGGACCGATACTGAAGCATCCGAGGAAAGGATCCGCCGACTCCAATCTAGATGAGTTCTTCAACACGGCTGGGCTGAACACTGCTGGGGACGATCTGGTACGTTTTCGGTTCGTTGTCTTACTTGGAGGTTTTAGATCTTGTTCTTGTTATAGATACTTATAGATACATAGTTAGCCAAAAATTAGAACTTAGATTTCTCCCAAGGAGCAGTAGTGATCACCTCCAACTGAACGATATATTTCTAAGGCAGTTTTGTTTTTGACCAGAATGATTTTTCCTTAGAATTAGATACTTGTTGGATCTTTCTGTAGTTTTCTTGGTCTGTCAGACTCAAACTCCACTCAACGCTTCTTCAAAAGTTTATCCTGTAGAATCTGTCTCTATTCTATCTAAAGTCGAAGCATCGTTCTACTTTAGTTAGCGATACGATGTTCCTTCTAAAATTTGATAAAATGTTGTTGCTCTCCGTGCAGTGAGTAAGATCATCTGAATATCAAAGACAACACGCGGACAACTTTTCTCTCCACATATGAAAACAGGAGCTCAAAGACGACGACCTGATGAAGGGGATGACCGGGACAATGGACTTTGGGCCAGATGACATGATGGCGGAGGAGGCGCAAGAGCCTAACATCAAAAACTCTTCTGTCCAGCTGCCAAACGAACAAGAACAACCTTCTGATGACAGTGGAGCAGGGGCGATGGACGTCGAAGATGGCGAGGCCTGTGAAGAAAGTGCTGCGCCAGGCGTGCCGGTTGTAGTTGAAGGTGCGCATACCGAGCAGGACGTGAGGATGATGGCAGACGAAGATGAGGAAATGCATCTTCCTTCCATTCCTGAAGCAGTAGAAGTAGAAGAAGCAGCAAGAACTTCAAAAAAGAGCGCCATGCGGAAAGCGCCTGCGAAAGCGTCGGCGAAAGTTAAAGCGGCAGAAATAAGCAAGGGCGCGGTGGTGAACAAAAAGGAGATTAGTACTCGTAAAACATCCTCATCTTCTAGTGCTCCGTCCTCCAGTTCTGCGAAAGACAAAAAAACTCAACAAAGCAAAAAAAGTTCGAACACGAAGGAAGCAGCTGACAGCAAGAAAAATAGTAAGAAAAGCGGTAAAACAACAAGTGTTGAAGAAGAAGAAGAAGAAGAAGAAGTAGCAGAAGATGGGGATGCGACGCCAATCCATTGTCCACCGACTCCGAAAATCAAGATGTCTCCTGAAGCTGCGCCGATAGGGAAGGCGAAGATGGCTATGAAAAAGGAGACTCCGGCAATGAAAAAGGAGACTCCGGTAATGAAGAAGGCGGGAAAGAAATGACCATGTTGACCGCTTCTATGAAGTTTCAGTCGATTGAGTACTTACAATACTTGGACTTTCAGTAGTACTTGGACTTTCTTCATCTAATTTTTTTGAAATCGAAATAGATGGACATGCGAACTGTTTTCTGAGGACTGCTTTCGTCATGCGCGCAAAATTTTATCCTTTTCTGTATCTATGGAAACAAAAGCTCAAAGTTTCAACCTTGGTAAAGAGAAACTAAAAGTAAAACTCAAATTTCGTGTTAGATCTAAGAACGCTCGAACTCTGATTCCTTCAAATAAGAACGATGTACACTTTCTTACGCGAAACTATATTAATTCTCATTCTTTCCTTGAAGTTGAATGCTTTGAGAAGACAATTTATATATAATGACTTGCAGATGAACACAAGCTGACCTTCCCAGATCGTTCCCTGACAGGTATTCCTATCACAGCTGTGGCCTAGAGCCGTAGGCTCGACAGGTACAACAAATTGCTCAATGTTGTATGAAGATGATCCGCCTCATTATGAAAATTGTTGGCATACACTCAAATTCGATGCAGACTCAGTTGTAGTAGTAAAATATATTACTTGAAGATGATAACGTCACTCCAGAAAAAAGTGACTTTCAGGATATTTGCGAGCGGATGGAAGGTCGCAGCATCCGCCACCCCGATTATCTTTCTTTTCTAGGCGTTAGGTGGTGAAGATAGTGTTCACCTGGATAGTCGGTGGCTGGCGTGCCTCCTTCCTATTTACATCCTCCTATGGTCAGTCTATGAAGCCCAAAATTTAGTTATAACCTGTGCTTCCCTTGCAGTTAGCCTTAGCGAGACCTGTTGAATTTCACGGCCGGGGTCGAGAGAGCATAGTATGATTTTCACCAAGTAGCAAAAAATCAAGACAAGTAGAAAACACTGAAACTGAGTGGAGATATGGAGGAGCGTACAGAGGTGAAAATCCAAGACATGGGAAAACTTGAAAGATGAATGGGCCATCAGGGTAGTGCTGCTACTAAGTAGAAGAAGCAAACTTGTTCGCCGTAAGCCTACTAGGACTGAGTCTCTCCTTTTTATCGTCGTATAGAAGCAAGCACATCATGATGCGTAAGGCAAGCCTGGCGAGCGGCATTGCTCTTTCCGTTGGCTGCCAACGAGTAAGCGGGATGATGCACCACAACGACTACAACGCAGTTATCGATAAAGAAGGTGATCTCGTCGCCGAAGATGCTACCGGAAGGCCAAGCAGCTTTGTGGACCAGTCTCCTGGCGTAGAGATAAAAGCTTTTAGCAATCTAGATCTTTTAATGCCTATGATACTGAGACTCATCATGGTGAATGCTAGACTCAGGCGCCCGGTAGCACTCCGCCCACTAGAATCCTCCACGCTCTGCACGCACTTCCCCCGCCATGGCGTGCCTCCGCTTCCCCGGCTCCCTCCCCGCGCGACAACCGTCCGGCGGAGTTGATCGGTGAAACAAGAGCCGGGCTGCGGGTGGCGTGTGGGCATTGAAAGGGCACGCCTCGAAGTGGTAGGTTCGGGGGTTTACTTGCCTTTTGTGAGGTTTGGCCATCGTTGCGTGAACGCTGAGGCTTTTAAATTTTTAGACATGACCCAAATGCTGCATTTTTAAAGTTCATTCCCAAATATTTTGCCTCTCCCCCGCTGGTCTGAATACGCTCCATTGTGTAGATTGTGTTTTGGGTTGGGTGCACTTATTTTTTGCAGGTCTTTCCGGCTCTGGGATTGGCCACCTTTGTTCTCCTTCTTTCCCTCCTCCTTTCCGATTCTCTATTGAAATGTATCTCTTACACATTCTCGCTCAGTCACTCTTTCCACGTTTCTCGCTTCTGATGATGATCTTGGCCTAGCACTATGATGCTGGGCATCTACTCGTAAACTTGAAGTAAGCGAGTTGGGCAAAAAATAGCCGACAAGGCTTCAGCAGCTGCATGCCTGTGGCCTGTGTTCGGAGGTATGGCATACGCGGCATAGACTGGCAGGGGGGCGGGGCGCAAGTGCGGGGGTCGATACAGAGGCAGGCACTACCTAGGGGGTGCCACTTGGTAGGGGCCGTTGTGTTCGTTTAGGAGGCTGGCCGCGCTAGGGCATGGCTCCGACCTGTGGGCGCTTCGCGTTTGCGCCGTAAGGTGGGCCGAACGCCGTAGAGCTGTCCACATGTGTCTCGCCGCAAGCCTCCCCCTATTATTTGGGTGGTCCCTGGCGCTCTCTTTGATGCGTGACGCCCCGAAGCCACGGACCACGCGCCCGCGGATCTATCAAGGACCCGCGGCTCTATCAAGGATCTAGCAAGGGCCCGCGGATCTATCAAGGATCCACGGAGCGCCCGGAGATCCGTGGGGTGACTCTTGTAGTTCGCTACGGGCTCTGCTCCTTTCACTCTTCGCAAGGGTTTTAACGTCTGCAGGAGTTTCCGCCTCACCTTTCGCAAAGCCAGCAGCGTCGCTTCTCTTTCTGGAGGCAAATCGAATCCGCTGACGCCTCGCAAAGCCACTAGCTTCCCGAGGTGAATCTGATTGCTTCTCGCAGCGCCTCTAGGTAGTAAGCAAGCGGCAAACCTGTCGAGAACGGCAGTCGCGAAGCCACTAGTAGCCAAGAGGCAAACTCGTCGGAGCCGGCTGCCGCAAAGCCACGAGTAAGGAAGAGGCAAACCCGCCGGCGCTGGCTGTCGCAACGCCACTAGTAAGGAAGAGGCAAACCCATCGAGCAGGCTGGCTTTCGCAAAGCTGCGAGTAGCTAAGATAGAGGCAAGCGCGGGCCCAGACCAGACGCTTACGGCTTTTGTGCTAGGCCTAGGGCTGGCGTGCAAGATCCTCGCCTTCTGCTTCTCTTGATCTTGGGCGTTTGAATTAATTAGATGCAGACGCCTGCGGCGCTGTTTGTTTTTTGAAATGCGACGCAGAGCGCGTTGCGCTTGCGCTATATGTTGTAGCTGTTCGCCGTTGCCATCCGTTTTGCCTGACTGTCTGCTGGAGTGGGTTCGGATTCGATTGCCGGCTGTTGCAGGTACCAATAGAAACGGAGCTGACTGCATTCCCCACGTACGACAGGCCACGCGCTTGGGACTGACGTGGGCAACAGCGTGCGCGGAAGGCTTTGCCTGCGCTGGTCTTCTCTTCGAAGGGAAACCGGAAACGGCAAAGAACTCCCCCACCTCGCTCTGCTTTTGTCGTAGTCGTACTCATGTGCTAGCAGTTACGCAAAACAGTAACCGCGCCCAAACCGGCCCAAGCTCCTGGCGGCCGCTCTTCATTGCTGGACTATCATAAAACGAGCACTAACGACGTCGCGCCACCCTTTGGTGCTGCTCTTGTTCGTTGTTCCTTTTATTGATATGGAAGAATAGCGAAGGCGTTCGCCAAAGCTAGTTGGGGCGTGTATTATTTAGGCTGGCGCCCCTCTCTGTCCTCGTATTCGTCTTCGTGTTCACCTCTCCACGTTTTCGGGGGCTGCGCATCCTACACGCAGTGCACGTGACTGGCCACCACGCACGTGTAGCATTCATTACTCTATTCGTATTCGTGCTTTATCTCGCTGCTCGTATTCGCTCATCGTGCTCTACGTCTACTCTCTTTCATATTCTAGTCTATTCGAAATTCTTTCCCGCCTTCCACTCCCTTTACTATCCCCCGTGGCACCTCGCTCACTCTGGCATCATGTTCACGCGCTTCATGCGTCTGGGCTTTTCTCTTCGCGACTCATTCGTACGAATTCTGTTGGTGCCAGCTGTGGGCTAGTCTGTCACATGGACAGAGCTAGCAAAGTAATACTTGCTTTCTGTTTGGCAGCGCCTTCAAGTATGCGCCTCAACTTCTACAGACTGAGACTGCGCCAAAAATGCTCACCATCTTGACTGCCTTCTGGCATGCTCGTGCTGTTTCGCTCGCCTTGGTTGCGCCTTGTGCTTTTTACTGTCTCAGAGTTAGGCCGACCCTGACAGAGCTAGGGTGGCAGCGTCAGCCGCAGCACCTTCGCAGCCTTGGGCTGGGGCTCTTAATTTCGAGGCGCTTTAAGTGGCTTAAATCAATCCGGAGCGAATTCACCCGGCGACGACAGGGCTCAACTCCGGGGCAATTGATGCGGCGGCAGCTAATCCAGAGACACTCAGTGCCGTAATTCAGAGGGCTCCCCTCACTCGCAGACGCTTGCCCTAGCGCATTCAGATGCAACTAATGCGCTGACTTCAGAGACGCTGACCTGATGAACGAGTTCAAGGGCGGGCGGTAGTGTAAAAACAACGAAGACAGAGAGGAGCGCGGCGGCCTACTTTCTGCCACTTCGATTCGTTCTGGACATTGGTCACGGCGAAGGGCTGGCGGCTCAGTTTAGACGTAGAGCCGAGCGCGCGGGCTCCAGCGTAGGCTGCTGGCAGTTCTCTACTTCCAGCCACATTAGAGAGCCCCACGCAAGTGAGTATCTAGCTTAGTCAAAACCAGGCCTCTCCTGCCCGTTGTTGTTTGTTGCGTGACGCTTGGGCCTCCTTGAGTGCAGACGCCTCACCCTCTCCGAAGCTCTGGGCGTGACGCGGTGGGCGTCACGCGTCGTGCAACAGCTCTACGGCGTTCAGTAAGTCCCACGGCCCACCCCCAGAAGCCGGGCTTTCGCATGCTTTCGCTGACCCCCTGGCGGAGATCGGCTGCGCGTCACTCTCTCTCACTCTCTCTCACTCTCTCTCCCTCTCTCTCTCGTCACTCGATAAGAAACCAGCCACGCCGGCACTGCTCGCCACTGTCTGCCCCGTCACTCGTTGCAAGTTAGTCAGTGCGTAGAGCTCCTCACGCTTATGCTTGCAGCAAAGAGCCTGCCGGCGTCTCTCGGCGCTCGTTGTTGGGGCAAAGCTGTGGACAGACTCGCAACAAGCCGCCCGCCCTCGTCATGGGTGCGCCTCCATTCCTCGCCACTCGTTGCGCATCACATGCCCGCAGCGGGTCGACAGGTCTCCCCGAAGCTGACTGACTCGCTACCGAGCCCACCTGCGGGGAGGGGAGTGAAGACCACTCCAGCTCTCGTCGGCTCTTGGAAGATGGGAGACACTACCAGGGCACAACTTCACTGGGCTGATTTTCGCTCGGTTCTCACCGGGGCGGAGGGCGCCACTGTGACGCAGGGCCCTCTCGTTTTGTTCCCATCTGAGTGGGTGCGGGACGCTCTTCCCCGTTCTTCTCTCGTCTTCCTTTCTTCTCTCGTCGCTCGTTGCCTTGGGCGCTTCTCGTCGCTCGTCCTTCCTTCTCTCGTCCCTCTTGTTTCTTCTCTCGACTCGTCGCTCGTTGCCCGTCACAGAAGGAACAGCCAAGATTATCACCGAAAGACGCAAGGAAACCGACAAGAAAGAGAAACGCCAGCAGACAACAAAGAGAAGCGGGCGGCGTCTGGCTTCTCTCGTCTCTCTTTCTTCTTTCGTGCGTCGCCTGTTGCCCGTCACAGAACGAAGCAGCAAGAAGACTGAAAGACACAAGGAAACCGACAAGAAACGCCAGCAGGCAACAAGGCGAAGCGGGCGGCGTCTGACTTCTGTCGCCCCTCTTCCTTCTCTCGTCGCTCGTTGCCCGTCGCAGGGCAGTGGTGCATGGCAGGAAACTAAGTAAGGAGAGTCGTTATCGCAAACCGTGAAGTTCAAACTGTGGCCTTGACACGAGAGAGAAGGGGCGCCGTTTGTCGTTCGCCCAACGAGTTCCAAAAATGCTCGAACGCGCGCAGATGGTTGCCGAAGACATCGAGCCCATTGCGGTCCATTCGTCACCCTTTGACATCTTCCAAACTATAGGTTTTAGGGTTTAAGGCCTTGAGAGTTAGCCGCCAGCATATAAGTGCTAGGGCACTCGCTGGAGATAAGTGCAGGGGCACTGGCTAGGTAAGTGAATTGTTCACCGGAGAAGCCTAGAGATATCGAGAGCTGAAGGCCCTTACTTAACCGTCTGAGGGACAGGGGCTCTACCTATATGACTGAGGGGGCTGGGCGACAGCCTGGATTATTTCAACAGAAGGAACAAGAAGATCGAAAGACACTAGGAAACCGACAGGAGACGCCATCGGGCAACAAAGAAAAGCGGGCGGCGTCTGACAGTAAGGACCTACGCGACCTGCCCGCGCGCTCGCTGCGTGTGCCTTCCAGATCGGGGGCGCGTCCCTCCTTTCTACTTTCGGTTCTTTTTCTTGTCTTCTTCCACCACTGGGCCGCGCCGCAGATCCGTCCACAGGGGGGGCCTCCCTCCCTGGTGAATGAATATATTTTCCAGGCGGGCTCAGGGCTGGAGGCCCCTCCCCGATCTAACTTTTCGAGGGGCGGCCGGGCGGGAAGGCCTCAAAGCGCCCACTTCTGACCCCTTCCCGCCTTGTTGCATGTACCCTACAGACCTGGCAAAGGGGGCAAAGGCAGGGCCCCGCTGCCTTGTTGCCTGTACCCTACAGACCTGGCAAAGGGGGCAAAGGCAGGGCCCCGCTGCCTTGTTGCCTGTACCCTACAGACCTGGCAAAGGTGGCAAAGGCAGGGCCCCGCTGCCTTGTTGGATGTACCCTACAGACCTGGCAAAGATGGGAAGGCTGGCGCTCTCTGGCGTGTTGCGGTACCCGACAGAGCTGGCAGAGGAGGCAAGGCGGGACCCACCCCCTTGGCGTGCTGCATGTGGCCAACTATACAGACCGCGCAAAGGTGGCCAGGCTGGACCCCTCTGGCGTGGTCCCCCCCAGATCCATCCACAGGGGGGGCCTCCCTCCCTGGTACTTACATATATGCCCTCCTCGCTAATAGCACCTCCACTCATTGCCTAGATTACATCTCCTTTTACCTCATCCCTTCATCGAAATACCATTTTAGGAACCGAAAGCGGGCGCTGGAGCGCCCGTGCCGGAAGATTGGCGGAGCCAACGTGGGCCCGAAGTGATGCAGCTGCCGCCAATTCCTAAGGCTGCGGCTCGGGTGGGAGAGGCCGTGTCAGGTCATGGTCATGGCCTTCCCGCGGCGCAGCTGCACTATGAAACAAGGTTGAAGAATATCGAGGCGTTACGGCTCTCAGTAATTCACTTATTTCATAGCGAATTTATGATGTCCTCCTTTCTCCAAATGCATACCTGGGCGCCGGACGTTTCTGGTGTATGAAGCAGGCCCTTCTAATTGCTGAGATGGATTCTGTTATGGCCGGGTTGAGTGATGACTTTAGCGTCTAGGCACTTTTCGGCCTTTGCAGTTTCTGGTGGTAAATGTCAAGGATTGGAAAAGGAAATACCTGCTAAAGTCATCTACTCCTCCATAGAAATAAAGAATTATATTCAGCGTCTCGAGAACAGGGTAAGCCAGGCGGGTGCTTGGCTCTCCTCGGAAGGCATGCTGTGAGCTGAGTTGGTGGGTCGAATGCAGGTGGTATTTTTTGATCTTCTTGGAAGCGGAAAAAAACATAGATAAATGCCTTTTTATCCAGTACTTCTTTCAATTCTCACTGATATTTTTTGTGCAAAAGAAATGGGCCGACCACCTTCCAAACCCCTATGTTGTAGGTACTGGGTCACGCTTTTCGCTTTTTTGCTACGGGTACTTACATTTAGTCTGATCTCGGAAACGTGGTGGAGCGAGTATTTGCGGCGAAGAAATGAGAAAAGCAGTCAGGCCGAGTCGATGCGGTATTATTATTTACTCCACATTCTTTTTCTTGTCTGAAAGTATGTACTCCAATTGCTGATTCTCATATTCTTGACAAGAGAGCGTCCATGGAGTAAACGTCTATCAAACTCTGATCTTTTAGGTACGAGATTGCGCTTTTTCTTTTTTTTTGCTACGAGTGGGTACCTACAACACACATTGCTCCGTTAATCCGATTTCGGAACGTAGTGGAGCGAGTACTTGTGGCAAAGAAATGAGAACAAAGCAGGGGAATGCTGGTGGCATGCATGAGACTCTCGGAAACTTAGATATTTGTGTTAGACAATGGACAGGCTCTTTTTGTTGCAAACAGGGAAGAATGCTTATAAATATATACCTTTGAGCTCGTAATCGTGGGATTGTGAATAAGTCAAGCACCTTCGATGACGGACGAGGAAGGGGGGCAGTAGAATCATGAGTCTAGAATGGGTTAGCTCGTAGTTGACTTCGTTTTTTACTTTTCCATCAGGAATAATCTTACTTTTTTTCTGATGACATTGTTTTTGCATTTCCAGAGTTTTTCGTGTGGTTCTTTGCGGTATATCTTTTCCAAGAAAAGTTGATATTGTATAAGCGTCGGACCCTCCGTCTCAACCGATTTGATCAGGTGGTTCAACAATCAACATTCAGACGATTCAATTTTTTCGACGGATCTAAACCTAAATTTTTCGATCTAAAAAATCTAAATCTTTTCTTTTTGTTTCTAAATCTATAAGTACATAGCTTGAGAATTGCAGAGGATGGACTAGTATTTGACCAGGTATTTGTAGATTGATTGTATTGATTGTAATCAAGTGTTTGTTAGCCAGTGATCACATTCATAGCGCCATCAACATGCTTGTCCTGCCTCCTGCTTCTGGGTTTGCTGTTCCTAAACATGTATTTAGAAGCTGTAAATTTCGAAGCGTACAAAAAGCGTATCCGCTCCGGCGTTTGTGCAGGGTATGATCACTACGAGAAGGGCGAAACTGCCTTCATTTTGTACTTTTGTACCTTGTGCTATGTGCAGGGCTGAGTTGGAAGACCCACTAAATCTAAATCTTCCATCAATAATGGGTAAGAACAGCAGCTCCGCAGACAGAACAAGAGGAGAGCGTCAGAAGGATGCGAGGATGAATCACTTTGACTCTATACTTGTGTCGTTGAATTAGCAGATGAACACATCTTCATGGGAGACAGGGAACTTGTCCCCAAAACAAGATATGAACGAAATCAGTGTTATTCGGTCTAGAACTGATGTTCGGCGTTACTACGCTAAAGGCTTCGGCAGAGGAGCTAAATGTTCTGCACGTCCAGGGATGCATAAAAGAACAACACTTCTGTGAGGAAATGTTGCTTTTTCTGCGCCCTCCGCTGCTGGTGCGTCGAACTAATCTAAAAATTTGTAATTGTAAAAACCCACGATATGAAATAGAAGATGCGCCAACATCGGGCTGTTTGAAAATCGGTCGACGAATGAACACAATCAGAAAATAATTTCGGTTGCGGATCTGCATATCTATATCTTGTTTGGTCTTCTTGACGAACCACAAGATCACCGATGCGAGATCTATACCAAACCGAATGTATGAGAAGTCCGCAGTTCCTGATAGCCTGATTCATCATTATCAAGCCTGATATTACACACAATGTGGGAGATGTTTTTGAGGTGAGGCACAGCTTACAGCATGTACTAGTTTTTTTTTAGGTCCACACCATGACGCACAAAGCGAGGAGAGCCTGATGCAAGAGGTGAGTGCTAATCCGGAAAGATGAGAGTGGGAGTACAGAGACTTACCCGCTAAGCACGTACAAGGAAGAGTATAGTACAGAAAGGCACTACGAAGTAGAAGTACGAAGAGTACAGAAGAGATCTAAGCAGATGCGATAGGCACAACTAACTTCTGTGCGGCCGCCACAGGTGGCGCATTGTCTCCTGTAGCCGCGTAGAGCACTCAGATTGGAGAACAACCAGCAATATGAGAGATCAGTAAATGCGTGAAGTATTACAAGGAACAAAATGGCTGGGTTGCGAGATTACAGTCGGAGGTTATTAGTGTTTCTCATCCAGTATCGGCAGAATACAGTCGAACGCTTGCTGATATTTTTCCGTGCCGGCCGTTCCGCATATATCTTCATCTCAGGAACGTGCCTACTCGTTTTGGCTTTCTTCCTTTATGGCGCTAAGAAAGCTTTGTTCATCTCTCGTTCAATGCGTAACTGTATAGCGGCGGACGTAGAAGATTGAACAAGGTAGAAGACATATCAAGAATATCTCTTATTTCTGTGAAGTGCCTCTCACTCTCTGTTCTTTCTCGTTTCATCTTCTGCTGCTCGCTGTCACCGAGAGTAAAGAAGCGCAGGCAGCTCCACCTGGCTGGGAATCGTTCGTTGCGGCTACAGGAACGAACCAGTGGGTCTCCTGTTCTTTTTTGCTTTCCGCAGGTTGTATCACTATGGCGCTGAACTACTTGCCAAGACTCGAGGGTGAAGGGTGAATAGCGCAACTGGCTTCGCGCTTCTGGTGTTGAAGGTTAGTTAGAATCACTATAGCGCCTAGACTCTAGTCAGTATCACTATAGCGCTACTGGTTTCGCGCTTCTGGCGTTCTCTTCCTGGCAGCTGCTCCTGGTGAAGTGGTAATTCTACACCACCCTGGGATCTCTGGAGTAGCATAAGTGGCAGTTCTGAAGTCCCTGTTCCTCAAGTTACGGCAACCGCGGGAGCATCCTCAGCATGATCCTTGGTCCCTTTTTCAAGGGCAAAAAAAGGCCAGGGATGGTCTTAGGGATGCAACGCGGCAGCTCTAATCGAGATTCGCAATGAACCGCTTGACGATATCGGAGGAACAAAAGGCTTTCTTTCATAACCATGGGTTCGTTGTCCTCGACACAGAGCCCTTGATCAAAGATTCAGTTTTACTGGAGGCCTTGAAAATTGCGTTTGAGTGCTGCTTTCGCGGGGATTTTGATACCGGTATCTACCCGGATGAATGGCATTGGCGCCAAGGGATCTCAAGGCCTGACGCGGTGAGGGAAATTTACGATACAAAAATTGAAATCCAAATATTTACTCGCAGGTGGTTCTAGTTCGTCAGACAATGGCTCGTTTGAGATTAGCAGTTAAGATCATCAACCTAGTTGTACTGGTCTTCATAGTAATCTGTTTTTTCATCGTCTTCTTTAATAAATTGATATGATTCTCTGTGGTCATCATCTGCATCCCTTGCTTTCTCTTCTTGTTCGTTCATTTTCTTTGCAACGGGTGGAAATCGGATGCAGCCGTGCGTCGAGTTGTTTTGTCCGAAGAGGTGGGAAGCCTGGGACCTCAACTATTCGATCATTGGCAGTCTTCTCGCGTTGCGCAAGACGATTTACTTTGGAAGGTACCGGCATCGGTTAGCACGAGCATGAGAAGCACGGGCGCTGGAAGTACAGATGCAGCAAATGGATTTTCCCTTGCTGCTCCGACGCATGAGATATTAAGGCGGCTAGTTGTCGTTAGACTTGACCTTCAGCACCCCGTGAAGATGTGAGATGTGCTAAGTGGATTCCCCCTAATTTTGAGGGCGGGGCCCACAAGGAGACCTTAAGCCACTTATTGACACACTTCACCACCTCTAGACTGGGTGCAATCAGCATTGGATTGTCCTCATAATTATCATCATCATCATCATCATCATGCACATTAATCGCGGAAGGTCAATCACGAAAGAGGGTGAGGCTATCCTACCTCTAAAGCGACCAAAAGAAGAGGGGAAGAACGATACCACGGACAACCCACATGCGTCATCCAGTGTGGGGTATCACATCGACAGCGACTACATCTCCAAGCAATTCTTGCCTACCGAAGACAACAGTATTACGGTTTGGATTCCTTTAGATGATGCGGATGTTGAAAACGGCGTCCTCGAATTTGTTGCCGGATCGCACAAGTACGAGACTGAATTAGAGGAAGCCAAAATTATGGATGGGTACTCGTAGTTAAACAAATACCCCAGAATCGAAATAAAAAGTTCTGATTCTGTCTAAGGTCGTCAACCAGGTCGATTATCCCACGTGGCCTATCCCTATACGCAGTAGATTACCTTGACTTGGAGAGGGATATCATCCGGAACATTGAATATTTAGACGGGAAGGGTGAGCACGTCTACGTCACTAGTAATGATGTACTACCGTCGCTAACAATCGGGATTTAAAAGCAAGAGATGAAGGCGGGTCATCTTTTCATGGCGGCGGCAATGCCCTCCTTGATGCCTTGCGGGAGAAGGCCAAGAGGACGGATCATCACGCCAACAACGCATCGACCACATGCACAAGTGAGAAGAACGCAAGCACTTCTACTTCGCCTGCTCCACTTTCGGTCGCCCGTTATCGCATTCCTGCTGGCTACTGCTCCATTCATTGAGGCTTCCCCCAATCCATCTCCAGAAGCATCTCAAAGCTGTTCCGTAAGGGAGAAACACAGAGAACTCGAGAAGATGACTCTTCCCACGATGGAGGGGATCGGGGTGAGCTCTAAATTCACCATCAGAACACACTGCATGGATCGGGTCCGAACAGGAGTCCTCTGCGCCATAGGAGAGCTTTAGTAGTGCACTTGTTGGATGGTTCAGTGCGGTTTCGAGCGGATCCGGACTATATATATGGCCGATACAAGCTAAACAACTCAGCTGAAGTGCGCGAAGAGTTCTTCCCTACAACATGGCGTATCACAAACCTTTGACTCGAATATACACTACAGGAGCAACAGCATTTCACTGGAATACAAACTACAGCAACAACACTTGTCACTTGGATTTGCCCTTTGACCTTTCATGACCCTGCCGTATAGAATAACTAAATGTTGGAACTGGAGCTGAGCATGATTCTCCCTGGAATGGTGCAAGCTGTAAGCGATGATTCTCCCTAGAATGGTTCAAGAGCTATGTATTTGGGAAAACTCGGAAGCGTTGTTTATCACGTAAAGGAAGCATCAGATCCATAGTTTCCACGAGGTTAAAAGTCAACACGAAGGAACTGTTCTGAGTGGTGAGTATCAAATTTACTTAAGCATTTATTTGCAACGTCAGTGCAACTTGTTATTAAGATTGATCCTAGGACAAGGGCCCATGTGAAAAGAATAGGTGGAGAGTATTTGGCACCCAAAAGAGCATACCTAGGTACTTACTTCCATGACCAACATGCACATGCCTAGTACCCGTGTTTTTGCTTGCGCATGTGGTCGCGGTTGTCGGATCCAGAACGAGCAAGAATAATTCCTCGCAACATCCGAGACTGTCCATTCGCTGATTCGAGTCGAGCGATAAAGTCCTGTCTTTGGAACGAGTCCCACGCTTTTATTCCCCATTTGATGTAGCTCTTCTTGGGAAGAATGCAGCCTATCAGCATACGTAGCTTTTCAGCAGTTGTTTGTCTACTTGTCTGCTGTGGTACGACTCACGCTGAGGACAAATTCGAGTGGTTTCGGTGTGACAGCTGTCGCGCAACTTTTCATCAGATTGATAAGAAAGTTATGGAAAAGGAAGCGATCATTTGCTTTTGGAGCTTTTCACTGGCATACTCGTTGGAGTAGTAGAAGTGTGCCTATCTTCATCTTCTAAGTCGTCTTTTTCTTCCTCGGTCGTCAAGCTTTTTTGTCTCGTGAAGATCATGATCTCCCACTTCTGAAACCTAGAAATTTTTATTTCCTTCTTTTGTAGTCATGCTCTTACAAAAAAATACAAAAATCCTTCACAGATTTTTACCCGGTCTATGAGACTCTAAACCATTTTCCGACTTGACTCCCTCTCGACGGCGAAACTTCAAGAGCTACGAGTTTCTCGAGTTGGTTGAAGATGTCTGTGAAAAATTTGACAAGCGCACCTACGGCGTGAAGCAGTATGAGGGGAAGTATTAAGGCAAAAAATATTTGCGCCTTGCTGGGTAGTACTGTTGGAATTGTGTCGTCCCGCTGGTAGCCTAGGAGTACTCCTCGGTCGGAATGCCAATTTTTAATCAATCACCTTGGGAAGCGTCTTGTTAATCCTAGGAAGGCGCGTCTTTGGCTCCTTTTTCGATGGAAAAAGGCGTCAAAGATGCTGACTGTTCAAGATGAATCATGTAGGTAACAAGGTCTAACAGTACTACCTGTTCGGGCCTGGCATCATTGACCACTTGGGAGACGACAAGGGATTTGGTCAGATGGGCATGGGAGACTACGACCAACGTATGCAGAGTTACTTTATGGTAAACATTTAGTTTTCGTTACTCATGATACTCCTTAACCCCATCAAGGATCGTAAGGGTAGGCGTACTTTTATCACGATTGGGGGACTGTATCGTCCCGGCGGTAGACTAGGAAAACTACTTGGGATGACAATTTATCAAACGTCTACGGATCTTCAGGGGCGCTTCTAGTAGTTGACAGGCTATAAATAAACTAATATAGTGAGGATACAACCCTTCGTTCCTTCTAAAGGAACTTGAAGTCTTCGTTCTAACGACTGTCACATGTTCGCGGAAAAAGTAGGCGAAGACAAGCTCATGTCCATGGCAGGTATCGGACAACATGCGGAAGCGGCGAGCAGTAAGGGGATTTTATGCAACAGTCCTGATGTACTCCTCTACAAGCACAGAAATTATTAATCTTCTGTGCCTTTTGTTTTCGCAGTCCTTAAATCTAACCCTAAATAAATATGAACATGGAGATTAACGGACGAGCAGTAGCAGGAGGGATCTAAGACTGATACAACCATCAATCTCAATTTTTCTGCACTACAGTCTGACGCTATCAGGTGTCTAACAAGTGATTTCCTCTAATGCCCGACGTGCAGGAGCTGTGCAACGTTGAGTGTGCCAGTTCAATGATTAAGGCTACAAGAAATCCATCTTCACAGGCATCCCGGTCCCGTTTTTAAAGGGAAAAGGGGACCCAAGATGCTGCTGAAGCTGGACTTCTACGGTTTAGGTCTAAAATGAGCGGCGCCTCAGATCCAGAGGAAGTGACGAAAAAAAGGAAGCGAGACAAGGGAAAGAAGAGCCGCAAGAAGATCGAGAAGCAGAACAAGGGTGAGTCAGGAAATGGTGATGGAGGTACACCTACTGTTTCCACTTCTACTGGTACTTCTAAGGGTCATGTGAAGACTTCAGGCACTCCTTCAGGTTCCTCGGGTGCTGGTGCGAGTGGAGGACGAATGCAAGACGATAGAAGAAATAATGATAAAGGTACACCCTCAAGAGCATCAACAACTCAACATAGCAAGACGCCATCGTCTGTGGGTCGCGGAGAAACACAACCGCGTCTAGAAAAAAACAAAGAAGAGAAGACAGCCTTTCGGTCCGCACTGGCTTCTAGTCCTGCTACACTGGCATTGGCGGACATGCAGGGAGCTTTAAAGAGCATGAGAGTGTCCGATTTACAGAAGCTGTCGTCTGCTATAACTGAAGAACTTGCTTCAAGGGTACGCGCCTCTGCGGACGAGCTCTGATTAATGATTGGGAGATTGGGAAGATGATCATTATGTCGGGTTCTTCTTCCTGATGATCATGATTTAGGTTTCATCTTGTTCCACAACAGCTTTATTCACAAGAAACAACTGTCAGAATGAATTGTGTACTATAAAAGCTCTCAGGCTGTGCATCTTCGGAAAGATGTTTTTTTTGTTGCTGCATTAGCGCGGCGACTGCTGCTGCGTCTTTGGTGGTGTTGTTCTTGTCAATGTCAGGCTTGTAACTGTACAAGAGGAACACCAATGTAGGGAATGCCACCTAATTTATTACGCTAGAACTAGAAAATGGAGGAAATAGAAAAGTACATTGAAAATGATTGAATGCATGAATACCAAATGTTCGACGAATAGCATAGAACTAAGATAACAACTAGCATACAACAAGTTATTATAAGCTTAAGCTTATTAAAATATATGTTTATAAGCTTATTTTCGGTAATTACTAGAACTAGTCCGAAGGCATCGAGGCGTCAAACAAGAAGAAGGAACGCAAGAGAACAGACCATAAACATAGAACAAAGCCATGTTCTCGTTTTTTTCAGTGTCGGCTCGAGTGGCAGCATTACTGCTATATCTGCAGCTGCTCGTATCTTTTTCTCGCACTTCATCTGCCTTTGCTCGACGAGCAGAGGGGCACGACAGTCAACGCTCAGCACTGTTGCAAACAGGACCGCGATCGAGTTCCTCCACAAGACGGGTTGCGGACCACCCGTACAAGATCACCATCCGCAATCGTAGTCCTTCACGAAGCAGGAGTCTGGATCTCTATTAAGGCTACAAGAAATCCATCTTCGCAGGCATAACTAAGCTTGGGTCTCTTTTTTTATTTAGAAATTTTCAAGGGAAAGGGGGTCGAAGATGCTGCTGAAGATGGATTTCGCTTGGTTCTAACTCTTTGCGCGCAGTCAGGAACAAAATGCCCATCCGTCCATCGAAGCTACTACGCGTCCAACAAGTAGTACACGAAGAACCCCGTCAGTGGAGGTCGTGGAGCATATAATTGAGCCGCGTCATCGATCCCCTTTGCGCTATGGCGTAGCACCTGGACGCGGGTCTGGATTTCCTGGTGGCTTGAATCCTTTGTCGGGCTTCATAGGCGCTGGCGCAACGAGAGGATCACCGACCAGTGCGGGGGGACGCGGAGGTGGCTCTTTGTCGCGATTTCCTCCGTCGACTACTGCCCATTTTGCTGGCCCATCGCCTGGCATGTTTCAGGCCATGATCATGGGCCAGACTTTTGCTGGGAGAGGCCGAAATCATGTGACTCTCCAAAATCCACAAGTGTTTCAAATTCAACCTGCGCGAGGACGATCAGCGTCTCCTTCCCGTGGTATCTTTGCATCCCCTCGTGCCGCACCTTCTCCACCAGGCTCAATTAAGAGCGGTAGTTGCGTATCTGCTATACTTAATCATGATTTTTACGTCCAAGTAGTATTAGAGGAGGACGCTTCCTGCCCGTGCCTACTTAAAGTTTTCAGTCGTTAGGGAGATCGATTGGCAACATAAACATTCGATGAAAAGAACTGTAACACCACCACAGACAGGGAAACCTTCGGCAACTTGCTGAATAGATTCACATCAACAAGACCACAGGCAGGGGTGACATTACTTCCTCTTTCACTAGGAAATAAAGTGAGCAATTGAAGAATGATCTTCACCACTAACTCAACGTCTGAGGAAATAAAGTGAGCAATTGAAGAATGATCTTCACCACTAACTCAACGTCTGAGGACGATTCTTCGCCAGTCGCCGGTCGCTGCGCCTCGTTTTGGTCAAAGCCTAAGCCACTCGTGTGTGCTGCCTATGCGTTGGGTGCACTAGTCCTTGTTGGAGGTCCAATTTGGGCAGCGAACAAAGTCTTCGGCGCAGCTCCACTCGGGGGTGTTGCCTCGGCTGTCGCTAGTGTTGGGAGTCCGCTTGCAAATCAACTAGGTGGAATGAATCTTAAGGATATAATGTAGAACGTGAAATGCACACATCCATGATTGAGGCTACCATGATTGAGGCTAATTACATTGCCGGGACAACAACCTTCACAGCCTCGACTCTCATCAGGGTGTTTAGGGTTATGGCATCCTCTAATGATTTGGGACAAAAACAAGCTCATTCTTCCTTTCTCGAGCTAGCAGAATGTGATGGCAGCTTTTTCAACCTCGGCGCTGAGTATGGAATTCACAGTGGCTTACCGGAACGGGTGGAGCGATACTTGGAATCTTCAGGGGACGTGATGACATTACAGGTAATGCCTTTGCAAGTCGATAGCGAAAGCATCGCTGAACAGCAAAGAGCTCCTCATTCTTCGAGGAGTACATCTTTTAAGGCTTAGATCTGGACTTGTCTCGGTAAATAGGAAGCTGATAATCTATTACCTTTTTCTAGTTAGGTGCTCCACCCCAACTTGTAGGAAAGAAGTTTGTCGTGATGTTTTGTAAAGCGTGCAATGTTCTGGCAACCTAAAGCGTCTAAGAAGTCTAAGTCTTCGTTTAGTTCTAGTGCTGGCCCTTCTCGTTCTGGTGCACCGTTTTTGAAGCTGAATCCAGCCGATGATGGACGGTCACCCATGGACGTGGAGGATAATTGGCAGTGGGAGTATGCCCGCATCCGCCAATGCCCGGCTAGTGCAACACCGAGTTCTTAAGGCATCTTTTCTCAATGTTTCATTGCAGGACCACATCAATCGGAATAGTTTCCAACTACTACAAGTACAACAAGTATCTATATAGAACAAAAGTCTTCTTCACAGTGTCACCTTACTTTGTAGAAGGGGATTTTGTTGAGGAAGAAATTAGGTACTACTTTTGTTCATATTAACCTATCATAACAAGTTATTATGAACGACGAACTTCGAGTTGGAAGCAATGACCATGTGGCATCTTGTGAACAGATACTAGAAGATTTGCAGTACTGTTTCATCACTCTTGTTCTATGAAGTAGATTTTTATGAAGTATATTTGATGTATTATCGTTTCATCCACGTCTATCTATGAAGCATTTTTGGGCGTTTCCCACGTCTTCTAATCCGTTGCGCGTGAAGAGAAATATCTTTTGGAGGTGCTCGAGAACCAGAATAATGCAGGCAACAGACGCAAAGTTTTCGCTTGCGCGCGGTTGAATATATTAGAACCTGAACAACCGTCGACGACAAAGTCCGACACTGCAGCTACAACTGGAATCCAAGCACAGGGAGACGCAGCACCAGCATCTTCAGACACTTCTAAGAGGCTGACTCTATAACTCATGTGTTGTAATAAACTAGAAATAAGGATCACCCTGATGAATCTTCGTATGAAATACAAGGGAAATCTTAGGAAATCCGCCTAATAGGGTCACATCATCAAATACCAGGGACCTGATTTTTCTGGCACCATCTTCCCCAAAAAAGGGTGAACAGTCACGGTTAGCTCTAAAACTGCTACAGTAGGCGCGGATCTGTTGAATGCACAGATGGGTAATGGCTTTTTTGCGTCCCTCACCGACGCAGACCTCATGGCAGCCGGTGAGACTGCGTCTGCTGCATCTCCAGCTCCATTAGCAAAACAAGAACCCAGAGGTGCCATGAACACGTACAGAATCTTGGTTCCGATTCCGATCGAAGATGTGTGGATTCCAAAACGAATCTCTTCGCCTAGTCTGTTAAGGCGAATTTTTCACTATCTCACGTGGAGCTGGAGTATGGTGACTGAAGCGTCCTCCTGAGATACTATAATTATCTATATTATAAACCAAAACTTATTTTCAATGCTAAACAGGAGTGAACTTACGGCTTGAGATGTACGCAAATCATGGCAAAGATGTACGGGCGAGATGTATACGTCTGAGATATAAAAGGGGAACGTGGGCGGTAGAGATCTTAAAGGGGAAACCTCCAAAGCGAAAAAGGGCAACCCACTCAGCCACGGAGGGTGAAAAACGAGCGCTAAGAATGGAGCCCATCTGTGACAATTTTCACCGGTACCGCAAGCGCATTGCAGAGGCATTCAACAAGATGGCTACTAGCGTTGCGATACAAGACGAACATGTGGTTGCGTCTTCTTCTTCCGGAGACCATGGCCGTGGTCTCCTATCATCTAAATCGACTTCTCCTGCTGCACCAGGACAGAGACGAGTACAACTACAAAGTAGTTCATCTTTTCCGAAGCATGCAAAGAGGTCTGGAGCTTTCCTCAGTACTAGGCGCCTCGAAGATGATGTTGCAAGGAGCACAGCAAGAAGAGGCGATGCTGAAGAAAGCACGACAAAAGGCACTGATGTTGACGTGGACTCGTCCACAGTCGTGCTGCCCATCCCAGCACTATCGGACTTACCCTTATGGGTGCTACCACGGAAATGGGGCCTACGAACCGAGTTTTGTGAGAGCGATTTTCCTGCTCGTGGCACTGCCGATATCAGCATCGACTTAAGGCTCCATATTTAGTTGTTCATTTCATCTCCACGAGGACACTTCCCTCCCTTTTCCTTCTTGACATTCTGAGGGAATCAATATTCCTCAATTAGGAATCCCTAATAAACGAGGCGTATCGAAAACTGCACCTAGGGATCTGGGGCTGGGGAATTGTCAACCGATTACATCCGACTGGAGCTCAGCTGCTGGATGAGACGAGTAATCATTCAGCTGAAAAAGACAGTGTACTAGACCAAGTGGAACCAGATGAAAGAACCTCTGACGTACTAGGAAACTACGAAAGGTCGAGTGAAGACCTAAACAACAATGACATCAAGGGGAGTAGTACTTCTGGTGAAGCGAAGGCCGCCCAGGAAACGACGCGCAAAAGATCTTTAGAAGATGATGAAGCAGGAGATACTAGTACTAGTACTGAAAGTTCTAGTACTGACACTGGGTCCGAGATGAAGCAAGAGGAACAACTACAATTGGTGGAAGCCAAAAACGAGAAGGGTCGTCGGATTTTTCTTCCACTCAACTTCTACAGGTACAGTCCACCATCTGAAGACTTAATATCCCAAGAAAAATACCATTTACGCGAAGAACTCTTCTTCTGCTATAACAACTACTAAGGCTACCGCTGAAGCATCCTCATTCCGAACGCTATCCTTGGCTTCTTTTTCCAAGGGCAAGAGGACACAGGGAACTTCAACATTGTCCTTGGCTTCTTTTTCAAAGGGAAAAAGGACGCAGGGATGGGCGCGAGGGTGCGACGTGGTAGCTCTAAAACTACGGTGATCCGAAAATGCGTGCCAAAATCGAGAATTCCGATTATGGACAGTTTTCGCCTGCGTGGGTTGGAGACCCCGCAAAAAAGCCGCTGCCGCCATTGTTAAGCCAACAAAGTGAGCATCATCCTACAGCTACACCGTGCTGTTCAATAGTTCCTTTGAAGACTTTTTTTCAACGCTACATTTTTTTAAATAACAGAAGTTCTTGTGTCCAATGAATATCCGATATGTTGACTCGCCGGATGGGAGAAAGAAGTGTCCAGTATCCGATGCATTGACTCGTGGAATCAGGGAAGAAAAGGCCCAAGGAAATGACTCTATGGTATGACTCTCAGGGAAGATGTGACACGCGGTGAGCTAGCTCTAACATTGTCAAGGCAGTTTCTGCACGAAATGGATCCTGAGACAGGTACGGACGTCTGGACCTCAGAGGATAAGCCTTTGCCACCAACTCCAGTCGATGTGTAATCCTTCTATACAACCCACCCCGATTGGTTACACTACTACAACTACTACGTTGTGAAAGTTACTTAGCTAGTACAAGAACTACACCGCGCATCCTCATCGAGTTGCGTGACGCGGTCCCCACGTCCTAGATCTGGCGCGAACAGCACATGACCTGTGAAGGTGAACATGCATGGTGCTAGAACTGTCTCGTAGCCCAGAGATCGTTTAGTTGTGGTTTGTTTACCATAGTAGTTGCGTTGAGTAGATTAACATCATCACCATAATCGTTGCACGAAGCATCCATGGGGGAGGGATGCCACAACATGGGGGAAGAGATGTCATAAAAGGACATGCGAGCTGCTTTTAGTGGTGCATTTTAGAAGTACGTAGAAAAGGTAGAAGATTCGTCAGCGACTACTTGCAAACTAGTAGTAGTTGTTGCAGGCCTGATGATCGTAATAATATTTCTTGTGACTCATTGTCATTGTAACCTGGCATGGGAAGCCAATGATTGCTGTCTGCTAAACCAAGACTCATGACATTTCCTTTTTGTAATGTGCTATTACCGCTCGAGCGGTGGCCCTGTCGTTTGCGAAGAATAAAGCAAAACAGGTATAGAAATGAATTAGATCATTATTTGCATGATTTTGATTATAGCCCAAGTAAAATCTCTAGATCATCAGCTAATATTAGTTGTATGGAAATATAGTTGCTCAGCAGAAGCATACATGGACCAGAACTGGGAGGGTGCCGGTACTGGAAGGGGTAGGAAAATAAGGGTTTCCTTCGACAAAAAAGGTAGAATTATCGACAAAAAAGGTAGAAGTAGAGAAAACTCAAAAGGTAGAAATCGAGGAAAGTAGGAGCCTTAGAGAACCAAAAAAGGTAGAGGAAGGGTAGAAAAAGACGCAAAAGTGGCTTGGCAGGACGTCGCAGCAAGAGGACGAAGGGCGACCACCAGAGGCGACTTGAGGGCACGCTGCTCGGCAAGCATCGAAGGCGCAATGAATGACTGAAACAGAGCGCACCCGAAGCGAGCAGAGAGAATCAACGCGAGAAGCAGCAGAAGCGAACGCGCGAGGGGAAGCTAAGAGCAACTAGGCGGAAACACGCAGACAACAACCGCGTATCTGAGTGGTTTTGGTGACGGAACCCCGGAGGTCTTTCGAAACGCACCGCGAGGTTACGAATCTCAAACCGGGGACCACAGAGACAGCGCAGGAGCCGAACGGCGAATCACCCTGAAGCAAGAAGCCAACCCAAGCGCAACGCGACGACTACAACACGCGAGGCAGCGCGCCTGCGAATCCGCGTCGCAGCAGTGCACAAGCGACCAAGCAGCAACTCCACGACAAGGCCAGCAGAAGCATCAAAAACGTGAGCAATTCATAAGGGGCGTCAAAGGAAGCGAGGCAGCCACAAAGAAACATAACACATAGCTACTACGGATTATAGAGGCGCGGGAGGGAGTAATACTTCATGTATCAATAAGTAGGGGAAAGTAAAAATCTTACTTATGGAACAAACCTACATACCGTCAGCCACACGACGCGCGCTACCGGGCGCGGTAGCAGTTGGGAGGGGGGGGGCAGCGGGGACGGGGCTCCACCAACGCCCCGCCCCGTAGTGGTCTTCCCAGCGCGAAAGCCCCTGCACCACTCCCGCCAAGATTAGGTCCGCTGCGTGGGGGGTAGGGGGAGGCTCCAGTGCGCAAGAAAGGCGGACAACGGATGGGGGGGGTGGGGGTCCGGCCAAACGTGTCCATGCTCAGGCAAAAGAACGATAAGAAGGCGGGGAGGGCTCTGAGGCTGAGCAACTGCACAAAGGACAGGGGCGCACACTGGAGCGGGGGTGGGCCTGAAGGGCTTCGCAGTTATATCTGCACAGGGGGAGCAACGATCAGAGATGAGAGAGAGCGGGGCCAAGCACTCACACACAAGAGATCGAAGCACGCGAAGAGAAGCACGCGAAGAACGCGGCGGGGGAACTTCAGGCGGCAGAAGCGTCTCCCTGACTGCGCACGGGTCTGGATACTGGGCGCGACTGCACTCAAAAGTGAACACGGAAGAGCGTGAAGCGTGCAAGCGAAGGACGAAAAGACGGGCGCCAGGCTGAAGACAGCACGAGCGCCAAAAAGAAGAGACACACCGAAAGACTGCACACATGAGCAGCACGCAGGAGATCACGCTTGTTGCGCAGCCGCGCACAATGGGCAAAGGAAGGACGAAAGACGAAGAGAGCGAGAGAAGCTTACGCAAGATCGCACGCAACAGCAAAAAACTTCGAGAGCCACCGGGGGGCAAAAAGTCCAAAAGAGGGCAAAAAGGCAAAAACGCGGGACATCCAAGAAGCAGAGAGAGACGACCCGGGGGAACTCTCCCCGCGGCGAATGAACCCGAGCCCGAACCTGAGCCATGTCATACTTCATACCTTTCAAGAGGATGCGAGGGAGTGTGCACCTTCTCGAGGGCGTCCCGCTAAATACGGCAACCCCCTAAGGAAGCCCCGCTCTCTGGCGGGGCAACCGATAGGTCGCCTCGGGGCGTTTCCCCCCCGAGGGTCCCACCTCATCCGAGGGGCGTTGCCGAACGTCATCAGCAGAGAGGGGTCGAAGCTCTCTACCAACAACCCGACACCACGCCACCCCAATTCGATCATCCCCGTCGAAGAGCCCGGCCCCCCACCAGACCTGACGACGGCGACCCCGACCGATCCCGCAACAGAAGCCACAGAAAGCAGCAGCCTCCGCTACGTGTCACACCGAGCCCGGCGCCACAATCTGATCTACGCATCCCGTTAGGTACTAACCTAACGGCGAAAGGTATGAAGCGCCGAGGGAGTGGGAAAGAACTCCCCCTGGAATTTGCTGACTCATCTCCTTGTTCGGGGGTGGCTCCCCCCGCGACGTCTCTTCTCGGAGGCGTCCCCCACTGTGCATGCGGTATTGTACTCCTGACGCGGGGGCTTCTCATCACGACAGGAGATTTTGGGCCGCAAATGGGAGCCGGTTAAAGTGGGGCAACCTCCACGCAGATCGCACAAAAGGCGCTGCGCCCCACCGACTACCTGCAACAAGGTGGCCAGCCCTGGCGGTAGTCGGCGCGATAGCTTAAGACTCGAACGCATATGGGGGTGCGTGCGATCACTCAAGCCCCAGGCACTTCCGCGCAACGATGAGCCCAAGGGGTGGAAAACTCCCCCCCTGAGCCATCGAGCACGTATCGAGCCCAGCCAAGACGCCGCGGGGTAGATCGTCAACCATGAAAGAGAAGAGGAAAAGCGGTGACTGAAGGGAAAGGCAAAAGATAGAACGAGCAAAAAATATGCGCAAAGCGTTCAAAGAAAACAGTCAGAGAGGCTGAGCTACTGCGTGCAGCAGCCGGCTCACCTCCACGACGAGAGTGCGACGACATTCATACGACGGGACGGAGCTCCGCGCGCGGAGCAATGAAACAGAGACGGGCGCGCAAATTGCCCACGATGCCACGCACTTCACGAACAAAGAAAGAGAAAGAGAGCAGAGAGAACGCAAAGCGGCGCAGCTTAGGCCGGCGCGAGTCCCGGAATCAGCGACGGGAGGGGGCATCCACTCAGATTGATCCCCTTCGAGTCAGCTCGGACAAACCTAGCAGCATCCTCGAGGAGCAAGCGTGTGCGAACCTGGAGAAACGGAGGCAGCAGTTGCAAAGTCGTCGCACAAGGCTCCCCGCATTGAGATAACGGCACAAGGGACGCATGTGCGGCAGTATTTTCCTTCAACGTTAGCCAGGTGTTGCCCTGGCGTGTTCGTGTGCCGACAAAAGACAAAGTTAAGACAACAGCGGCCGCGCGAGGTTCTTCGCCGGTCCTCTTGCGACTGGAAGCGGGTGAGCTGCCAGACGGTGCACTGTTTTGCGCAGTTTCGAGCATTGACCGCAGCAGCCTCATCGTGATAGACGTCGAGGGGGGGCCGCGGGTGTAACCATACACGGAGGCAGCCACATAATGCCCATAACTATGAAAAGCGAAAGAATAGCCGCGACTGAACCCCCGCACCTGAACGAGAATGCCTTCCACTGTCGTGGTGCCTGCCTTGGCCGAGGCGGAGCGAAATGCTGCAGGAAGGTCGCGGAATTCTGTCGGGGTATGCTCTTCAACCGATCCGATGACACATGTCGAAAGTTCAGCGCTCCACCTCGGAGGGCCATGAATACCGTCAGCGTTTACAGCGCTGCGCGCCGAAGACATCGCCACCGAAGTGCCCAAAGACGACGCACTCGAAGAGACCGGCAGCGGGGGGACAACCGCTGGGGCCCCCTCGATGCCAGCTGACCCCCCCCCCGATGCTGGAAAGACACCACCGCCCCGCTCGGCCGAGGGATCCAGCTCGCAGGTGGCAACGCTTCGCCGCACGAGGCGGCGGCGCGTGGAAACGCTGGCGCCATCGATTCCCGCCGCTGAGGCATCGCCCATCGTCATTGTCGAGAGGACCAAGGTCGTGCCTTCTATCTTTGCCACCCGGTAACCGCGGTCCCACTTTGGAGGCCGAATCTCCCCCGCCGATAGCTTGGCACGGACGTGGGTCTTCTGAGTGTTCAAAATCTTAACCGCGGCGCCGACGGAGAAGCGCGAAGCCTTTTCCGTCAGCGTGGCCCGCTTGTCTGTTACCCACCGATCGACACGCTTGTCAGCGCAGTGGGTAGCGTGTTCAGTCGCTTCAGAACGGATGTCAGACAGCGTAGCAACATGCGCAGCGACAACATCACGCGCGGGAGACTTTTTGCAGCCGTGCGTGGCGCTTTCCGTCGCTTCGGAGCGGATGCCAGTTAGCGAAGCAACATCCGCAGCAACATGCGCAGCGACTGCATCAGGCACGAGCATGGCGGGCGCCTTCACTTCTTGCGGCGCGTCAGCAGGCGGGGACCGAGAGCCGGCAGAGACCGCAGAAGGCAATAAGCTCGGACCCGACAGACATGGGGCACCCGCTTGCTCCCCCGGCGAAGTTTCTGCCTGCTCAATGGGAGGGCCAGGCACACTTGCGTCGAGAGCAACACCCTCAGCGACAGCCGCCGCGTCGATACCCAGAGATTCTTCGAGGACACGCTGGGCACGACTAAACACTACGCCGCCCCCCAAGTACTCATTTGGCGCGACACCGATCGCCCACGGCTTGGGGGCGTTGTTATATCTGGCCTCCGCGGGCTTCAAACAGTCCGCCCAACTATCACCAGGGCGCTCCGACGTGACGACTTCCAGAATTGGAATAAACTGCTTCCACACAACTTCCATGGCGCCACTTTCTTGAGGGCGTCCCGGCGATATGAAATCCACCGGGGCGGCCCAGTGGTCCAAGATGATGGCAAGCTCGTTACCGTTGTCAGAGTCCACATGACGCGGAAGCGCCTTCTCATCTTCAAAGGGCCGATAAGCGAGAAACGTCGAATGGGCATCATGGCCGCCGGCGGCTGCGACCCAAAGGGCCTTGGCACTGCGGCACACAGCGCCACAAATCGCCACAGCCGACCCAGCGAAGGGGTGCGTACTGGTAGGCTTTACCGAACAGCGCGGCATAGTCTTGCGGTCGATGGCGATCGCAGCCCACGGCGTGCCCCGCAGCTCAGCAGGCACCGAAGGCGGGGGGACTAACGTTCCCGACGTGTAAGAACGTCTGACAGAGGCGCTCGGCGGTCTGCAAGACCTACTCGCGCAGTGCGGGCACATTTCCAGCACTTTCCCTGTTACTCTCGCCAAGTTGAATCCCCAATACCCTTGCTGGAGAACCGCTCGGACAGTCGACTCCCGGCCGCGGTGTGTTTCAGAGTGCACCTGCATGATGACACGGCGCAACTCCCCTTCGTCCTCGATGACCCTCACCCAACGCGGGCGGAACCCTGCACGCTGCAGAAAATATTGCAAGGCAGGCGGGTTCTCGTCTCGGACTCCTTGCGCTACCACCCCCGCAGCCGCCGGATCCAGGCGGAAGCTTTTCTCATGCTTTCGCCACCATTGTCTCCGCTTTTTGCTCATCCTCTGGAGCGGGTTTGATAATTGCCGCTCACTGCCAGCCTGATGAAGCAGCACCGCCCTGATTTCTCCCCAAGCTAGTGCCATCGGGCGCCGGTTTTTACGCGAGGACTTTTGTGCGCCGGTTTCTTGCTGACCTTCGACCCGCGGGCGCTTTAAGGGTGGCTCTGGGGGGGCTTCTTCCTCTTCCCCTTCCACGCTCTCCGCAATCTCAAAGGGCGAGCTATCAAAGTCAAGACTTGAAGCACCGTCCGCGCGATCAGAGCTCCTCGGCGTGCCCCCGGGGGTGCCATTCTCTTCGTCGCTAGCCGCTGCGATTGCGTTATACAGAGCGTCGCTTAAGGGGTCCCGGTTGTTGCTTTCCCCTGCGCCGCGCGTCACATCCTCAACGAAGACGATCTCCCCCCGAAAATACCGCACAGAAGTGCAGTAGTTTTCTGCGGTTGCCTTTGGATTCAATGACCCAACGACGCGACCGAGCTGGTTGCGCCTATTACTTGCTTGGTCACCTTGAAAGTCACGATAGAGGGCATCACGCTGCGAATTTGCCAACGCATCAGAACGATAGCAAAGCCAGACTTGAAAACCATTCCGCGAGGTCTGGGCTACCAGCCATGCGCCTGCCAGGCGTGCCCGCGCACAGAGGTCATCCACTGAGCCCGTGTAGTCGTCCACGTCTATCATCGTGTAAGGACAATCCACAGGCCGCCAAAACAGATGCTTGCCCGGATGCTCCCCGAAAAGGCGACCCCACCACGCCGCATCTAAATACTCTGCCGCGGCGACGTGCAAGGTCCGGGCTCGGTGCGTCTTGTCGAACATAATGACAGAGACCTCCAACCGCCCGAAGAGGGTGCCTAACAAGTTCGCCATTCCTGTCTCGGCGCTCGAGCCTTTTCCCGCTGGGGGGCCACGGGGGACGTCGGTTAGCGGACCAGGGTCCGCCACAGGCGCCCTGCTGCTCGCGATCCGCTCACCTGCGTCCGGCGCAGTGACTGCCGACCGGGTCGGGGCGGCTTCTCGCGATCGACTGGAGGCGCGGGGCGGTTTCTCTGGCTCAAGCTGTCGCGCTAAGAGCATCCCGTGACCCTTCCCGCAGACTTTCTCCGCGAGTTTCTTCAGAATTGCCTCCTGCCTCACGCTCCAATTATTATACTTCGGGAGGTCCTTCAAGAAAGACCTCTCCCAATCATTGAGGGCCGCGGCCGGCGAAGTGCTCCGGTACTCAAGTAGCGGGCGCACGACAGCCCAGCCCGCGCGAAGAACCCCGAGGCGGGCTGACAACCTCGACCACACCTCCGCGCGGGCAGGGGTGCTCGCAACGTCTTCAGGGTCCTTGTCAGTCAGATACTCTAACTCCCACGGAGTGAGATGAGGGAGCAAATGCTCCTCAGGCAAGAACACCCGCAGCGCGGTGCGCCGTGGTCCGGGATCTCCTTGCCGCTCGCTCGGGGCACTCGTGTCCGCATTAGCCGACGCGAACTCCTCGCCCCGCGGCTCTGCTTCAGCCGCGACAACGCGCTTCAGGTCCTCCATCCCGAGGCGCTCGGGGGGTAGGTTTCTCCGAGTTTTTTCGCGTCTCTTCTCGGTTTTTTTTTGCTCGCCACTCGGGGGGGGGGGGGGGGTTGGTCGCTGCCAAGAGAAAGGGCAAGATCGGCGCCACGCGTTTTTATCGCCTTGCAGGTGCCACACAGGCCCGAAGCATTCGATCCTTCACAGCTGCAGGCGCGAAGCTGAGACTACTCCACAGGCGACCGCGTAGGCACACACAAGCAGGCGCTGCACTTGAAAAAATTAGGAGGGGGAGCGCACTGCGGCGCGTGGCTCGTGCGTGCTGCTTGGTGCGTCGGCTTACTTCCTGCCCCTGGTTTCAGTCGCTTCACAGCCTAGCCCACGAAGGCGCGCAAGGCCTAAGACTAGCCTCCTCTCCAGTTGTCGCCCCGAATTTAACCGAAGGAAGGGGAATGCAAGGCGCCCAACGAGGCACGGCGCTGGTTCTTTGATGAGTATACTTATAAGCACGGCCCTAAGCGTGCGACCTCTCGCAGCTGGTGCGTGGTCACAAGAGGGAGAACGCGAAGCCGCGCGCAGGCGGGAAGGGCTTGGCTTTGAATGCGCGCGCGAGAGCTAAGCAAGGCGAGAGCGCGCCGCGGCGCCAGAGTATTACCCGCCGCGTGCGTGCGTCGGCTTTTTACTCCTGGCCTCGAGAGCTTTGCAGTGAAGGCCGCTGCACCTCCTTACACGACCTAAAGAAGCCCGCTCGCTGTCGGTTCTCTGTGTTCTTTCCTTTGTTTTTTCCCGGGGGCGCTCTAGAAGGCGCGGGGGCTGTGCCTCTCTCGAGACAGTCTGAGGCGTCCGACCCTTCGCAGCTGGTGCGTGGTTGTAGAAGGATCAACGTGGAGCCGCGCGAGGGCGGTACGGAGGCGGGAGTCGATTGCGATAAGGCGCGCCGACCTCTCACAAGTGGCGCGCAGTCGCAAAAAGATGCCGAGCCGCGCGGAGGCGGTAAAGGCTTCAGCTACGATATTAGAGCGCGCCGCAGCACGTGTGGGCTGTTGCGTCGGCTTTTTCCCTTCTTTTTGTGTCACTTTTCTGGGGGTTAACAGGCTAAGCCTGCAACACCTGGGGGGCGCCTCCTTTGCGTTGGCTTTTCCTCCTCTTTTTATTTTTACACGATCCCAGACGGCCCAGATGGCGCAGCGTTTTCCCCTTGGTTTTTCTTTTCTCTGTGTTACACACGCGCGAACGACCCAGGGGGGCCCGCTTTCCTCCCTTTTTTCTTTCTTTCCCCTGTATCTTTTACAGACTCCCGAACGACTTAGGGGGCCCGTTTTCTTCCCTTGGGTTTTCCTCTTCCCTATCTAACTATTTTACACAGCTCCGAGAAGCTACTAGGCTAGACCAGTCCTATTCAGATTAGCTACTAGCTACCCTCCCGGCCTTATTAATTTCCGAAAGTTATAAAATCAAAAACAAAAAATCCCAGCGGCTGGCTGCCTCGCTTTTAGTTGTTCACTTGGCTCCTGCGTAGTTGGTGAAAGTGTGAGAGGATAAAGACAACAAGAAAGGCGATGCCCGCAAAGTCTAACCCCTCAAAGAGCCCAAGGCAACAGAGCGACACAAAAGAGACAGACGCCGGCCCCGCTCGTTATTTCCTTCAGACAAAAACAGACAACCCGGCGCCGGGCTCCTCTCGGCGTTTCCTCAGCTGTTAAAACACACAGACACCCGAACACACTCAGAACAGAGGCGCGCGGGCCTTTTTTCTCTGTCTCGTATCTCTGCGGCGCTCGTTGGAAAGCAGACACCCACACACACACACACAGAACAGAGGCGCGCGGGCCGTGTTTCTCTGTCTCGCTCTCATGTGCGCGCGGGCGCGGGGGCTCTCGTGTCTCTCTCGTGTCTCCGCCGCGCTCGGCTTCTCGTTTGGCTTGCGAACACGCACCCGACAGACATGCAGAAAGACAGACAGACAGAGACACACCCACACACACCGAGGCGCGCGGGCGCGGATGGCCTTGTTTCCCTCGTGTCTCCTTTTTTTCCTCTCGTGGTCGGGTCCCTTATTTTTCGGGCCCCTTCTGATACCGCGGCCCCAGTTTTTTCCGGGCCCATGTTGGCCCCAGTATTTCCGGGGACCCGGCCAGAACTATAAGGAACCCCGCGGGAAAATAAGGACCCGGGATTTTTGCGGCCCCTGTCCGCTTAAAGGGGGAAAATCCCCGGGGCCCTTATAATACAGGGGGCCCAGTTTTTCCGGTCCATACATGAACATATCATGAAACTACATATTGTAAGTGACTACACAAATAGCATCAACATAGGAGTGTTAGAGCATAGAACTACGTCAATTTTAACCTTATATTTTTAATATTTATATTTTGAGGCTATCGCTTTGTGAGTGGAAGAACCAAATCAGATTGAAGCAGCATTGCTCTTGATACAGGTCTCCGAGTTTGTGAAACGAAAATACTACGATTTCACGACATGATGGCACTTGATCATGATCATTTGTAGAAAAGAAACATAAGAAACACTTCTTAGAAGCAAGTATTGTCCCTTTCGAGGAACGGTTCCATCTCGCTGATGGTTGAGGAAAATCATTTCATAAGCGAACCGGGTATATCATCATTTGAGACGCACTGATGATGATGATCCTGGGCGCTGTTGCTGTTCTTGGGAAGCACTGAAGCGGATCATGCGAAATCCAGCAGGACAACAGCGATCGGATTTGGGCCACGAAATCTGCAAGGATCGGGATAGATCTAGTTCGGTTGCCTTGGAATCCGCCTTGTGAGATTCCTTTTCTAGATTTGTCAACAGAGTCTTCTGTACCTGCTCCTGTGGTTAGTCAGCAGATTTCTCTGCCGACCTGGGTCTGCCTCTTACTTATGTTCTTTTGATCGTATCTATTCGCGAGATCTTCTAACCGATCAAACTGAGGCTCTAACGCTGACTGAGATGCAACGTGCTTCCTTGTTCACAGGCTTAAACGGAGTGGTTATTTTTGTTGAACCCCACCGACAGTTCAGCACCAAGATACAGTCTCCATGGGCCAGCATGTGAAGGAGATTTCCTGTTCGTTGAACATGACAAGAAACGGCGGTGGCGGTGCTGGGCTTGCGTGCTGGGCTTGCGTGCTGACCGGATCGTGAATACCAGAAGACCTCTTTCAACACTTTTCTCTCCCGAACATTGAATACTTTCCCCGAAGGACGACCTGTTTGTCGCGATTATATTTTCGTTTTCTTTCCCAGAAAGACGACTTTGTTCTCCCGAACACGTGCATTTTCTTTGCCAGAAAGACGACTTTGTTCTCCCGAACCAACACGTGCATTTTCTTTGCCAGAAAGAAGATGGACTCTTTCCTTTCCGACCCGTGGCGCACGCGCTCAGCCCTGTACGGCACACATGAGGATGCGTTTGTGTCGACGTCCCAGCCTCTGGCAACGCAAGCGGGCTTAGAAATGTTGCGACGAGGTGGCAACGCTGCTGACGCGGCGATTGCAACCGTTCTAGTGCTGAACGTGATGTAAGGCAAGTTTTTCACTATTGTTGTGTATCATGGATATCAAAGACAAGAACATGGGGGCACTTCCTGGTCAACCATTCCGTGTGGAGAATCATGGTAGCAGCTGAGTGGCCTTGGTTGCCTTTGATTTCTCCCTAAAAAACCCTTGATTTCCCCTAAACCAACCAAAACCTTCAAATCAAAGAGACATCGCGGGGCATCTCAGCACTCAAGGAGACATAGTGAAAAGCTAGCGTTAAGCAATCGAGCCATGTCAATGCGGCATTGGAGGCGACGCTTTTGCCCTCTACTGGGATGAAAAAACGAAGTGCGTAAGCGGTATGAACGCGTCCGGAAGATCACCAAAAGGGCTCAACCGCGACAGCTTTATAGCAAGCCTTGGAAGCGGGGTTTCGATTCTATGACAAAAATGTGACTTATCACAACTTACGGCAAGAGGGGCACAACTTGCCCTTGCGCAAGCAATAGATCGAAGCGGCTGGCCACAAGTAGCAAACCACAAGCCTGCTAGTCATTCCGTAGCAGGATCAAGAGGAACAGCCGGGAAACCGCTGACGATCCAACAACAGGCTAGGTTAGCGCGTAGAAGTCGCCAGGGAAATCTTAGGCAGATAGCCGAAAAGATTCGCATCATCCTCCCAACTTATGGGGTTCTTTCTGGGAATTGGATCCATGCCCAGGCCTTAGCGTCCACTTTCTATTTCTAAAAGCCCCAACGGCGATTCCCGGAGATTCGATACACGCAGTGACTGTGCCAGGTGCGATGGCTGGGTACTGCGACTTCCTAGAGAAATACGGAAGCGGGAAATTTTCGAGGTCTGAGATTTTTGCGTCTGCTATAGCTCTTGCGGAAGACGGGTTCCCGGTTCCGCAATGGACTGCTGGCCAGTGGGAGGGCGAGGAAAAATTTCTCCTCGCAGGCGAAAATGGGCACGAAATGTTGGTGGAAGTCACGGATAAGAAGGAAGGGGTATTTCGACTTGAACATTTATTGGCGTCTGATTATTCATTGAAGACGTTAATGCAAATAATTACTAGCACTTCAAAGAAAGAAGGGGACGACTTAAGTGATTAGGTACACTCCTACTCCTACTACTCCTTAAGTGATATCGGAACTACGACGTCTTCGTTACGCTTACACAGGCTAAAAGTAAAAGCTACCGCGCGCCGCGTGAAGGGGAAATAAAACGCAATCCCGGGATCGCCAGTCTGTTGCGGCGCATTGCTATCGAGGGCAAGAGTGCCTTTTACGAAGGAGATACCGCGGAAAAAGTCGTGGAAATGCTGCAACGCAGAGGCAGTTTTATGACTTTGGACGACCTAAAATGCCACGAAACCACATGGGATACGCCCATCTGCGTCAGTTATCGTGGATTAAATGTGTGGGAGATGCCGCCCAATGGACTTAAGGGTAGGTTTTAGGTGTTCGTGTTAGGTTCGTGATAATACAGTTTATTTTGAAGACTCTTCCAAGGGAGAAGAGGACAGCAAACGGGGAAAGCGAACACCATCAAAACCCTACCTCTAATGGACAAGGCTTGGCCGCTTTGATCGCGCTGAATATACTGGAACAAGTATTCAGTCCGACTGGCTCTGGCATGGATGCAGCTGGAGAACAATCAGCGGGAGAACAATTAAGGCTTCCCCGAGTCCATCTCCAAAAGCATTTCGAAGCTGCGCCGTATGGGGGAAATAGATCCGAGATGAATCTCGGGATGGATTAGAGTGAGCTCAAAAACAAGAAACTCATCGCGCAGGCAAGGCGAAGACCAGTGGCGGCTCGATTGCGGTGGAGGACTCCCAGCGCCTGCATCTGATGATAGAGGCGTGTAAACTCGCCTTTCGTTAAGGCTGGAGGAAATACATCTTCACAATCACAGGCATCTTGATTCCGTTTTTAAGGGAAATAAAAAAGGGGACGACGAAAGATGCTGCTGAAGATGGATTCCGGGAAGTGCTAATCTCGTGAGACCAATTACTACGTGTCAGACCCGGCATTTGCAAAGATACCTATGGAAACTCTGTTGTCCAAGGAGTACGCTGCCAAGCTGGCTGCGCTGATTCGGCCCAGCGATATTGTAGATGGGCTAGATGCAACAGCCTTTCCCACGAAGATTGGAGTGGAGCTCCCACAGGGAGAAGATATTACAGTAGTATCTGGAAACAATATCAACAATTCTTCGACGAATGATAATAAAGAAAGGACCAAGAACAATCCCTTTGCTCCTGTGAATTCTAGTGGGACTACGCAATTCGTGGTAATGGACCATGAGGGCAACGCCTGCTCATTTATCGAGAGCAATTACGCAAAATTCGGCACCAACCTAGTTCCGAAAGGTTGCGGATTCACCCTGTTAAATCGTGGCTCCAATTTCCTGCTGGAAGAGGGACACCCGAACTGCGTCGAAGGTGGTAAGCGACCCTACCACACTATCATTCCTGGCTTGGCGACAGTGGGAAATAAAGGCAAACCTTTGAACAAGATGCATCACGTCGAGAGGACGAGTGGTGCTTCTTCGTCTTCGAGCACTGCTTCTTCACTGGAAGATCCGAGGGCTTCTCAAGAATCCGCGTCAGGAACGGAGCAGCAGGAACTTGTCTGTGTTTTCGGTAATATGGGTGGCTTTATGCAACCTCAGGGACATTTACAGCTGATATCGAATATGGTGGATTACGGCATGGACTTTCAGGAGGCCATAGATTTTCCGCGATTCTGTCTGCAGCCGGGTCTAGGAGCACGAGGAAAGCCGCCAGAATTTGTTAATGATAATAGCTGCGGGGTCGGGGAGGAAAAGTTATGATTTATTTGAAATGCATTGGCACCCGGTAGTTGTGTTATATGCTCGGCTGAAGAATTACAATCGAGAGGCAAGCAAACCGGTTCAAACTTTTTTCTAAAAAATCTAAAACTTGATTTTCTAAAGATATACATATAGTAAATAATATAGATTAAAATGGTCGAATGTCGATAATAAATACGCCACCTCTAAACAAACCTCCGCCACCCATTGACGCGTGGATCGAGCGTGATCTTTACGACGTACAGGCAGGTCCACTCGCGAGTATTGGCCATCCTAACCTCAAGCGTGCCAATGGGGCAGCGAGGTGCCTTTTCGGAAGGGCTCAGATCGTAGGATACCCAGAGCGAGCTCGCAAGCGCACTACAGCTGCGGGAAATGAGGAGACGTCCTCAAATACTCTAGTCCGGTCTGCAGGATCGGAGAGCCGCTGTGATGGATGCGCTTTTTTTGTGAAAGGAAACCACTACAGTACGTACTAATTTTTTCAAAATTTGTACCAAAGGAAAACAGCATGCATAGTACGCCACCAGTGTGTTATTCTTTCATTGTGAAAGGCCAGTCATTGTCATATGATTCTCGAGGAGCCGATGTTTATAAACACGGAAACTATACGGATGTTTATGAACACGGAAACAACTATACAAATGTTGAGGAACACGTCCTCTACGGATCGCATCACTCCTTCTTGCGGCTGTGTTTGACGCGTCGCTTTCGCTTCCAATCGCGATGGTTTCGGTTCCGGTTTTTTAGCCATCATCCCGGAGCCGAAATTGGAATCTACACACGGCCCAAGTACAAAGGACGCAGCGGTTGCAGTGATCGCGACAGTGCAGTGGATTTTTTCCAGTGGTTGCAGAGTGGATTTCTAAAAAATCTAAAGTCAGTGGAGTACCTGTCCACCGAGAGCGAAGCTTACGGTATCAAAGAAGAGAGAGCGAGAGACCGCTCAGTCAGTGTGACACGAAGGAGAGAACGTGTCTGTACGAGGGTAGAGGTCGGAAAGACGGATGAAGCCCGTAAGATTGACGTTCTAAGATGGAAATAAACACTGCCGTGATCTTTCGTCGCGCGGCTTCATTATTGTGTCAATATTCTTTGGTGAGAAAGTAGTACAGGTTTCATCTTTTACTCTTACACCACCTAATCCTAAAGAAGTCATTCTCATCAAGTCAAGTATCGAAAGCAAAGATGAAGCTTCTGGTCGCTACCTGCGCCGCAGCGGTCTGCGTATCGGCTACGAAGCCTTCGGTTAGCTTCCTCCAGATGAAGCGGACTGCCACCAAGTACGACGGGTATGAACCTTTTCTAAAAAATCTAAATCTTCAACTTCATAGATAATCTTTTAGAAGTAGGACATTGGTGGCTCGAACGTGTAGAAATTCAACTGTCCGGCAAAGATGGATTAAATCTGTTTTGCATACGCATAATTAGGAAATACAACCACCGAAGAAGCAACAAGAACAAACCTACTTAATCTTCTACGATACAGATACTACGAGACCTATGACGACTTTGCGGAGGATCCTGATGGTATGACGGTCGAGGAAGCTGCTCAGCAGGGCTCCGAAATCGACGATGCTGGTGAAATGGACCTCGACATGGTCGAGAATGGCGACCAAGATGCGGTATTCTTTTTTATCATGGTGTTAGTGGTTTAATAGTCTTGTGTCAGCACGTGAAGTGTTTATTCTAGGTCTAGCGCATGAAAATTCTAAAGAACGATAGGAATTTCTCTCTTTCAGCAAAAATAACACTTCTGAACAGCCGGATCCGCAAGTGTATCCTGGTGAGGATGTAGCCTTGGAAGATGCCAATGACGAGGAGAACGACTTCGCCCCGTCGCACGACCACGTCAGCGTGATTCACCACGGCGCTCGTCGCTACAACAACCGTGACATGCAGCGTCGTTAAAGGAACTGGTGGATCAAGGAACTACTGGTGGATCGCGAAAATGAACTACCACTGACATAATTGTTTGATGAAGCAGTAAAATAGATTGTATTGATATAAGTCAGAAAAAATCCATTGATTTGTATGAAAGAGAAGATTCTGTAAATGAATAGAGTTGTAAAATCAGACGAGGTAACTACAGTCGAGAGGAGAGAGACGTTAGAAATATTTTGACAGTGATTTGCATCCGCAACCTTAGAACGAGATTGGATTTCTCGATTTTCTTGTTTTTTCCAGAGCGCATTGCATCCGTTTTTGTGTGTGTATTCCTGGCAAGTTTTCGTTTTTGTTTCGCTTGTTTTCCTTTTCCATTGGGATTGTAGTGCACCAGCTAGTAGTAGTACATTCAAGAGCGTTTTTTGGACATGCTTTGAGATTGAGCCGACGATATCTGATTTACGTGGATAAGAGCATTTGGATTTGGAGATTTGTGGTATTGATGTGAAAGTGAAGAAGACAAGCAAAGAATGCAGCTCCACATGCTGGGGTTCGATTGAGTCCTTGTTTTGTGGCCCATGCGTCGGTCAGAAAAGCTCGTATCGTTTTCGGTGAAAAATCGTTTCCCGCCAGAGGATGTCAGAGTGTTGAAGGGTAAGAAATGTCGTTCGCAAACCTTCTAAAACGGCACAAAACAAAGAAAGCAAGGATGCAAAAACCGATAGGATTCATAAAGGGAGTAGACACGACGTAAGTCCTTCAAACGTGGAATAATCTTTTCGAGAACCTAACTTAAAGAAAGATAGGAAAAAGACCTCGTACTCGTAGAAGAAACGCAAAAAAAAGTAAGAGCAGTGTTGCGTTCGAAGCACAGCAAAAAGAAAATGGTCAGCCATGGATCCATGCCTATGCGTGCCCCACCCGGGCTCGGCAGCGTGCTCCAAGGAGACGAAGCGGCGCGAGTTGGCCGCATTATGATGGAATACGGATCCAAGATGCCAGTTTCCGTCTTCCTCGATACCATTGCAAACAAATACTGGGCACGGTACCAAATCTTAGGAATTTTACAACAACAACAAGAACAAATCTTGGCTTCTCACACGTAAGTAGAGAGGACAACAGCAGCATTCAAACACTTTACATGCAATCACCCGCATGTTCCTTCACTGTCCATTCTCCCCTGTTCGCCATTCTAGGTTCGGAGAAAAGTTGCAATCTGCGCCATATGAGCTGATGACTGAGCTGCGAAGCAACAAAGTCCTAAAGCGCGACGGAGAGGGCATCGTCGCCACTGCGTCTCGTCCGGGGGACTTCGTACTGTTCGTGTCGTGCGTCCAGACCGTTCTGAGCGAAGCAGCTACCCCCTTGTCCGCTCAAGACGTTGAAGCCGCTTGGTACTATTTCGCACCTTGATACCGATGTGTGATGGCACACATTTTTGTAAGGCATAGTATGATGTCGAACATAAACAAGAAGGACCAAGTTGTAGTGCAAAGGTTTCTGTTGTGTTTTGGGAACAAGTTGTAGTTCGAAAGCTCTTTCTTTAATATGTGCTGTAAAACCTCATCGAAGATGAAATCAGCTTTCTTGAAATTTACTTTCAATGTATCAACAATCCAGGATCCGTTACCAGGCAGACCCGGCTTATGAGGACCGGTTTGCATTACTGTCGTCGTTTTTACGCCGTCACGAGTTCAAGAGCCTTGGAGGTGTACTCGACAACATCTGCGAGGTCGATTTCGAGATGCGTCACTCCGATGGCATGGCAACCCGCGTTTACAAGCTGGATAACAACGGCAATAAGGCGTGGACCACTGCCGGTACAACTGAATCGGGGGAAAAGAAGACGATCGACACTTCTAAGGGTAGCAAGATGAACAAGAATGTTAAGGGAGCTACGACTACGAGTACGAACATCAACAACACTACGAACATGAGCAAGAAAGGAGGAGGTGAGCATGACGTTCAGGGAGATGAACCGAAGGATGCATCTTCAGCGTCGAAGGTGTCGAAGTTGCACTACAACGCTAAGCCCTTTTCTATGGGTAACACGTATCATGATGCCGCTTTTGCAGGTGGCGGTGGTACGGGATCTGGGGATGCGTTTTACGGCAACACAGCCACAGGAGCTTCATCCATCTACGATTACACCAGTGGCGCAGCAGTAACTACAGGTCAGCACGTGCTTCCGACCCCGCCGCCGCCATCTGCTGCTGTGTATGCGGGAAGCGTGGTGGGTGCGGCCGCCGGTTGGGGCAACATGCCTGGCAGTCCGGAGATGCACGATGCTGGCAGCTACCTTTCCAGTAGCCCGGCTTTGCCGAGCGGGGTAGACCAGCACCGCTGGGGCACGGCTTCGCCGGATTCGCTTGGGTGCGGTTCGCCGGGTGAGGACGGGTCCGGGTGGTACAGTCCGATGGAGAGCAGCGGCTGGGGTCTGAATGAACCAGTCGGTCTGTACCCTACGCTCTCCGTGAGCAGTCAGAACTCGACGTACTCCGCCGGCGCAGCCTACAACTACACTTAAGGCTTCGTGCCCTAATAATCCATCTCAGTCCAGAAGAATCTTGAAGCAGCGAAGGCGCATCAACAAGATGCGTTTCAAGATGACTATTTAGTTTTCCCTCAGAAAAAAGAAGAAGCAAGAAACAACTCTTCAACATTGACCTCTTGCCAGGCACATCAATCAAGCAGAATCAACGTCATCATCTTAGGTCCCTTCAAGCAATATTATAGTTATACAGTTACAACTGTCTAATACACGCCGAGTCTCGGGAACGAACCGGGGTCCCCGGAAGATCACGGTCTTAAAAGTTGGATGTTATCGGACGCTGCAACGCTGCACCGTGCCGCGGAAATCCTCCAGATGATGGACGGTGGAGCGGGATACAGCAGTCAGCTGCTTCAACAACAGATGCTGACCCTGAATGCCAGCATGACGGCGGCTGCGAAGGGCGCGCCCACTGCAGCAAGCAAAGGACTATCTACCGGAGGAGGTACAGCTACTTCTGCTTTCCACACTAACGTCGCAGGGAAAAACGGGAATTTTTACAACAATAATATGCAGACCTCTAGCACTAAAGGCGGAAAAGGACCAGGAGGTAGTACTGCTGGTGCCTGGGCGGGCGATACATCTGCGGCGAACATCAACAACTTGACGGGCACTTTGAACACCAGCACAACCACGGTGTGGGATGGTCTGGGGTCGTCCACCTACGAGGACGCGAAATCCTGGGGGAAAGTACCGCCACCGCCACCACCAGTTGTACTGCCCATGGCGCCGACTCCCAACGCGAAAGGCAAGAAAGGCAAGGGCAAAGTCGGCAGCAAGTCTGGATCTGGAATAACATCCTCATCTTCAATCACTACAAGATCTTCAGCAGCCCCTTCTGCTAATGTTGGTTCCAGCAGCACAAACAAGCAAGGTCAACATCTTCAAAGTACTACGTCTACAACAACAGGCGCTTCGGTTGTAAGCAATAATAAAGCACTGGGCAGCAATTCGACAACAGGTTCTACGTCGACTACTGGAAATGATCAATCGGCAGCTCCGTGCTACGGTGCTGCGCCAGGCCTGGAGCAGTCTAATCCTTATGCCACACCACAGAAGCGCTGGAAAGCTGAGGTATCTGCTGCTTCATCTGGTATCGAGAATTCTGGCGCCAAAACGACGGCTGAGACGCGCAAACACGTGACCCCGCTCTTTTTATGCTGGTCACTCTATCGGATAATCAGTATCTTGTTCTATACTTAGTTAGACTTATCTAACATAATCATTTTGATTTTCTTCTGCTTGAGATCACCTTATCCACCATTTTCTATACTTACAACAAGAGCCATCTTTTTCTTGATCTTATTGAGCAGCATTTTATGTGGTCCTTTCTTTAATATGCTTAAAAATTCACTACGTACTAGTTGTTCATGTTCTCCAGACAGATGATCCTGTTCCTGTGTTGCTTAACCTTGTTATGGGGAAAACCAAAGAACACGTTAGGGACTTGACTTAACATGCTTTTGAGATAAGTAGATGTACGAAAAGTTGGTACGATAAGTAGGTGTACGCAAGCTCTAAGCTTTTCGCCGCCAGCTCTCGAAGGTAGTTGGAGTGCGGGACCCCCAGCAGCGCCAAAAGCTACTCCATGCCTCAAGCCGAACGCTCCGACGCCGGTCTTGAAACCATGTGGAAGTGTAGCATTCCTATTAAACTTCTGTTTAACATAATTAAGTAGATAGTTTGTTAGTATGTTGGTATATATTTATAAAACTACTTTTGTTTCATTTAAATTACAGCATATTTATATCATAGAAGGTGTCTTGCCTGTTGAGTTTCTTACGTAGACGTAGTTCTGACTACTTTTCGTTTTTCAAATTTTCCTCAATCCACACAACAGCCACCCCCAGCTTCGGAACCAGATATGCAAAAGCTCCATAAAGCTATTTTGAAGTTCCTAGACGAAAAGCCGACCGCAAGTGTGGACGAAGCGGCACGTGATTTCGATGTCAAGACTTGCTGGAAAAGCGTTGGTACTGGTCCCATATTCAGTACTTTTTCTTTTAGTTCAATTATCCCCTTGATAATTTGTATCGTTGAACAAATTATTTGTCATCGTTCTCTTCTACGCTTATATGTAAATCTTGTTACTTTCTCAAAATTATTACCAGGTCGTGTGCCACTCTGGAAATTGTTGAAGCAGTTCCCGTCGACAGTGCACCAGAAGCAGCAGCCGGATGGTGTGTGGATCATTCGTCGTGTGACAGAAGAAGACAGCGTCGAGATGCCACGAGTCCAGTGATTCTAGACTGAAAGAGGAGTCAGCCAGTCAGTCAGAAACGACTGTCGACTTGAAGAAGACTCTGACTGGTGGAGATGGCTGATTGGCTCATTACATCCTTCACTAGCATCCCTGACTCTTTTTTTTCCAGTAGGAAATACGTCAGGGACGTTCTGAGGAATGTAATTCCGTAACCTCTAAAAATGGTTGTTGAGCACCACAGACACGATAGTTACCGAACTTTTTTTCCCACCGGATGAAGATCGATTCCGCAGGGCGTTTCTAGTTGAGGAGAGACTGTTATAATTCCCTCTACTTTTATTTAGATGGATTATACGGCCAAAAAGCCCGACTAATCGGGCCGCCGACGTCGCCCAAAAATGAATTAATGAGTACGGGGCGGTGATGTGTACGAGTTAGTCTTATTTTGCTTCACCCGTGGTCATTCAATGAATCCAAAGAAAAATGAATGTCCTTTCTTTATTCAATAACTTATATATTCTTCAACTCAGGTAGTAAGGACTAAGATCTGAAAAAATTTAGATTTACTGTTGATAAAGATTCTTGGGTCGACGAACATGGTTCATTTCGAAGAAAAAATATTTATTCGCATACAATAAGAACTATAAGAACTATAGCACCAATCTGCATAGCGCGATAGGCATCTAAAATTGATACTAGATCACGGAATTATCGAATGAACACTAACTGGCAATTCTTAGTTGGTAACAGATATCCATCTACTTCTACACAAGACAGGAGCATACTTCTTTCCTCTGCAGCTGTCTGCAGCAACCGCTGTTGTCCATGTCTTCTATCTTATAATTTTTGCGCGATTATCTATCTTCGATGTCAATTCGAAGGTCTGTACAGAATTTGAACAGATTGTGGATAGATATACTTGAATGAATACGATGATGTACATGTTGAAGGTTGACCAAGGAAGAAAAAAGAGAGAGCTACTGGATTCCGACAAAGAATAAAGTCAGTACCATTCGGTCTACTGTCTGCCAACTACATGATTATGAATGACAACGCGATGATTAAGGAGGGTCACGACCACGATGATGATGAAATATTTCTGTTTGGCAAGATGGGTGTAATCGAGCATAAAAATCCTACCGAGTTCATGTTTTGCAAGAGATTGATGTAATAATCATTGCTGTTATTCATGTTAAGCAAGAGTACATGTCCTTGAACAGAGTTGGTATAATTTTTTGATAGTTAGTATGTCATAGATCGATGAAATCACAATTATTTTCTTTCTGCTTGAAAGCTAGATTTTGTCAACGAAAAAGATGAAGTATAAATATATAAACTTAAAAGTTGTTGTGCAGATCCAGATAGAAATAGATTTATAAGATGATTTAGAATCGAACTGTTTTTTTTGACGCAGGGCACGCAGGTAATCCCATCAGATGAGAGGACGCAAAGACCGTTGCTGGCCTCTCCCAGTTAAAGACCTGAAGGTGATAGGAAAGCACGTCGCTCTACTCAAGCAAAATGAATTAGTAGGACTTTTCCATGTATCCTACTGACCCAGCCCTTCGAGGGGGAAAATAAATCTTTTCTTTCGTGAAATGAATAAATTGAGAGAAACAAAAATACGACGGCCTGGAAGACCAAGGAAATCTGAACCAGTTTGTTATAATGAGTGAAGACGTAGTACTCCTAGTGTTCCAGGACGATCATTTACGGTGTTCCATACCATGTTGAGAGAGCAGGAGGATCATTTACAGGAAAGTAAGCAGGATCTGTACACCATGTGTGCAAGAGAGAGCAGTTTCTAACGTGCACTGCAACCATTTCGGTGACGACAGCGAGTTGTATTCTAATTCTGTCCAAGAGCGACGAGAATCAAAATCAATAGAGTCTCTAGTCTATTATTCGCTGAGTAATATCGCTGAGGAAGACCTGCTGGCTTTGGATTATTCTGCTTTTCGACTTCATGATATTCCGAAAAATGATCTCCAGGACCATGTGCTGCGTCGCTCTTTTAAGAGATTGCGCACCGGTGCTTTGAGGTATTTTTTTCAGCTATTTGTTGTAGTACGCATTTGTGCCCATACATGAAGATGAAGTAGATGTTGATCTGACCCAAAATGCTTTGCATCCCCGTAAGATTTTCTGCGTTTTTCTCTCCCAGTAATTTGTCTCTATAATGCACGGTTGATAGGTACTATTACGTCGTAATGGAACTGTTCCGGTTCAACAAGTGATGTACTTGTACGAGGAGTCCTAGTAGATTTCGTGAGCATTTGGATTTGTTTCTGTAGATGAGAAATATTAAGTGCAAAAACAAGCAACGGGAATGAGGTGATGAGTTTTGTCGACGGTGATGGCTTTCATATTTGAACTTTTTTCGTTGTCTTTGAATGAATGAATTAATTTTCGTTGTCTTTGAAATTGAATTTGAAAGTCTTATGTTGATGATTGTCCTATTGTGCTGTAGAAGGGCGTAGAGAGTTCCTGAAAACTGTTTCCGCTCCTGCCGCTCTCGAAAAAAGTGACCATAATTTCTTCGATGTCTTATCATTTTTGCTTAGAAGATTTGATTGAATCGACGGGGGTCCTCGTCGTGGCAGCACAATCAGTTTGATAGAAGGACTAACTACGTCTTCTTGCTTATAAAGAGCTTCCCACGTTGTACTTATACTCACAAGCAGTGGTACTATGTATGATGTTCGTGTAGTAATGGTCCCTTAGAGTTAGAAGTTGCTACTTAATAGTTGCAATCCACTAGAGTAATCTAGTGGTCACTGGATTGCAGCATTGTAGAGTATCCCTCTCAACAAGAGGAATTTAAAATTCTCTTGTTTCACGCACTAGTACACTGAAAAATCAAAATGTTGGAAGGATTTCATCAAAGTTCGCACACTAGTATAACATCCTTAACCATGGCAAATTTGCAAGAGAAAGAACGTTTGCAAGGAGGTCTTGATGATCCAGTTGGAGTAGAGGCGGCGCTGAAAAATGACAATGAGGCGTCTGGCGCGAGTGTGATATCGGCTGACACGGACTGGGGAGAGGGGAGCGACCCAGTGCTGGGCAGCAGCGAAACCGCCATGGACACACACACTTCCAACAGCTCGGCTTCGCGAGTAGCAAAGTTGAACAACGCCGCAGAGAATGGCGCCTTCGTTGTGAGTCACGGTCCTGCTCGTGGACTTGGTGCTGCGACATCAACTCCTGTCGACGTTCCGAGGTTGGCCGATGGAGTAGGGGTCCTCCACACGGAAAGATCTCTCAATGTGGAGTTGAGCATGAGCGAGGAGAATGTCAACAATGAGTCTTTCGCAGCTGCTCTTGGTCGTGACCACGATGAGTACCTTGTTGGTGCTACCTCTACTACTAGAACAACGGCCAACTCCGCTCCTGTAGCTGTACCTATTTTTAGCAGTGCAAGAACAACATCTCTACAAGAACAAGATGCGAAGACCAGCATGACCATGAAGATGCTGGAAACAGAAGCTTCTTTTGACGACAATCATACAGCAGCATTTTCATCAGCTAGTACCAAGCAGGGTCCCAGAAGCGCGTCCACTAAGAAGGAGAAGCGGAAGAAGAAAACGGCGGCAGAGATCATAGAGCAATTGGAGAAACTGATTTACTACGACGACGTGCTAAAAACCGTCACTGCATGTGGAGGTCGAGCCTTGGTGTATGTCGTCTGTGAAATGGATGAAATGTTAAGGCTCAACATGTTGATATCAATAATGCACTTTTCTCCCCCTCCACGGTCTTCTGTCCACAACGGCCCTGGCGGTTGCGTAATTCGCCAGCGTCGTTGGCCTACGCTAGCCTAGCACTGCTGGGGGGATCCTCATGCGGGCGGCCCGGATGGCGGCCCTCATTTTGAGATCCCTGGCGTCACTCTTGGTGGACGCTTGGCGCATAATTAGCCATCTTCACATAGGTTATAAACAGCTCTATGAGATCATATTAATGCATCTCCTCTAGGATATTTTATAATATGAAAATTAAATGTTGTGAGGTCTACGTCTTTGTCTAAAAGTGGAGGCTAAATACGGTGACGGGCCTTTCTGGAGCTTTTTAGACTCTGCCTGGGACGAAGATGAAGCGGAGATGTTTGCGAATGAACTGCAATCGGGAGGTGACTGGACCCAGGCACCACAGAAGCAGGCGCCACTGTTTACCAGGGAGACGCCGTCTTTTGCGGCGGCGTCGCTCTACGGCTTGGACGATGGAGAGTTTGACGCGACCGGCGAAGAGCAGGTCCAAACAAAACACGGCGGCCCAACGGTTGAGTCCATACTTGGCTTTTCGTTTAGGAAGCGGTCGAGGTCCGCACCGGTGGATGGCACCTCCGGGTTTCCAAACCCCTTCGATGAGGATCAGCATTTTGCGGCTTTCGACGAGAGTGCTGCTGCAGCCCCCACCAACAGGGAAGCCCTTCCAGGGGCATCAACCGAATTCAGCATAGACTGCTTGCGCCGGAGCACCTCCGACGAAGGACAAGGAGAAAATAAAAGCACCAGTCCGAATATTAACCTAGTCCAAGAAATGCACGGAGCAGGTGCAGGTCGCGGAGAAAAGATGGCATCAGTAGAGCGGCACGAGCGCTATATCGAAGCGGGGAAAGAGCAACTCGGGTACTCCTACCATGTCGTTTCCGTGGTCCTAAAGCTCGAGCCGGTGGAAGACGAGCTCAGTTCATCAAGCGAGGAAGACGAGTATGCAGTTGCAGAGGGTTCCAGTCGTGGATATCAAAGTCGAGAACTACTCAACAAGAACTACTTAGCTCTTTCTTCACCATCAACTCCAGCTAATTCTATTAATGGACATCCAGCTGCATCCGCTTCTCCAGCATCCTCCAGGAGTGGTCAAGATCCAACTAAAAAGAATAAGGTTGCTGGCGGCACACAACAGAGCAATGTACGAAACAGTAAGATAACAGCGAAGTGGGGACCAAGCGCGGCGTCGAATGTGGACGTGGTTCAACTACAAGGCGACAAGAACAAGTTGCAGAGGGTTGTCATTGATGAGAGATCGATACGGATTCGAAAAGGGGCGCACTCGATTACCTTGGAAGCGATCGCTAGAAGCATTGGGAAGTGTAATTCGCGCAACACTGGCGGTCATAACATCCTCCGGTCTGTTATAGGCAAACTGCCCGCTTTGAGGTAGAAGAACATGAAGATCGAGATCCTCGTCATGCTGCTCCTAAACTTGATAAGTACCACAACCCACTACGTCCCTCTTGGTTTGTTTGGGATCCCCCATCAATCACTTTATCCTATCCTCCCCTATTAGACTAAAAATTAATTGCATATTGTTCATTCACAGTGTCCTTCGATTAGGAATTAATTGTGTTCTACCTGCTCGCTTTTTGTTTTTATAAAGAATGTTCCGCGGCGACTTCTTTGATTGTGATTGAGACATACTAAGTATACAATTTGAATATATTCTTCAGAAAAGTAAAAAGTGATGATGATCTAATATTTGATTGGGTTCTGCTCACTGGAAAGGCTACCTAGTCCGTCGTAGATGTGCTTGATGACGCATAGATCTTGACTATCGGGATCCCCGCATTTTTTGAATTTGAATCACTTATAGACTCATTGATTTGCATCGATCTGGTCGTAATTTCTTTTCTCACAACTGTCCCTGACTTTCTTTTTCTGCGTATTGAATGCATGAAAGTTCCACATGAAACAATGACAAGAACAAGATTGGGGGTCGTAGACGTCATGGTACTTACGTAATCATGTATTACATGATTACGAGTAACAACCCGGATGCCGAGCCTAGTCCACTCATTGGGTCGTGGAGCAACCAAGCGGAATCGTATCCTGAAGGAATTGTAGCACCGACATTTACGTGGGAGGAGGGTTTTTTCGTCCATAGGTTTCCCTCTTGCAACGTCAGAAGCCTGCTCTTCGGACAATTTTCGTTTTTGAGTTGGATTTCGAAATCGTCCGAAGAGCAGGCTTCTCTTCTCGTCGTCAATCGTCATACTCACATCAAGCTGTGGTGTAAATATGTAAGAACTGTGGTTATCTAAGATCAAAAGATCTAACCGGTAAATTTGCGCTCCAATAGGAGGTACTCATTTACTGGATGACCTCACAGGTAGACATGCACAGCTACAAACGAGGTTCCATGACATGACATGACGTCCTCCCTGCTCATATGGAGGACGAGAGTGATGCTCTATTTATAGCAGCTCGTGCAACCGAACTCGGATGACGAAGGAAGAAATCGCTGATTTTTTTTGGTTGTGAGACAGGTGAAGATTATTTTTGAATTCAAGTGACACGACCACGACATTATGATGCATAGTTTGACGAGAACAAGATAATCATCTTCACAGATCAAGAGTAAGTATAAGCTTAGTTAGGCTTAGGTTAGTTCGCCAATTACTTCGGTACTAGCTACATGAAAAAGATTTGTTATTTCTTATTTACGACTCCTGACGCCGAAAAACCATGATTAAATGCCAGATTGAGAATGAAAAGAATAAGTACAGCATCAGCATTTTTATTTTTTATCATGATTATGAAAATGCAATTTGTTATGTGCATGAACATTCATACCTAAAAAAAATCAGCGAGAACAGGGAGTCGTGGCAGATAATTGTCGAGATGCAAAAAGAAGTAGTGTGTAGTGGTTCGTCTTAACCCCCTGGAGTGAGTGCATTCATTCATTCAAGGATGGCTCACGGTCATGCGATACATTTTTTGGCACCCTTGCTCAATCTGAGACATATAGATAGATCGAGCCTCGTGGTGGCTATTGGCATGACAACCCATATTCGTTTGACCGCGGCAACCCTATGATCTTCGCTTCGTATCCTCCTGTTATATTTTTTGCGAGTAAATAAACAAAGTATCCAGGGCAGCAGCAACTCTTTGGTAACTTTACGAGATGCTGCATGATAAGCTACTAGGTAGTGACCACTAGTTCCGACCTTTGTTTGAGGTGAAAGAACAATATTTGACAAGAACTAGAATTGAATAAAGAACAAAATCATGATCAAAATATGACATGCTACATTGCTCTATATTCTGGAGAAGGAGCAGGAGTGTTGTCAAACAAAGATTTGGAAAAAAAATTGTTGACTTCCCGGAGGGTGCAACATGTTTTCGTGTTTATTTCTGCACGTTGTTCGTTCAGTCGATGAAACAAATATGCTCCTCGATCTTCATTACTTCAAGTGATTCGAATAATCGAGGATTTTCTACCTGTATTTAGAAGTACCACATTAGAATAGAGTAACAAAAAAGGGTTCGAATCGATGAGCAAAGAAGTAGCGCGGATTACAACGAAAAGGACTCTTGAAATTGGTTTTCTGTTCGTTAATTTCCTCTTCCTCGTATAGCAAAGAATTAGCTCTGCTTTCCTTAGAAAGACTTAGAAGCTCTCTGAGCGGAGGTGCTATGTAGCGATGTTGTTCTCTGAGGTTCGCATAATATCTTGCGTGGACGAGTCCTTTGGAGATCTCTCGCCTGGAGAAGCAGCCAGTTCGTTTGCCTGACCAATCGTTGTACTCGAGTCTGTGATCATCGAGGGAACGTAGATACGCACCAATAGCTCCTTGCAGAAGTTACATGAGTGACGTGATTAAGTGATGTGATTAGTACATGTACGACTCTGTGAGACTTATGCCATGCCATGTGAGTCTGGTTTTCTTCGGCACCGTGTTACTCGGTCGTCCTCTCGCCATGTAATGTAGGGACATTAAGCAAGCTTTCTTTTCGGTCTGACCGTCGTCGATATCTAGAATACCCCAAGTTTCTCCTGTCAGCTGCCCAAAGTGTTGTCGAAGCCCTCGTGGACTCTGCACGTCGCGGGCTAACAGGCTCTGAGAGTTGCTATTCATCCATCTAGTACAACAAGGACTCCTCTTCGATAACGATCAGGACCTCGAGAACAACGCTCAGGACCTCGAGAGCTTACCTCAATTAAACCAATACAAAATAAGCTTCTTCATAGATATGACATGATGATGATTGATCTGGCGAGATCTGTTTTTTTGATCAGAACTTGACTCCCGTTCGCCGCGGCAATCAAAAATTGTTGTACTTGAGTAAGCGCAAGAGCAACAGCAAGATGTCACGCGCAATTCCGAGCAACGTGTCCTATTTTCGCGGTGGCAAGAACTACGGATGCACCTTCTACGAGCGACCCGCGTCCGCTCCTCGGACTGCGCCAGCGCTTTCGAGACCGCGCTCTTCCCGAGGCCACTCTGCAATAGCGAGAGGAGCACCTCCTGCTGGAGGTGGCGGAAAGAACCACGTTGTAGGTCCACCTCGGCAGGAAGTGAAGGCGGGAGCTTCGACGCAAGTAGCCAAAGGTGGGGAACAAACAGGTCAAGGGGGACGGCCAGCGAGTGCTGTTGTCTATGGATCTTCCAGTGCGACGCGACCCTGGTCTTCGCGCTCGGGTCCCATGGTGCGGCCATGGTCAACTGCTTCAGCACCTGGAATATCTGCCTCTAGGAATAGTACAGGGCTTGCTCGCCCGACGTCGGCAAAAGTTTAAGGCTATAATTTTGATTTGATTTTCATTTTCTATAATGATCTACTTAGCTACTTGCCTGGATGTGAGTATTAATCGATGGATATAGTTGAGTTCTTACTAGAGTCTAGGAACTATGTGAACAAGCGTTTTGCCAAAGAAAATGCCACAGCGAGTGTCATCAGGATGATGAAGAGGAACTGAAGCCGTACTATCTCTAAAAAGTAGTCGCGCCTCCAGCGCAAGCCTCGATTGAGGGCGCGAATTTCATGCGGCAGCCAGCTATGGCACGACCGGCGTCAGGCGTGTCGCGACCGTCAAGCGCAGCTGCGCACAGACCGTTGAGCGGCATCACTGCTGAGGCTTCCTCCTCAAGGACACCGATGGGGCCAAACATGGTCGTAACCAGCACAAGCAGACCAGGTACTATTTATACTACCTGTTCGTCGTGCTCGTGCCATTACAAGAAGTGATTGCGATTGATTTTTGGCTGGATCGATTCTCATTTTTCGTGTAATAGGTTTTTTTAATTTTTAGGCTCCACGCACGAGGATCCTGCACTATTTTATTTTCCTACGCAAATTGGCATTCATCAGGTAGCGCCCTTTCACGTCCGCTGAGTGGACACCCTCAGGTGGCCGCGGTATTTGCTAGCGAAGTGACACCATCGCAGCTCCCTGTGCTAGCAACGAATCCGGGTTTTTATGAGATGGAGAAACCGGCTCCGTGGGAACTCAGGGGGCAGCCGGGGCGACCCGCCTATGCCGTTGACCGGCAAGAATTTTGTTCAGCTGTATCGGTACTGCGGTCCACCTCACGTGGCAATGTTGGCGGCGTACGCGCACAAACGAAGACGCCATCGCTGGCAACTTATGGAGCCAATGCGCAGCTCTTCTGTGTGCCCTTACCTGCGACTGAGAGGGATCGGGAAAGACAACAACACCTAGTGCAAGTAGCTGGAGATGGCGCAGATACTGCTGGCGTTGAGATTCCTCCTCCGCCCGCATCATCATCTGGCACAAGAGCACTTGCTAGTTCGCCAGGACAGGGGCACCAGACGAACAGGAGTACTGCTGGTGTTGGGGACGTGCGTCAAGTTCTTGTCCGGGACTTTGACGGGATACCGCAAATGATCGGCCACGTTGAGACGGGGAGCGGAGGCGTTGTTCTTGTTGCAAGAACGGACCAGGACCAACAGCTCGCGACGTATCGGACAGGCGCAGCGTCCTTGGGTTCTATGCACGCAGACCATGGCTATGCGATGGCGGTGGCTAGGCGAGAGAGGGAGCGCGTGCTGCAACAAGCGCAAGAGCAGGTCGACCTACAGGAAGCTGCAGCGGCTCTCCAGAAAAAGGCTTCTGTCGTTAAGGCGCACGATACAAAGTTGCATCTTCATCACAGGAGTTGTTACAGACATTCTGTGCTTCCCCAGTCATTCTGTGCTTCTCTAATATCCGCGGTGGATTACAATTCGGCGCGTCAGCTGCTCATACTCTATCTAGTACAGGCGTTGAAAAAGGGGCTCTTGGTCTGGATGGTAAGATGTCTTCTCCCGGTCCCGGAGATGCGGCAGGTGCAGGCGGTGGAGGTTGCGGGGCTGCGCATGCGGAACACCTGAAGAGAAATCTACAACCTCTATCCACCTTGGAGGAGGTCATATACGATCAGAAGAATGATCTCCCAGGTTACATGAAAGGCCGGAAGCTGCCCACATCAGCAAAGTCTGCTCGCTCCGGAAGCAGCGCCGGCAGTTACAATAAGTTTGTGTATCGAAACGACTCCCAGCCTGAGCTGCGACGACCTTTTTCTGCGTCGAGAAAGCGGGAAATTGCTGGACCTGTAGGTGCGGATGACGCCGAAATAGTAGACGTAGAAGTGGAGCGACCGGTGGAGCGGATTTCCGAAGGAGGAGATCGTGACTTTGCTTGCAGTACAACCTCTATGTCGTTGGCGGGTGGCAGAAGTCGCAATGCAGTGGGTGGAACCACATCAGGATCAGTAGAGCGACCAACCTCGGCGGGCCGCCCAACATCGGGCCGCCCAACATCGGGCCGCCCAACATCGGGCCGCCCAACGTCGGGCCGGCCTACTTCGGCGGGCTCCTCACGACCCGGGTCGGCGCGCCGGCCTCAGAGTGGGAAGCGGCCACTGAGCGCAAGTAAAGTCGCGGCAAAAGCAGGCCGTCTAAAAACGATTCCCGATGAAGGTGATCTAGAACACTGTAGCGACGTTCGCGCGCCTCCGGAAGCCAGTCGAGCGCGGTTCGTCGGGACCTTTTGTTAAGGCTCGAAATATTTCATTTCCAAGGGTCATTCTCTTCTTAGGATTGCGAAGAAATGAAGGCAAGGAGTGAATTGTTTTGCGCTCTATTTTTGGGCCGGAAACGTGCTGTGCTGGTCCAGCAAGAGCCTGAGGCCGTATAGTGGCCGCGCGCGCAGTGCCTCCGCAGTAGAGTCTACACGCGGACGTGGTCGTGAAAGGGGGACGGGGACAGATGTGTCGGTGAATCTGTCTAGCACAACAAACGTGGTGGACGTCGACAATTTGGTTTTCATGGAGAGTCAACATGGCAAACGACCGGCACATGGAACCACGTCAGGGGAGGCGGAGGCAAGCGCGCAGCCATCGACGACGATAACGAATGTCATCGAGCCACTGCCTGGAGGAGAGGGTGGTCCATTGGACGTCGTAGATGAGGCAGACGGAGGTGAACACCTGCAAGGTGCTGAAAGCACAGCCACTTTTATGTTGTCTCAGGATAATTCATTATTTGTTGTTGTTAAATGTACTTAGTTATAATGTTGTTGCACCTCGTATCACTTGTCTAATCTCATACATTAGATATCTCAATCTCTACAACAGAGGACCATCACCATCTCTGTGGAATCGGATTCCTTCTCATGAAGAGCTGAAGAGATACATATTTATCAAACTTAGATACTAGAAAAAGATGCGTCGATTCTTGTGTTGAGCCCTGCTTCTAACACTTCTGCCTCTGTGACTCCATTCGTTCGGAAGCACAACTTGGCGGGCACGTTCAACCGACGTAATCTGGAACTCCTTGTGAAGAATCGCGCTGCAGTTCCGCGTCGCTACTCGGTCAAGCGTACTGTGGAGGCACTGGAGGAGCGTGAACGGAGGGCGCGGGAAAGCGCTGCACAGCAGGGAGTGAAACCACTCTCGAGCAGAGAAATGGTACACGTTGTACGTCCTCCCGTCTCATCTTCTACTGCCGTAGTGGTGCAGCAGCCTCAGAAACTACAATTAAGACTTCCGGAAATCCATCTTCACAAGCATCTTGGGCCTCCCTCATCTTAACGGGGAAACGGGTCCACCAAGATGCAGCTCAAGAACAAAATGGGATGTGATTCCCGGAGGGTCTAATACATCATAAAGAGGACTTACGCAAAATCCTGGAGGCTGACGATCTGACCCTGGAGGGTGATGAAATTGTTTTCCGCGAAGGAGATGTAGCGTCACCCTAGACGAGACCCTTCATTCTTCGAGTGGAGAACCGGAGAAAATCGGTCTCCCCATTCTCTCGTACGTTGTTGTTGATGTAGTTGTACTAAGAAAAGATGCATTCATCATGGATCGTAAGAAGTGTTTAGAAGTTTTTGCGAGAACACTTAGCGATTTCTTAGACTGTCGTTGGTTCGTTTACTTCTGTAGTTTTTCGCCTATGTATTGATGTTATTGCATGATCAAGAATACTCTGATATGACGATTCCGGGTCTGTAACTACTTTTCGAGTTTTTCATTCTCCTAGGAATGAATGTCGTGTAATTGATTATTTGTTCTTTTTGATTCCTTCACGAAAGTGAAAGTAGTTGATATTTAAACTACTCGGTCGGTCCTTGTTTCAGCTCCGTTAAAGGATCAAAGTTGCAGTAGGTTTTTTTGATTGTCGTTTTGCAGAGCTTCCGTGGTAGATCTATTAGGAATGTACAGAACCAGAACAGAGCTTTCTTTCCTGATAAATAGTCGACTTGTTTTTCTTCCCTTTCCTATTGAATTCTCGTTCTCCGCTAACATCAAGATTCCTTTTTTCTTGATGGATCTAGTAGAAGCTTCTACAACATTGAGTCTATGATTTAAAGGATGGACGAGAACTATGTGATTTCGATTCTTGAAGTATCAGCGTTTTCCTCTCAGGGTCTCTTCATCTTGCCGCGCAAAGAAATGTCTGACCACCATCGTAATTGCTTGCAAGAGCCTTATATTTGCATCCCACCTGGAGGTGGGGAGTATGCCCAAATTTCAAAATTAGCATCAAAATGCTCATGGTAACTCTACCGTGACAGCATGCAAAATTGGAAATATGTGTCCCCAAAAGTAGGATGGGACTATCGCAATTTTTGCAAAATAGAACCTCCATGCGCTTCAGAAGATAGCCAGCAACAGATGTCATATCGGAAATTTAGCGAAAAGAGGACTCAACGGACTTCGGTCTTACATCACATGCCAGAAAGCGGAGTCGTATGTGCAGTAGATGAAACTGAAAGAATTAAGCACGAGAGAAAAAGAACGCCAGTAGTACCGGGATAAGCATAATGCGCGTTAATAGGCTAGTTTATTACAGATAGTAGAACGAACACGAAGAAGAAAACTTTCTTACCTCCTGGTAGTAGCAGTATCATGACTGTAGTGAAGAAATGGAAATGAGTTCCTCCAGCACTCGTCCAGGAGCGCGAGCACTTACGGCTAGTTTCTCACTATCCCATGTGGATTATGCTGAGTGGGAGTGGCGTTCCTCTTGATTTCAAGGGGAACTACTCCAGGCGTTCCCCTCTACATCTTCAGGGGGAACGCCACTCCCAAGGAATCAAAAAGGACAAGTAAGCAACTACACGACATTCATTGCTAGGAGAATGAAAAACTCGAAAAGTAGTGGGACGAGTGGCGTTCCCCCTGAAGATTTAGAGGGGAACTACTCCAGGCGTTCCCCTTGAAGATTTATTACAGGGGAACGCAAACCGCGAAATGAAAAACAGGAAGTAAGGCCAAATGTTGAGCAACAGTTGTAATGGATTGTGAAAGACTAGTAGCGCTAAAGCACGATCAGGAGCAACAGCCGCGGGCGCGAGATGGCTTGCTGCGGGCGATCGAGACACTGCATTGTCGAGGCAGCCATCACGAGGCAGCCATCCTGCTTTCGAGGGAGCGGAGATGTTCACTTGCACGAGCTCTTAGGGATGGAAGTAGTAGTTTCTAAGTACTTACTTTCTCTTTTCTAGTACGATGGATCATTGATTGATAATCACAACAGACAATAGAAGTGGATGAACTTTTTTGAGAACTACTTACTCAATGAAAAACGAGAAGGAACTGTCCACGACAGGGGAGAACGCGGCGAATAGGTGGCTCGAAAACCTAGCTTAGTCTCCCCTACGCACTCCTCTATTAAGTAGTAGAATTGCAGACTGTAGTTAAGTACAGTAGTTGCACACTGCCTGAGAATACAGAGTATGCAGACTGTCCACAACTTTAAGGCTTGACGAAGTTGCGGATGCGCCGGCATCAGAGGAGCAAGAGCGGGATTTCGTGCGGATTTTCCGCGCCGCTGCCCCTTCTGTCTTCGTGTTGAATCGCGACAGGTTCGAACAGCTCAGCGCTGTGGCAGCACGCGGCAGTATGAGCAGCGCAGACGGTGACTTTTAAGGGTGTCGTGACGAATTCAAAATTTGATTGCTATAATTTGTTATAAGGCTCCACAAAAGCAAAACCCAATCCCGCGTGGATCCTGTTAAAGTACTGCGCTGGTCGCGCCTCGTGGATTCTCGGGCGGTACTGAGGCAAGTACTGGGGCGAGTATTTTGACGGGATATATTCACGGGATGGGTTAAGGGTAGCGCTAAATTTGAAACTTCATGATGATGATCCCGCTTGCAAGATGTCCACCGTATGTAATTAAACTTCTAGTTAGTAGGTAGTACTGCGGAAGTCGATGTTAACTATTTCTTTGAATCCTGATGTGCTCAACAACATATTGTTCAATTTCATCCAAGTACATCTTACTAATAATGTAAAAAAAGTAGTGGTCTGTCTGATAATTAGTATGCTCGTACTTGGATAATTCTAAGCTTCCAGCCGAAGCACAAAGCGTGCATCAGTGGGTAGCGAGATGTCGTTCACTGAGCAAGACATCGATGATGAGATCGAACAGTTTCTTGGGCAACTCAGAGATCGAGACCCGGAGGATGTTTAAGGCGGATTCTCTTAAGAGGTTTTTCATTGGGAACAAAAGGGGTCCTGGCTCTAGAAGTAGGACAAGGAAGATGTCTTTCAAGAGAGCTGCAGATGAATTATATTTATAGCGCGAATTCATCTAAGATATTTTGCGACCGTTTACCGATGAGGAGTTGCGCAGATTTGTGGTAAAGCATATCTCGGTCGAACAGAGTTTTCAGTTCTGCCTTCGAGAAGGCCTCGCGCCGCTCTATCTGCAGCCCAAGTACCTTGTTTTGCTGTCGGAATCAGAGGGGATCGTCATTGTCTTAAGGCAACCTAAAAATGTCATATCTCGGTCTTCAGAAGCATCTGATCTTGTAGGTGTCCCAGATTATCAGAAAACAGCTTGTTGCGAACGATTATCTAACACCTTGCCTTCAAGACGTTAACCTAACTAGTATGAAAACAAGTCCTTGTCCAAGTCCAAGATGATGAACAGCTAAGAAAACACTTACTTTATATTTTTATAATAAGATGATGAGCTATGAAAGCGTCTAATTGCGACCTACGGTTTCGTGGCTGAGGCTACCAAAAGCCAGACGCAAGTTGTTGGCGATCGGCCAGATCGTAAGCGAACGCCATGGATCGCGCGTCTCGAACTGCGAACGATTAAGGGTAGTTGATCACTGTCCCGTCCCGTGTGGACTATACATATACTGAGTGAACAAATCCCTCCTGATCATCTGAAGGGGAAAATGTTGTTGTTGAACTTGAATATATTTGAAGATGTTGTTGAACAACATGTTGTACATCAAGAACAAATGGGCAAGAACTACTTACTCGACCAGGGATTGATAGTGAAAAACTTCTAGCTCTAAAACGACGATAAGTGGCGGCTCCGATAGAAAGAAGATCAACAGCAGGGTTCTTAGCCATACGATTTTTCCAGCGCGTGTGGTTTTAGCTAGGGCGTACTAAATTGCTTACATCACCTCTTCCTCCGCAAGAGCCTGAGCCATTCTTTCTTGCCCTCTCTCTTTCTTCTACTTGGTACAACGACTCTGCATGTTCTGATGGAACTCCAGTTTCAACGAGTCCTAGTATGTTAATGTAGTCAAGAATGTATCACAATCTATCGTATGATGAGAGAGCGAGGTCAAGAAAAGTGTTGATGTTGTTTGTTATCAAGTAAGATATTTAAGATATTTCATTTTTTTTTTTACGCTTCTAATGTAAACACTCGTACATTTATCGACGCCGACGTCCCGATTCTTCGCGAAAAATACTTTCCTAGTACGACGAGTCAATGACGATATGCACTACAGGGATCATCATGGGAGATTTTATTTGGATTGGAGATTGGAGGTCAACAAGATTGGGACGGCCTCTAATGCTTCGGTGAGCGTCACAGGGACGACTACAATGACAGTATTTAGATGGTTGAAGTTGTCAAGTGCTGGATGTCTACGTTTTATTTTGCTCAAACATTGTAGCACTTATGCGTAGATTGAAGCTCAGCTGATCATCCTACTTTTTCATCCTTTTAGAATAAGTTACAGTTTCGATAAAAGATTATCAGAATGGGCATGTTTTTTTTTGATGTGAAAGATAGATCGAAAGAACAACAAATAAACCTGATGTGCCAACGCTTCTTCAACTCACTACTTCTCTGCTAGTCTTCGTTGCTCTCTCTCTCTCTCTTCATTGTCTTAGCTTACTATGTACTCTTCGCGAGTATCGTTCGGTGATGATATCCTTCCAGTTTTATTGTTGTTTTCAGACTAAGAACCAATGCTTGGATTAGTCTAATGTTAGTTGTCTCGTGGTGCGGTTCATTATTGCCTGCTTTCTCAAGTTGAAGTTTTTTTTCAGTTCGGCTTTTTTTTGTTTCTGGTATTGTTCTCTGACGTGAGGCCATCTATTCGTGAAGTTTCGTAGTATACTCTCCCCAATTTACAGACACAACTAATACTAGTATCTCTTACCTACAACTTCTACTTTAATCATGTTGAGCTTCTGAAATAAGTTTATATCGGTGTTTGATTAAGTGTGTCCGAGCTTTTTTTCGTTCACCCACGTTGTGCCGTAAATATGCTGAAAATGTTGGCGTCATCCTACTTGCTTTTGTTTCCTTGTCGACGTCTACCTCTACGAATTACTGGCTCCAAATTTCTGATGAACATGATCATCGATCCACTTCCGTAACTAATAAGGGCTCGAATACAAATTGAAAGCGAATTCAAACTCAAAGCGCAGCACTCCCATCCTCCTTAAAAGAAGTCAATCAACACGAAGACGAGCGCAGACCTGGGACCACTATCCCTGTGTCCTGGAATTTCGAAAAATGTGAACTCCACTTGTAGGTGGGAATTATGGCAAATTTTCGAAAATAGCCATTCAGAAGTCAATGGAGCACTGCCGTGACAGCGTCACGTCGAGGTAAATTCCAACCCCATATGTAGGAGGGGATTATCGCAAATTTTCAAAAATACCGCATCCACCGACATTGGAACACTACGGTTGAACCGGTGGCTATTGAGAAAGCGTCAACGGGGATGAGAGAGGTGGCTATTGAGAAAGCCTCAACGGGGATGAGAAGTGGAGCACTGCCGTGACAGCGTCACGTCGAGGTAAATTCCAACCCCATATGTAGGAGGGGATTATCGCAAATTTTCAAAAATACCGCATCCACCGACATTGGAACATTACGGTTGAGCCGGTGGCTATTGAGAAAGCCTCAGCGGGGATGAGAGAGGTGGCTATTGAGAAAGCGTCAACGAGGATGAGAGAGGAGAAGTAAGGCAAAATATATGTAGTCCATCCATCCAATCGCTTCCCGAAGCAAGAGCGCAGCACTACAAAACTTGGCAGCAAAAGCAAAAAAATCTAATTCAAAATTAGCTTCGTCTTCCTCAAAAGTAGCCTCTGCAGAATATGGTTGCAAGTGTAAATCTACATCCAGCTATGTACAGGAATGCTTTTTTCAGGATTGGGAGAGTCGGTCCACCATGTAAATGAGGTTCGCAAATGGGCACGTTCAGTTTCAAATCATTTAAGTTAAAGAAGAAAGCATGGCTCAACGAGGACAGCCACGGTCTCGCGTCGGAGACGCACGCAAGCAAAGGAAGGATCGCAAAAACGATGCAGTTCTTGTGCTAAGTAGTGACAGTAGTCGCGGCCCGTCAGTGTCTGCTTCCGGCTTCGCATCACCAGAAGATTCTTTGGCCGGTCAAACTCCTAGACTTATTGGCAACGAAGGAGATGCACCACACGCACACGCTAGCAACGAGCATGTTGATGCCATCGAGGTTTTTGTCGAGAAAATTCGCGGTTTTCAGCCTGGTGAGGTGCAGGGCGCGGAAATCCGTCTTGTTGCCCCTGAGCAGCTTTTCGGAGCGGTTCCTGCAGTGGCGCACCAGGAGGCCTCGTCGCCCTCCTCGAGTGTTGTTCCACCAGAAGGAATCGTTTCCTCCGTGTTGCGGCCTCATATGTGGTGCACTGCGGCTTTCCCAGTAGACATGAGCATCACGGAAATTGCACAACAGTACGTGCAACTAGCTGTCCGAGCAAAAGGAAAAGAGGAATTTCAGCTATTAAGACTGAACAGAGCCTGCCTCCATGTGAATCCGTGCAAATACTGAAGGGGTACGTAACCTGTACCGGAGTCTCGGGTTGTACTGACGAGGCAAGTACTGGCTCGAGTATTTTCACGGGATTTCTTCACAGGACAGGCTTTTATGGCCAGGTCTAAAGCTAGTGCTCCCAGTGAAGGTGCTGCTTTCGCAAGAGGTTCCAATCTCACTGGACATGAATGCTCCTCCGATCTTCAAAAACATGACGCTGTGGCGATTGAACGAGGAGGAGGAAAGGCGTATGATTGGGAGATTCTTTGTCTAGTTGGTTCTTGTACTAGAATTACATACCCATAGTCACTGTCAATGATCATGAACGTCAAGAGCAAATTGAAGTGCTGATGTGTTTTTGCGAGCTCCTTAGCTTACCACGAGAATAAGTTCTTCAAACGAAGTTCATCTTGAAGATCTATACTATCCACGAAAGCCAGCTCTTCAAGTTGTTTTTGATTAATGAATACTCCACGGACCGACGGAGCGGAACACACGCACAAAAAGCACAGGAAAACGTCAAAAGAGCGCAGCATGTCAGTCTGCATTCGTTTCCGACCGCGTTTAACGCCTGTTCCCTCACCAGATTGGTGGACGGCGTCCGGTAATATTAAGGCTACAAGAAACCATCTTCTTCACAGGCATCCTGTTCCCGTTTTAAAGGGACGAGGAGAAGGGGACCCAAGATGCTGCTTGCGGTGGGTGGTCTCCCTACTTAGTTCTATCTAATAATAGTGTGTTCAGGGATCGACTTCTGGATCTGGCGTTGCATGGAGACCAGCAACAAGACACGCATGAAGATTGTGCATCTGAAACGAATGCAGCAAGGTTGTCTAGGATCAACAACACGTGGAAGAATGTAAATCCTAGACCGAGTAAGCGAGATTGGAGACAGCGCGTCTTTGACAAGGGTCTAGGCTCTTCAGAGGACACGACGTCGCAAGCGAGCGAGGCAGCGGAAGAGCGACGTCAACGAAGGGTTTTCACGCGAGGAGCGCTACTCGAAGAAGAATGGAGACGACATTCAGCGGATGAGGAGAAGTCGGGGGCGAACGAAGTTGGTGCCGCTAATTTTAAGGCTCAACTTTCATTGGTCATTGAAGTTGGTCACTGACACCGAAGCGGAGACCCCTTGAGACAACACGGGAAATCTAAGGGGAGCAAGAAGGGGAAAGCTCTGTAAGGGGCCTTGTCCCGTTCAGAGTCAGTGGCCAATGACTGCTGACCTTTAATAATAATCCTCTGGATAAGAAAACTCGTCGAAAAATAGCTAATCGAGCGTCTTCAACGGATGCTCCTGTAACAACTACGGACAGCATCGGTTTTTACGGGTAGGTTAAACGTGTTCTTGTTGCCGTTTGTTTTGCCTCTCCTAAGGGAGAACGGCAGAACAAACGGGAAACACAAACGCCAAAGCTCTACCGCTAAGGTATAATGCACCTTGCGCGTACCAGTTGGAGTCGCGTGTTTCACCACGACGTGGACGGACCGAGTGCTGCTTCCTCTTCATCTCTCAACATTAAGGCTGCAAAAAATCCATCTTCACAGGCATCTTGGTCTCTTTTTTACAGGGAAAAAGGGGCCTAAGATGCTGTTGAAGATGGATTTCTCTTGGTTCTAATGACGCCAGCAGCGTAAGAGAGCCAACAAGTAGCGAGTGGCGTCGCGTGGAGGATGAAGCTGCTAATGTGCTCGAACGCGCTGCTGACGCAGACGAGACGCTGTGTCGACAATTGCGCACACTTCATCAGGAGACACTGACGCGCGTGTTTGAAAGCGAAGAGGAAAAGCGACGTTCTTTAGCTGCCTCTGACAATGATGCTAGTAATATGTTGGAGAGGACCGCGGGCGGCGATGGTCGAGACGAGTCTTCGCGTCGAGAAAAACGACGAAACGAGGCTGCAGAGAAAGCGCATGGTAAAAGAATAGCAGTGATTCGTGACAAATTTCGTGATGAAACGACGCGAATGATACGAGATTGGCGTCGCTTACGTTTACAGCTTGGGAAGACGGACGTAGTTCGAATACAAAGGATGGCTGCGCGCGTGCCTCCTTCACTCCGACCTACCTATGTTTTCGATGATGACACGTCCGCGGCTGTCATTCGCGGAGGTTCCTCGGGTGTCATTCTCGGAGGTGAGCAGGCTGCAAGGATTGTTGAGGAGTCCCCGATGCTAAATCTGCAACGCTTTTGCCGCATATGGCTAAAGTCGTTCCTGCATCGCGGTCTGAGCGTCACGGACGTTGCTCGTCATCGTGGTGCCGGACGCTGGTTGCTATGGCACTTTCCTGCGAATGAAATTTTCGAAAAAAACGACGATGAACTGGCGCAACGTTCTTTGTCGGCGGAGCAGCGCGAGTTCGCTCGCGCCTACGGTTTCGCTCTGAGTGAGGACGGCGCACGAGAGGTGGTTTGGGTTCCCCATCGCGCTCTGCATCGTTGGCAGGAGACCGTTGCGGAAGCTGAGCGCCATGGGAAAAGCACGTTGGCCGCCCGTCTGCGCCGCTGTGGTCCTGAGGTGCTTGGGTGGACCCTTGAAACGGAGCCGGACCGACCTCAACTTAAGGCTCAACTTGGTCGCTCAACCTCCTTGGTCATCACTCAGATTGGGGTCACTGACACGGAAGAGATCAGGGGAAAACTAAGGGAAAACAATGCGAGAGGCGGGAGGGCGTTTTCTTTCAGAGACGGTGACTCATGGCTTCCGACCTCTAATCAGCACCGCGGGAACGACGAACTGGAGGACGTGGCGCTTCTTTCTGTGGCCGATCGTGTCTTAGCGGTGAACGGTATGACGTTGCGCAGAGGCACGCCGCTGCGGCGTGTCTTTCGGCAAGTAAGTTATGGGTACCGTCAACCCATCACCATCTATATTTACAAGAACGTCTTTTGGCCAAGTCCTTCTTGGAACTACAAGCTAAATGGGTTGTCGTTGCCTCCAAGTAAGAGAAGTCTGTCCAGATTCTTGCTATCTTTTCGTCTCTTTTCGACCAGCACTAGTTCTGACTGATCAAGATGACGAGACTACTTTCGTCGAGGACGATGGTGCTGACGAAATGGTCCGAGAGTTCGAGGAACGCGCAATGATGTCGGGGAAGCACTCCTCTGAACTACAGGGTCTTCATTAAGGCAACCGCTGAAGTATCTTCAGCTTCATCCCTGGCTCTTTTTCTACTTGAGAAGCTCTCAGGGATGCGACCGCGGTAGCTCTAAAAACTTCACAAGAATCACGGGTACGTCGCACGCTCATCGGACGAAGCCCTAAAGAAAGCAGCGATGGAAGACATCCAGAAAAACGCTGAAAACCGACGTCGGAAATTTCACGGAAATGTTGCTCAGGCAGAAGGGGAGGGTGAAGCATCTCCAAGTACTATAATGAACATTGCAGGAGGAGCAGATAAATTGGCGACTACTGCTGCTGGCAAAGGTACAACTAAAGGAAAAAAATCTGATGGATCTTCACTCCTTAGTGCCGGAGAAAATATGAGTAAGGAGGATCCGCATAGCATTACCCACAAGCTCCTGAGTCAATTGCACGCGGATTTGGTTTTTCTTGGCACGTTGCAGAAAAAGACGATAGTACACGGCAAGGACAAACCGCAGAAATTCTCGGAGAAGCTATGGCTTGTTCTTGGAGTATCTTTCTATGTATCTTGTCAAGAACAAGTATCTTTCTATGTATCTATGTGTAAGGATATTTAATATCCTGGAACGGGGGGAAGGTGGTTGTACCTTGAACCTTGGACGAAGGTTGTACTTGTTACCAGAAATATCGTGTACAACTACGGAAATCTTCTGTGCTTGACACTTACGTGGTTAAGATGAAACTTTATAGGAGCGCCTTGACAACAATGTAAAGATATATTTATAAAGTGCAGCTTACAAATATGTTTATAGATATATAGTACTTATATATAGTCTACTTAGTGCTCCAGCTCCTCCTCCACGTCTAACGTACGACGTTCTGCAGATGGGCCGCGATCAGAAGCGCATGCTTGAAGCCTGGCAGCCGGAAGAGAAAAAGTGGTGGGATATGCAAAGAGTGCGCATGGAGGAACTAAACCGGGAACTTCTGCTGTCCGCGGATGGTATCCTCGCTGAAGAGGAGGTGCGTGCTGGAGGAGCTGAACGTGGCGGATTTAGTCACACGACAACTGCATCGTCTTCTAGTAGAAGCCGTGCTCCCATTATTCGTACGCTAGGTCGTTTTGAATTTGACATCCCTTATGCAGTATTGGAAGAGCGACGGGAGGTTTTCGTAGCTGCTGTACGAAACGAGATGGCGGAGTTTGCGGCTTGTCATCGTGATCATATAGAGCTGCTTCTAGCGTCTTCGTGGCGACCGCTGCGGCCTGATGAGCGCGGCGACGCGGGCGGCGCCTTCAGCAGTCTGTCAGCACTCTTCAGTAGCGAGGTATCACCTGAGAAAGAAGCTGCAGCTGCATCGAGCAAGAAATCTTCCAATAGCAAGGTCGAGGATGACGAAAATGATTCTCCGTCTACTTCGACGACGGGAGACAAGAATAATAGCAAGAAAATCCCGATTAAAGCCGTGCCAGTTTTGCACGTGCGAGGTCCACCTTCCGCTTTGGACTGTGCAGCGTTTCAACGACACCAATTTTCCGTGAAGAAAAACCGGCTTTTCGAACTGACTGTATGCACCTTTATCCCGGATCCGCTCGCGCATGTCGACGTCACCGGTAGTGCGGCACGCGTTTTAGCATCGGAGAACGTGAGACTGCGAGACAAACTCTCGGATGTGACTAATCACGCGTACTATCTCGAGATTTTTCAAAAACTTTGTGTTAAGGGTTGCCACGACATTGCAATTGCATTCATCTTCGCTGCCATTCTTGACTTATGTTTTCGAGTAGGAACAAACGGGTCAACAGCAGGGATGATCATGATCTGAAGAATGCAAAGGAGCGGCTGCAGCTTCTAATTGTGGCCAGTATGAAAAAGCTATCGATGCTTTGCGACTGAAAGACGAAGTGTTACCAGAATTACGTCGTCTGCAGCCGGTCTTGGTGCGTGACGCAAACGAGGGTCGTGAGCGCCCGTCCGCGATATTGCAGAAGCTGTTCCGACAGGGCGTCGTCGCGATGCCTGACTGGATCGATGGAGTGTCGGATAAAGGAAATGCAGACATCAGAAAAAATCGCACAGCATTTGCTGATCTCCTTCCGTCTGGTTCGGCAATTGTCGATGATGGCAAAAATAAAGAAGAGAACAAAGCAGGCTTTTTCCAAGATCTTTTCGGGAGTGGCAAATCAGCGAGCGGTGCCAACGCCTTGGCTGAGGGTGAGCAGGCGGGCGGGCCTTCGCCTCGCACGCTGGACCAGCTGGAGCTAGAAGCAGGTGCTGACGACGAGGAAGCGGGCGAAGACGCAGCAGAGAAAAAGAATAGCGTGGCTGCGAAGGTGAAGGCGCGACAGGCTAGACGGCGCAATCAGTTACAGGAGAACACGGCGATTAAGAACAGTAAGTTGGGTTCGGACGAGTGTCCTGACATCGGCGCTCTGCTGGATGATGACGATAGCAAGTGCTTCGTCCTGGCTGTGTACTTGCGTGGCGCGAGCAATGTTCCACAGGCGGACCTGTTTTCGCCTAGTGACCCCTACGTCCAGGTTCGCTGCATTTTTCGGAACGCTTCGGCAGACGGTGAAAACAGTAGGAAATCTCGAAGATCGAGCTCCGCAAGGAGGAGAAACACAGATGAAGATGCTGGCGCACAAGATGATCCTGTTGATCATGCTGAAGCCGACGAAAAGAGCGATGCCGAGGAAAAATCCTCTGCCACTTCTTCCAAAGGAGACAGCTCTTCTGCGGTTTCGAAGTACTTGAATCAGGACGCTTTTCAGTACGTTTCTCCATCTGTTGAGGTACTGGATGCTGATGATTGGCGGGACCTCCATTTCATCAATCGACGAGCCATTGGCTGCACACGTGTAATAACGGATACGGAGTATCCTGACTGGCACCAGGTCGTCGAAATTGAGTTGCGGGAACTAGACGTGCGGTTCGATGATATCATGCTATGCACTAGAAATTATACATAGTGGTAATATTTCGCTGTTTCGTGCTGAAAGAGATTCATACATGCAAAGAAAATCATTTTGCGCTACAACCTTGAAGGAACATCAACTACATTCTATGATTTTAATCACGTGGAGAGGCTGTAAACATAAACTCATGATTCTACAAGGTACAGCTACTTACAATCTATCCAGAATCTCTAAGACCGATTGAGCTTGTGGTGATCGATGGCAACGGTCCCCTGAGTGTGAGTGACGATCCTCTGGGCAAAGTGGAATTCATGCTCAAAGATTACTGCGAAGGCCCTGCGGAGATCCTACAGTACGACGATACAGGACGCGGGAAGAGTGTGGGCGCAGTGGGCCGAGTGCTAGGAGGCGTTCTAGGTCTTTCATATCAGATCGTGAACAATGAGACCGTGAAGTCACCATATTTTTAGGTACCGTGAAGACGAAGATAGTCTAAATGAACTTGTTTTCTGGAGGTAAGCCTCCATAAGGCCATAAGCACGAAGTTTAAATCATGAGAACAAGGCATTTCAACATATCCGTTCATTTTTAGTTCTAAAAATATCATGGCCATTACAATAATATCTGCGCTACTCTATGATCCTTTATCTACATTCTGATTCTTTACTTTTACTTCTCCTAGTTAGATTGGCTCCACCCATAATTATATGGTGTATAGGTGGACGAAGCATACCCATACATTGTTGTACTCACAAGGTGGCAGACGATCTGCACAAGACGATCCTGCGGGAGAAGAGGAGATATTCTCGTCAGATCCATCACTTTTAGATCCGACATTATGCTATGCGCAGAATCCGACGCTCGTGCATCGCCGTTACCGACTGCACACAATGCGAGTGAAGCCACTACTTGTTTTATGCTGCATTTAGATTAATATAGAAGCCACTGCTTGGTTTATGCTGAATAAATTATACATAGATATCACCCTTTTTAGCGATTCTGCCCTCAATCATTGTTGAGCCTATTTCTGGTGGTGTAGGTTAAGGTTGTCTAGAGTAAACTTCGTTACCTCAAGTTGAGCATGCTACTATAGATATCACTTTCTGGCATGTTACGTCGCTGCATTATGATTGCTTAAAGAGTTCGATCATGTTCGTTGTGCTGGTTTACTTGTTTAAATCTTCTGCCACACTATTACTACTTATACACAAGTTAATTATAATATTCAATATCCCCCCTCCCCCACCGAGACCCGCCTTTCGTACTCTTCTTCTACAAGATGAACTGCATCCGCACAAACGGCTCCCCTTCATATCCCGTGAACTCCGAGACTGGTACAGTTGAACCCTCTACGGATTACGACCTTGATCGATGCCGATTACAATTCTGCTGTATGTGGTCGATACAAAGCGCGCGAAGACGCGACTTGAGGCGGAAAGTGCGTAACAATTAAGGCTTTACAGAACAAGCCAGAGATGATCATTGTAGAAGACGAAGAAGCTGCGTCAAGATGTTGTATGTGCACAGAATCATCTAGGAGAGAACAACTCAAAGACCTCTAAAACAATCTGCTCGCGAAGAATCGAGGCTTCATGCAGCAGGCGTGGGATTGGTTCCGAGATACGCTAATCACTGACGACGTGGCAGTCTTGCCAGAAGAGGAAGGGGATGGGACATCAACGAAGGGAGATGCGATGAAGAAAAGTCAGAAAGTTACGGACTAGGTGATGGGCATCTTCTCGTTAGCAAATTGGACGAAAAGAGAGGAGACAATTTAGAGACCCGTGATCATGTTGGAGTTCGATTCGTCACGTACTATCGATCTTCTAGAACAACATACAATTACAAACTGCAACAAACCTTGATCTTTTCTTCCTCTTTAAGTAAGCGGCAATACAATGCACATTCTCATTTCTAATCCAGACCAGGCTAAGCGCACGACAACTTACGACGACGATGATGAGGAAGCGCCGCAAGAGGGGAGAACGAATGCAGCTAAAAAGGGTGCAATCGAAGACGCATACGAAAGCACTTGATGATACATAGCGTCTTGTAGACGGCATTTTCAAAATAAAACCAAGTTGTATTCGATGGTAGCATCGGAAACGCACATACCACAGCATCTAGAGAAGAGGTTGAAGACTTGCAATATCGCCTTTCCGAGGCTACTCAGACCATGAGTATCGAGGACCAACGCACTTTGTACTTTATTTAGATGGAGGAAATGTCTTCAGGTTGTACTAGGATTCTTTCTTGGTCAACATTGCAGATCTCAACGTCTCGCAAAGTATGCCTATGCTCGTTTTTCGCCTTGGGCTGCTCCTGCTCGTTCGTCTTCTTATCGAATTAGTACATGCCTTAGAGATGTTGTGAGAATTAATGTGTGTCAATCCTTAGAGGCGTTTGCGTTTCGAACGAGTTATTCCCACACGCAGGTGAGATAGAGATTTTAGAAGCTCACCCCAAGCCCCAGTATCAAAGGGAATGAGTCGTGGTGTTTTTTTTGGAAAACCAAATTCCTACTCTTCATCAATATCCCACGAAGAACTACAGACTGCATCTTTTTATCACGAGGTCTCCTTTCGACATCTACCAAATATCCTAGTCATATTTTCGAAAATTCAACATAGTTACTCACAAAAATTTTGGGTGATTTGAATTTTAGAACAAGTTCTACCAAATCGATTTCATCATTCTTATATCCTCTAGATGTAGGTAACCCTCTAGTTGTAGGTAAAGGACGTGTATCTAAAAGAACAGACGAAACGTCGTTCTCTGCAATGCCTCGTGATCTTTTTTAGTTTGATGAGACCGATCTGATTTTGAAAGACCAGACGGGGCATGGAACACCATTGCCGTTCTTCTTATTCGTGTCTTCTTTGCCCGGAACGTAGTCCGCAGTTGTAGGACACACGCCGCTCCAGTTGCTCACGCGCCTGTTAATCGCGTCGTGTTCCTTGCGGTAGCGAGGTATCAAAGGTAGCTGGAGAAAGCAGGCGACCAAACCCTGCTGACAGTTCTCGGTACTTGAGAGATTCTATCTGACGTTAGTCTCAATGCCATTGGTACGGGTGAGCGGGACGTGCAGTGATCACACGAAGAGCAGTCGGTTCACTCTTCTAGTAGCCTCGGGACTACAAAAACGAAAGCAGAGGCACTTATCTCGGACGCCTCCTTTATTCGTAAATTCAAATGAGGGATAATTTGTGTCTGCATCGGTCCTCATAATTGTCGGTGACACTGGGAAAAGCGGACAGGCTGTTGCAAGCATGTTTGAAGACAAGTATGATATTCTGTCGCTGTGTCCCTGCACGTTCGAGGCATCTTCATCTGTCTAGTGCGACACTGGCCTCACTTAAGCACTTCCCCGAATCATACTCCCCCAGCTAGCGCTATGACTATGTACTTAGTGTTACCTATAAGTAGGTCTAGGTGACTCAATTCTTGAACAGTAAGCATGATAGATACAAAATTAAGACAAACAAACTCCTGCTCGTGGTAGTTTAGTGCTAGTTCCAGTTTTACACGCACGTTTCTGCTTTGGGATATATTGCTTTCGATGTAGAGGTCTTTCGTAGAAAGGGCATTAACGTGCTGTAGTTTCCACACAGACGTACCTGGTATTGGTTAGTAGATTAGAGTAGCGAAGACAGAGTTATTGAAGTGCGGAAATTCTTTTTTTGCTGTGGTCGTATTGCCGACTTTGTCGGCTACGGCCTCTTTGTGTCTTTTTTTGAGTTTGAAATCTCGAAGACCAGCCTTTATCCTCGGAGGCAGCACCCTCATCTTCACGGTTGCGGCCACGACAGACGGGCCATCTCGAAACGAACCAAGAAAGTGATATCACGGCACGAGCATCAACGCTTACAGTACATGATTTGCAGCAAGAGCAAGAAGTACGTTTGCGTCGAGAATTAAAGGGCAAGGACCCGCTCGTCGTACTAGAGAACAAACTTCAACCTGCTTCGGTATCACGACTGCGCAGCTGCTGTGCCTGCGACAAGGGCAGCTTGCAAGAGTAGTCGTTGCGTCCTCGAAGAAAAATAGTTAGAAGTAGAAGTAGGAATTGTTCTTTTGGACACACTGTTGGAACTGTATCATCCCGCCGGTAGGCTTGAAGGACTACTTGGGATGCACATGAATGAAGCCTGACCCTGGTAGTACCTGACCCTGAACTTCGCAGTGATCAACAGGCTCCACCGTCAAGAGCAACAGGACACTTAACCACAACTTGAACAAGAAGAAGTTGTACTACGTGAAAGGAATCCAGGAGTACGAAAATGGTGGGCTCGTCAGCACCAAGGAATCCGCTATCGCGGACAGTACGAAATAGTCCTAGCTTAGACGACCTGAACATAATAGCGTCAACGCAGACAAGATTGCCAACGCTAGGCATGTACGACCCAACGACATTCAGCAAAGCCGCAGATGCGCGAGCAAGATCACTGTCGAATGCAGGGGGAAGAGGGGTCCTTACTAACTTGCTAAGATAATGCTCTACAGGGAAGGTCCTCGAATGTGTCCCCTGCTTGTGCTCGTACTGTAATAAGTACTTATTCGTCCGAGGTTCAACACAGGTCTTTAATATTCTTCATGTAGAACCACGAAGTCTTCACTAAAGTGTTATCCTTATTCCCGTTGCCGTTCAAGAACATCGCTTCTCAACTACAGTTAGTAGACAGAAATAGAAAATGAAGAGATTTTGTCATCGATCATCTAAGTACGATCATCGCTCATCTGTACTGAATCTAAACTTACAGGGTTCGTCATCTTCTAGCAGACTGGGGAAAAAGCCATTTGCTAAAATGCAGAGGCCTGCGCAAGTCAACCAAGCTGTGTTTCCGAGGCCAGCGTCCACGAAATATGATCACTCGTACTCCAGCTCTTTATTTGACTGCTCATTGATTGTCGTCGTTGATTGTTTTTCAAAACTACTTCTTCCATCTTCCAGGTATCTTAAAACCACGTATCATGTTCAGGTATCTGAAAACCACTTCTATCCAGGTATCTCAGCGCTTTCGGAGGACCGACTGAGAAGAGCTCACCTTCAAAATCTCCAACGTCGAAAGCAGCAGCTAGGGCAGGCAAGCAGAAGTTTATAGAAACAACTGGAAGAGGGAGTCCTGTTACCAGAGACATGGTCCTATAGTCGAGTCATTTATTGAGGATTAGAATTTCTTTTACAACCTTCGAACGGAATTCGAATTTGCATTCATTTACCCAACACTCATTCATTTCCGTCTACTTCTCTTCCGTAAATTATCAGGCTTCCTCGTTGTTCGATACTGCTACGGGTTTGAAGCTGCAGATGCTTAAGATGGTTAGGGATTTGAACACGAATCAAGATCGATCCGACGCCGCGAGGGACATCCTCAGGGACCTCGGGTCGGATCCAGCGAAACCCCACGTCGACGAGAAAAGTAACCATAATATATTATTATTGCATTATAATACCGAACTAAATAAGCTAACTACAGCTAACTAACCTCAACTACATGATGAAAAAGGTAACCAGATCGATATCATCTAATCTGCTTGTTGCTGTGAGAAATGGTGCTGCCAATTCTGATGCTGGACATTGTAATAAGGTTTTTGCAATGTGTGTTAGTGACCATACAGTTTCTTAATGGTTTGATTTGGCACTAGCGACCACTATCTTGAACTTGAACCTAATTACAAGTCGCCGGCCATGTCGTTAGGCCTTTGAAACAAGCACGCCCGGCACGTTTGTGGGCGGGCAAACCCATACGCGGGTGGAACTGCAACTGAGTGAGGCTGTGGGTAGAAAAGCCCACCCGCGGGCGTGGTGGTGTGTGGGTGTGGTGGTGGGTGGCGTGGGTGTGGTGGTGTATGGGTGTGGTGGTGTGTGGGTGTGTGGGTGTGGTGGTGTGTGGCTGTGGTGTGTGGCTGTGGTGTGTGGCTGTGGTGTGTGGCTGTGGTGTGTGGCTGTGGTGTGTGGCTGTGGTGTGTGGCTGTGGTGTGGGTGTGGTGGTGTGTGGCTGTAGCGTGGGTGTGGTGGTGTGTGGGTGTGGTGGTGGGTGGGTGTGGTGGTGTGTGGCTGTGGTGTGGGTGTGGTGGTGTGTGGCTGTAGCGTGGGTGTGGTGGTGTGTGTGGGTGTGGTGGTGTGTGTGGGTGTGGTGGTGTGTGTGGGTGTGGTGGTGTGTGTGGGTGTGGTGGTGTGTGTGGGTGTGGTGGTGGTGTGTGTGGGTG